TAACCCTAACCCTAACCCTAACCCTAACCCTAACCCTAACCCTAACCCTAACCCTAACCCTAACCCTAACCCTAACCCTAACACTAACCCTAACCCTAACCCTAACCCTAACCCTAACCCTAACCCTAACCCTAACCCTAACCCTAACCCTAACCCTAACCCTAACCCTAGTACTAGTACTAGTACTAGTATTATTATAATAGCTCTATTCTTTTACTCTAAACCTAAGCCTAGTTTAAGGTATAGAGTGTACCCCTTCCCCTGAATAGCTAGGTTCTCGCTCACGTGGTGATTTAAACCCCATTGTGAAGTCCCCTCTTAGGGCACCCTAGAGACAGATTTTTATCGATGAATACCTTCCTCGGAGTGGATTAGATCAGGATCAGTTCGGGCCCCCTCTGCCAGCCCGCACCCAAACGCCAGCCCCTCCTACTTCGGCTCTACAAACTTCATCTCAGGACTACGGTTACCTCGCGGCCGTCTCTCCCTTTACCCAGAGACAGTCCCGACAAGGCACACAGCCAAAAGGAAAGCTGCTGGATGAGTTTAGACGCTTACGCGAGGAAGTCAAATCCGAGATTGGCACCAGCGAAAAGAACCTCACGGCTGTGCGCGACCTGCTTCGGAAGTTTATAGCTGCCCGCAGAAAGAACGATCAGCAGGCCTTCAACTAGGCTCGAGATGAAGCACTCAAGAACAGCATGCCTCAGAAAGTCCTCCACAGCTTGAACAGGATGTCTCAGATCCCGACCGAAGGATTCCAAAAGCTGAGGGATGAGTTCGAGAGCTTGAGCCCGGATCAGCGGGACCAAATCAAGCAACTTTACAAACGGTTGCTGGACGCCCGGCTCCAGGGGAATCACGCCGCATACGAAGCAGCAGACGCCGACGCCCGACGACAACTTTCGCCCGCTTTCCATACCAGAGTAGTCGACATGGCAAAGATTGCTCCGACTTCAAACTTTGACCTTTGGCTCTTGTGACGGGATACTTTCGAAGGATCAGACTCTCCAGCGGTGCAGATCCATGGTGGTGGCAGTGCATATTATTTACTTTCATTGATTCTTGTCTGCCACGGCTCCGGTTTTTTCTACGTTTGTTCTTTCAATACGGCTCCCGGAGTGTGGTGCCCAGTGATAAACGGCGTGGTGGAACCGAGCGAAACTATTCTTACTTTCTTACCACAAATCGATTCCAAGCACATATAGATACGGCGGGATCACTCTAGCAATACGAATCATTCTTTGCTTGGTTTGGTCATGAAGCACGTATCATTGTCAATCATATTTCGCACTTCAGACACTGATGCATCCAACTTGGAGCTTGTTACAGCCACATCATGTAAAGCAGGTACCATGAATGCCATTCGCCCGCCCTTCACTTTTCGACTTGCTCGACTTGAACGTCCTTTTCCAAACTTTCCCGTATTGGCTTCACCGAACCGAGTTGACCCCGTTCCAAAGCGACCTCGTCATGAGGCGCGACACCGAACAACGCATCCATTGACTCGAGTGACAGTCCCTTGGTCTGCGATGATCTGTTAGCATGGATTTGTCTCGAGCAAACGGATGCCTCTACCTCAGGGATGAAGAACCAGGTAAAGACAAACATGGTGAAAGCGAACGAGCAAAAGATGAGGTAAGTGCCGTAACCATTTGCACTAGAGTCGTCAGCAAGAAACCTTCTCAAGCAGATTGACGCTTACCCAACGGTGACCAGCATTACCGGTACCGAACGTGCGACAACAAAGTTGAAAAGCCATTGAGTCGCGGCGGCCAGAGCGACAGTCAAAGCTCGGAGTCGAGCAGTGGGAATCTCGGAGGCATAGATCCAGCTGCAAACAGTCAGCTAAGAATGCGCTTTCCGGACGTAAACGTACCAGACTGGTCCCCATCCGAACTGGAAAAACGCTGCAAACAAGAAGATGCAAACCAGGGCAACGTAACCCACGGCGGGAACGGGCTCGCCTTTGATGGGCGGAGAGATTCTGATATATAGCCCGATGAAGAGCATGCAACAGCCTTGACCAATGGCGGTCCAGAGGAGCGATTTGCGTCGTCCCAGGGTGTCTGCCAAGAATAGAAGGAAGATTGCACAACTGATGCACTTGACGATGCCGTAGATGCCCGTAGCGAACAGCCCGGTATTGTGGCCCTGGACGCCGATGTTCTGGAATATGAGCGGTGCGTAATTGTTGATGGCGTTCGTTCCAGTCATCTGTTGACAGATCATCAACACGACGACCAAGATGGCCCGTCGACGGTTTCCAGGTATCAACCACATCTCCCTCATGAGGTCTTTGAAGCCGGCCCCGCGCATCAGGGCGCGTTCGTTCTCAAGCTGAGTCACCATCTCGCCGAATTCGGCCTCGACGTAGTCGTGAGTAGCGGGCAGCATGCGGACTTTGGCCAGGATGGCCTTTGCTTCTTCCCATCGGTCCTGCTTCGCCAACCATCGGGGGGACTCGTTGCACAAGAACATACACACCAGCAGGAGAACAGCAGGAATACCCTGCACAGCCAGTGGTACGACCCAGGAGCTATCCCCAGGCAGATGCAAGCTTGAACCGTAATTGATCCAATACGCCAACATGCCCCCAAGGACGATGAAGAACTGATAGGTACCAGTGAGAAGACCGCGAATGGCTCTGGGGACGTTCTCGGAAGTGTATAATGGTGTAACAACAGAGCAGACTCCAACCCCGAGGCCTGCGATGAACCTGCCGACGTACAGCGCTGCCAAGTGTCCCCACGCATTGAACTGGAGGAGTACACCGACCAGAACAACGGTGCCTGCAACAAGTAATGATCTTCTGCGCCCGATCCGGTCGGCCATAAAACCGGCAATGATGGCGCCGGCGAAACAACCTGCTTGGAGCGTTGAGACAATGTTGGCTTGTAGGTTGGCGAGCGCGGCCTTGCTCCCAGCACCGTCTAAGCCGAAACGAGCGAGGAAGGCGGGTAAGACGACAACTCCAGAGATGATGGAGCTGTCCATCCCGAACAGCATAGCACCAAAGCCGGACTGCGACCCAGTTAGATCTTGCCAAAGTCAGGAAACAGCAGGTTGCCGTACACTCATTGCAAGGAAAAGTGCCCTCCAGCCATAGATCTCGGGGGGGTCCTGCGCCATGGCCTCATTGTGGACGATCCGCTTGAAGAAGCGATAGCCCGCGTCTCCTCTCGCCATGTTAGCGATAATAGATTGGTAGCAGGCAGTCTCTGGGCAGGAGCAACGCGACGGACAGAGGACAAGAGAGGTGCAACGTCCGTTATATGCCGGTTCCCCAGGTGTAATGTCACCTTGCTAGAGTTCAGGCTAAAGACGATAGCAAGGTCACTTGGAGTCAATCTCCCATTGGTGTGGAAGATATGTAGTAACTGGCTGCCAAACTACGGATTCCATGCGTGAGATCTGCGGGGAGCCATGTCGGGGCTTGGAGAGATTAGGTTCAACATCGATGCTTTGGTAGTTAGGTGAGGCTGTGAAGTCCGGTGAACCCAGCCAGGATGCGGTGCTGGGGTAGCATAACCCAGGGCCATGGAGAAGTAGGACAGGGTAATGTTGACTCCATCCACCGGGGTTCGTCTGGATATGGAGACTGATCAGATGGATGGGGACAGTGGTCTTGCAGGACGGCGACCCTGTCATGAAACTGCCAGATCCACCCTGGATCCCTGGACAAAGGCGGAAGGTGGCTCGGGAGACGGTCTCGGCGGAAGGCTTGGCTGCTTCATGCTTTGCCATCCCGCCCTTTTCTGCAGCACTCGGGTTGGACGCTGTCATCTTCAGTATTTGCCTGGTGTAAGCACTTACCTGCCGAATTTTCTTCACAGGGCCCCAAATCCCCCGCAAGAACGTGATCGCTTCCAGCTCAATACCAAGCCGGCTGAACTGAAGCCGCTCCCAGCCAGGACAAGCCTGCCAATGTTGCCAATACAGCCCATCCGCTCTTCCAGCCAATCAAAGGTTACAAGACGAACCCTCCCGCCTCGACAAGAATTGCCCCGACCGCTTTTCGTGGTTTAAATGGATGGAAACCCGGGGAACCAAGGAAAGCCAAGAAACGTACATCAGGCTTCTAGAACAGAAACCAGCCAACGATCGGGAGCTTGGTATACAGAAAAAGCTGGGCGTCTTTGGTGTGGAGCTGGCTGACTGTCCGCCTCGTAAAGGGAATATGCTTCCAAGATGAGGGGATTCCCACGTTCCATCGGATCGATAGAATGCATTCTGGTGGCTTGGCTGCGGTGAGATCTCCCGTGGGGTAACAATGCCTCTGTCCATACAGTCCGGGGCGGAGAGCAAGTTCTAGGGCGCATGTTGCGCCGGTTTCAAAGAGCCCTTGATCCTCCTCCGAAGAAACATGCCGAACAGCAAGAGAAAAAGGGAAAGGGTCGAGCCAACACCGCACACTGAGGCGCAGACGCAGGAACTTCCGCAGGTTGTGGACTATTCATCCCAATATGATTCGAGGCAGCTGCTCTCCCAGAAAGCGGCGCTACCCGATTAAATAAAACATTGAAGGAGCATGAGGCTGATTGTCTGAGAACTCCACGTGCCCATGTAGGGCGATTTGTATGAGTTCGTTTGGTAGGGCGTGACGGTCCAGCGCCCACTTTGTTGACGCGTGTAGGCGCAGCGCAAATACCGCGCAGAGCCCGGGTCCTGGTACTATTGACTGGCTCGAGGAAGCATGACGAGTGTAAGGAGAAGACCAACGCCAATTGCTTCAAAAGGCTGAAGAATATCAGTAAGCGGGCGAAAACGAAGTATGAAGCAGCCGTGAGCAATCCGACACAACATCTTTCAAGACTGGCACCCAAGACCTGGTCCCTCCAGAAGGGTTGGCGGGTGGAACAAGATATCCAGCGAACATGATCACAGACTGGTGTCCTCTTTACAACGGCCCCCTCGTTCTGGTATAGCCGCCACAAAATTGCTGCAACCGTGGTGGGTTAGGTGGTGTAGAAGAGGGACCACTGTCTAGAGTTGTTCCGAGGATATGATTTGTCGAACGGCAGATCGCTATAGGCGTGACAGCGGCTTACCGCTGGGACGGGAATGATACGATGATTTGGAACCCAGAGAGTGCTGAGTACAGGAGCAAAAGGACGCAGTTAGACGCATGGATAATCAAAGGCAGGCTTGGCAGGCGCCCTTGGAAAATTAGGGGTGTGACGCTCGTCCGTCTCCGGCATTGCCTGAGCGTTACTGACAGCGCAGGCAATTCATCGAAAACTGCGTGCTGCTGGGATGGTTTTGCTCTGAATGATCCAAGGCATCCTTCCGGAATTCGACACCCGCTCGAAGAACTCGTACCTCGTACGAGGCAAGCCGTAGGTGTCGAGCAAGGTCTCCTAAATGATGTCATCGGCGCCGGATCGCACCATGACTGCAGGGGCAGCGGCCGCTTACGCACTCAGCCCCAAGATACTTCCCAGTTGGACATGACCATAAGAGCCTTTTCCAAATCTTTAGTATTCCTACCAGTGTTGCCCGTGACGTGTCGCAAAGATGGGGTCATTGATATGGGAGCGATTGCGCCAAAGACTATGGAGAACAATCCAACCTCGCTCGACATGGGGGTACATTCTTTGTTGCGGAATCGCCACTTTCTTAGTCGTTCGTACTCTGTCTTCGTCGTCACCACTGCTTTCATCAAACCTGCCCGCATACACGGGTCCGTTTGGCGTTGGCACAATTGACGTGGAGGTCCCGGTCGAGACTCGGTCGATCAATAACGCCACGTTCAAGGATGGCGGGCATCCGGCTTTCCAGGTGAGTACGACGTGGCTGCAGGAGAATGTTCTGACGATCGTAGCTCGAGACTGTTCTATTCACTCTGTACTACCCTACGAGAAGAGGCACGGTCTCTTCGAAACCGCATCATCTGTGGGTGCCAAAGCCGCGTGCAATCGTTGGCGAAGGTTACGCTCGATTTGCTCACATTAGCAATTTTGTCACCAACTCGCTCATCACTTTCGGTTTATGGGGCTTGGTGGGCAGTACAAAAATTCCAGCACATGTCGACGTTCCGCTGCATGACTCTCCAGTCCTCTTGCAGTCGCCGGGGTTCGAGACCGAACCTTTGACGGTCGACGAGGGAATACCCGTCATGGTGTTCTCCCATGGCATGGCCAGCTCCCGGACTCAGTACACCCAGTACGTCGGAGAGCTCGCAAGTCGAGGCTTTGTTGTCGCGGCCATCGAACATCGAGATGGCAGCGGACCGGGCACGCAGATCATCAGACACGGCCAGCCGCCTCGGACACTGTTGCATTTTGATGTCCGACACTTGACGGTTGATTCCGGCCTCGATGGCGACACATTCAAGAAGGCTCAGCTTGATTTCCGACAAGCGGAAGTCGAAGAAACTGTGGGCGTGCTGGAGCGGATCAATCATGGCGCTGGTGGCGAGATTTTCAAATCAAATTCCCGACACGAAGGCCAGCATCTATATGAATGGGAAGGACGACTTGCCATCAAGAATGCCACGATTGGCGGCCACTCATTTGGAGCCACGCTAGCAGTATGTCTGTCTGCTCTGCCGCCTGATACCGCTAACGCTCCTTAGCTGCAAACTCTGAGGAATGGACCATCAGAGCTTCTCCCATTCCAGGGCGCGGTGGTGCTTGATCCGTAAGTCGGGAACTTGGTGAAGTCGAGACTGGAGCTGATTAGACTGCAGCGGCAAACAAAGTGGTCCTCTCAATCATGATGTCCGTGTCCCGACTTTGATTCTTCACTCGAATTCCTGGTCGAGTCGACGTTCGATCTTCTTCGGCCGAGCGCACTTTGACGTTGTCAAGGACGTCGTCCGAGGCGTGTTGAAACGAGGCAAAGACGCGTGGTTCATGACTTCCTGTATGTACTTGTTCCCAATCGTCCGCGGATGAATTACTGATCACCTGCAGTGGGCACCTCCCACCCATCCGTCACCGACGCGCCGCTGATCGAGCCATGGCTGTTGAGCTTCACGACCGGCGCCACGATCGACGTCCACGAAGGTGTTAATCAATATGTCAAGGTCACCCAGAGATTCCTGCAGTATCAAACCACCGGTGTAAAGGAAGGCATCCTGGCAGAATGCGTCACTCATCCTCAGTACTGGGTCGAGGATGAGAGCAGGCCAGACAGCGGTGATCTCCCAGAGACGTTCCAGAAGTACTGGCAGATCCATGTTGCGCCCTGTGGTCCAAAGGAGGGAGAGGCATGAGGTGAGAAGATGGGACTCGTTTGTACACGGAGCATTGGTAGTCGCGGTCGGGTAAACGAGTGGAACCATGGATTGAATGTACCACAGTACGGAGTACTCCGTATTTGTTCCCTGTTGAGAGTGGCGTGGTGCCTCAAATGCAGACACGGCGACCCATAGCTTGCAAATCGACAACCCGTGAAACTGCGGGTTGAACAGCCATCGTCAAGCCATTGCTGTGCCACCGGAGCGCGTTCGGCGGTCGGGGAGAGAAGCCGGAGCAGCCAACGGTGGGGAGTATTGGCACGCCTGATCCCCGCCAAGCAACCGCTCATCTCGTTCAATTGGCTCCATGTAGACCTGTCGATGGCCTGAAGCATAACGTCGCCCCTGTGTATGAAATTGCAACTCAGCCCCTGTTTTCCATGTTGTTGCTGGCCGAGTCTCATGGTACTGTACCACAGTGCGCGTGGCCCCCAACCCGTGGCACGATGCGCTCGTCTGCGAAAGTGGATGGTAGAGCGGACGAAGCGCGTGCTTCTGGGGGCCTGGATGCCCACTCGTCTCTTCCTTCTGTAGGTGAGGTTCTTCCTCTCCTTCTTCCTTTCATGCCCGGCCTGTTGGGGTTTTCGTACTGTCTCGGTCGCTGTTTTGTCGTGTTGCCGTGATGTTGACCTTGCTGCTCTTCTTTGTAACCTGGGTCTCGCGGTCGCACTGCCTCGAAGTGACGAACATATCCCTATGTGCGGACACGTGCAATGGCCCTTCGTTAACCTACAGCTCGGACCTGTCCTGCAGCGACGAGGAGTATTGGAACACGGCAAATGGCGTGCTATTTCGCAGCTGCCTTGAATGCGAGAGTAGGAGTTCTGCGGAAAATGGCGACACCAGTACGCCGCAGAACAATGACATCTACTGGTTTCTATGTGAGGAAGGCGCTCCCAACTGGCGATCGGCAAGAGCTGATCAACAGTCAACATGAAATATACCCTGCAATACTGCATGTTCCAGGGCAACGGAAGCACGCCAAATCTCCCGCAATGCGAAGCCGACTGTGCTGGATTGTATCCAGTCCTTCAAACATCGTGGTTCTCACCCGAACCTGCAAAACAGTATGCATATTGCTCGATCAACGACACTGCGTTCCCAACATATGCGAGTACCTGCGCTTCGTGTCTGCAGTCAGATGAGGGATCGGTTGTGCTTGGGAATTGTAAGGACGACCCACCATGTAGGAATTGGAGCTGACAGGACAGTCCTCAACACAATGCTATCTGCATGCGACCACCAACCTGACGCGAGCTTGGCAGAAACAATACCCCTGCAACGAGAACTATTCGATACCGCCACAGTCGGCACTGCGACGATTACCTCGGTGACGGCCTCGGGCACAATCTCTGCGACGACGTCAAGCACAAGCTCTGGCAGCGCAACGACCGGCTCTGTATCGACTGCGTCCGGCTCGTCCACAACCACGCCACCTGCAGCGACGTCCGATCCCGTCAGCACCGGTCCTACTGCGCAAGAAATCTCACAAAGCAGCTCTCCCGGCTTGGCGCCCGGGGCAGCAGCAGGTATTGGAGTCGGGTGTGGACTCGGCGCCATCGCACTGGGTGCTGGGCTGGGCTGGTTCGTTCTGCGTCGGAGGCGGCGGACCCAACGCGTACCGTCTCATGCCGACACGTTCCAATACCAGGAATCAAAGTCAGCGAGTGTCAGTGTTTCGCCTTATCAGCCTGCCCCACCTTACGCGCAACAACTGGCAAGTCGAGAACTGCATGAAATGGACGGTGGACAGAGCAAAAACTGGACGAGTGAGCTGGATGGACGACCTGTACATTGATCTCTCACAATTTGACACTTTTGACCACATTTGTCTTGATGCCCGTCGCTTCGCCACCGTACCCTCCTCTGCCCTCGCCGCCCTTGTAGACAGGCCTCATCGAGCTCAATTTCTTCATCTTCTCGTCAAACTTCTTCCTCTTCTTGACTCGAGGATTGCGGACGTCCTTCTTCCTCTTCGGTTGCAGGCCTTTGTTCTTCTCGATCACGTAACTGATCTTTCTCTTGCCGTCCGGTCCGACTTGTTCTTGTTCATAGACCTGCGCGCCATGTCTAGTGGCCGCGGCGTATGCTTCTGCTCTGGCTTGCCTGCCAGCTTTCTTTTGCTTCGAATTCGACACCAGCATATCATAGTACTCGTTATCCTCATCTTTGATTTCCTGGCCACGGTCCGAGCCTTCATCGTCAGTGCCAAGAGCCTCGTCTTTGTTTGCGCTGGATCGTGCTCTCTGCTCGGCTTCCCGCATCAACCGCTCCTGTTTGTCTCGTATGCGTTCTTTGTACGGCACATCGTCGTCACCGCCCGCCTGTCGCGATGCTTCCCCTCGCTTGTTTGCCTTCTGCACGATCTGAGATGTGTAGAATCGTAGACTCTTCTTCCGCCGAGCCTTCTCTTCAGCTTCTTCGAGGGTCAGAGGCGCTTCGTCGCCAAAATCTGATTCGGCCTCAGTTGGTTTCTTCAGTGACGCGGCGAGCAGTTGTTGGAGGTCGTTCTGTTTCGCTCTATTTTCTCTCTTCCGTTTGTTGCTTGCAGTTTGAGGTTCTGGTGATACAGGGTCCGGTCGGGGCGAACTCCGCTTCTTGCCCTCCTCCGCCTTCTTCTTCCTCTCGGGTGTTGGCGGTGTCTTCTCCATTGCTTCAGGTACCTCGTCCCTGATGTGGCTTTCCTGCGCCTGGTTGTCGATCTTGCGCAAGAACTTTACTTCCTGCCATAGCTGCCGACACCGGACGAGGTTCGCCATGACCGGATGCTGGCGTAGCTCTCCCGGAGGAAGTGCCAAGCCGTTCTTGGTAGACGTGAGCAGCGAAAGATACATCGCAACTGAACCGAGGTACGCAGACAAGGCTCTGAATTTGACAGTGGGACCATCCTCTGGCTGTTCCAATTCCGCCTGTTTCTTGTGTAACTGGTATGTAGATTGCAACTCCAGGAAGTCTTTCGCCAAAGGTTCGAACTCAGGGTATCTCGACTTGAGGATCTTCAACCGCTCATCGTCGGTCGCAGTGTCCGGTATTTGCAGTTCAGGTAAACGCTCGACGGTTGGCCTCTTCTCCGTCTGGCTGTCACCGGCCCAGACACTTTCGTCAAACCCGAAATCCGCTTCAGTCATGGCCTTGAGCTGTTTCTCCTGCAGCCTCCGCGCCTCTTGTTCCTCCTCAAGGGCATCCGCTTCAGTCTCGATGACATCGGCATTGTAATAGTCTGCCTTCGATGTTCCCCAGTAGGTGTCGTCTTCTTCCCCCTCTTCCGCGGCGTTGTGTGCTTCATCCTCATCCTCAGATTCCTCGGCGCGGTCGAGATATACTTCCTCGTCGGATGGCTGTAGATGTCGCTCTTGCTCTTCTAGTCTTCTCCTTCTCTTCGCGGCGGGCTCTTCGTCCAGCATGACTTTGTCTCGTCCCCGGAAGAAGTCATCCTCAGAATCGTCAAAAGTTTCTTCAGCATCGAATCGGTCAGTGTCCTGCGGTCGTGCAATCGCTGTTGTCGCACGTGGGGCTTTCCCTTTCTTCGCCATTTCAGGGTGCCCAGAATGTTACTTCCGGCGAAAACGGTGCAAGATCAGTGCGTCTTGATGCGGGCCGCAGACGGCAGTCGAAACTTTTTTTGGCCGGACTTGGCGTACGCAACGATGCCTCTCGTTAGCGGAGCGTTTTCCAGTTCGGTAAGAGCTCGCCCGGACGGTCACCCAACTGCCATCTCCATCAATTATTTTGTCTTCACCCCTGGCACGTCATGTTTAGGCCACCGAACACCTGCAGATGCGATTGGAGGACGAGATAGGGGAATACAATATCAACACCAAGCAGAGATCTGACAATTTATCTCGCGCTTCTGGACATGCCTTGGTCTTCAGAATACTTCCTCGCTGCCACAGTGCTTGTCATCTCCCTCCCAGTTGTCTACAACATGCTCTTCTCCTCGCGCAATAAGTTCCCCGTGGAAGGGCTCACCGCGGTCGTGACCGGAGGCTCACAAGGTCTCGGACTCGCACTCGCGCAAGAACTATCGTGCCGAGGTGCAAACGTGGTCATCGTCGCGCGGGACATACCGAAGCTGGAAAGTGCGATCAAGACACTTCAAGCGCGCGCAAAACACCCGCACCAGCGCTTTTCACATCTATCTTACGACCTCCGCCGTGCCGAGTCCGCCCCGGAGATTCTACAAGAGGTGAAAGCATGGAACAACAGAGAGGCGCCGGACCTGATATTCTGCTGCGCAGGACACTGTTACCCATCCTTCTTTGCGGATGCGCCGGTCGAGCAACTCAAGGATCAGATGGATACCGTCTACTGGAGCTGCGCATGGATGGCGCACGCGGCCATCAATATGTGGAAAACACCGTCAAGCCCTGAGCAGAAGACCTCTCGACCCAGAACGACGAGACATATCGTCTTCACTTGCTCCGTGCTCGCTTTTTTCCCCGTGGCCGGTTACTCGCCGTACTCGCCGTGCAAAGCCGCTATGCGAGCACTGGCAGACGCACTGAATCAAGAGGTCGAAGTCTACAACGGCTCACGACAGAATCCTTCATCTGGACCTGTCCCCGATGCCGATATGAAAGTGCACATCCTCTTTCCCGTGGGCATTATCTCGCCTGGCCTAGAAAACGAGAACAAAATCAAACCCTCGTTGACCCTCCAACTCGAGAAGGACGATAAACCGCAAGACCCCGAAGAGGTCGCCAAGATTGCCCTCCGCCGACTCAGTGCCGGCGATTTCATGATTAGCACCCTGTTCTTGGGCCATCTAATGCGAGGGACAGGCATGAGTGGAAGCGTGAGAATGAATTTTTCGGATATCTTCTGGAACTGGCTCGGATCAATCGTCATCCTGTTTGTCGCGCCAGATTTCGTTTCGAAGTGCAGAAATTGGGGCAAAGAAAAGGGGATGAAATCAACCTCCCATAGCAGCTGAGATCAATCCGACAAGTTGATCTCCGTAGCTGTCACGACCTCAAGCATGGCGTCCAACGTAGCCACCAACTCATCCTTGGTCCAGTCTCGATCAAAATCTTGGTCCACGAATATCTGAGCAGAGTTTTGCGCGTGCTCCAACTCCTCCTTCGCATCTTCTGTCAGGGCCGAACAGATTGCGACCAAATCCTCACCTTGCTGGGCCAATCGAGCCAATTCAACAGCTCGCTCCACGACTTCTACGGGGACGCCATTCATAGCCGCACATTGTATCCCGTAGGACAAGTTACTTCTGCCGGGACGAAGGTTGTACAAATATGTTATCTCGCTGTGGTGCTTTCCGGCAGTTTGTTCATGTTGCGGCTCGACTTGCACCTCCATATGCGCCAAGGACAGGTTCGTGGCGTTCTCGAAAACACCCAAGTCGAAAATCTCGTGGAAATGGGTGGCCACCAGTGTCTTTGGGGCATTGGTTCCCAACGATAGCAAATGTTGAAATACTCCTGTTGCAAGTCCGGCGCCGTCACATGTGTCAGTTCCCTTGCCAAACTCGTCAACCACCACCAGACTTCTTCTTGTGCACGAGTTCAAGGCCATGGCAATCTGCTGCATATCGATCATGAAAGCAGAGTGGACCTTCGACACAGTTTCCCGGGTTGTAATGCGAGTTAGGATTTTGTCGGTGATGCCGATGGTTGCGGCTTCGGCTGGCAGGAAAGATCCTATTTGAGCCATGTAGACTGCCAAAGCGACCTGCTTCTGGTAGACAGACTTGCCCGAGTAGTTGGGCCCAGTCAACAATAGCATGTTAGGTCCATCTGTGCCATCCGATCCATTGCCGCCGACAAGATAAGTGTCGTTGGCGACAAAGGAGGGTACCGCCATCTCTTGCAGCAAGTGTCTCCCTCCTTCGATGATGATCACATTCTCCTTTGTGATCTTTGGCCGAGTCAACTTGCAGTGGTACGCGACGTGAGAAAATGCCAATGAGCAGTCCAACTCACCGCACAAGTCAGACGCAGCGATGAGAAGATCTTCGTCTTGAAGAATACTCTGCGCCAGATCGTAGGCAATCTCCACCTCCATCTCACAAATCGCGGAGTACAAGTCTCCCAGCTCATTATCCAGGCCGTTCATTGTTTCGTCCTTGAAGTAGGCTTGAGATGAGGTGGTGAAAATCAGCTGCCACCCTAGATCTTGCCCGCTGAAGACGGCCTGACCAGTGGCGCTGTCTCTTGGAATCGTAATATGGAAGCCCATGTGCGGAATGTAGGTGACATTGATCTCCAAGCTCAGTTCGAGCGGAATTTGCATCTGGATTTCACGGGCCTTGTCAACCAATAAATCTTCCATGCTGTCGTACAACGCCTTGAGTTTATCGAGTTCTTGATTTATGCCTCGTTTGACCACGGTGCGGTGCTGGTCCATGGACGATTCACGATCCACTACATCGTCCACCGTCCGTCCGATCCTCTTCAAGCTGTTCCGATCGAGGACGTTAGCAGCGCTGACGCACAGTGGAAGGCGCTCCGCTCGGAGCGCCTCGCCTAGGGTTTCGGCAATGTCGATGGCATGATAGCAAAACCCTAGCAGTGATTCCTAGACACCACTTTTGAATGCACTTTGCTTTGCCTTGCCACTGTCGATGCCCTTGTGGAGGAGGGTGATTGTATTCCGCATGTTCTTGATCCGACCAAGGCTCTTGCTGAGCTTGTCTCGCACGGACTGATTTTCCGGGCGGACGAATACTGAGATGAAGTCGAGGCGAGAGTTGATATAGTCGACTTCCAGCGAGGGTCTCAAGAACGCCTTTCGCAACTGAGCTCTCCCTTGTGGGCTTTTCGCATGTTGAAGGAACAAGTCATAGATCGAATGAGATCCCTTTGCTCCCGAAGTACCTGGTCCTAGATTGAACCCGTTGGGCTGTGATTCTGGTTGGAAGACCTGCAGTGAGACCAGAGTATCTGTGTTGATAAGCATGGTTGCATTTAGACTGAACATCTCGAGCCTGGCAACACGAAATGACTGGTTGGCGTCACGACCGTTGGGCAGATAAACTGTGGCTTGTCTTCGTTGCAAGTGGGATATGATTGCACCGGCACAGCCGATGCTGATCTTGTTTTCCACGTCTAGCCATGCCGAAATTTGGATCAGCTTGCCTCTTCCCTTCGTCAGACCAAGCTCCTCAGGCTGCAAGTCCTCCTCGTATAGCATCGACTCGCCTGGAATGAGAAGCTCAGCGGTACTGTCCTCGGCGAACGCACGGAGGCCGGCCAATTTGGTGAGAGCAGCATCGTAGTGGAATTCGGGTGTAGGTCGCATCTCAATCTGGTAAGGCAGAGGAGGCTGGCCTTCATCTGTTTGTCATGAGTAAATGGAGATCCATAATGGAACCATATGCTCACCACCATCAACAAGCGACGTGTTGCGGCCAAGCCGATCATTGGCATTGTCGGCGGTAGCACCTGACCGAGGAGAAAGGATGACTGTGGTCGGCTGAAGATCAAGTTTCACTGGAGAAAGGTGAACAATGGTCCGACTGCGGTAAGATTGTGTACTCACGTCTCTCGACAATCTCACTTCCGCCACCAATGACTTCTTCCATACACAACAACCGCTCTTCTCCTGCAATGAAGCATGCACAGCCGACTTTTCCTCCCTCTTTTATATCGACAGCCATAACCACTTGCTCCAGGAAGTCGTCGTCTCGTGGTTGGAAGCCGCTCTGGTCGTCCTGCACGAAGCTGGTGGAAGGGGTGATTGTAGCATACCGCACAGAGCTGATATGAGGGGGTGTCACAGACGGCGTTCGCAAAGTGATTGAATGCTGATACGGCTGATTGCGTCCAAGACCATATTTTCGCCACCCACCACGGCACTTCGCTCCTCTGCCACGACCGCGCATGCCACGACATGACAGGGAGCTTGTTCGAGATGATGACATGTTGCGGAAAGTGAGCAAAGTGAGAAGGAATGAGCCGCAGATCAGAAATAAAAGCACAATCAAAGAGGGAGACGAGATTGCCGAATACTCGCTCAATCTTGACTCGAGTCTGTGACTTGGCAGTCACGAACTCGGCATCGCCACGCAATCAGTCGGCTCGCATTCAGTACAGCATTTTGTACAATTCTATTTTCATCAATGTGCATCTCTATCATCATGTCTTCGTGATCAACTTTGCACTTCATCTTCTAGCCACCCTCTCACAATCCTCCCGCCTTCGGCTCTTTTGACCCGACACCACATGCCAACTTCTTTGTCCGTAATGAAATGCCACAGCACCAAAGGCCAGCTTTGGTGACATGGCAGCGGCTCGTAGAACTCGCGTGCGATCTCAAAGACCTGGGGCAGGCGAGTCCACGGGATCGCTGGGAAATCGTGATGCTCGTTGTGATATCCCACGTTGTAGGTAAGGACATTCAATGGGCCATAGTATGAAAATGTCTCCGGTACGGGCACATCCTTCAGCATCTTTCCTGTCTCGAGGGTCGACTTTGCCAGAACATAATGCTCTGAGATGAAATGAGCGGCACATGGATGAAGCGATCCGGCCAGTAAAGAGCTGAGCAGAAGATAGGTCAAAGCTTTCCAGCCGAGCCACCGGAGAACGACAAGGTCAAAGATGATCTGAGCGGCAATGTTTGAATAGTGGATCGGTCCAAATGGTATCTTGTAAACCATCATCGGTCGGATCGCGTAGAATATGAGTTGAAATGTGCAGAAGAATGCCTTTCCTGCGACCGAGTCGAGGAGGATCGCTTCCAATGCCGTAGGAAGATCTGTATCGACACCATCCACACCTAGAGACTTGTGATGAGTCAAGTGATACTGTCGGAAGCCTGCTGAGTATGGGATCCCAATGGGGAGATTTGCAAATATGGCGAAGAGCCGGTTGTAGATGCCTGTCCGAAATGCTAGGTTGTGGCTGATCTCATGAATTGCAAGGAAGAGGTTCTGGTTTGCTGTCGCCCCGATCACATATGCTGTAAGGAAAAACGGCCATGAGAAGAACGGAGTACTTCTGAGGAGATATGCACACGTAATCTGTAGCGAGACGACGAACGCCACTACGTACTTTGTGAGCGGTTCGGGGCCACATAGCTGGAGCACCTCCTTGTGCGCCTTGATGATGGCTTGTCGGCGTGTTCGATGAGGCTCCTCCGTGTATGTCCAGAAGAACTTGTCTTGCAGGCTTTGCTCCCGCTCTTTGCTTGTACCATTGCCCTCTTTGCCGGCCGTTACGGCCTTTTGTGTCCGTTGTGTCCTACGAGCGGATTGCGTCTCAATGACGGTGGACATGCTGAATCGATGTATCGCGAGTGCTGGCAGGTCAAGGGAGAGCGAGAGGGGGTGAAGCGGCCATGACTGTCGAACGTGTACAGATGAGATCGTTCAGAATTTTTGGCGGCGAGTCAAGGAGTGGTTTCGGAGAACTGTTATTGCTTCGGTTAGACCAAAAACGGTTAGTCGTTAGGCAGATCGACCGCGGCTTTCACCTGGCAAACATTCGTTCTAGTTGGCTGCAAAGGGCGTTTCCAAGCTAGCTTCATGCCTAGGTATATCGAGCCAGCTCGTACCGTAATGACTTTGTCTCCACCCATAAAATGCTACCTGATGCTGCCGGCTCTATTGGTGAAGGGTCTTTCGAGAGAAACGCTGTTGAGATATCTGCATGTCATGCTCAGGAACATAGACTTTGAAGGTACAGTAGCTCGCAGAATATAGCTATCGGACTCATCTATCAGAGGATATCGACTAGGCCTCAGGCTCCCTCCAGTAAAGATAGGATGGGTTGGGGTAACACTGCAGAAAGCAGGAGCTGCTAGGGCATTGGCCGGAGTACTTGAGGACATGATTAGAAAAGAACGATCGGCAAAGGCTCAAACCCAAGTCACACTGTGCCATTATTTGTTGGTACATATCCCCTGTCTATTCTAAAGCTCTTGCTTTTATTCTTGAGTAAACCTTAGCTCAAGACACGCAAGCAGAAAGAAATGTCTATCACATCCGGTGCCTGTGCAGAAGCTCTGCAGAATGTCGTCTGGATCCTTTGCAGCCAGCATGATCTATTCCGAAAAGTCTAAGCCTGCCATGCTAAATCCACCCATGTGAAAAGACGTGAACATGCCTTGGAATCATACCTGGACAGAAGTCATGCGAACCTATTCACCGTTTTGTGCCTATTTCGAGATCTCGACACCGCCGACGGCGCCGATAACACGCTGCTGGCAGTTAGTATTGATGGTTCGTCTGCTCGGGTGTGTATGCTCACCTTGATGTCACCATAGATGGCGAATTGACCAGCGGTCAAAGTACCAACCATGAAGAGACGAGCACCGATACCAGCATAGCTGCCACGGATACCAAGTTCCCTGCCGATCTTGAAAAGCCTGCTCGTGGTGCTTTCGCCTGGAAGACCCTTGGTCTTGTTGATCTTGGAAAGCATGGTGTCGGCGGGCTGGGAGACGAGGGCGGCAGCGAAACCGGCGATCAGACCAGAGCCCAGGTTGACAACCGTTTTGGTGCCGTCCGACGCAGTGTTCTTGTCCATCGTTTGCCAGACCGCCTCAGCAACTTTCTCGTAGACGACGAACTTGGCCATGGTGTAGGGGACCTGCTTGAACAAGATAGGACCGAAGCCGCTATAGAAGGCGCCAACTCCTTCATTCTTCAAGATCTTGCTGAAGCCACCAACCAGACCAGAAGCAAAGGTCGGCTCAGAGACCAATCGGATGCGGGTGGCTTCCAGGGGGCAGAGAGCAATATCGGCGAAGAATTCGGCAAGGGCAGATGATGCCAGGTAGACGGCGGTTCTGTTGTTTGAGGCGGTCTCGTAGCCGAGGAGATTGATCGATTGCTGCTTGAAGAATTCGTATCCTCCGAACTTGAAGGCGCCTTGAAGGAAGTAACCTGCAAAGGTCGGGCCAACACCTGTCAAGAGAGCGCCAGCGCCTTCGTTTGCGATCACTTGTCGGAATCCCCCGATCAATCCGCGGTTGTATGTGACTGGGTCAAGTTGAATTCTTGTCTTGACGCTGAGTGGAGTGGAGTGTCAGCGTCCCTCCGGCGCGTTGAGGAGCTCGTGACTTACACGTCAACGGGGGTGAGGCCACCGTGAGTGACTGAGCAGCAGACCGCGCCAGCGAAGGCCTTGGAAGAGTGAGTGTTTGCCATTGAAACATTGGTAGACCGACTTACGAATCTGCTGTAGAGGTCAATGCCTGAAAGAGCTTTGGGCGCAGGAGCAGTTCCGGGCAGAGCTGCACCGACCTGTTGCGACGCGGCAGCCATTGTGAATGAGCGGAGAGGAAGAATCTAGAACTAAATGAAATCTAGACGGACGCGATGCAGAACCGAAAGAGATGGATGATCAGACGACGATGCCCTGAATGTTTTTTCTGAGAATAAAGGGACACGATGTGTTTCTGGGATTGAAGATCTGCGAAAATGAATCGGACGGCAACCAAAAAAAATACCGCAGCTTGAACCGATCCTCCGGAAGGCCAATCATATGCTCACGTGGGAGCCACCTCCCAACCACTTTCGGCAACAACAGCTGGGAGCTCCTGCAAGGCTACGGGGGATCCTGGTGCGACGCTATTTATCCGGCGAACGTGGGAGCCACTTCGAGTCCGAAAGCGACTCGCAAGACTATCACAAAACATAGTCCTATCGGTCGACACAAGCGGTGCTCTCCTATACCTCTTAAGATCTATCAGCACACCGGAAGCTAAAGGTGTGAAACCGGCAATGTCCATGGAGTCGGCGCAGAACAACCTTTTCCCGGTTGCAGGTTTGCATGCGCCCCCGTCTTCTAGAGTGTCGAAATGGCTACAGCGATAGCAGGCCATGGTCGCTCGTCTTTGGTGAGAAGTCGGGTTTCAAATAAGAATACATTCGGAACCAATAATCTTACAATGCTCGACCTTCCACCTCCTTTCGTTATGCACTCAATCGTCAATCTCCACTCAATTGTCAAGGCGCCGAGCACAATAAAAGTGTCGACCTCTATACGCCAATCCACGGCGAATCTTCTTGCCTTCAACGATCGTGTCAGATGTTGTTGCTGATAAAGGAGGCTTCGACGGATTTGTCGGCCCATCTAGCGCCTCGGAAAGCTCTCGGCGATCCAGCAATGCCTATACTTGAGGTAGCCGCTCCTGAGAGTTCTGGCGAGGCATAGGCAATATTTGCTGGTGGCTCACTCGTCGACAGCGGTGCGAGCGGAGACGGGTTGGTGGCGAAGAATGTAGGATCAGCAACCATAACGGGTGGAGTTCCAGCGGTAGTGGTAGGCCCTTGTGATACTGCTGACGGGAGCTGAAGGCTTGCTTTGGTGAATGCCCCAGTGCAACTCGCTGAGCGGCTTGTATGTGACGCAGGAGGACTGTCGACAGGCACCACCATGGAAGGCGTCCTCGACGTGATTCCGAGATCCATGGCCGGTTGGTTTGTGGTTGCCCGCGTAACAGAGCCCGCTGCTCCAACATTGGGGAGTCTGAAAGGCCCTAGGCTGGTTGAGTCCGCCTGCATAGGTTGAGACCTAGAGGGACTGCTGGTTGTTGCCGGAGTCTCGTTTGTGCTAGCTAGGCCGGCATACATACCACTACCGGTGGTTGAAGTTGCTGACGTGGACAGAGGCCCGAAGGGTGTGGTCGACGTTGTGTGGAGTGCGAATGGGGCACTGCTCCTTGAACTCAATCTGGAATTGTTGCTCGGTGTCGTGGAGGGCAGAGATAGGATTGTTGTCGTTGCACTGGTGCCCGAGGATGGGGCCAAGGTTTCACTGGTAGCTATTGGACTGTTCGTCATGTTGCCTCCGATAGAAGCAATGCCGTGGGAGATGGATGACGCGGATACAACAGATGGGTCGTCTGATGATAGCTGGGCACTAGGGCCCGATGGCGGTTGGGTTGGAGACAAGATCAGAGAATTGGTGGTGGACCGCGTGGAGGTTGCCTTAGAAGTCGTGGCTGGGGAGAAGGTCGCAGACGACGAGGGCATTAATCGGGTACTTTCTCCAATTGGTGGTTGGGTCAGAGTGGAATTTAGAGGTGCGTCGAAGCTTGCAGTGGACGTTCTCCTGATAGTCGTTGAGCTGGTGGACGGTAAAGCAGGCACGGAGGTAGCCGGGACAGTGGAGGGATTTGAAGGCCTCGAAGTGGTCATGATTGATACCCTGTCGCCACCAGATATCGGCGCATTGGCGCTCCTTAGCGTCCCGGCCCGAGAGATCGACGTGTCTGCAGTTGTTTCGCGGCCGGGACTTGATGACGATCTAGAGCTAGATGTCGAGGTTGTCGAGGGTAGTATGTTCATGCGTATGGTTTTGGGATCTGCAGGAGAGTCAGCACTCAAGCTAATGGGCAATGACATTCCAATCACCAGATGCAATGAATACCACATTCAAAGTGATGCTTAGGCAACTAAATGGTGGGGAACTACCGAAAGTGATGAAGATTTGCCCTTGTTGATTTGTGCAAAAGCCGCCACTGTACATTTGCAGCGACAAAATACCATTGAGGTCGATTATCCATCTCGCGGAGTTGGCTGGAATAGTGGAAGTGAACGACAGAGCTTGATATGACTGGCTGAAGTCGGCAGGAACATAGGCCAAGTCAGAACGCAAGAGACCATCAGGATCAATGAAGAATTGAGCTGCCGACTCGCCAACATCCACAAGAACATGAGTCCGGCCGAGAACGCCACGTATTGAAGAGATCGCCTCCAGATTCCTAGTGGGGAGCTTGTGGTAATCCAAAATCCGTCCGTCCCGGCAGCAGGAATTGCTGTGCCTGCTGGTGTGCTAGTTGCTGGAGCCGAGAGAGCTGAGCTCGAGGTTTTCACGTCAGCGAGCTGAGTGACTGAGCTGCTCGTAAAAGTCAGTCCGCCGGAGGCAATGGCGGCTATCATACTCGATGAAGTTGTGGCGGCAATGGTCGTCGATGAAGACGTGGAGGAGGAGCTCGTAGTTGGCCCGGTTGAAGTGACGATGGGAGTAAAGCTGGGATAGCTTGAAGTACTGTATAATGTCGTCTCTCCTGACGGATTCTTCCCACGTTTAATGTTGAAGTACAAAGCATGGACAGGAAAACGCTCGTGGACATTGTTTTTTCGAGACTGCAGCAGCCAGGCATTGCCGGTCTTTCAGGCGTTCTGGTATATTCGGGATAGGTCATCGCATGTTGTGTAGATCCGGATATCATCCTGTGTTCCACGTTGAGCTTGTCTTCGCCATTGCATGTTCTGTTCATGCTTGGTATTCCATGCGAACCTCAGGGCAAAATGCCCGCGCACTCAGCAACGAAGCCTAAGGATGGAATCTATGTCGTCTTTCCACAAAGCTGAGGTATAGTTCCAGTGAAATAGCAGAGAGAGTCGGGTTCTAGCCAGCATCCCCGGCCGCCAACGCAGTTCGATTCACAGTCCTGGGTAGGTACCTACTGAGCACCAGACTAATTGGGGTTTGTCGAGGTTGAGGGAAGCTTACAGGCGGAGATCCCGGAAGCCCAAGCCCAACTGCGACATAACCAAACTAATCCGATTGTTTGCTAGCCTACCCCATATTTACAACTTGGGCTGGTCGCGTCCATCGCTGATATCACAGAGCACAAAACCAGGGCCGCTGGACTGTTTTGCGCACACATTGGGACGATGGAGTGGTAGGGGTGGCTCGAAGACGTGCGGCCTTCGTCTTCCGAAGTCAAGGACTGCGAAATATATTTGCACTCCTTTCCTTCACCTTCAGACACCTATTTCTTCTGCACTTCAAGCGTGTCGTCGTGCAGAGTCTCCTGTCGTGGGACGTCAGTGTTGAAGGTGCATCTTCCCTGCCATCATTGCTCCTATCAAGGTCCTCTCACACCGTGTTGCCACCATGGCCGACAACGTTGTGCAACCTTCCGCGGCTCTCAAGACTATGGAGAGGGAGTACAAGAGCAAAGCTGTCGAAATGACAGCTCTTTTTGAGGTTTCCCATTCTCTCCTCTCCGAGATGACGGACGGCAGGCTGACCTTAGCAGAACCTCTTGAAGCTCCTCTCCGAGAAAGAAGTCGAGTGTGAAGATCTCAAGTACGATTTGCAAGACCAGACCGAGTCGAGACGCCATTGGCACAAGAGAGCAGCGGACGCTGAAGGTCGCATCGTACGTTGGTCCGAATTCACGGTTGCGAAGTCGTGCACTGACCATCGGTCCAGGCAAGCGTTCAGCACGTCCTCGTCCTCGTTGATGGAAACCAGACATTTTTCAAGCCGGGTCTCATTCTTGCTGGCCCACGAGGCGTAAGAGGAGCAGTTGAGACACTGATTGCGGAGGCCAAAACGTGCGCTCGAGCGCAACACAAGAATGACCTGTCCGACAACCTTTCAGCAATAGTGCACATCTTTGTCGATGTTGGAAGACTCGCGCATGACCTCTCAACTGCCAATTTGTTGCCGGAACCAGACCAGCTGTGGACTTTCATCCAAGATGCAAGCAAACTTGAGCCAGGCATTACGATTTCAGACTGTGGCTCAGGTCAAGGCGCTGTTGATGCAAAGATGAAGCGTGAGTATTGTCCTAGATATCCATGTGATCCCACTGACTAGAGGGTAGATTTCTACGAGCTGTATCTGGAAAATTGTCACTGCCGCCATCTTTTCCTTGCACTCGGACGCGAAGCCGACTACTATAACGTCCTGTCCACTTACGCTGACGACGAGTTCACGAGGTTGAAGACTTCTTTGATCAAACCGTCTCTAGGATTGCCCGATAAATACATCCTTCCCTTTGATACGGTCGACTTCTCTTGCTTGGAAAGTGTACGCCGACAGACAATCTCCTTCAATGACACTGTGCCGAAGGTCAATGGAATGCCAGCAGCCGTCTCACGTTCTGCATTTGCCCAAGTTCCCTCTGTGTCTCCCTTCGATGGAAATGCTCGGGCTGCTCCTCGAGCTTCCCTGACCGCCACAGTCCCTGAGTCCATCGCAACGCCTCCAGCTGGTCCTCGAGGTCCCGTGGCCCGAGTTGATGTTTATGGTGCAACCCCGCGTGTGAACGGCACACCTCCAGCCACATCTGGTCGACCGGCGTCTCCCTACGCACAATCACCAGCGCCAGGCTCATCTAGTTCACCAATCGGACAAGCAGCTCCATCAACTTTCGACCCTGGTCCGCCCAGTACGATGGTCCAGGCTCCAGAAGAAGCTCTAACTACTCGTCATGCTTCTCCTGCTTTCGTCGCACAGACTTCTTCTGCGCCGGCTACGGTGCAAACCCAGGCACCAGTTTCAGAAGATGCTATCAAAGAGTACGGCGATGCCAATGGCAACGTTGATAAAGTGGAAGACGTGAGTTCTGCCGCAGTTGTCAAGCTTAATACCTCTTCACATTCTTCAAGCCAATCCAAAAAGTCAGCGGAGCAAAGCTGGGAGAGTGCTACAGTCAATGATTATGCCCCTGCACCCAACCCGGTTCCATGGACAATGGAGGAGCCCATGGCTCAACCAGCGTCGCACGAGTTTAACGAGCCACAGACATACTCGAGGAAGAACAACAACAACTTCCCTCGGCGACAGCCGAGAGAAGGGGCTGGCGGCGGCGGGGGCGGTGGCAGTGGCGGTGGCGGTGGCGGAAGGCAAGACCGTTTCAATGGAGGTCAGCAGTCCGGTAGACGTCTACCGAGACAGTTCAAAGGGTCATATGATGATATGATGTCTACGCAAGGTTCGTCAGCATCACCGAGACCAGCAACTACGTCGATGTCATCATTGGCTATGTCCAAGTCGACTGACTTTGCCAACTCTTTTACACGACAGGACGTGACAAAGCCTGAGCCAAACCCTCAGGCACGCCCCGTGTTAGCCCCCGTTGCGCTGAACACACTGAACCAGCGAATTGATCTCAAACTGCCCAGACCAGCTCCAGCCGACGAGGAAGCTTTCAAACTACGAACGAATAACCGACACTTGTGCAATGAACACCATATGCGGGGACAATGCAGCAATATCAATTGCACCTACGACCACGAGGAAATATCGGACGGTGTGTATTTGGCATTGAGGAACACGGCTCGCCTCAGCCCCTGCAACCAGGGATCCCGTTGTCGTCAACACGATTGCTACTTGGGGCACCACTGTCCGAACGTCTCGAGAATTTCGGCTTGTGGGAGACCCAATTGTCCTTTCAAAGCCAGGAATTTGCATGACATTTTCGATTTGACGATCGTTGAAATGATTGAGCCGTCGAAGAAGGAAGAGCTACCAGTCGAAGACTTGATTTGATCCCAAAGGACCGAACTCGGCGAGGACAAGAGATGATGGAGTGGGAGTGGGGAACGCCCTTGGCAAGCATTATCATGCTAGGTCTGTACGCATGACTGCGCACGTCGGTACCACCGGTTGGGCTCTGTGCGGACGAAGGATGGGACAGAAGAATCCAGGTTGGTCTTCCAAAATCCTGTCGTTTGTCTTGTACCATAGTGCTGCATTTCGGAGAAGCCAGCTGCTCGAAGCGAGGTCTCCCGGATCTCAGATAAAAATCGTTTTCACTTTCAGTGTCTTGGTTCCGCGTGACCTCTTCTCGAGGCTGTAGGGAGTTACGGAATGTGCAACCGTTAACCAGCATCCGAGGCCTGATTAGCCTGAAACCACAATGTCAGCCGAACCGTAGCCTAGAACTTCGAAGGAGCTGACAAACCTGGTACCTTTCTTGCTAAGTGCCGACAGTGCGTCGGCGCGCGAAATGTTATCCTGCAAAAGCGGTCAGGCTGCGTCGAGGTCGTTTTCCACGAGGTTCTGAATTCTGAAGCCACAAAAGAGCTCAAAGCTGCAGACATAGGCCCACCCGAACCGGAGTACCATTGCCCGTGTCTCCCGTCAAAGATCGCTTCGCCACGAATAAACAGTGACAAGCCGTCACGACTTTTGGAATAGCAGAATAACAAGACAGGGGCAAGACTCCTCGTCCATCTCATCCATCCCTCTCCATCTTGTCTTCGTCGCGATCTCTCCTCCTGTCTCTGTCCCGGCTCCGGCTACGGCTCCTGCTCTTACTCTTGCTTCGGCTTCGACTTCTTCCACCCCTTCCTCCTGCGCCGCGTCCCTTGATCGCCATGCCGCCGCCACGGCCACCCTTATCCTTGGGTGGTGGCCGAACGAAAGCGTAGTCCACCGAGATGGTTTGATCGAGCAGTTTCGCGCCGTTCAGGGCTTTGATGGCAGCCTGGGCCTCGACTTGGGTAGGATACTCAATCAGGACGTAGCCCTAGACGTGGTCAATCCTTCGGTCGTGTTGCACAGATACTTCTGGTGATCGCTCCGTACCTTGACGTAGCCCGTCCTCCGGTCCAGATTCAGATGCAAGTTCTTGATGTCGCCGTACTCGGCGAATAAATCGTGAATATCCTCCTCCGTCGCTTCTTCGTGGATGTTCGTCGCGATCACAATCCACCCTTCGATACTTCTCACCGCGACCGCATTTTGAATGGTGCGCGCCTCGGTGCCGGCGTTGGCCGGTTTCTTGGTGTCTGTGGGAGACGAAGTGCCATCCATGGGGTCTGCAGACGCAGGAGGGGCTGGGTCGACTTCCATGTCCGTAGACATGGTGGAGCGATATAGGCAAGCACCGTTGAAAAGAAAGAGAGGGAATGAGATGTGCGCAGTGTCAGTGAACTTCGAGGTTGGAGTGCCAGCAGCCTTCCTCTCGAACGTGGTCACTCGGCCTCGTTGGGTTTCAGGCCCAGGCCTCTCGAGCAGGCATAAAGATAGCCGAACTTTACCCGGGCCCTGGATTTTAGCAATGCACAATTGTCACGTGTCCAGACCTCCTTCTACTTCAACAGTCATTCACTTCTATACATCTCCACCTACCCTGTCAATGTTGAAAACCCAGGCGGACTGGCCGTTCAGCATACTCTTAAACCGATGGGCCTGGTGCTCGTGGAGACTCCGCTGGGTTGTGGCGAAGGCGACAGACACTCTTCCCGAAGGAGAACCGGAGGGAAATGGAAGGGGACTAGCAAGGTGACTCGAAGGAGTAGATAATTGGACATGTGGGCCAGAATATCTAACGCCCATATTTTCCTGTAACGAATAGAGCCTGAGCTGAAAACATCGTGTGGCTGAGAGCAGAGTGAAGACGAAGCAACGTCAAAACCTCCACAACCGCTTTCCATGCTCTGGTCATTGACCCTTCAAGCCAGCAGGCGGACGTTTTGCAGAGTGTACTCATTTTGAGATCTGACTCGATTTTGATCTTGCATGTTCTAGGTGTACGTGAGAAAGCTCAGGAACCAGACAGCACCACATGCCTCCATTATTCCCTATCGCCATTAGTCGTCACTTTGGTCCACGTCTCGCTTCTCAGCACCTGGTGACACTGGCATTGGCGGACAAGCACCACACAACGAAAGAAGTTCCGCTCGGCCAGTCTAGTGAAGTCCACTGCGACTCCACATCCTATCATGGCGACTCGGAGCTGCACTGGGAGCAACCATACCTGATGGATCCTTTCGCGTCAAAGCTGAACTCAATATCCAAGCAAGATGATTTCTCCTAGAAGAAGAGGTAAGCGATCAGGAAGCTGAGCAGACACAATCCAGCAACGATCTGAAGTGGGACGCCTGATTCCTGGCTTTGCTGAACAACTGTTTGCACCTTCTCGTTCGCCTCTTGCACTTTTCTCTGCCGGACCTGAGGATCTTGGAGCTGGTTTGTCAATTTCTGGATCTGAGCTTTTGCGGCTGCTAGTTGCTCCTTCATTTCGTCGCCTGATGTCGGTACGGCGCTGGCAACGACAGAGGGAATGTTGGTCACACCAGTGGTTTCGGCGGCGTTGGCCAAGGACGACTTTGCGGTCTCGGCGGTAGAAGCAGCGTTCGAGGGCTGTCGGGCAGGCGTATCGAACTGAGGGGATGGTGAGGAGTATGCAGGCGGCTGCTCCTCGTGAGATGATGACAGTCCGTTAGGGGTCGCCGCAGCAGCAGGGAGGAAATTGACGCGAATCTTGCGCTCTTGAATGGTATTCTTGGCCGTCTTTTCCACGGTTTGCCAGAGCGTTGTCACGTTGGGGTCTTGGTCGGGCGAAGTGAGGACAGATTGAACAAGGAATTTATCCCGGCATTTGGCGTCCAAAGGCGGCTCTTCTTTCATTGCTTGTAGGAGTACTGGGTTTGTTAGTCGTGAAGCGGGGGCATTTTGATTTGCCTGGGTCGCACCTTGAACCTCGACGGATTCATTTGGCTGGATCATGCCCGAGTTAGGGCGCACGCAGTATCTGTCGGCGTTAGAAAGATGGTGGTCGACTACGAGGGTATGCGCAAGGCTCACTGCTTGGGCGCTGTGGTCTTGACCTATTTGCAATGATTAGCATGCGAGTTGCCAAGGGAGATCGAATCGTACTTTGAAAGCGACAGGTTGACTGTTGCTATTGGTGAGCTTGAGGGTTTCAGTGACCTCGTGGTTGAAGGGGCCTGCTCAACTGTCAGTGTTGGCCATGGTAGCGATCGTAGCGATACTGACGTCGAAAGCCCAGTTCAGCTGGCTGAAGGTCGACAGACATGTTGAAGTGTCGATTGTAAGAGGGTGCGCAAGTCAGGGCGATCGACCCGATAGGAACGTGACAGGGGGAATAGGTAGTCTGAAATACTCGTACAGCAAAGGGCCGTTACTTGATGTTCAAGATGATAGAAATGTAAACGGGTTGTTCAGCAAGGTGATTTGAATCTGGGAAAGGGTATGACGAGCGAGTGGTGCGCAGTGACAGCAACGGCAAGTGGCTGGTGACCTTAAAAGGCTGGCAGTACGAGTTGCGGCACACAGTTAACTCACTCGGCGGTTAAGGGGGCCGTCACTTCCCACGCAGGGGCAGCCCGCTTGGCGAAACGATGACGCTAATTGAGCCCTGCGGCCGCTACAGTACGAGGCCATCCGAACATCTGTCCCGCAACGCATCACGCACTCCCCGCAGCCTGTTTGTCCACGTTATTGCTGCCTCGAAAAGCCTCAGAGAACAGCCACTCGAATATCACCGCAACGCCTCTGACTGGTTTCGTCAACGCTCTCGCCACGTACCAGATATACCCTTGCTGAATCCATCTCCCCAGCTCTTGCGGGTTGTCCCTCAATCTACCCATACTGCTCATACTCCAATTGCGAATTCCGATACTGATACCGCACGCCTAAGCGGTGAAAGCTACGATGGCAACTACAGATCTTGATCAGCTGCTCATGATGGGCTTCGACAAAGAGCGGAGCGAGATGGCGCTGAAGAGCAGCGGAAATCGTAAGACAACCGCCTGCCTCTCCACTTCTCGCATTCTAACATTCTGCAGTAGCCGACGCGATTGACTGGTTAGACGCCAACTCATCGAAATCAATCGAAGAAATCAAGGCCGACAAGGAGTCGGCAGCCCAGGTCAAAGCCGTGGAAGAGGCCGAACAAGCGAAGAGTCTGGTCTGCAACGAGTGTGGGAAGAAGTTCAGAGGGACCGCCCAAGCAGAATTCCACGCATCGAAATCCGGCCATACCGACTTTGCAGAGTCTACTGAGGAGATCGCTCCCTTGACGGAAGAAGAAAAGGCGGCGAAACTGGCTGATCTCAGAGAGAAGCTAGCAGCGAAACGGGCCGCCCAGTCAGAGCAGGACAAGATCGACCAGAAGCGGAACGAACAGATCAATCGCAAAAAGACCAAGGAGACGGAAGACCTCAAGGAGCAACTGAGGATCAAGGAACAACTGAAGGAGGCCGAAAAGAAAAAGCAAGAAAAACAACGAGAGATCGAAGCCAAGAAGCGGATACAGGCAAAGATTGCAGCTGACAAGGAGGAGCGCAGACTGAAGGCTGAGCGAGAAAAGGCCGAACGGGCTGGACAGGCCCTTCCGGTCCAAGCAGCATCCGTTCCCGTTGCGGCTCCGACACAGTCCAAGCCTGCTTCAGAGTACAAGGAGACGCGTCTGAGACTGCAAACGGCAAGCGGCAACATCATGAAGACCTTCCCAGTCGAGACGACGCTGTTCGAGGTCGCCGCGGCGGTAGGAGAGGAGATTGGGAGGGATGTTGAGAGTTTTACACAGACCTTCCCTCGTAAGGTGTTTGGTCAGGACTTCTTCGGAGAGAGCTTGAAGGACCTGAAGTTGGTGCCGAGCGCCAGCCTGATCGTCAAGTAGGTCTGATCTTGTTTGCCTCGCATACTCTTTGGTGGCCAAAATTCTTTCATGGCGAAGGCGTCGGGGTTTGCGGGCCTCGTGCTGGGCTGACGATGAATTGAAAGGGAATACCCATTGCCCTGGTAGGTCTCGAGATACTGATGACATCCAGTAGATAGACAGAGACAGGTGAAGTATCTTCCAGCCAAACTAGAGACTGGCCTCAAAGGAAATGCTTAGCCAGCTCTCACTCTGCCCTTCCCCGTGGAATACCTCTTCATCCTCACCCATTGCCCTCCCCCACTTTCTCCTTCCTAAACACAAATAGCGCGTCGTCCTTTCCTGCAAAACTCGGTAGCGGCACCTGCGCGACCTTGCGCCATCCCTGCCTCTCCCTGCTCATGTACTCGTCGACCATCATGTCCTTGAACCCGGTGTACCCATTCCCATTCTGCGTACCCGCCACGCAAATCACATCGCCCGCGTACGCGTCGAGGACCCGCCGGGTAAAGTCACCGCCCACGATAGGGTAGACCAGCAACAACACCACATCGGTACACCCGGAGTGTTTGCGCAGGTATTGCAACCCATCCGTGACGACCGTGTCTGCGATCCAGGTCGTCCGCCAGCGAGACTGTCCACTGTCGACCGCCACCGTCTGAACCCCAAGCCGACGGAGCATCAGCGTCCAGTATCCGTTGCCGCTGCCCATGTCCAGCACGCTGCGACCGCCGGCGGATTTCGAGATGATCTGCAGGGATTCCCATGACGGCACGACGCAGCCAAAGTGGTGCATGTACACTGGCAAGATGTGGTGCGAGGTCTTGACAAGGGCAGTCTGGGCGTTGGGGCCCACGTACTCTAGGGCCATGCAGGAATATGCCCAAAAGTCGAGAGACGGGTTTTCGTGGACCTTGGCGGTAGCTGAAGGCTTGTACTTTGGGACAGCTATTGACGGGTCGAGATGGCGTTTGCTCTGAAGATACTCTGCGACTGTAGCTCGGAGTGATCCTTTCTTTGCATTCGCGGCCAATGATTTCAAACTGTTCGCAGCAGCTTTTGTCGGGTCAAATAGCGCAATATATGCTTGGATATCACTTGCAGGCGGGTAACCCGCCGTCCGTAGCCCTGGTTGACCTGCAACGGTTGCCTTCACGTCCTGGCCCTTAGTATGCGCCTCAGCGGGCTCGACATACCAATCATGTAAGCCATTTACTCTTCCGGCACGGATGGCCGCCTCCGCCTGGGCAAGATTGACGCTCGCCGTGGCATGATATGTGAAGCTATCACCTTGAGGCAATTCAAAGGCTGAGGCTATCGCTGCTCGAAATTCATCTGCTTTTAGGTGTGAGTGGACTGCATTCCAAGTCTCCGGACTGGAATTGTCGAAGAGATGGGACGGTGCCCAAGTTTTGGAACCGTCTGTGACAGCTGGGGGAGACGGCGCCATCTGCTATCCCGCTACGCCACGAGTCACCGATGTGGCAAGTTTCCTCACACGGACTAGACTGTACGAGTAGCGGACGTCGGGAGTTGTGGAAAGCAAGGGAGAGCCAGACTGTTGCGGAGCAGAAATCGATCAGAATGACGACACTTGGCGGTCATACAAGGCTACAAGGCTGCAGAGCAAGGGGTTGATATCGATGACAGTTGTGCCATTTCAGCTCATCAACCACTGGCAAGCCGCTTCCTGGCATTCTCCTTCTCCCGGATTACCAGCTCACACATAGATTCGGTCGTTGAACTTCCCGAACTTCTCTCTTCCCGGCGCATCCTTCTTTACAAAGATACTGACACTGCATGACCCGACAGAAAACATTCCAAAGCCATCATCTCCGATGTGTACCTCCCCAGACTCCCAGCCCATGATGTCGGTCCAGACCTCGCCTTTGTGTTCAGTTCCGACATACATCCGAATCTCTCCCATTTCTGCATTGGACAGTACGACGGCACAGCCATTCGGCCTATCCCAGGTCCCTCTTCTGACCCATCCAATCAAATTGGGTCTGTCCATGTAGTCATTGAGTTCTCCATAGGCGTAGAGCTTTCGAGCCAAGACCATGTCGGGGATCTTCCCCCCGGCTGACGGACCTCTCCAGTCGTTCGGAACACCGCCTTTGATGCCATAAATGTTGCCATAGAAGAGACACGGGTAGCCGTCAATCCGCAGAAGGATAAACGCATGAGCAAGAGGAATGAACCAATCCGCGACATCAATCTGAAGCGCCTGACTGGGTTGCGTGTCATGGTTCATGACGAGCGTGACGCTGTTCCACGGTTCGACTTGCGTGAGTGTGCCGTCCCAGACGCTGCGGAGGTCGGCTCGTTCGGTCATTGAGACACGATGAAAGGACTCGACCAATGGCGCGTCAAACAAGGTGAATTTATGGTGCATTTTGTCCAGATATGCCGTGAGTGAGTCTCGTGAGGTTTTCCAGAATTCGCCGACGCAGAAAGTGTCTCGTCCGAGCTGCTTATCCAGGTTTTGGACAAATTCGAGAAGAAATCCCTCCGAGTAGTGCTGCACATGTCAGCAACGACCGGTACATCGAGACAAGAGACTTGCCTTGATGGCGTCAAAGCGGAATCCGTCAAGCCCCAACTCCTTCGCCACCCATGGACCCCAGTTCTTAACGTCGGACCGCACTTCGGGATGCGCATAATCCACTATCGGTCCAGGAAGTCAGCGTTTGCAAAAGCAGGGACTGAAATTTCCGTCTAGTTGACGTTGCTACGATGAAGGTATCTCAACAGCAATAGGATGAAGCAGGATGACATACAGTCAGCAAACATGAGGAAGTCTGAACCGGTTAGCAGAAATTGTTCGCCGGAGCTCTTGTGTACCCACCATAATTGCCTCGTTCGTTGTCCACGTCAGTTGCGAAATGCTTGTTCTCTCCCAGGATCCTGTAGACGGCAGTCTCTTGGGTTCTTTGATCGTAATCTGTCGCGGAGAAATGGTACCAATGGTATTTCTGGTTGCTGTACTTGTCTCCTCTTGCCTCGAAGTCGAAACCTACCCAGGCATCAATGTCGTAGGGTCCCGAGATATCATGAGTGCGGTCTGTGCTTGTCAGTGTTGCACCGAGTGTTTGTTCCACTCTTCCTACCGTTCGGGTCGACCTTGACAACTTTGGTGGTCTCCCAATTGTCTGCGCCAGCCTTGTGGTTTAAGACAGCATCAAAGTATAGCCCGATCCCGAGGTCGTTCGTCTTCTTACAGACCTCAAACAGCTCTTCCTTTGTACCCCATTTTGTTCCGACAGATCCCTTTGCGTTGAACTCTCCTAGGTCGTACAGGTCGTAGATATCGTAACCGTTCCCCTCGGGCGTCGAGGCTTTACAAGCAGGAGGTATCCAGATGTTGTCGATACCAATCTTCTTCAACTCCGGCAGAGCGCGAAGCAGGCGTTGCCAGTGCTGGTGGTCGGCCGGGACATACCACTCAAAGAACTGGAGCATCGTGTAGTTCTCAGGAGTGGGTTTGCGCTCATCGTCAGCTCTGGCTTCAAAGACCCCTAGACATGTTGGTCAGCAGCAGGCAGGTTGTCACGCGGAGAATAGGCTGCGTCTACGAGCCTCTCAAGGGCTGGAGTACCTGGGAACTTCTTGCTAACACCAAATTTGCCCGCTACACGTTTGAAGAAGGCTTGACGCTTGTCAAAGCCGTGAGACGCCATGATGGCGATGCGGAAGAATGGTAAGCGGTGTGCAAGAAGTTCCCAAAGGGTGGGAGCAGCAGCTTTCACAGCTTATCAACTCAAGCGGAAGGCGAGATGCATGGTAGCAAGTCGAGGGCTGAGCTGAAAGTCCAACAGCACAGCTGAGTCCGATGGCGATTGCCATGTGAGGATATGCATGAGTTCGCGACAAGCTTCGGCGGAAGGTCACTCGAACACGAGCTTGCATTGTCTGCACCACCCACCACACGCATCGCACGGTATTTGGGCCCAGGTGAAGATGGTCTGCGGTTAAATGAGGATTCGTTGCTGCCGTGACTTCAACAAAGCCTCGGCCAGATCTGCACGATTATGACGTGGCGGCGGGAAAAGCAACTTTCACACTGCCCTGAAGGCTAGCTCAAACCCCCGTCTCGGTTGAGGCTGAAGCGGCCCCTCGTTGTTTGTCCACTCATCGTCGTAGCTTACTATGAAGCAGTGAGGGTGGCTGAAAATGTTCCCGCACATCAACATGAATCGATGCTGAACAGTCAATTCGATGCAGGGTCAGGGACTCGAGCTACTTGACTGGAAGCGGTCGGAATCCGTCAAAAGAGCGTGTCACTAAAGATACAGCACAGATGAACACCAGCACGAACCCGATGACATGCCCAAATATCCGTGCTTTTATTCACCAACCAGTTCGCCAAGGTCAATTCCCACCGCTGGTGCTCCTGCTCAATCGCTTTGCCATCTTCTTCTTCTGATTCTTGGACAATTTGCGATTCCCACCTTCAGGCACCTCCGTCACAACCGCCTTCACATTGCCCTTGGCCGCCATGGTTCCATTCACCTGGGGTATCGCCACAGGGTTCTCCCGGTCACTTGACAGCGACTCCGGGTACAGTGATTCCTCCTCCGCAAGGGACCCTGCCCGGACTCCATTGGCGTGAGGTGTTTCTGTGCCGTCTGCGTCCTCAAGTACTTCCTCTGCGTCCTCTGACTCGACGTGACCATTCATGCGGACACCATTAGCCTCTTCGACTGCTTCCGAATTGCCGTCGACCTTTACAGGCTTTGCCTCTTCAACAGGGACCCCTTCGATCGGTATTTCCCCGACTGGTGGTTCTGCAACTGCAGGCTCTGTCTCCGACTCTGGCTCTGGCATTGACTCCTCAAGTATCGGCTCTGGCTCTGGCAGTCGCTCGTCAAATATTGGCTCTGGCTCTGGCTCTGGCAGTCGCTCGTCAAATGTTGGCTCTGGTTCTGGCTCCGGCATTGGCTCCTCAAATATTGGCTCTGGTTCTGATACGGCCTCTGGCGCTCCAATTCCTGGCTCCTCGACAGCTACTTCTGCCGCATTCTCTGGTTGTGATGGCAGTTCGTGCTCCGACTTCTCAAATTCCTGCCCGACGCTCTCCTCCCAATCCGGATAGCAATCGGCTTCGGCAAAGGGACACCCATCACAAAGACCCTCTTGCCGTTTGATGCCGTCATGGTTGTGGAACCGGCACACTCCTGACAAGTAGTCTTGACGAGCCCACTCTTTGTCCCCAGCCCTGAGATAATCCCAGCCAAGGTCGCGATTATTTCTGAATGTGCTTTCCCATTCTTCGCCCGCGATGACCGAGCGCGAGAGCTGCCCCAACGCAGACCTAACCACTTCCCGTAGCGGGCTGTTGGGTTCCGTGGCCTGGTAGACAGCGTCCACAATGGCCGCTTGCAATTGCCATTCGCCACTGGCAAGATTCTCCCGCACTTTGTCCGTGACTTGGTTGCTGAGCGCGGAGATTTGGTATTCCCAGGCGAAAATACCAAGATGGACGACTTCCGGGAAACTCAGGCGGTCTTCGAGATGCGGGTCGGGTCGATTACTCCAGATGAAGAACTCCGTCAAGGTTTGCACAGAAGTGTCGGGCAGGGAGATCTCCTTCTCATCGTGCAACGCGATCCGTTTCCGGAAAGTTCGTGAGCGACGTCGGAGAAGCTCCCGAGGAAACAGAATCGATCCCTCGCTTGATGTCGTATCTTCACCACTGACCAACTCGATCCGGGGGCTCTGACACCACCTAGATATTTGTTAGTGACAATCGGTGCGGAAGCGATTATGTGGTGGGATACTTGCCAGACGTATAGCCGGCGGTGATGAGGATCCATTCTTCACAGAGAGCCGTGCTGGGCATGAAAGTGAGCAGGCCGTGGAGAGACAGAAAGAAGTCCAGTATTGAGGTGGTAAGAGAAATACCTTGAGTCTCACGACATCCCCTCTAGAGCCTCGACATTGGCACGCCCAGACTTACCGCAAGAAGCCGGGGAAATGTGTTGGAAGAGCGTGACTGGCCAAAGAAGTGAGGCTGCGTCCTTTGTGCTTGACCATGCAGCGACATGCTTGTTTGTGATTGACTGACTCTCCAGCCATTGCCCAATACCAGCTGTCCGAACAGCTTCTGGTGTCCGAGTACATCCCAGACATTTGCCCAAACAGCCCGGGATTGTGCTTACCATCGGCATTGGCCACAACTCCCTTCAGCCCCAAGCCCTCTCGTGGACATGACAATGATTTCGCAAGTGCAGGGAAGCAGGGGCGGGCAGCGGAGCAGCCAACCCTCCCTTTTATCACACGGGAGCTGCAGCCTCGACCGGTAGTGAGGTGGCAGATTCGTGCATGGCAATATCTCCCAATCAGCATGGAGACCCTCCCCAAGCTCGACACGGGACGGGCAGGGCGACGCTGATATGATGATGGACACAGTGAAATCCAGTGGTTGAAATTGGGAAGGCTCCATTCGGCGACACGCACTCAAACATACGGGAGTCCGACTCTTCTAGAAGCCGTTGTATGGGCGATTCTGCTCGTGGCCGCAGTAGATGCTCTATCGATCCTGGGACATGCCGTCGAAATAAGGAGGGACTGGTGCCATCCCCCGCAATGCCTTGCGTAGGCGCCTGCAAACACAAATCGCGACGAGGCTAGGCCTTGATACCAGTCGATGCACTCAACGAGCTGCAGCTGTAATTGACTGCTTTGCAGATCGGGTGCTGACGTCGGCAGGGTGTGACAACTGACTGATGCCCCCGCAGACTCCATGTCGCCTGCTGGGTGTTAGTCATGCATGCACGGCGTGGCACCTTTCGCTTCCTTCCTGCCCGGCGCAAGCCATCATATCTGCAGCTCAGATACCAAAGGAGTTAGAAAGCGAGCGCGCATACGCTCGAGCTTCTGCACGTCGCAAACTGGGTACATGACAGGTGAGGATGAAATCTGTTGAAAGGTCCGATCTCGCCGGAGTGGTGCCCAACCTGGGGCTGCTGCATCACAGGAAGCGGTATTCTCTGCAGCTTTAGCATTCCATTGGACGTTTGACAAGATCGTGCCCAATGCTTCTTACACGTTCGCAATCAATCAAAGATTGCGACACCTGTATGATGGCGAAATAGCTGCAGATTGAGCCGGTCCAGTAGGACGGTAAATAAGCCAGTTGTGTCGACCCCGAGGATCATCTGTAGCGCCTATGACTGAAAGTGGAATATATACAACGTGGCTACATGAGCGCCTGCAACGATATCTCTTGTCCAAATGGCAAATGAAAGGGGCTCGGGATTTTCGTGCCATCCACGAGCTTCTGATCACAAGCATCGGTAAGGAGCCAGATGAACCAGTTTCTGAGCGGGATCACCTTCAACCTCCTCCTCTCCACGGTGTGGTGCAAGTGGTATGGAATAGCCAAGGGAAACCTACAAAACACGGGAGAGATCCGACTTGTCGAAGGCCACGGTTGCACGATGCTCAAGATTGGATATGACGCCGAGCATATCGACGGCAAGATTGTCCTCTGCTTCAAAAGGCCTGTGCTCCGTGGTTCCAAGCACAGAACGATCGGTGGCGATGCCAGGGAGTCCGGTACTGACGCTTGGTATCGCTCCTGTGCAGAAGCCGAACTCTAGCTGCTTCCCCGAATTGTGATCGAGGCCAGGACTATCTACTTCAAGCACTCTCGGCCAAGAACTGAGCAAAAATGCCAGATTGTGAACCGCGCATCCTGCGAGCCTTTGGAGTGGACAATGGCACTGATGAACTTGTCGTCGTTGGCTCAGGTAGGCAGTCGATCCGCTGGGGCGTCGCGTCACCGTGAAGCGGGTGCGGTGTTGAGACAATGGCTTCATCGTACCGGTCGGTTTGATGGAAGAACCGCAGGAAAGGAGATATTCAGAAGGGAAGGGGACGCAAACATGTGGATCTGCCTCTGCGGCCGAGCTGGTGAGGTCGCTAGCGAGTCGAAAACAGGTCCAGCGTTGTAAGTCTTACTTGTCTTTCTCGCACAAACTCTCCGATATGCTCTGCCGTAACCTTCCGAGGCACAGGAGGCAGCCCGTCATGTTCATGTTCGAGGTTCAAGGAGTCACAGCGGAGAGCGGAGACGATGTTCTGTATGGGGTGCGAATAGGGGTACTTTGAAACGGGTGCAGCCTGAGACAGCCGGACGGAGGTCTGAATGTGACGTGTACATTTGGTTGTAGGTAAAGCGGAAGATACCTAGGTAGACGGCACAGTATCAGACAGTCGACTGCTACCGCGGACAGAGATTAGTGGGAGCGTCAGGTTCGGTGTCAATCCAGCAGGCACCTGCCCGTCACGCCCGTACCTCGCGCGCGACGGGGCAGGCACGTGTGGACAAGCACATGACATCATAGCCTCGGTCCCAACTGGCGACGCGACAGGAACCCCAGAGTTTCAACTAATTACACAGAAACCGCAATCATACCTAGACAGAGGGCATCCTAGGTATCATCGTACTCATAGAAGAACGGACCTATTGTTCCGAGGCATTCTCGCGTCACCCTTCGGCCGCTTCGACTTGTATGTATGTACCACGAAGCACTTCCTTAAGCCAGGCGTGGAGAGAGAGAGACAGACCTTTAAGGAAAAGCCTAGGGTGAAGTGGAGGTTCCCCCGGCCTCGTTAGTTCGAGACCCGCTTTGACGAGCCTTTGCCCTCGGGTGTTCGAAGCCTCGGTCTCCGCACCATGATCCCCGACAGGGTACTTACATCCTGACTCTGCAGCACCATGTCAGGATCACTTGTCGTCAATAACTCATGAGGCCTCGTGAACATTGAGTAAGGATTCGACGTGTCATGTCCTAGCCATGGAGGCAGCCACGCCAAAGACGACCAAATCTCGCCGGCGAGAACCCGACGACAGCCGAGTGGAGAGGAAGCGGATTCAGGACCGACTGGCTCAGCGAGCCACGCGGGAAAGGACCAAGAATAGGATCGCGTATCTTGAACAGAGACTAAGCAGCCTTGAAGCCGGCGATAAGCACGGCGAAATCACAAACTTGACGCGCATCATCGACAACCTGCGCAACGACAACAACCGCCTCCGAAATGCCTTGGTCAAAATGCGGACGGTCATCGATCAGGCGGTGCTTCTCACGGAGGATCAGGTTGAAGGCCTACCAGCCGCCAAGGCCTGTGGTTGCAGCCCGCATGCCAAATGTATGTGTCAGCAATCGACCTTTGCTGCGAGTCCTTCGGCCACCGTCGAGGAGCCAGCCACGGCATTTCGACACGATTCGGTGTCATCAACGGGCACGTCGGAGGTAATCGAGGTGGTCAATGGCACTAATGTTGCCCTTGATCCTGGCATTGAAGTGCCTGATGAAGTACAAGCGGAGACCCTGCACGAATTCCTCGACTTCAGTCCGAATACGCTGCTGGAAATGTTTGAATTCGGTCCTCCCTCCGGCTACAACGGCTGGCAGTCGCCAGCGCCTTCCCCATTCGACTATCGTTTCCCGGCCTCGTACGACGCGGTCAAGGTTGCACCAGACCTCGAGAAATGGGAGGTCTCCAATGGCGCCTTTATTAACTGTCTGAACTGCGTCAAGAGACGGACCGCAACCACATCCACACTCGACATGCACGTGCCGTTCAAAGCGGTGATATGGGGTTGGGATAATGTCGGCCCAGAAGCCAATCATCCCATCTGGAGCTCGCTGAGACAGGTCGATCAGCGCGTGTTCGGCACATGGACTTCCAAAGCGCAGAGGATCGCTCTCATGTATGGTATGTGCTTGCAAAGCGGGGAAAGCGTTGCCATGGAGTCGAGATGCTCACAAGACTACAGTCTGCCAGACGCTGATCCAGTGGCGAGAAGATCCCACAAAGGAAAACCTGGATAGAGTGCCAGTCTTCCTTCGGCCGAGGCCTTCCCAGGAGAAAATTCAGCATCCTGCAGTGATTGACTTCCTCATATGGTGCGTCAGCCCTGGATCCCCGTGGTGATTGGACGCTGACCCGACAGGCCTGGTCTGCGTGACCGACTCGTCTTCGAATACCAGAAGTACACCTCGACGGGTGACTTCTCCGCAGCATTTGTCGAGAACTTCAATTTCTACTGGCCTTATCCCGATAGGGATATCTTTGCATACAACCAGGTGCAGAATCGTTATGAAGTAGGTCTTCTTCCGAGAAGCAGCATCGGCCGCTGCCTCTCTGATACCGTCTTACCGTGCTAATGGCATTGTAGGTGTCCAAGACATTCCTGGAGTACGCGTACAACTTCAAAAACTGGACTATGCGGCCCGGGTTTTTCAAGAAATTCCCCGAAATGCAACACGATATTGCCGCGTTCGAAGCGGGCTCAATGGAGTGTCCGAAAGCGAGCTGGTCGTTATAAGCGACCCCGTCACCACAGAAGTCTGTTGACGGGCTATTCGTGCGCTCCGGGATCTTCGGCAAGCAGATCAAAAACGTCCAAAGTGGAAGAACACCACGGAAAGAACAGGGCGTGACTGTGATTGCGGGCTTCGTGATGTCCAGCTCATACACGTGCACAGCTACCGATTGGGCTGAGAGCCGCGAAGCACACTACTCCGTCCTCTCGTTGATGGTGAAACCCCTGAACAAGCCATTAGCAGTAACCTCAGACGAGGCCCAGATACGACGCACCCATCAATGACAAGATTGTGTCCCACAACGAGGCTCATCCGAGGCGTACTGAGAAGCACCACCACGTCACCAACTTCCTCAAAAGTCGCCTTCCGGCCTTGTCTCTTCTCATGCACCTCCCATTGCTTCATCCCTTCGTCTGACCCATATTTTCCCATAAAGGGGTCAAGCAGCTTGGTGAGCAGAAACCCGGGCGACACGGCGTTCACACGAATGTCATGGCCGCGGGCTTCAAGGGCGGCCTAACACAGCAATCAGTTGCGGGAAGAACGACGGAGTTTTCGGGGTCTTCTGGCATACGGCTTTCGTAAGGCCCGCGACAGCATGCTTGGCTGCCGTGTATCCCGTGGTCCCCGCACCGGCTTGGATCGAGTCTACGCTGTTTGTCAGCGCGATCCATCCAGATCGAAACCTCGATGATGGAGACTCAGATGCCACGGTCTCTAAGTTGAAAGTGCAGGAAGACTCACTGACGGAGGCGCAATTGACAATCGACCCTCGCTGAGGCGGCCGGCCCTCCTCACTGATGAAATCCAATTAGTGCTGCATGGGTCATACAGGCATCCTCTTTCTCACACTTCGACGGAATCCTGCTGCCTCATCTGTCTCAACTGGTGCTTGTTGCACAACCAAACGCCTGTTGTGTTGACTTCCATGACTTGCCTGAAAGCAGCGGCATCCATATCCCAGGTTGGCAATGTACTACCAAAAATGCCAGCGAAGTTCCTGCTTGGGCGTCAGAAGCCCGTTCCTTTCATGGCGGTTAGGAACGGTAAGGGCAAAGAGGGAACTGACGCTGCGTAATCGATTCTACCGAACTCCTTGACTGCTTCATTCACTGCTCGCTCCACGTCCTCTTCCTTGGTCACGTCTGCTCGTATACACAAGACCTGTTGATCGCAGTGAGATTAATGTTATAGTGACGATTTCAGGCCGTACCTTTGCCCCATACTTTTCGACGGCCTTCTTGCCTTCTTCGAACGTGGCATCGTCCTGAATGTCGACCAAGCATACACCTCGCGCGCCCTCCTTTGCGAACGATACGCCAATTGCGTTTCCTAGCCCTCGTGCACCGCCCGTGATGAAGGCCACGCCTGGGGTAACTGGCCCAGACCGGAAGACCATTCTGCTGACAACAGGAAGGAAGGAGATCAAGACCAAGCCGCAGCTAGCAGGCAAAAGCTCTGTTATGTTATCTTGTGGTTTGTGAGAGTCAGCGCAATGCTACCGAGGATATGAGCTGCTGTCCTTGCCGCTTGCGAGAGACGTCTCCAGGCCTCTCATATGGTCCTCGTTCGGATATCTCACCTTAGCCCGCTCCCCTTCTCCAACGGAGTCCGACTGCGCCTCATGGGGTCTGCAGCCTCGCGGCCTCTTTCTCATTCTCCGCCCCACATTTTCCCCATAACTGCTGTTCGCTTGATTTCCCCGCAACTAGTCGATTGCCGACTCGTACGATGGGTGGAGGAGGGTAGTGAAGAGCAGAGAGAAGGCATCCCGTCCTTGCCCCTAGCCCTCCTAGATGAGTTGATTGATTGGTACTCGGCAGAGAGTACAGTGGGCACCCCTTGGAACGGAGCTCGAATGAGCCGCGTGGCACAGGTGGAGGGGCTTGACTGCTTGACTTTGTTGAATGGATCGTGGGGAAAGTCCGTTATATCTTGTCTCGAGTTGCATGTTGTCCCGGGCTCGACAAGTCATTTTGTGTGTATTCAACGCTAGTCTTTCGAAATGGTTCGCGAACCTGGTTATTCTGTGGAGCCTCAATGGCACTCTCAGCGACGAAAGATCAGAGTGATCTGCGTTGGCGCCGGCGCGGCGGGTTTGTTGGTGGCATACAAGCTGAAAAAGAGCTTCAAGGATTATGAACTGGTCTGCTACGAGAAGTTAGTCCTTGTCGGCCGCTAAGTGCAGTCATAGCATACTGATCATCGAGGTAGAAATCCGGGCGTCGGTGGAACGTGGTTTGAGAATCGATATCCCGGGTGCGCTTGTGATATTCCTGCGCACTCGTACACATATTCATTTGAGCCGAATCCGAACTGGTCGACGTTCTATGCATACGCCCCCGAGATCAAAAAGTACTTCGAGGACTTTGCAACCAAATACGAACTCCACCCGTTCATCAAGCTCAACTCCCGAGTTCAGTCGGCGTCCTGGGTAGAAGAGAAAGGCATTTGTGAGTAGATGTGAACTAGCCTTAAAACTCCAGGAACTGACTTTTCGTAGACGAGGTCGAAGCTGATGTAGAAGGCCAAAAGGTCGACGACTGGTGCCACGTCTTCATCAATGGGACTGGATTCCTCAACGACTGGAAATGTGGACTCTGACGCTCTGATGGGATGCACAGGATGCTGATGTTGTGACAGGGCCCAAGATCGAGGGATTGCGTGATTTTCAGGGCACGCTGCTCCACAGCGCAGACTGGGATACTTGTAAGTCTGGCGCCCCATCCGTACACTGGTACTGACAAGTTCCCAGCGGTTGACTACGCGGATAAGAAGGTGGCGGTGATCGGGACAGGGTCATCGGCGATTCAGATTATTCCGCAGGTACAAAAGAAGGCCAAAAAGGTAACAGCGTTCATGCGATCGGTGACGTGGATCTCGCCGGCTGTTGGAGGCAACATCCTAGAGGAAGACAAGAAGCACTCGCCAGACGAGTCCCAAAAGGAGAATTCGCAGGCGCAATATTGGTATACCGAAGAGGAGAAGAGGACTTTCCGCGAAGATCGGCAAGCACTGTTCGATTACCGATACAAGCTCGAGTCGGAATTCAATGCTCGATTCGACCTCTTTATCGCAGGGTCGGAGACGTCGAAAATGGCAGAAAAATTCATTCGGGACGAAATGAATCGTCGCATCGGACCTGGCCATGAGGAGCTAAAGGAGAAACTGATTCCTAAATGGGCGCCCGGCTGTAGGTTTGGCTGTTAGGCTCGTGAGATCCGTCGTTGACAATTTTGTGCAGGCCGAAGATTGACACCGGGTGACGGTTACCTGGAAGCGCTTGTCAAAGATAGTCAGTGCTCAAACTGTACCACAGAATGCAGCTGACAACGATACAGATGTCGAGCCAGTCCACAATGAGATCACGAAGATTACGTCGACCGGACTTGTTGATGACACCGGCAGGCTCCACGAGGTCGACATTCTCGTCTGTGCCACAGGTTTCAATCTCGCCTTCGCGCCGCGTTTCAAGGTGCTAGGGGTTGGTGGGGTCAACATGGCAGACGAGTTCAACCCCGAACCCCATGTTTATCTGGCCGTCACAGTGCCCAAATTCCCCAACTATTTCGTGATCAACGGCGTCCGCGGCAACTGGGCGAATGGGTCCGCTCTTCCTTCGCATGAGGTGCAGGTCGAGTACATATTGCAATGTGTTAAGCGGATGCAAGAGGAGGGAATTCGAGCATTGGAAGTAAAGATGGAGCCGGTAAAGCAGCTGTACGAGCATATCGACGCATGGCACCTTGGCAGCGTCTGGAACCTTGACTGCAAGAGGTACTCCTGAACCCACCTTGTGAGGAACCCGAGGCTGACTTGCAGTAGCTGGTACAAGAATAACATTCCGGGTGGGAAGTTATGGATTTGGGCAGGCTCGGTAAGTCGCAGGATCCGTCCGAGGTGCACCGCAATCTGACTGATGGCAGAACCTCCACTACATGAAGACCATGAAGGTTGTCCGCTGGGAGCACTATAACTTCCGATACTTCAACAGCAATATGTGGTCATTCCTGGGGAATGGTCGCGTCGAAGCTGAGATCATGAAGGACAGTTCGAGGCTAGCACCATACACCAGGCAGGAGGACGTACCTTGGACGATCGATTAGGGGGATGACCAGGCCCTTGAACACTCATTCTGCTTGTTTTCCTCTTTCGTGTAGGCTAGAGTCAGTGCGGGATTAGCAGTACATATACAGTAGAGGTTCCATGAATCGGTACCTTTCCAACCAACGTCTGAAAGGTAGTCCGGCCTCATCCCGCTTCGTTCATTGGCTGCTGCGTGTCATCATTGAGTTGACGGTGGGGGAGGGTTTCTAAGCGCGCACCTCGGTCGGGGCTGAACCGGCATATTCTCCAGCCGGAGACACGGCCTGTGCTCGTTGGCCTTCACGGGTACATATCCCTGAGACCCCTCCACAGCATTGACGAGCCCGTGTAGAGGACTTCGCGCTATTTTGACACAATGAAAGCTGCCAGGTTCCACGGGCGAAGAGATATCAAAGTTGACGAGGTTGAGCCGCCACAGATCAGAGACGGACAGGCTTTGATCGAGATCGAATGGTGTGGGATATGTGGCTCGGACCTGCACGAATACCTGGTCGGTAGGTCGGGCTTCCAACGACTGTCATCGAGTGTATATCTGATTTACGAACAGGGCCGCGGGTCATTCCAACGAAAGAGCGCCCACATCCTTTGACTGGGGCGGTCTTGCCTGTCACCGTGGGACACGAGTTCTGTGGTCGGGTCAGTAAAGTTGCGCCAAACAGCAAGCTGGAGGTCGGCCAGCCTGTGATGGTCGATCCACGCGTATTTTGCTCGAACTGCCACGCCTGCAATAGCAGCGACACAAATATCTGCGAAGGATGGGGCTTTCTGGGGTATAATTCAAACGATGGAGGAGGCTACTCCGAATATGTTGCAGTCAAGGAGGAACTCTGCCACGTTTTGCCTGACTCTGTGCCGTTGTCCGAAGCTGCTTTGATCGAGCCATTGACAGTGGCGATGCATGCGGTGAGGATATCCGGGTTCGATGACTATCGCGGCAAGAACATACTCGTACTTGGTGGCGGTCCTGTTGGTCTTGCCGTCATCTTCGTGTTGAAGGCGTCCGGAGTTGGCAACATCATTGTCAGCGAGCCTACCGTCAGACGGCAAGAGCAGACCGCAAAATTTATCGACGTCGTCCTGAACCCGAGGGAAGTAAAGATCGGAGACAGATGTCGAGAACTGACGGATGGCAAGGGACCCGATATCGTCTTTGACTGTGCTGGGATCATGCCGGGTCTAATGGATGGCATGGATGCTCTCCGGCGAGGGGGGACGTATGTCAACGTCGCCGGCTGGGAGACAGAGGTTCGTGGATGATCCGCGTAAGAGCTCGAGATCTAACCACCAAGCAGTGCATTGTTCCTATGCAACATTTCATGAGGAAGGAGCTCATCTTTCGGGCTTCTATGAGTTACACCGAGTCAGACTTCAAGGGGACGGTCGACGACTACGTTGCAGGTAGAAGTTTTGTTTCTGTCCCTATGTATCACTGCGGCTAACAATTGGCAGGGAAGTTCAAGGGATTCGAGAAATTGGTGACCGCTAGGATTGCGTTGGACGACATTGTACAGAAAGGATTTGAGGAGCTCATCAACCACAAAGACGATCATGTGAAGATCATGGTGACTCCTAAGAGAGAGCTTCTAGTTGGATAATGTAATTACATATGTAACCAGAAGGTGCATTCAGTCACCGAAGCTTCACCTGAGATTTCGTGTCGCGGCTGTGGCGTGGCCTACCACGTGACTGCGGCCCACCGCCCTCAGTCACATAAACCTTTCCACTTCGTCTTACTGGCTGTTGCTGCGAAACGCCCGGTGCTTTTGCCGGTATTGTCCCGCTGCCAAAATTTCCAGATTCGAGCGAACAACTAGTGTGCTCTGCTTGACATGTTATTTCTTGCCTTCTACTACTCCAGACATCCAATGTGAGGGAACCATCAAGTCGAATATTGGGCCTGAATGGACGCCCACGCCCATCTGCTCGCCCTCGGCTGGGCAGGACCCGGTCACTCGCTCGATTCAAAATCGTACAAGCAAAAAGGCCATCGAGGGCTTGCCTACGACCCAGCAAAAGTTGGCAATAACGGCACTGGCCTCGTGAAACCACTCTCCATCTCCCAACGGCAAGGAAGACTCGGGATCGGGAAGAAAGCACATGTGCCTCAGGCAGGCAACGAGTGGTGGTTGAAGGGATTCGAGAGTGCGCTGGGAAATATCGGCAAGAGTGAGAGCGAAAGAAGCAGCGGGACATCAACGCCACTCGCAAGAGAACATGTTGGAAAACATGGCGGCCTATACAATTTCTTCATCAAGGGCCAGCAGATGGAGGGGACGATCGACAAAGTCGAAATACCTGCGCGGTCGTCAAAGAAACGGAAGAGCGATGTGCTGGGGGACGCCACGACAGATGACACTTCCAAGACCCCCAAAGTGAAGGAGGACAAGGTCAACGCAGAGTTCGAACAAGCCGGCGCCTTCTTCGCCCTCCGTGACCAACACGAGAAGCGTCGGGGTGGTACACTTAGCGCAAGCCCTGTTGAAGAGTTTGAGCGAATAAGCGAATACCTCGAAGTGCGGGCGCAGAATCCGAAGAAGAAGAAGAAGAAGCGGAAATCAGAAAAGGCCGAGATTGGAGCCAGCACGCCGCCTCGGACAGACCAAGCACGACGAGAGCAGCCCGAGGTTGTGGAGACGAAAGAGGAAAGACGAGAGCGCCGGCGCCGGCGGATCGAGGAGAAGGAGCAAAAGCGCCAGCAAATCGACCCGAAGACCGAGCCTGACGTAGAAGATGCTGCTGCGAAGGCTGCACGAAAGGCGGAGCGCAAGCGCAGGAAAGCCGAGAAAGTCGCTAAGTCCTCGAATTGATCCATCTCAGCGACGGCTTGTTCAGGTCCTATATGATGCGCCATGGTAATGACAATAGAAGATATGTTTGTGATTATTTTAGGCGCTTCGGAGTCTTGTCTATACAGAGCATCAATGCAAGATCTCGATGAAGCTTCAGGACACAGGTTGGTCGTCCACAGGCCGACCGGGCTTGCCGCTACGCAACCATGGCCTCTGAACCCAAAATTCGTCCCTGATAATATCGATGTGCTCCGTGACAACTTTGGCTTTCCGTCTGGCTTTCCGTATCTTGTCGGCCTGCCTCTTCGAGATCGGGTCTGACGTCGCTGTACCCACGCCCGGGTCATCTGCGGCCATGCCTTCCTTCCCATCTTTCCCTGTGCTCGCTTCGTCCTCTAGAGCGTACTCGCGAAAGACGACCGATCCTTTCCTATACATCTCCGGCTCGTTGTTGTAGTTGACGCCGAACCTTGACCACAGAATCTCGTTCTTGTCACTGGAGACTGTGCCTTTCAAATGCTCTTCGGCGGCAGTTTGCGTCATGCCCCCCTGCTGGACGAGAGCCCAGAATGTCGTGTTGTAGAGGTTGTTGATGTGGCCTGTCACTTCGGTCAACATCACATAGCTCGGCATGATACAGCGTAACAGAGCAGAATCGGATGCCCCACGTGAGATGTTATGGAAAGGAAAATCAGAAGCAATGCAGTCAAGGAAAAGCAACGAACGTACAGTCCACCTGCCTCCAGCTCAAATAATCTCTCAAATTCTCCCAACTGGGGTAGCATACGGCTCGGCCATCGAACGTCGGCAGCATCTCTGTATTTAAGGTCGTACCTTCCGCCTGGCTTCCGGTGGCTGCCTCTTGCGGAAAGCACTCGTTCCACTCAAACACGTAAGCCGCCGTAAAGCTGCTCACGACGGTCGTGACGATCTTGTCTTTCCGCCGGTCGAAGAGCGTCGTATCTCGCTGGAGTACGAAACTGTACTCGTCCGACACACCGTACGCGATAGTGATCTCGGGGATTGCTAAGACGACGTGCGTGGCGGCGCGGTTCATCAAGCGCAACGCCCTCGGGTCATTGGGCTTTCTGAAGCCATAATAGCTGGAGAGTCTGCGTCTCGTTCAGGGCCGGCACATGGAAAGCGAGTGTTAGAGTAGAGCGTGCCCGACCGATGCTCCTGCAAAAGTGTGGACAAACGTACTTGTGAAAGCCTCGTCCATCAATCCTGACGACGATCCATGTGTTTGGCAGCAGGATCTCGTCCCGCTCAAAATTGCGCACGTATTCATACCTAAGCCGGGATTAGATTGATTAGGCGCGAGATGCCATGTACACCGACTTTGAATTGGCCATCTGGAAATTCGTGTTGGGATGTCCGTAGCCAGAACCATGTCATTTTTGGTTGCGAACTCTACACTTTCGGAACTCCCAAATGGGCGCAAAGTGAGTGGTTGTACTGCGTATGGAAAGGATTGTGCAAGGTGAAAACAGGTTGTGAGGCAAATCTGAGTCACTCGGCGTCAGAACACGAATTCAGAGGGCGAAGCTTTCATCACTGTCGAGTTTGATATGCGGAAGAATGCTAGATAGCAACGTGAATCTGAATCACCGACATTCGTCCTCAATTCAAGCTTCAAGCTCATCGTCCCTCTCTTCGCCAATCTCACTCGCCCTTTCACTATTTTCACTAATCTCGCTGGCCGTCAAATCCTCCTTCAACCCCTTCTTGCTTTTACGCATGAAATTCCAGTTGCTCAGACTCGTCCTGCTGGCCTTCTTCTCCTCTGCGGTCGGCGTGGTGGAGATGCTTTCCAGACTCTTTCCAAGATTATCGGTCGAGCCTTGTTCATCCTCGTTGTCACCGTTGGGGGTGGCGGCATCCTTCCTCGAGAACAAGCCGCCACCCTTTTCCTTCCAGCTTCCAAACTTATTGCTGCTGGCCTTGCGCGTAATCTTGGAAATGAATGTCGGCTTTGCTGGAGCGTTCTCGACGGCAAATTGAGCGCTGGTCCCAGACTGGTTCCGGTCAAGCGTCTCAGAGTCCAGGGTGGAGACGGTTGCCGCAAGGGAATTGGTGTCTCTGGACTTCCTGGACTCAGGCGGAGACCCTGCCTCCAGATCGTTCACCCTCTCCTTCGACTCCTTGGGCTTGTTCTTGTCCTTCTCCTTGCTCTTGTCACCCCTCCGGCCAAACAAAGTGGTAAATGACGGAGCGGCTGGATTCAATTTGGGTGTCGAGGACTGTTGAGCTGAGGTGGGACGCGTGCCAATGGGTGCTTGCAGCGGACGAGATGGTTTCCGGTCCGGTTCGATTACTTCCTCCTCGGCATGTGCAAGTGACAGATTGCTCGTAGACCCGTGGACAATCGACGGCCGCCGCGAATGGCTGCGAGAATAGGAATGCAATGAACCCCACTCTGGTGCTAAAGGACTGTTTCGCAGCAGTGATTTGTCGTTCCAGGCGCGGAATTGGCTCTCCATTGACGGCCGCGGCATTTTGTCGAAAGAGTAAGTCGATGCTGGCCGAGGAGAAGAAGTATCCCCTCGAAGACCAGGGTCAAAGGACCCCGACCTGATTGCAAAAGGGTCGTAATTTGCAGAGGGCGTTACCGACTTTCCGAACCCGCCGAAACCGAACGCACGCCTGGTGGCAGCGAACCGAGACACGGCTGTCTCCTTCTCTTCTGCCTCGCTGCTATGCAAAAGTGCCGACCCCGGGAATGCCCAATTGCCCCCATAGCTAAGGCGACGTTTAGGCTCCAGCCTGGGATCGAAACCTTCCACATTTCTTGGAAACGACTGGCTTTGACCGGGTTTAAGCGACCCAAGAATGGGCGTCTGGTCGGCGAGAGTCTTCCCACGTTGTCTGTTCAGACCAAACATGGACGACATAGACGTGTATTTTGGCTTCTTCGGTTGCTGGATGACTTCATACTCCTCGGCCTGTTCTTCAGACTTCTTGTCGGAGCTGGACGACTTCTCATCCACTTCGACTGGTGCCGACGTCTGCATGGGACTCGAGAACGACTGCCCGGACGACGAACCGACACTTGGAGACTCAGTTCGACCGCTGTCCTGGTGCAATACTGGCGATGCAATTTTCGGAAATGGCATAATGCCGGTCTCTGATTTCTCTTTCGGCTCAGGCAGCTCTACTTCGGGAATATCATCAGCAGACTCATCTCCAAGGAGATCTGCCGGCAGGAGCATATCTGCACGAGGACTCATTGGGACCGAAGAAACCGCGTCGAGATCATCATGGGTAGACTGGGGGATCTCTCCAGGCACTGTCAGCGTCATGCCGTTTGAGAAATTAAAGTATCCTTGCACATTCGAGTTTGGCGAAGAAGTCGTGACCGAAGTATAGTGCAGTCCCGGAGGGAACGGCTCAGGCCCTGCGAAGTGACCGCGTGGCGAGGAAATGCTACTTCCAAGCGAACCCGCAGGTCGTGCTCGTCGGACTGGTCTGTTGCCACGCCGAATGGCATCCATATCCAATGGTGCGATAGGCGTGAATGCCATAGTGTTGGCCTTCCGTCCCTCGACTTGCTTGATTTGATCCCGGGTGTACATGACCTGCTGATTGACAAATTGTAACTCAGCCCAAAGGTTGGCATAGGTCTGCTGCATTTGATTGAATCTGGCTCGCCATCTCTCATCACGCTCACGGTCAAGTCGATCGACTTCTCTTGTCTCTTCGGTCTCCTCATCTGTATTCTGCAACTGACGCTCGTCTTCCAGGGCCTTGATCTGAAGTGCTTTGTCCTTGTTGTCGTCCTCGAGTATGGCGACCTCCTTCTGTTCTTCTTCGATCTTCCTACGGAGTTCCCTGATTTCCGCTTGGGTCCGCCGCTCGATGGCGGCTTTTTGCTTCTCGATGCCGGCAATTTCTTCTTTCATGGCAGCGGTCGCTTCTTCCCATCGAGAAATGTCGTCTCGCCGTTTTCTCCGCTCGTTTTCCTTCTGTTGCAGCAAGCGTTCCTTTTTGGTCTTTTCGCTTTGAGCGGTCCGACTGAGAGATTCAGCCTTGTTGACTTGCTTTCGAAGATCACTGGCTTGCTCATCGCGCTCTTTGAGGGCCTGCTTCAGCTCATCTCGGCGTGCTTCCAAAACCCTCATGTTAGCCTCAAAATCTTTATCTTCCTCTTCTATTAGAGCTTCGACCCCGTCGATCTCTTGCTGAATTTTCTGGAATTTTTGCGACAACTCCGCTAGATTCTCGTCCTCCTCGTCCTCTTCGCCTCTGGACCCGTCCTGGCCTTGCGCATCGACGACATACCCCGCCGGCGACGACCTTCGCCCAGTTGTGCCTCTCCTACCCGGAGGTTGTCCCCCGCTCAGATCACGAGCCATTGAGGGCGCAGCTGGGGGAGCGATAAGGGAGGCATTGCGGACAGGTACGCCTTTGACGGTCGGATCAAATTCCGGCGCCTCGATGTCTTCTGGAAGATAGTGGGTGCGGACGTGCAAGGCAGCGCTAGGGGTTTGGAAGGTGCTCGTACTTATGCAGAAGATGCGGACTGCGTACTTGGTACCGGGGCAGAGACCCGAGATGACTGCACCCATCTCGGTCTTCTTCGTAGTCCCAATGAGGGACCCATTGAGTTCGACATGGTGCTCTTGTACGGACGACGATGGTTCTGCATACTTCCAGGACAAATGAATCTCTTGCGAGGAGATTCCTTCGAGAATCAGGACAGGCGCAGGTGGGATGTCGAGGCCGAGTTTCTCGATCAAGATGTCATTCGAGGTAGTAAGAACCTGATACGCACGGTACAGCAGCCTAGCCTGTTAGCCAAAGTCAGTGAGCATTGACATTCACCGGCCGTACCATGCGAAAGCCCCCACGACAAAAACTAGAACGAGCAGCGCCATTCGACCTTTGACGTTGACCCTCGGCGCGAGGTGCTGGTAGGCGTAGGATGCCCAGTCGAGCGACTCCTGGGGCCATCTAGATGAGTCCATCCACGACACAGGTAGGGCAGGCATGCGCTCGAGTATCCTCGCGGAAGTCAGTCATAGAAACGGTGAACAGCCATCCAGACGGTTTCTCAAATGATCGGACGCCCAGTCGAAGTGGGCAGCGCAGAAGTTGGGGAAGCAAAATGCCCACCGCCGCACTGCCGGCTCGCTGCAAACTCGGCGCCTTGGCAGGTTGATACGTACTACATTTATGAACATGTTGCCGGTGACAGATTAGACGAAAGGTTTGCACTATGGTTGGATAATGATGGATCATCAGGCCAGTGGCTGAAGGCAACAAAGATGTCGCTTCTGCAATCTGTGGAGGAACGAGAACAGACGCCACCGGGAAAGTAGGACCGTCCACAATGTCGCACGGTCACAACCTGACGATACACCTCCCAAGTCTCGGAGCTACTACATTAGCATCATGCCATAAGAGTATCATGAGGACCATGGGTGCGAAATCCATCACAACCACATGCTCCTCCGGTCTCATCTCGACTTGCGCACCTTTCTCTTCGCATAGCCGCCTCCGTGATTATCAGCTAGGGACGGGGTGTTGTTCCGGGCACGGTCTTGCCACGTATTTAGAATTAAGGGAGCAGCCTTGACAACCCGTGGACGCTGTCCCATGGCACCTGAGGCTGCTAGTCTGACGGAACGACCAGTCGCATGGCGAGTTTAGTCGATGTTGAGCTCAGAATCGTGAAAAGCTCTCAAATGTTTGTCGAGCCGGAAGAGATCGAAAAACTTGATTCCGCAAGGCTTGTTCGTTCTAAGATCAATCATTTCATAAGTGAACTGATCTGGGTGGGCGGCACGCTGGTGTGCGTTAAGACCAGATCCCTGTCCAACCGCTAGGAAGCAGGGCTCGTTGTCAGCAGGATTTGGCATACGGCAGCGCCATAGGTTGTCCATAGCCATCTCGTTTTGCTGTAGAAGCTTGAGCAGAACCTCGCTATGACAACAAGGGTGGTTTGTGACAGGAACAATAATGCCAGACAGGTTGTGCCACCGGTCGGGTACCGGCATTAAGCTGTTCAGCTTGCACGGGTGTGCTCGGCGAGAGCAGTGACCGTCGGCACTCTGCCCGTGTAGAGTGAGGTGTAAAGCTCTCCCGGCTCCAGTGGCAGCGTCCTTCGGAAGTGAAAATCGACTCTGGCGAAGTAAGAAAGGATGCTGGAGTATAAGCCAGACTGTTGGTGGCGTCGGACTTGGACTCCCAGACACTGTACTCGAGCAGCCTCCCTTGGAGCGGTCCCGTGGATGAAGAAGGGAATGGGAACTCCTCAAACAGGCCGGTGCAGGTGTTGGGTGGGCAAGTGAGTGGGTATGTGTGATTGGGCTCAGTCCAGTCAAGTTCCTTTTCTGTGGTGGGGAATCCGGTCGTCATCATCGGAATGGCTTCGGAAAACCCTTCTTGAGTAGAAGAAGTAGCTTCAGTAGCACCATCCAAGGTAGTTTGAGCCTCCCAGATAGTGCCCACAGTCCAGTCGGGAGGCCATCGGTTGTCGGAAAACTGAGACGTATCTCCAGCTGCTTTACCATCGCGGCCTCCACCACCGCGAATGCCGCTGATGCACGTGAAGATGCCAGTAGTACGTCCGAGACTTCGTAGATCTCGCAGCAGCCTTTCCCTATTGGCGACGGATATGTTGCTTCCTGCGCTGGTTCTTCGCTTGTCCTTCTATGACAGCTCAACATCTCCGTCGGCGTCCTTGTCCTCACTGGGCCCAAACACATCTTCCATGGTTCCCTCGCCTTCGAGGTCCTCATCGTTTTCTCTCTCGTCCATTTGCATGAGATCTTCCGGCTCAGGCCTATGTTGTGCCTCTAGCTCAGCAAGGCTCTCTTCGCCTTCGCTGTCCCATTCGTCCTTTAATCCCCAGCCCACCCCTGTCAGGCAGTATTTCTCATGCGGTAGTCGGACACCGCCCACCAGCGGACCACTCTTATCGCCATCTCTTGTCTGAGCTTGTAGTGATATCCGGTTTCGGTCGTCAGCAAGCTGCTTCAGGAACTCTTTCGGCAGACTTGCTTGGAACTGATAGCCCATCCTTGAGCCGATGGCCATTCGTAGCGCGCCTATACTGATGTCTCCTTCTTCTGTCTTACTTTGATTCTGCTTCGATCCTCGTCCCTTGGCCTGGGCACCTCCGTCGGCTTGGTCGTATGCTTCAGTCTGGATGTACTGGGCGTCACTGAGGACAGAACTAGTGTACCGGTACGCAAAATCCAACAGTTGAAGAGGAACGCGTTGCTGGTAGGCGCTGATGCCGTGCGACGCGAGGAGTAGATGCATTAACCGGTGGTCGCGTGGCCGTCTAGAACTGCCATCATCCGACAGCGAGGTCAAGGGCTGCGAGAGAAGCGCCTCGACTGGAGGTTGTGTTGTAGCCTGTGAGGTCTGTGTCGGTTGAGATGGCTGAGTTGCTGGCTCTGCAGGAGGCGTGAGTGGCCCAGGAGGGTTCGCTGGCGAGCTCATGTCGGCAACAGAGGCAACAGGTCGACACGGGCTTTAATGGGAAGTTGATTTACAGGTCGCCGGATCGCTGCATTTCTTGGCACGACGGCATGTGAGGATGCAGGCGACGGCTCAACAAAGTGATACGGCAGAAGAAATGCAGTTCCCAAGTGCTAATGAAGTGAGCCCAAGGTGAACTCAAGAACCAGATGCAGGCCAAGCGACCAGCAAATCTGGGGAAGGAAGGCCACGCCCAAAAGGGGAAGGCGCGTGTCCCGACAAAATGCCAAATGGTGTCATGCCATGCATCACGCATCACGCCGCGCTTCTCGTCTGACTGACTCCAACGTTGCTTCTCATTCCCTCATCCTTCAACTCTCATCCTTTTTGTATCATAGCAGTCGGTCTTCTTTCCAGGCTTCGTTGCCGCTTCTGCTGTTCGGCGTGACCGGTGCGACACACTGGAGCTCTGATTCGTACTCTTGCGATATTAGCGTTGCCTGGCCGTGGGGTGCTGCTCTCCGTCAGGCTTCCAGCCATTATGTGTTAATCCCGACAACTTCGCCTCGCATATCAGTCTACACCGAACTCAACCGCTGGCGCAATGCAGTACGTTCGGAGCTTAGGGAGCGGCGTCTCCAAAACCTGGAACTCAATCAACCCGGCGACCTTGTCCGGTGCCATCGATGTCATTGTTATCGAGCAGACAGATGGATCGCTAGCATGCTCGCCTTTCCACGTCCGCTTCGGCAAGTTCTCTTTACTACGACCTTCGGATAAGAAAGTTCAATTCAAAGTCAACGGCGTCGTTCAGCCTTATGCCATGAAACTGGGCGACGGAGGTGAAGCTTTCTTTGTCTTCGAGACGTCTAACGACATCCCCGAGGCAATGCAGACCTCTCCACTCATATCTCCTGCGAACAGTCCCCCTATCGATGCGTCTGATAGACCGCCTTCTCCAGGTCTCTCGGAGCCGTCGTACCTGGACATCACTGAGACAGGGAAGGGACGTGACACTCCTCCTGTCCCGATGATTAGACGAGGAGCAACAAATCTCAGTGACTCACGCGAAGCTTCCTCGCTGCCGGATTTCACCACCGACCCCTCTGGGACTCCTTTGGCTGAATCGGTGCTAGCCACCCCGGGTTTGTTGGAACGAGCAGCCTCGGAGGAGCTACTCCCAATTGCCACCCGACAGCAGTTGGATTCTGTTCAAGCTTCCTTCCACGACAACGGCGTTCTCACTCGGCCTCTGTCCAGTCTCGACGGAGCGGCAACTCCAAGAGCGTCCGCAAGCCCACCAGCACTAAGGCCTCAACAAGCTTACGACCGAGCAATGACCCTTTCCAAGAAACTCTCCTCCTCGAACATACGATCTCAAGTCACTGAGTCCGGAGATCTCATGCTTGATATGACGGGCTACAAAACGACTGAGCCCGAGGCCCTGCGAGCTGAGGCTGTAGCTCGGAAGATTCTGTCTGAAGAACTTGAAGGCAACTACGATATTGGTTCTTTGATTGGAACCGACGAACACGGTAACTTATGGATCTACAGCAGTGAAGAGGCCCGGGATGCCGCAGCCAGGAGAACCGCGGCTTATAGCCTGGGGCCGACCACACTTTCGGCAGACAATGCCTCAGACCCCGGATATCACAGCGATAGCGATCGAAGTGCTTCTCCACAGCTTACCGCCAAAAACGCTGGCCACCAGAGAGCACAGTCGGAAGAGCTACCAAGTCCTCGGGCGTCGGGAGACCAGACCCGAAACTTTGCAAAGACCCTGCGTCTGACTAGCGACCAGCTCAAATCTCTCGAGCTCAAGCCCGGCGAAAATACAATGTCCTTTACCGTCAACCGAGCCACTTGTACAGCGTGCATGTATTTGTGGACGGCTGATGTGCCAATTGTTATATCCGATATCGATGGCACAATCACAAAATCAGACGCCCTCGGCCATCTGCTCAACATGGTAGGCAGAGATTGGACCCACGTAGGGGTCGCGAAGCTCTACTCGGACATCGTGGCCAATGGCTACAACATATTCTACCTGACAAGCCGATCTGTTGGCCAAGCCGACACGACGCGGGCATACCTCAACGGGATCGTCCAAGAAGGATGGAAGCTTCCTAAAGGCCCTGTCATCATGAGTCCCGACCGGACCATTGCCGCTTTGCGCCGTGAGATATATCTGAGAAAACCCGAGGTGTTCAAGATGGCTTGTCTACGAGACATCCTCAACCTGTTTCCGGGCAAAACGAATCCGTTCTATGCTGGGTTTGGCAATCGGTTCACGGATGCACTGAGCTATCGGAGTGTCAATATCCCTTCAGCTCGAATCTTTACAATCGACACCAATGGGAAAGTCTCGCTGGATCTTTTGACGCTGAACAAATACCGGAGCAGCTACGTAACGATGCGAGAATTGGTGGACCATTTCTTTCCGCCGATTTCGACGCTGGTCAGAGAGGGAGGCGAAGAGTATACGGACTTTACTTATTGGCGAGACACACCGCAAGACCTGGAAGACTTCACGCCGACAGATTCCGAAGAGGACGAGGACGACGACATGGATGATGACGAGGACGATGCGGAAATTGCATCTGAGAACGGGATGAACGACAGTTTCATCTCGAGGGAGAGCATAGACGACTCGGCGATGAGCGAGTCGGTGCGCGAGTCCATTGAAGTAGACAATGCAGCTGAGCAGCTGGCGGTGTCACGAATAAGCACGACTGACTCAATCGAAGAGCAAGACTTTGCGGACGATTACCTAGGCGATGACGAAGGACGGAGATCCAGGCATTAAACAATCTAACAAGGCAAACAAAAGATAATCCATACAAGAGCATACGCATTGGTGGAGGGAGTTTAGGAAGAGCTCTGAAGGTGCAAATACGGTCCATCCAGCTTGAAGGTCAATTGGGCGAATTTCTGCTGAGATGCTGGGCTATATTGAAGATTGGCAAGACATCGCTAGACGCATCAAGCAAGGGACTTGGGGCATCGTTGTAGGGACGTGCTTGCCGGATTGAAGGTCTCGCGTCTTGATGAATCGACTGTATATACAACCGGAGTCTGGGTGGCGGATTTTCTATAGTCCTGGAAATGATGTCGTCTTCAACCTGGTGAGTGAGATTTTAGAAAAGCTCTTCTCAAAGTTCAAGCAGCAACTTGGCATCGACGTCGCTACAGACCGAATCTAATCTGCCGTATCATTGAGATCCGTAAATTAAAGGGACTCGGGCATTGACGTAGGCACGACGAACGGCCCCTATCGCAAAGCATGCAAGGGAACCGCTGGCGCGGCTACAACCGCCCCTGTTTCAAGAATGGGTTTCGTTCTCCGCGTTCCATCGGCACGGGCTTTGTTTGGGCCTAACAGGGGGTTCACTGGGGTCAGGCGTGGTTTGGTGAAATGAATGCTTCCCGCCGCAGCCAGACCTCACTCATCCTTCACTTGAGTTTACCGCAGACCAAGACCAACTCGACTTGTTTTCTGCCTCGTCTAGCATACCTCACTCTACACAGCAATTGAAAACTTGGACAGACAGTAGATTCTCTGATCGTTCATTCGCCTGCATCAGGCACATTCTTCTACCGAGGTACCGCCGTCCAGACCCTGTCTCCCTGTGGACGGAATACGGAGTACACAAACAAACATACGAGCGAACTACAGCCACCGAGCACCAGGAAGGGAGCCCCCAAGATGTGGCGATCACTACACAAGAGAGCGGACTGCGTCAACAATGACGAGGTCGACACATGCGAAAAGTACACAAGCAAATTCTTGACAACAGGGGTCCCCTTGATCATTGGTCTATGGTGAGTGGCATTTCGTCCAAGACTACCCATACATGCCGCTGCAATGATGGCACGCGCTATCTCCTACGGCGCCTCGAGTGCAGCCCCAGCACCGGCCGCCCTCATCCTGCGCTGTGACTTGGACTGACGTTAATGTATAGCCTGTTCCTCATCCTCGGCATCGTCCTCTTCGTCATTGTGCGCCGCAAGCGCAAGCAGAGCCATGCCCAAGAAGCCGAGAAGAACCGCCACATCGACGACGATATAGGCGATGTCGAACTTGTCATAACGGGGCCCAGAAATCCAGACGCGACCTACAAACAGTGGGAAGCGAGGGGGTCGAGTCCCGGGTTGGAGCCGTTTGAGCACGACTCGATGGTGCCTGGTCGGGACATCTCGCCCGCGAAGCGATAACCATGATGGAGGGAGGCGCCTGTCCTGACTTGTACCATAGGTAGCATGTGCATGAGCATGATGGCGCTCGGAGTTTGGTTGGGATGGCACGTGCTTTGGTGGGATGGTTGATTGAACAATAACAATGATATTCCTGCGTACAATTTTTCCCAATATTCAGAGTGGATGGAGCTCACGCAAAGCTGTCATAATCGACATTGACAAAACTGTCGGTACTCGAATGACTTGGGTATCGTCCGCGCATCTCTCTCGCTCGTGTAAGCTCCACATCACCACGTCCGACTGGGTTCCCAACGATGACAATTTGATCCTTTCGATCTCGTGTGGATGTCTGTGACCGTCCCGAACGCCGCAAGCCAGGGTACAACATCTTGCTCTTGTGTCCGTCCACGACTTTCAACCCAGCAAATCGCTTCCAGGCCAATATTCTTCTGCTCGGCTCCTAGCCCGACTTCTTCTCAAGGAGAGCGAGAATGTCCTTCTCCAACGACTCGGGCTTGGTGATACTCCCCCATCTCTGCACAACCTTGCCGTCCCGGTCGATCAAGAACTTCTCGAAATTCCACTTGATGCGCTTCAATCCCAACAGGCCCGGCTTCTGAGCCTTCATCCACTCCCACACCGGTTCTGCCTTGTTTCCATTGACGTCCGTCTTTCCCAAGACTGGAAAGGTCACACCGTAGTTGAGTTGACAAAACTCCTGAATCTGGTCGTCTGAACCAGGATCTTGGTTTCCAAATTGATTGCAGGGAAACCCGAGGATCACGAATTGGTCAGGGTATTTCTGCGACACCTTCTTCCAGAGCTCTTCGAGACCTTTGAATTGAGGTGTGAAGCCGCATTTTGAGGCGGTGTTGACAGCGAGGATGACCTTGCCTTTGTGCTGCGACAAAGGGTACTCCTGCGCGCGCTTGTCTTTTGGTGTAAATTCGAAGAAGCTCGTTGCTGAAGCCATGGCGGGCTTGGATGAGGAGATATGGGCAACAAATGCGATCGAGCGGGAACGATGCAAGCTGTTTATAAGGGAGCTGGTGGGTTGAGGGGCGAGACGAGCGCGAGAGATGGTAAAGACGGCAGGACGGCGTGGGCTAGGACGACCTGTCGCGCAAGGAGATGTCCGGATGGGTTTGATGCCGATGCTGGTTTGAACTACTGCTGAGGCAAATAACCGCGGATTTAATCCTTGCATGAAACAGCGAAAGAGGATAGTGGTACACTGTTGCACTCAGATCAATCCTGATTCAGAGGTATGTCCGAGGCAATCGAGGACGTGGGTTTGAGAGGTTGGAATATTTAAAGCGATACAGACACGAGCCTTGTATGAGACAACTATAAATTTGAAGTGATTCGATTCCGAGTACTGTGTAATATTTGTGTTGCGAATTTGGTAGAATGGTCCAATTGATACACGTTACAGCGAAGGAGGACCTGGGAGGAGGGAGGGGGGGTTCAGGGCACTGCATCCGAGGCATTCCGAGGTGGTGATGCAATGGTACGCGACGACCATGTGAGGAAGCCCAACTCACTCGGTAACGGAAGGACATTTCTCCGCAAATGGGCACATATGCCGATTCACGAGGCTGCGACATCGGGCCGATCAGGCTCAGCTGCTCCTTGTCTTCCGGCAGGCCAATGACAGCTCACCTCAGCAACCCTGGCAGCATGCATCAGGCGACAGAGCTCCTCCGAGCAATCGAGCGAGCTCAGACAGCCACTGGCTGGGGAACTTGGTTTCTCCGAGAGCGACACCTCATTATTCGTTCCCGCTTCGTGTTCCATCAACTGGCCATCGAAGTGCGGGGGAAGCCAGAATGCCTCACCAGTCATCTTCCACGGTTGACATTCGATGAGATGAGTACAAGCAGCGGGAGCAATTGCTTAGCGGGCATAGATAGGCGACGGTGAGTTTCTCCTCCAGGGCTGACGAGGCAAGCATATAACGTGACAATTGTCCATCTCCCTGTCACGCCTCTGTCTCCTCACTTCAATCGTGTGAGAACGATATACACTGCTCCGTCCGAGCGAGCACCACCGACCTTCGTGTTCGAACCTCTCTTGCGCAATTCAACCACCCCTGCTGTTTCTGTTGGTAGAGCTCCTCAGTCCTCCTCCACCCGCATTGATTGGCTAAGCAACTGCAGCTGGATCGGTGGTGTGTTCATCGTTGGGGCACCTTCGTCGAACTTCAAGTGTTCCAATCCAACGCTTGTCCGAATCTCGTACTTGCCTTCAAAGATGTCGGGTACTTTCACCATGCCCCATGCCCTAACGGGCGGCGCTGGCTACAAGGCGAATCAAACTTACGACGAGTTCTTGCGGAAACACAGCGGGTTCTATCGCCGTCACAGCGCCGCCTCCAGCGCCATGGAGGGAGATCGACGAGCGTCGCAAGCGGCACTTGAAGACAATGCAGCGGCTGCAGCAGAGGCAGTCCAAAACGTGGCGGCCGCCAGCGCAAACCGCCGTGCCAGTGTGACTGTGGCAGAGGGCGGAGCTGCGACTGCGAACGCCAGGAACGGCAGCGTTGCCGTTGCGAGCGATGCCACTAGGAAGGACAGCATCTTCGGTCTCGAGGCAACAGGTGGCCGGAGGATGTCGGAAGAACGCAGGCCAAGCACCTCCCTTGCGAGTGATCTATTGCACAAAATGAAAGGGCACAAGTGAAGGAGTCTGACGTGGTATTAGTGACATGTATCTTTTCGTGGGCTGGAGTCAGGATCAGGTGACTGGCGGTATTGAGCTGGATGTTTCGATCGGCTTTTTCGGCCATTGGAGTGTTGCGTCGGAGAGGAAAATCGCTGTCATGTTCAGTGTGGTAAAACATCTGCTTCGTTTTTGTTTTTCAAGAATCGGCCAGGATCGCATCAACCATGAGAAGCTTCGATGCTCTCCGCAAAGGGCCTGTGCCAGTGGCAGGAATTGTAGCTCTAAAGTGTCGATTTGCTTTGCACATTTCATTAGTCCGCTCTGTGGGCCACCGGCAGATCACCGTTGAGGCAGCACTTCCGAGGACGAGTCCTCCGTACGGAGGTGGACAGGCAGGAATCTTCGAATATCGTTTCCATCCTTGTGCGATCCCGGTTGTGCCACGAGATCTTCTGGGTCCATGTAGAACTCAAAGAGCACCAACTTTCTTATGGGCCACATGTGAAGTGTTGCACTAACACTGTGTAATCCAGTTGCTGGCGGGAGAAACTTATGCAGTCGGTTCATGCGACCGCTCTTGTCACAGATGGTGTCCAGTCGCAGAATATGAACCTCGTCCAAGCCGGAAAACCTGGCTGCTGGGTAAGGAAAGAAAGCCTTGGCGCGGAATCCCAGCGCGCTCTCATTGTAAACAACTGATGCGGCAAGAAGTTCGGCCTCAACGAGCAATAACCGAAACAAGAAGTGATGAATGAAGTTGACTTGGAACGAAGAGCTGCTTTCGCTTTCGAGGACTTGAACTACTGTAACCACGACCTGACCGGAACTGAAAACAGATGCTGCCCTTCGACACATCACACACAGGATCCATATTCTCCAACAACACAAGGCGCAACGGCAAAGGCCGTTGTGCTGTCCATATCAAGAAGGTACATAGCCTATGGGCCGCATCAGAAGCGGACCTGGCTAGTCTTGTCCCAAGAGTACATTGCTGCATGTTGCGGTCCTGTGCCACGCAGACGCACGTCGCTCATGAGCCTTCATCAGACAGGCAGTGGCTCTGCTGGCCGCCATCACCCAAGACGACGCTGTTCCAATATACAGCCCTGTGAAACAAATCTTGTATCCCCAGCTCGAGCACGAATCCGGCCTCATCCTCCACAAAGGCCGAAGCACGGCTTCCTCCACATCGTCTATGATCATTTTATGTGTACCATTCCTCTCTTCCCAGTAGTCGGCGATTTGAAATCGTCAAGACTTCCTCACGCCAGAAAGCAAGCGCTTTTCCGCCATGCAAGATCCGCCATGCGCCAATGCTGCTGTATAATATCGAAACGAGGGATCTGGCCTCCTTTATGATGTATCGATCGTAATAGGGTCTTTCGGGGGAACACTCCAACATCACAGGCACAAACGCCATCGCGACCCTGACCATTGTCATCCTGGCGTGATGGCGCGGCGTTTTCCGGTCGGAGCGGTTACACCAGGCGAGGTGTCTGCAAAGGCATGCTTGATGCTTGGCCCGAGATATCTCGCTCCAGTCTTCTTACAAGACGAGCCGTTGAAGATTCTTTTGTATCAAGATATCCTGGACATCTGCCATGGTCTGCTTGAGAAGATTTGTGTCGGTCGCATTGGTGAAGTGAATGTAAATTTCCCGATGACTGTTTCGATTGATCGATCGGAACTTGTTGGCGAAAAACTGCTTCGAGGCCTCTTCATCGCCGTCCTGACCGGTGTAGTCGGGAAAGTGAGTCGAAAGAGGCGATATTGGGAGTTTCTCCCGGAAAAGGTCGATCTTGTTGAGGAATAGGATGATTGGTTTGTCTTTGAACCACTCGCCATTGACCAATGACTCGAATAGCATCAGAGCCTCGTGCATTTGATTGGCGTTTACATCTTCGACCAGGCATTGGTCGTAACCAGACAGAGCCGCCATGAAGAGGAGGCATTGCACCCCCTCGAAGCAGTGGATCCATTTCTTGCGTTCGGATCTCTGGCCTCCCACATCCATCATGCGGAACGTCAGGTCCCGGAGTTCGAAAACTGTTTCCGTGATGCCGGTCGTCCTGAGTCGAGCATGGAGCATGTCCTGGTCGTTCGGCAGCCAGTCGGGCTCGAACATACGGTTGATGTTCTCAAAATAAAAATTGAGGTTGTCGTGAAGCGCAAATTCGTGTCCCTTGGAAACAGCTTTCTGTACGCCTCCGTCTTTCCATAGCGCAGACATGGCTTCCTTCACTTTCCTGTCTCGAAACGCCTCGTGTGCGTCAACGTCGGCATTGATGTTCTCGAGGTAGTCGGCATATGCTTCGTTTTGTTCTTTCTCGAATTCGATGCCTTCGTCCTGCAGAATCTCGTACAGTACTCGGAACGCGATGACCATGTTGGAAAAGATCACTGCCTTCACCTGGACACGCTCATCGTCCTGAAAGCCACTAGAATGAATGATTCGCATCTGCTTGATGATCGTGGACTTTCCAGATTCGCCCGCGCCTGTGCTTCGTGTCAGTGAATGCGTCGGACCCTCCATGCAGAGATGAAAGCCACATACCCAACAGTAGAATCTTCACTGTCCGAGACTCTTGTTTTCGATCGTTGCGTAACCGACGTTCAATCTTTGCACTCCGCTGCGCAGCCTCCTTTTCACGCACATCGACTTTCGATCCTGTGCAGCCCATCTTAAGAGCGCGACAATAGCCGCAGAAGTACGGATCGGCAACGCAGGCGATTGAGCCCGGCGGTGTGGTATTAGAGGTCGTCTGGCACCGATTCTCAACAGGTTGTTCTCGTCATGCGGCTGCTAGATTGGTGACGACTAGGGAGTGTATCAGGCAGGATTAGACCGTCGTTCAGAAGTGAATATAGTAACTGTCCCCTTGGTCAGAGAATCAATCTGAGTTCAACACGTTCGCATGCGCACCTCGAGACTAGGCACACTGCACGTTTGTGCGCAACGGCAGGTCAGCCGTGATGTTGACAGCCCCCTGCACTCTTTGCACAAAAAAGTATACAAATCCCCCTCAACGCGGCGTGGTCAGGTATTGGCGTGTTGTACAGATAGAGTATGGCAAAGGTGTTGGATTGGGCGCCGAGCAGGTGGAGGGCGTGGTTGAAGCGTGGCACCCAGCGTGGTGAAGGTGCGGTGGAGATGAGAGCTCCGAAGCTTCAGCAATTAAAATCGAGCACCTAAAGACCTCAATGGCCGGGGAGCCACGGGCACGTTTCCATCCGGCCTGGAGGAGCTCGAGGCCAAGGGCCAAAGCAGTTAAGCAGCGCAGGCTTTTTTGGCTGAACGACGAGTAGCAAGCTGAAGACGAAGACACCGTCAAACCGTGGCTGGCAAAGTGGACCTTGGGGGAATTGGAGAAGCGTCGCTAAGGCACCAATCTGGTCTAGAAGAACTCTTAGAACACCTTCCCTCGCAGGGGCTTGCCATGCGACGCAAACTCAGAAGATTGAAAAGGTCAGGGTTTCCCTTGTATCGTTTCGATCGCTTCATCTCGCCCTCCCCAATCCAACGATTTCAGGGGCAACATTCATCTTCTGACACCGGGCCACGTTCTATGTCATAATTTGTGTTTGGTTGCCTTCGATTGATTACCGACTCATGTGTGACCATGTCTTCCGTCAATGATCCATGAACAGACTCGCTACCACCACGGCCAGAATGCACTGGGTGCGACAAGCAAGCCGTACTCTGTCCGACTCGCCTGCGCACAAGTAGCACCCGAGGCGCACCTTCGCTTTTCGAAACCGTCCGGGCGAGATGCAGTCTGAAACTCAGAGACGAGAACATGTCGGTCTTGCATGGGACATTGTCTGAGCTTGGATTAGGCGTCATCAGTGAACGACCAATGCCGGTGCCAGAAACACCGGCGTCGTTAAACAGAAGAGTTCTGAAGTGAACGAGGTGAACAGAGCATCTCGGCTCTGAAGTCAGGCATTCCATCGCAGAGGCTTCGTTGCATTGCTGCTGTCTCTCCCCATTGATGTGCATGGATGTTTGGTCCTGAAACCGCCACATGGTACTATGTATATGTTCCATTCTCATTGCTGTGCACAATCCCTCGCCAAAATGTTGACCGCATAAGGTCAGAAGTCGCAAAATCGACTGGCCCCGAGGAGCCGTTGCGATGCCCGTAGGTCAGATGAATGTGTCTTTCTCCGTCCAAACTGTCTCCCCTAGAACACAGATCGGCATCGACGTTATTTCGTAACAGGGAATCAAGCCGACGACCAGTGTGTTCGTTTTTATGTGATATTCGTTCGCTACAGGCACGAGTGTCTGGGTATAGACCCGACTTGTATCACCTTCCTCGCATCTCAAGCACATATCTTGCGGTCTCGGCTCGTGCTAATTCGGCTGTCTGTGACCGCTGGGATCGGGCGAGGCACAAGACCAAGGGACCAGGCTTTGGATCAGCCTCAGAACAGTACAACTACGAGATAGGAATTCATCGCCAAGAGATCCCAAAACTCCTCGGCGACTTTCGCCCATACCCTGGTGAAGCCGTTGCCTTGGGCCGTGACTCCGATATGATCATCAGCTCTGCATCAACAATGGGGGTATAAGATGAACTACTCCGAATCGTTGGCCTTGTTGTTTCAATCACCTGTCTCCCCTGCAACATGGAGTACCTCGTACTGCTGTACGACATCAAGCCACGTTCTCCTGCAACCATGTTTAGGAAAGATGATCGCCGGGCAGATGATGTTCAACGTCACTGTACTGTTTAGCCGAGATAGTGGGCCAGCCCTAGTCGAAGCCGTTGGTGCTCGAAGTTCATCTTGCGCGTACCTCGTACAGTACGAGGTAACACGTGGTCTCCGGCTTATCTACGGGCTGCGGAAGAACTCCGGGACTCAATTCCCGCTGGGCCAGCAGCGTGGCAGTACTCCGCAACCACCTTACTCTTGCCATTCAACACTTCACTGCTCTTTCTCTAGCAAGGGCCAGACGAAAGAACGCGTCGTTGTAATTGAAAAAGTACAGGTACACAACCCAATTGGTACATTGCTCAGGTACTACTTCCTCGCTCACCGCTGGCGCTGTTGGGTATGGGCCCACCGCAATCTGACAGAGGGGAATCTCAGCTCATCGCAACTTGCTATACAGTATAGAGATTTCTCCTGTTCCGGCTAGATGACAACGATAACGGGGCGGTGGAAACAAATATGCGGGTTGGAGCGCAAAAGCTTAGGCAATGAGCGGCACGGGACTCGTACCAATGCTAGCCTTATGAAGCCCTGCTTTCTCCGTCACTCTTTCCGTGCTTTGTGATTACTTGTATTTGGACTTTAGGTAAAGCGCAATTGGCGATGCGGGTCAGTGGTCACTGGTTGTTGATTTTCCCGCTCCGAAAGTTAGACCTGCCTACGCCAGTAGGAGCGGTGGAAGAAACTCCTCCCTTAGGTCTTTCATCTCCAGCTGACTCAATCAATCCTCGTGATTCCGTACCTGCAGAAGTCACTTGGTCAAGAGTTACCTAAGAAATGCTTCGGAAAGTTGACGAGGACACTACGCTCAACGGGTCTAGTGCAGCTTCCATACTGGGAGTCCTGCAGCAGCAAGGATGAGACACATCTAACGACGTCTTCGCCTTTCCTGTGGTGCCCTAGTGCCGCGCTGTAACAATGCGAAGTTCTGTCAGTGGTTGAGCGCTACGGACTCATAAGGACTGGCACCAGCTTTGGACCGGATGCCCTGAGATGTGGGGCCTTTCTAATTGAGATTTCAATCTCATGCAACGCTCCTCAGCTCCTGTGGGTACGTCTCATTCCGCAGTGCAGGGGGAACATGACGTCGGCTGTGTCCGCGGTGTCAGTCTTGGACCTATCGCCGGGATGTCCGTGATAGGAGTGAGGACGGAGAGATGTTCGTGGTCCTCCGACTCCACAGTCACCGACCACATGGTGTTTCAGCCGATCTAAGGGACCGATACCTATTCAACAGGGTCTGAGGAGGGCACGGGGGTCGAGAGCTTGGAAGGGACTATCACTTTCGTGACGTACGGACCAGAAAGACTGGGCAGGATGCCTTGAAGTCTTGGACGCTTCATGTGCAGATAGGATACGCTATGTCCTGGCTGATGCCCGCAACCATCCGCAAATACAGCGAGATACAGCGAACAATGGCGAATGCGTCCGAGCAGTAGCTGTACAGTAGAAGCCAATGATAGATCGCCTCATGCACCATCAGATACACCACGGGCTCACTTCCCAACATGGCATGTGCCAAGAAGGGTAGCAACCCAGAACCGCAAAGCTCAATCCTGCCCACGACTATTGCTGCTTTTTGAGCTCAGGGAGAGCTGGGAAGGGTCTGCCAGAAGACTTTATCGAGAACTCACCGTTCGTTTGCACCAATTGAGCACATGACTTGTTGAGTTGGAAGGAGCGCCGGGGCAGCGTCAAGACAGCACCGTTTTAGGGGCTTCCGTGGACCCGGGCCGATTGGTCATTGGACGACTCAACCACCAGATTCCCGACTGACAGTGGCAGCAGACGAATCACAATGATTCGCACCCATTACGTTCTGCGGCTTAGTGACCTCGGAAGAGGCATCCGCATTCGACTGGCCCTCGCTATGCACTGTGACGCAGTTGAAGAAACATCCTAGCACTTGCCGCATCGAGAAGTTTGTGGCTTTGACGCTAAGTTAAACCACGTCTGAGAACCCCGCTAACTCATGCATGGAACGAGGTCCAGACACCTGAACGGCTGCGCTTGCGAGCGACCGCGTCTGACGTGGCTTACTAGGGAGCCGACGCACTACACATCAGAGCGGTCAAGACAATTATCAGTCAGCAAGAAATGTATTACATGAGCAGCATCAATTGCATGGGGGGTACTCATGGACGCAGGGATTTCGACCGCTATCGTGTAACGGACTACGTACAGTACTCAGGCCCCGAACAACTTCCGTCAGGCTGGCTGGTCGTCGTGAGCATCACGGATGAGAACAGAGAAATCCCAACAGGTCATGCTCGTGCCTGGCAATCGACCGCACACGAGAAACAAGAAGATCAGTCAGATGAGAACATATCACTCCTATGGCTCTGAATAACTGGTATTTTGATATGGACTGACTTCGAGCTTGTTGATGGATGACAGACCAACAGTCTCGTCGTACTCGTACAAGGCAGGTTTGCGGCTGGCAATCGCCGGCTGTACCTCGTATTCTTTGCGGCAAGCCCAACAAGGTTAAGGGCACCTGCCACAAGAGGAAAGCGGAGATGTTCCAAGCTCCTCTACTAGGCCTGCCTAGTACCACGGTTTGGACCAGTCACAGCTCAGGGAAACTGCTTGGGGATTTTGCTATCATTGCAGAGCTTCACGCTCGCGGACGGCCATGCAGCCCCTTGAGTTGATGACTTTGCTGTTCTGCCAATCAGGCCACCTGGCACCCGCCCACGCGTACGCTGACACGACGGGCTCCTACTGTGCTAGTGGCACCCGCCCGCGGGTGGCCCTCTCCGGGATTGCTGACTTGAAGGCAGGTCTTTAACGTGCTTCCAGATTTCTTGGACACGCTTCCACGGCCAGCGCCAAACCTCTCTGGGTAGTCGGCGAAAGGAGTCCGTTTGGATCAGAGCGCACCTGCCAACGTCAATTGGGCAAAGATCTGTTTTCACCTGCAACCTTTCCCGTCGGTCAACCGACCAGGCTCCCAAGTGACATTTGTCCCAAGCAGGCCGCTACCAGCTACGCCGGGCGCTTTCTGAGCCAGCAGCCAAACACCTTGCAAACGACCAGTTCATGACGCTCGGGCTGGGGACGCAGGGCGTGCTGCCAAATATTGTAGCGCACTTGGACGCATGGGAGAATAATGATCCTCGGATGTTCCACTAGCGCCGCTGCGTCCTGGATAGCCGCAATCAGATCCCCCCAAAGCGAGTTATATCTCATTCGCATTGACCGTCCCTGGACTTCCGCTGCATCTCACATTTGATAAAATACCAAACGCGCCCGACAATTTTCTGTCACAGGCCTTACACACGCGACGCGCTTAATCTACTCTACCACCTGGCTCTCAATATTCGAAAAGAGATAAAAAGCACATCACAGACCACTTCCTGCCTCGAATGACGTCGACCTGGGACCACGATATCAACATGGACTTTGGCTTTGTGAGCTCACCGTCACAATCACCAAGTCAGTCGCTCTTCACCGCCGGTCAATACTTTGACAGCACTTCAGAGGGATCAAGTCCCAACTCACCTCACGTAAGTACCGCCGTGTCGATGCTTGTGGGTCCGTCATTGACTCGCAGGAAGCAAATGAGTCAAATGATGTTCAACCCTGCGTCGATGCAGTACGACATGTATCAGTATGGAAACACAGCGGGCTCCTTCTACCCGACGACACAGACCACCAAGATTCCCGTGGAGTATAACAACGCGGCCACCGTTGATCAGAGTGACCGACGAAGAAGGCGGTCCGGTAGCACCTCGGCCGCCACAACCAAGGACAAGGAATCAATTCCCAACATGCACATGGTAGGTCGACCCAACGCTTCCGCGATCGGCAACGCTTACTGACCGCCAGCAGCGACGAAGAGCTCAAAACCGCGCATCCCAACGGGCTTTTAGAGAACGGAAAGAAAAGCACGTCAAGGGCCTCGAGCGCCAACTAGAAGACCTTCACGAGAAGCACCAAGATCTCCTGCAGTCATATACCCGACAGGCCGATGAAGTGTCTAAGCTCAACGGCAGGATATCGGAGCTGACCGCGGAGCTCAACACTCTAAGGTCGTGTCAGGACCAGTCGTTCAGCGAGATGCTGATGCCCGACAAGTTCGACAAGTTCGACGCCTTCTCAACATCAGACAACATGCTCTACAATGGGCCCGAATGTTACTTTGACAAAAATGCGGTCGACCTCAATTCGGAGTTCGCATTGCATTCATTCGAGGATTCATTGTAGTATACGTTTCTACGATTTGGGCTTGGTTTCGTACCCGGCGTTCGGAGAAGTTTTGAGATACCAACATTTGGAGGCCGGGTTGTCTTCTTCTTGTCGAATGCACTTCAGCGAAAGCGCATAAGGCGCAGCATGGGATGGGACGGGTTTGGCGTCTCGCACGACTAGCGGCTAATGAAAGTATGACGGCAGGTGTCTCAGGGAAAATTCTCAGGCATGAGGAACACTATTAGCGAGAGCCATGACTTCTATAAGGGTTATCAACAATGGGCTTCAGGGAAGAACCTTGTGTGATGTGGTACCCAGTCGACAGAAGGATCAATAGGGTGGGAAATCTAGGTACAATTTGGGAGGCCTGCAGGTCTTGCCGATTGAAAGTACAGAATAGTGGCGTGTACCACGGAGTGATTGGAGAAACCAGCGAGTTTCTCCAGTAACAAGAAATTACCGTGACAATTCATTCACTGGCCACTGTCGCTCCTGCGGACAGCGGGAGACAGACGAAAAGGCAATACGACTCGGTGCAAGTCTAACGTTAAGGCCTTCCTTGAGGACATGCTCATGCCCGGTTTTCCCGACGGCGCAAGTACGTGTCATCGACTGCTTGGTAGGAGAAACTTAAACCTCAGGGCTCTCTCGGCCAGCCGGGCTCAGTCCAGAAACAGCATATACTCTGGCGACTAACACTCGCGATAATGATGCTTGGGACCTTCCATCCCGCGAACACGGGCGTCAACTTGCGAGACTGACTCGACCATGCTTGCCGCCTCGTCCTGCCACACCAGCAGGTGCAACCCTACAATCCCGCAATTGGTTGTAACTGGTCGACCCTGCAGCGCTCTTCAAGCTCCTACGCTCAGGCCTGTCCTCACGCGCGTCCTCTGGCGCCTCAACGATGGACATTAGACTTTGGAAGGTTCTAAGCATCTACGAGGTACGGCTCCGAGCCGATCGCCAAGCTAATTGCCCACCCCAGCTGCCAGCTGCAAACCCTTGGTTCTCAGCCGATTGCCTTATTTGGGTATGCCCTGCACACATTCCCATAGGGCAGCGGTGGTCGCAAAGAAAAGCCTAACTTTGAGAGACCATGAATGGCTGCGTACAAACCAGATTTGCGCAGATAATAGCTGCCCTACTTCACATGTCTGCGCGCACCGCCGGCTCTTTTCCTCTTCTGAGCCCAATATCTCGCACGGTATCGAGGTGGGTGTGCAAGACCATTACCAAGTACGGAGTATAACGGATGGCAATTACCGCTCGGGTTTCTGAAAGTGACGCGGCCAAAGCCTCCCTTATGCCCATGCGCGTGGGATTTGTCGGCGGTAGAATGTGTAATACTCCAGCACCTCGCGATGCGAAGGCGCAACAGCACACCACCCTCGACAGTTCTTCCCCGCGAACGCTCTGAAACCCTTTCAAGCAACGCCGATGGGGAACCACTCATAGTAGTTAGACTCCGAGACCCTTCCCAAGAGCTTCAGACCGTGTCAGCCTGCATCTGCATCTTCCAGTCCGTAGGACAAACCAACCGCTACGGACTCGGACACGACATTGCGTGGGCCATATCATACCCTAGTTGGGGAGAATACGTGAGCTGCCTTCTGTCCCAGAGAGCTGGACCAGGGGTTTCCCTGATTACGACAGGCGTACTCCGTAGACAGGCTGCCATTGTTCCACCCGAGGTTGCGCCATCAAGCTGTCGCCCTACCGTCCGGCTGCCCATAACACTGATTCGTTCACAGCGTCGTATCCCCTAACGATCGGTCAGCCCTGCCCAAGGTGGTATTGCTCTTGGCGTGGCATGGCGTAATATACGAAGAACCGGCAACTGATCATCGACACGACAGCCCGCACGACATCCACTCTTGGTCGTCAATACACCTCGCACACAGAGCTCCATCGAAGTCTAGAACACGTCGTATATTCCTCTACCCTTCTTGCCTGGTTTCCCAGCCACGAATGCCTTGACAAGAATCCGTCTTTACGGATGGGCGACGCATCCAAGACGTGACCGGATGCACCACCCAAGCATCCATCATTGGTCGACGTGGGTTGTAAGTGCGGAAAAGACATAACTATAACACTGCTTGCACTTGATGAACACGAGCTGAGATGCCCCTGGACCCTGGACGTCCGGAGTTGGCAATACTTGTGCGGCAACTGAGTCGTCAGAGCCTGCCAGGACACGCTGCTACCTGCGCGCCCTCTTTCGCAGAACCATATCATTCGGTGCTTTGGCACGTGCCAGCCATGTGCACTCAGTGTCGACATTGCTAGCGTTCCACCGGCATGACCATGACATCATGGCAGTGATGCTCGTAGGTGAGGCTCCTGCAGCAGTCCATGTATTCTGCTCTTGTACTGGACGCAGAAGTGTAGCCTCTTGCGAACACAGCCGAAGTCATCATCAGATAGCGGACCGCCTGATTTGCCGACAAGTATCTGTCAAAGATGAAGATGTCACTGCACAGCCTTTCAGGAGCGATGCACAAGTCTGCTGCGCGCCGGCCTTTCTTACTGCTGTGAGATATCGGTGATCGGATGCATTCTGGTGCTGGTGTTCAAACGGCGCCAGCCGATCATGGGAAGAGCTGAATCAGATCCGGCGAGCGACGTACCGACAGCGTGTCCGTGGAGCTCAGTTTACCCCACCTCGTACAAGGTAGCGCACATGGCTGAGGCTGACGCCACACCGCGAGGCTTGAGGAATGTGGCTCACCTCCGTATCGGGTAAGCAAGTGTAAACATGAGCGGTAGGGCAACACAAACCTTGGAGTCCGCAGTCCTGAAACTCGGCTCACCTGTGCGACGCACCCCGGATGCCTGCGATGAGATCGAGCTTCCCAGCTGATGCGACGTGCAAGGGACTCCGTCCAGGAAAGTCTCGTGACTTTGGCCTCAATTTGACACTCTGAATGAGAGTCGCGTCCCTCCACAAAGGCTCCGTTCATGGCCGCAGCGTCTCATTGAAACTACTGGGCCCATCAGCAATATGAAACATGTCCTCACATTACAGCCTTCGAAGCAGGCTAGCAGACGCCCAAGCCACGTCACTGCGCGCAACACCCAATGCGTCGCCAACCATCCCAAAGACCGGAGCTGGAATCACTAGGAAAACCCGACCACCGGAATACACCCTTCAACTACAGAGGGTCATCGGCACAACGACCAACAGTCCCAGCGGGTTAGCATGTTGTTCTGACACAGACTCCTACGCCTATTGCGCCGGCGCAGTCGCCGTCTTCTCACAGCTCGCCTCCGATGGAACACCCACACATCGATATTACAAAGCTCGACCGACTGCGCCGTCCTTGAATCCTCCTACCTCTTATTATGATAGCTCTCCAGCAAACACCTCGTCGAAGAGGAGGATTAGCACAATTACGCCTCGAAAGCGACTCGATGACTACAACGGTGGTTCGGCGGGTCGAGACTGGTCAGACGAAAACGGCAGCCAGACATGGACCGCAAGAGAACGTATCAAGACTGTTGCTTGCGTAGCGTTAAGTCGCGGTGGGCGGTGGTTAGCCGTGGGAGAGGCAGGGTACAATCCTCGGGTGCTACTCTTCTCCACGGCGGAGGACGCTTCCTGTGAGATACCCGTCTCCATCGTCACCGACCACACTTATGGCCTGCGCTGCGTAGCCTTCAGCCCAGATATGAGGTACCTGGCCACGCTCGGCGACTATAAGGATGGCTTTCTTTTCATATGGTCGTTCAATTCTCGGACGGGCCAATTGACTCTCCATTCCGCGAACAAATGCACCGCCAATATTTGCGACATGACTTTCTGCGGAAATAGCTTGATCACGGTGGGCACGAGATGTGTTCGAATCTGGGGTGTAAATGAGGTGGCGCCGAGACAGTCGCCCACAAGGAAACCTCGATACAAGTCGATGGACACTCAGCCCTCGAGTCCAGGTCCCACGCCATTGGCGGGCCGAAATGTACTTCTAGGCTCCATGGTTGACTGCACGTTCACTTGCACTGTCCCGATCGACGAGAGCACCTTGGTCATCGGAACGGACACCGGATATGTTTGCCTTGTCGACATGGCTCAAAATGTGCTGGAATTGAAGGTGCTCAAGAAACTCGACCTTGCTGTCAGCTCGATTGCCTTTACCCCTCTCTCGAGACAGCTGCTCATGGGCACGTCGCGAGGTGTGCAATGTGAGGACTTTGATGTTCTCTGCAGGGAGACTCCTTCGGCGCTCAGGAGACCGCGGCTGAAAGCCCCACGACTCTCGATTCGCCGTTCACTGGGCCTGCTTCAAGAGACAGAAAAGAGCATAATTGCGATCGGAGGCCTCAGGGGTCATACCATAACCCTGGACAACAATGGCAGCTTGCAGATCCAGAGCAATGGTCCATCAAGCTTGGATGAGCCGTCACCCACGTTTGCGGCTCACAAGAGCGTGATACTCGGTGTGCAGGCCCTTCCTGAGACTGCAGGTCGAGGCGACTTCTTTACATACTCGAAGAATGCTGAGGTCAAGTTCTGGAATACCAATGGTGTTCTGCTGAGGCAAGAGTCTATATCTCTTGATCCCACAGAGTCCGAGGATGACAGTTGTGAAAATGAACTTACGCGGATGCGATATCTCCAAAGCCACGATTCTTTTATTGCTGCGGATCGCTTCGGAGTGCTGAAACTGCTCGACAGTCGCAACTGGGAAGTCAATCACACGGTCCGGGCCCACAGTACGGTCATATCGTGCATTGACATCTTCGATGCTGCTTCACTCGTCGCAACCTGCAGCAGGGACCGGATGGTGCAATTGTTTCACATCAACGGATCTACCTTCTCGCTTATGCAAACGATGGATGATCATGTTGGAGCAGTCAATGAGGTGCTGTTCTCCAACGAAGGTGCGAGGTTACTGTCTTGCTCAGCAGATCGCTCACTGGTGATCCGTGATCGAGTGCTGCGAGAAGAGGGTGGTTCGAAGTCGGTCGCATACCTTACGACCAAAGTCTTAAGCCTCAAGAGCTCTCCTTTGTCGATGGCCATGCTTAACGAGAGCGCCCTCGCGATTTCTACCATGGACCGGTGCGTCACGAGAGTCGATGTCTCGACGGGTACTTTGCTCGATTCGTCAAAGACCGGAGACCCTGACACAAACGACACCGTCTTTCTCAATTCGATGATCACCTTTTCCGGTCAGGACCGCACAGATGGTGCGCAGAAGATGCTCATCGGACACTGCTCGATCGACAAGTCAATTCGACTATACCGTGAGAACATGTCCCTCCTCGTGAGGGAATCTGGCCATACAGAGGGAGTGAGTGATGTAGCACTCCTCGAGCAGTCTGCATCTCGGTCTTTGTTTGTCAGCACAGGACTGGATGGAACAATTCTCATTTGGAACGTCTTGAAGTCTTCATCAGCCACTGCAGGATTCTCGCAGGAGCAGCTTGTCGGGCTGGGACCGGTGAACGAGGAGCACGAGGCGGCTAAAAGAAGTCCTGCTTCGCTCCCACCAATGAGAAAGGTCTTGAGCAAGATTGAGATAGCGGATCTGTCAGGAGCCAATGGTCAACTATCGCCGACTTCGGCCCGTTCATTGTCGCCTGCACGGCTGAAGCGCAAGACATCAAGACTTGCTCTTGCCACTTCGATTGAAGATGTAGACGAGGTACCAACTAGCGACGTGGAGACACGGCCGAGGAGCGCCAGGTCGCCTAAAACACCCAGTCTTGACCCCAGGCGTTCGCCTTCGCCGCCGGTGCGAGCGAAACTAAGAAGCCAACGATCCCGAACTGAGCTCAGCAAGGACCTTGAGCAAAAAGCAGGGGTTACTTCGGAACGATCACCATCCCCACCAGCGATACCATTTCCAGCCACACCCAAGCAGCGGCAAATGGCTAACAATGGCCGATTGCGAAGAGCCCCTTCCGTGCCCTCGGACCTGCGTGCGCAGGCGACAATACAGCATCGTAGGCAGAGCATGAGCCACACATCCGAGTTTGGTAGCCTGGCCATGGCAACAGATCAGGCCGCGCGGATGTTGAAAATCTACAAGAAGAAACTGGTCAACAGCAAGGAATCTGTTGATTTGAACGATCTCGAGTATCAGGTCTCGGGGTTGCTAAAAACCATCAGAGAAAGGAAGGACAGGACGATTCGATTGCAAAAACGGGAGACCGATGCAGCGCGCCAAAAAGAGCCTGTCAAAGCTGCCGCAGCAAGCGACGTTGACCAATTGTCAGTTCTGTTGGCCGGCTCAAGCATGGTCGACTCTCCGACAAGACTGACAGCAGCCGAAGGTTCGGCGGTACCGTACACTTGAGGCGGATTCTATTTGTTTTCGTTGTTTTGGTGCACGTGTGTGATTCGCTTCTGGGGGCCGCATTGAGCCAAATTTCCCTTATGATACCCGGGTGAGTTTGCGGCTAGAGGTCAAGCAATTCTTTTGTGGGGTGTGGTGGGATCTCGACTTTGGACATTCGGTATGGAGCAGGGCATGCGAGGAATGTGACGGACAGAGAACAGAACAATGGAAAATAAAGGGCGCAAATGAACACGCGAAGGCTTTCTGGCGACATGTGGTGGACGAGACAGTCAAGGCCATGTACGCAGGGATTACGGAGTAGTATCAGGGGAAATCGAACATGAGAACGAAGAGCTGTTCCGCTCCTCAGTTGATCTCACTCGTCAATCTGTGAATACCAGTCTGATATTTGACATCTGATGTCTGCTCTCGCAGCTACGCACATATCCCCAGCCTTGCCAGCCTTGCACTGCAGCCTTGTCACTTCCCCGCAGTCGTCATCTTGTGAACTGGGGGCGGGTTGACGATAATTCTCCTGTCTGTACGGTGCGCAGCAGAACGTACTCCCTTCGAGACCTCGTGCCGATCCCAGACAACCATGTCCCCTCCTGATCCTGCCCGTGACGCTGGCCCATCGACATCAACACACCTGCACTACCTAAGGCAAGCCGTCTCGCTCGCGCGCCTCTCCCCACCCAAACCCACCAATTTTCGCGTCGGCTGCGTGATTGTCTCGTTCCCAACCACCGACTCCTCTGGCGCCCACACAGGGACAGGCAACGAAGACGCGCCCCCGACAGGCGAAGTTCTCTCCACAGGCTACACCCTCGAACTCGAAGGCAATACGCATGCCGAGCAGAACGCGCTGACGAAGCTGGCGCGGGGAAGTGAGAATTCAGAACAAACGCAGGAACGGGGACAGGGACAGGGAAAGGAGCAGGAGCAGAACGCGGGCCTAGGCGCTTTGTTGACACCCCGGCGGAACGTCCACCTATACACGACCCTCGAGCCGTGCGGGCTGCGCCTCAGCGGCGCGACGCCCTGCGTGCAGCGGATCATCGCCACGCGCCACGGCAACCCTGAGGGCGGGATCCGGAAGGTCATCTTCGGGGCGCGCGAACCGGGGACCTTCGTCCAGGACAGCCAGGCGCTGAGGAATCTCGACGACGCGGGCGTCCCGTGGGAGCATGTCGGCGGGTTGGAGGCGGACATCCTGGCCGTCGCGAAGGAGGGGCATCATAATGCGTCTGCGTCTGAGCGCGCTGGCGCTGGGGGTGGTGGAAGCCGTGGAACGACGGCTGCTGCTAATACAATCGCACCAGCATCCACGCCCGCACCCCAAACGAGGATAGACGACATATCGCCTGAAGAGAGGAAACGGCAGGAACAGCAGCCGCGGAATCCGAAGAAGAGGATGATGGAGGTGGACTTGTCGCGGTGAGCTGAGCGGGGCTGAGATGAGCTGAGTGTACAGTCATTGTGGGTGAGTCGTCGTTGAAGAGGACAACACTTGAAGAGCGCACCCGCACGCAAGCCCATACCTGTACGCCATCGACCCGGATCGAATACCATGGATGAAGGGGTTCCTCAAACTCCCCAAACAGCGGCATACGAGGCATCCGCCATGGAGGCCGTCGAAGCCACCAATGGAAAGGGACACTCGTCTACAGATGCGAGTATTGGCTCCGCAATGGACACACAAACCTGGCAGTCGTGTCTGGGAGCTGTGTGTGCCCGGTGCAGGTTGACTTCTCTGCAAGAGGATCAACGACCTACCCAGCGACGTGTTCGCTGCTCGCCAATGCCGTCTCGCGTCGGCCGACGACGAAGACGGTAAGCAGCCAGGCATCGCGACAAGGGCAAGGAAGCCGTGCCATATCACGACTGAAGACGTCTAGGCGAATCTCAAAGATGGAAACTAGCAGCAGCAAGTAGGGACTCGAAGATCAAACCAGGATAATGGGTCTTCGGTCATGCTCTCAGAATAGTGGCTAATATCTGTACCGTGTATGTCAAGTTGAGACACTGCTCTAAAGGAGATGCTGGGGAACCTATACACACGGTTCGTCGATAAACTGTCTCGCTGAGGGTATAACTATTCGTCGTCTTATTCCGATGCTGTTGCTCATCATAACGCATTTTGAATTTTGGAAGCCTGCTCTGTCCATGTCCATGTCCATGTCCTGGTCCAGGTCCAATTCCTGTTCCCTAAAGTGTGTCGTTTCCCTCCTTCAACCTTTTCGAGATTCACGCCAGCCCTTCCAACTACACGCCCCTACCTTCAGGAAAGGTCCATCCGAGACAGTGATAACAAAACAGCTCAGAAGCCAGGGATGCTCGTCGTAGGGTGAGCAGAACTGCCGCACTCTCCTGGGTCGCTGTGTATGGACAGTCTTCTGGCAGAGCTGCGAGGACTGTGAGCTTCTACCCGCTCGAGCATGCGCCGGAACAATCCAGGGCTACTGTTGGCTGCTTGCTCAGCCTCGTCCGCTCCTGCGTCGTGGTTTTTGGCGTCCGTCCAGATAGAACGTCGGGCGATCTGCTTCCCTTTACCTTCGGCGGTGGCTGCTTCCTCCCATTCGGCTTCTTTCGCTTGCCACCTTTGTTTATGGTTCTCCTTTTCTGATTCCCAATCCACCCTCGAGTCTGTGGCTTCCGACTGAGCCGCTGAACGTCTCCTGCGTCTGACGCTACTTGTCTTCGACTTCTAGTCAATTCTTGCCTGGGTCAGACTCTTTCGTTTGAGCGGGAAATTGCTGGCCGTCAAGTTATTCCTCAGGCGTATCTTGGAGCTGCTGATCAAAGGTCCGGAATGAGATTTCTTCATTCTCTTTCGAGCAACCATGACGGGCACGGACGATTTCGTGACGAGGTAGTTCGAGAAAGAACCGAGGAGGACACCCTTCAGAGAGCTGCGACCGCGTGTACCTACTACGCAAAGTGTCGGGTCGAGTTCGTCAATCTGGAACAAGAGTTAGCCATTGTCACAAGCAGATGCAAAGCAGACTGACCGCTCCAAGAATCAAATGCTTCGGACTCTTGCAATGAATGACCTCAATCATACACCTCACTTGCAGCGTTGTCTTCCGCACCAATTTCAGAAAATCGTTTTTGAGAGCCTCTACAGCTTTCAGCCGATCCATTTCCTTCCTGGAGACCTTCCTCGCGTCGACGCTGCCAGTCAGACTCTCTGCTTCAACTGCTGGAATGTACCTCGCTTCCTTGCCCAGTCCGATACTGGTCCCACCACCTTGCGTCGTTTGCCGTGTTAGGGTGGCCATGACATCTGAAGCGTCTTTACCAGCCTTATTCCCTTCCGCAGTCAGAACTTCTCTCTCGGCTTCGGTCGTCTTTGCAGCGTTTTCGTCTTCCATGGCGTAGATGGCCAGGAGGGTGTCTCCATCTCTCATCATCGTTCCCACCACCCACTCCATCGCATAGCTTGCCTCGACACTCAGATCGGAGCAGAGAAGATAGAGCCTGGTCGCCCGTTTTCCATCTTCCGCTTCCTGATGGAACTGAGCCCAATTGCCGCGCAGGACCATTTGCACGTGCCGACCAGCGACTGTTGTGTCAAGCTGAGACTCGTTCAATCCTAGCGACTTTGCCTTCCTGATAGCTGCCGCCTCGTCATCCTCGTCGTCAGTTGCGGACGCCACCGACGACCGTCTGGCTGGGGTACTTGTCCCTCCCTTACCATCGTTTAATTTCTCCCCACTCGGACTGGTGATGGAGATCGATGGCTCCAGCAGTGACTTGACAAACTGTTGGGAATGTGATACTCGTTTGACATCCTCTGGTGATGGCGTAGCGCTCGAAGCAGGATATTTCACATCCGGTGCACTGCCGTTAGAGGAAAGCTTCCGTCTTTCTGACCGACCTCTAGTCTCGTCCTCGTCACTGCTCATGTCGTCCTCGCTATCTGCAGCTTCGTCCTCACCACTCGCGTCGTCCTTCGTGACCCTACCCGGGTCCTCTGAGTCGTTGGTGAGCGTCGAGGAACTACCCGACTTCGCCTGGGTCAATCGAAGGTGCGCCTGCCCATCCACTACGGTGCCAGAGTTCGTCGTCAACGGCGCGGGTGGACTATTAGGACCGAGAAGTCCTGGCTTGGAAGTTTCTGGCTTACGAGATGGGGACGAGGGAGATCTCGAATGGCTGGCAGCAGCTGTAGCAAGATTCTGCTTTCCGCGCCCTGCCCCGTGTGAGCCTCCGCGTGGACTTTTGCTATTCGTGGGTGAACGCGACACAGGACCACTGGAGGGGATCGACGCGAGATCGAACTGATAATTCTGCTCAAAACCACGCTTGTCGTCTGTTCCTATCTTAGGCAGCCCGATCGGACGATCAGTTTCTGAGGAGTCTCGCTGTCGCGTGATGATGGGGGAGGCTTTCGTGAGGACGGGAGAGTTTGGTTTGCTGGAATGGGGAGAGGTCCAGCTGCTGGGGTCGGTGGGATCGAGCTCTTTGCCACTTTTCCTTGAAAATGTGGGACTTGTGATTCCCACGCCGATTCCGGCTATTGAGCTGCGTCGAGGAGAAGGGGTGTCGACATCAAGCATACTGCGGACGTGTGGAGGAGGGGTCGCGGTTCTCATCGGTCTGAACTTGGGCACAGGACTCGAGGCACGTCTTATGTCTCGATCGAGGGCCGCGAGAACTTCTCGGTTCTCCTCGTCCAAGAGGGCCTCCATGCTCATCGGAGCTCGAGACCTCGACGAGGGCCGGCTCATGTTTGGGTTGGATGAGCTCTCCGCACGGGGGCCCTGTGATGACGAGGTGGAAGCCTCCTTTTCGCAAGTGTCAAGATGTTACATGCAACAACTTACGGTAAGCAAGAGTGCGAGATGGCGCGTGCTCATAAAGACTGGGAGTAAGTAGAGTTTGACTGTGACCGACAATATTGCTTGCAGCCGCATCACGAGTAGCGAGCGAGTGGCTCGCAGTTTCGCTGGTAGATCAAATCATCACGTCGGCCCAGTCACTGCAGTGGGCAGCTGCTCTTGGCCGGAGGCGGGACGCAGGGCAGCGGCCAATAAATGAACCTGCACAGCCTCTGCCGAGACTCGGGGCTTCAAGAAGGGAAAGGAGGGTCTGAAGAAGCAGCTGGTGCTTGAAGCTTAGGGTAGGCACATGCCGGGGTAGATCTGCCTAGGACATCACGACAGAGTCGCTTGCTGCGGGCTCAGAGGAATGACCAAGGCTGCTTGGGTGCGGGTTTAATACTGACAGGCGACGTTGTCGACGGCGTAAGGCCAGCTACGGAGTATCCTAGGTACTTAAAGACGGAATCCGCCGCCTGCGTAATTGAGGCAGCCTGGCAGCGCCCGTTTCCTTTTGTGGGGCATGCGACGCCTATCGCTGTTATCGCCGAAGCCTATCAAGCCCCGCGATGCCTACACAGTATGGTGGGGGCCACCCGAGGCCGCATTGTGTGAAGCTCGACCTGGCCTGTCATGAATGGGTGGTAATGTGTGGTGCTTGTGCTACGCATCATGCAGTAGAGCTGCTACTTACAGCACCTCGTGTTCAAGCAGACTGGCTCACCCTTAGAACAAGCCTGTTCAGCTTCATTATTGGCTGCTGACCATTGACGCTCTCGTCCGTTTTCAAGCTTCAAGCTGCTCCAAGGCGTCCGCAGTCGTAACCATCATCATCAACCTTGGACCATGGCTGTTTATCCGAGAGCTATGCCTTGTTCCACCTCTGGAGCTGCTGACCTACAGTAGCTAAGCACATCGCTGTCCAAGTTCCATGCTGCTCCGGGTCTTTCCCATTAGATATAATCCCCAGCCTCCCCGTTTTGAGATGGCTAACGATCTGCCCTTCCCCGTTGCTGTGTGGCCGGCATGATGCTCCTCGTGCTACTGACTGTTCTCTCAGGCCTGGTGATACAATCTCTTTCTCAGAATTCCTGTGGAACAGATCAAAATCCATACTGCGCAGGCAACAGTATATTTGAGCAACTATGCTGTCCTTACCCCAACGTCTGTTACTGGCAAAACCGCGATGGGACGCCGGGCTGCTGTCCAGCAGGCCAAGTGTGTGATGGATCTTCGCCTTACTCTCCGTCGACACCGAAACCGAGTCTGACGTCAACTATCAGGGCGACCACAATCCAACCATCCACAATTACGATAACGTCGACCCCGACTCCGGCTCCGACCACTGCGGGCGGCGGAGGCGTTATCATTATCAGCACCGTCCCAAACAGCCCGAGCATTATTACTGTCACGTCGCAACCGAGCATCAGCGTGACGACCATCACGACGCAACCGAGCACCAGTGTGACCACTATCACGACGCACAATCCTTGCGGCGGAGCTGTTTGCTCAACCATAACATCCGCTGGCGGCGGGGTGTACTCGACTGTAACATCCGTGGTGGGCGGTGGTTTTTCTACCGTGACCTCGGGCGCCGCCAGCGTCTTTTCGAGTGTCTCTGGCGTCCTGGTTGGCCAACCCTCGGCCACACCACGCTCGGCAATTGCCTCGATCGTGATGGTAGTGCTGGCGGTTTCGATTGCAGTGATATGGAGTACTTTTGGCTGAGGTGCTCTGCGAAATGTACAAATCACCCAAGCGGCCGCACACTCGGATTGCCCGCGAGCAGACGTCCTGAAGGTCAACGCCGACGCATTCACACGTCTGCGGCTGGGAGCGGCCTTCTTACATGTTTGACTAGGTCATTTGCTGCCAGCCGGGTTCAGAGACACAGGTTTCCACATAAGTAAGGGTCTCTTTCTATTGGGCAGAGAACCGTTCTTAGAATGCTTCCGCTGTCAACCATATTCGGTGGATCATTCCAAACACCACTAGCACGAGAATGGACGGTCCCTCCTTCCACGACTGCAGAAAGCCCCAGACGTCAGCTTGGAAGTCGGCAAGAGTAAAAGGTCGCTCGAGGCCGAAGCACTGCCAGAACGCCGACCGACCACCCACCGGTTTACATGGACAGGCTATGTGCTCCCGCGCGATCTCGCGGTGTCTTAGTACCCTGGGCGATACGCGTGGACTGTCTCGCCTCTCATGCAGCGCATCCGAGACAAAGCAGTGCGGCGGAGGAGTGCTACGTCCCAGATGCAAGATATATACAGTGTACACAACGGATAAAGGCTCGCAGCAGGAGGTGTTTTTACACAATGGGGCCATCGGAACCACCACTCTCTCATGGAGAATAGGAGTCAACGTGCTGTGTGCAAGTGAATAGCTTCACTTGAAACTTGGTGGTCACGGGCACAGACGGGGTTTCCTTCCTAGAAGACCAAAGCGGAGACAGATTAGAGACCGAAATCAAGAAGGGCAACGCAAAGAGATGCCCGCCTATAATGAAACCAAAGAGACTTCGAGTTATAAAGCCCAATTCGTGATGACATATATGCCGTAGACACTCGTTGGTGAGTCGACGCGCAACCTTGCAAGATCAGATCCGGGAGACCACGAGAACCGAAGCACGGACGACCATCGAATTGGACAGTCTACCGGTTCCAAGCCAACGGTTCGGGTAAGTGGACTTCGTCAGACAACCACCTGCCGTTGAAACGGTCAGGTACATCCTGCCGCCGCCGAGCTTTGAACCTTCCACGACTGCATTGTTCCTGCTTATAGTAACCGGGCTACAGCTTCCCAGACAATCCTAGACCTCTCATCATCCGCAGGTCCTAAGTTCGGACAAAGCTTGATCATCGTTTCAAACCTATTCCAAGTCACACACTTCCGCATTCGACACGCCTCTGCAAGCATGTTCAAAATCCAGTCCTCCCTCTGGCTCACCCAGCTTCCCACGGCGAGGACCCACAGATGCAACGCTGGCGCGGCGTCCCAGCTCTCAGCGTTCGTGGAAAATAGTTCTCCACGAAGCTGCACGGACAATGCTCGAAATTGTGCCAAATGCAATGCGTATCCCGGTCGCATGTGATGATGCACATACATCAACGCGGCATAGGCGACTGCTCGCCACAGGGAATTGTTGTTTTCCTGTGGACCAATCTGTGTACGATGTGGCATTGACGTGATGCGCGTGGCAAGACAAAGACGACGTTCAAAGCGGAAGAGGTTGTCATGCCGCAGAGTCTTCTCCGCCGCGGTCAATGTCTCCAGTGGCCGCGCTAGGATATCGTAGCAGACCACTTGCATCTCTCGCAAGACTGACATGATCTCGTAAGCGGGATCCCCAGCAAAGCGTGCCTGGAGCGGTTCAAGGTGGGTCACTGGATCGGCAATGAGAGGTTCATATACAGCTTTCCACGCCTCCTCCCAACGCGGAAGGAGGGAGAAACGGAGATCACCTCCAAAAAGCTCCACGAAGAAGAGATCATTCCAGCTGATCATCCGTTGCAGAAGGACGCCAATCGTACCCATACGTGAAAGGCTTTCGAGCCCGCCTCGGAGCCTGAGTAATGTCTCCAAACCCACCATATGCTTTGCGGCCTCATCCCGATTGAGAAACTGCAAGGAGACATTGATAAAGATGGCCACTGCGGCTAGGATTTCATCAGAAACGGTCGGCTGAGACTCGAGCGATGCATTGATCATCTGAATGGCAACGATCTTATGTTCAAGAATTCGTGGATTCTGGCTGAGGAAGATGCGTTGGTCAGTTCCCGTGAGCTTTCCATGCCAGTGCATGCCCCAGCAATACAGATTCGTGTGTATAAGGACCGGGGACTGTGTTACAAACGGGATCCACTGGCTTTGGCCGTTGACAGGGCACCAGGGAATACGGTCGTAGTGGAGCCAGCGGATGACTAGCGTTTCGTCCCACGGTTGGACTTGGATCGGGAGTGCATAGAAGACATCCAACAAGCTGCTGCCACGGGGTTGGGTAAAGATGGGCGCTCTTTCGGAATCGAAGACGGTGGCTGCAGAAGGCTGTAATGATGAAGGCGACGAGATCTGCTGAGACGAGTGACCAGTTCGTTCACATTGGGTCGTTTTCTTGGAGGAAGTTTTCGCCTCCAACTTTGACTGGATTTCCTTCGTCTGGAATTCCACCACCTGCCAACTCAGAACTTGTTCTGGAACCGATGTTGGAGGGCTGAAGGCCGGGGCTTCCACCAAGGGCTCTTTTGGTCCCAGCGAATAAGTCTTCGGTGTTGACATCTTCCACTCTGCCAGACGTTTCTCGGCAGTCCTGCGCTTGTAGTCGTACATCACATGTGCCTTTGCCGAAGCTCGAAGATCAGGGCGTATTTTAGCTCTTCTTCCCGGTTCACTGGACATTGGGACGAACATAATGTTGGGGGAAGGCGTTTTGGACCCCATAGCAGCCACCAGGCCCGTGGCGAAGCGTCTGTCGTACCTGTTCTCGGGCTCGTGGTTTGGGGAAGGTGTTGCCCTTCGCCTCAGCGAGGGCGTGTCGTTCCGGCACTGCGTATTTGGCGACTCTGATCCTGAAGATCGCTTCGCTAATTCTGACATTGTACGCCGCTTTCTACACCGGAAAAGTGATCGATAAGACTTTGAGTCGGTCATGGATGACTTGTGGGGAAAAGGACGGGTTCGCCATTAATGACCTTATAAAGAGCAGTTGAATTGTAGCAGATAGACGTCTCTCATGGCAAAGGAACCAGCTCTTAGTCATGAGCGTATTCAAAAGCGACATTCTAAAATCAGCGCACCTCGTATGCAGACGGTCTTTCAAAGAAATACATTTGCAATGCCCACTTACCCCGTGGCGATGGTGCTAGGGAGACATCGTTCCGCACGTCTGAGGGCAATAAGTCAGCGCTCTGTCAGCGCGTTGAGGCCAAGACCCAACCGGGGATGCAAGCGTATGAAATCAATTGCTTGTACACAAATTGATTTACTTGGACTGGTCGCGAAGAGCTGCCAAGACCTTCAAGCTCAGCGTGTACGAGCTTGGGGACAAATCGTGAGGGGCATCTGCCGTGCTGAAAGTAGATGTGGCCTAATTGCAAGCAGTTGAGGCGTTCGAGAGCAAGCGCTGTCACAATGTTTCCGGCCAATGGTGCTCTCAGCCGCACGCTCGATGCACGTTCGCAGACCTTGAGGCTTTTGGGCGAGCCGTACTCTCAACCAGCTTTGGATGGAGGAGTCTTGGGACCTCGGGACCCAAAGTAACCGGAAGAACCCTGCCTGCGGGGTGGCCCAAGAAGACTCGGGACTGAAACTGACGCCGACATATGTTCGACGAGTATGGTCAAGAAAACTGAATGCAGAGTGAGGTGGAAGGTGAGGTTGAATGGGATAACAAGGCTCGGCGATGACGTTATCCTCACGCCTGTCACGTTCGCTCTTCGGTAGCGTGTTGAGACGCGCTTCGGTCCCTAGACTGGTGTTGATCTAGACACCTGCGAACGAGCGCTTTGACTGCGTACATTCACTTCGCTTCCATCTTCCTGCACTAGCATACTGCTTTCCTCTTTCACCCCGCCCTCTCCCCAGTGCCTCGATATTAAGCTTCGCTAGACTCTGCTCATGTGACACTCCCAGCAGCCCAACATGCCTCGGAAAGCTAAATCCAAGTCTCAACCTGAGGTGAAGCCGGCTGCACCAGAGGATAAAGAGCACGGAGAGGAAGAACTTGCGGTGAAGGATCCCCCCACTGTCGATCCATATAAAGTCCTACAAGTCTCGAAATCCGCTACACCCGATGGCATCAAATCCGCCTATCGCAAACTGGCGCTCAAGCACCATCCAGACAAAGCCCGTGCAGAAGACCGAGAAACCGCTCACAAAGCGTTCCAGGAGATCGCATTTGCCTATGCTATCCTGAGTGACGAGCGCAGACGCAAACGGTACGACGTTACAGGCAGCACTGCAGAGAGCGCGAATTTGGAGGATGATGATTTCAACTGGGTCGACTTCTTCCGCGAACAGAGTGAGAATGTAGTGAGAGGCGAGATGATTGAGCAGGTGAAGAAGGAGTACCAGGGTAGCGACGAAGAAAGAGACGATGTGCTGGCAGCATATGCACAGAACGAAGGAGACATGGACGCCATTTTCGAGAGCGTCATGTGTAGCGAGGTGTTGGCTGACGAGCAGCGATTCAGGAACATCATTAAGGATGCCATCGCTCGAGGCGAGGTGGAAGCCTACGACCGGTTTACGAAGGAGAGCAAGAAGAGCCGAGAGAAACGGAAGACCAATGCTAAAAAGGAAGAAGCAGAGGCAATGGAACTTGCTCGCGAGTTGGGCGTCGAGGACAAGCTGTTTGAAAATGAAGTCGCCAGCAAGAAGTCAAGAAAAGGAGGGGGCGACGACAATACACTCAAAGCTCTGATCCAGCAACGCCAGCAAAGCAGGGCCCAGAATTTCCTCGACGACCTGGAGGCGAAGTACGGCGGTGGATCGAAGAAAGGCAAGCGCAAGGACATGGATGAGCCGCCAGAAGAAGCATTCCAGAAGAATGCCAAGAAGGGCAGGAAGACGGCCAAAGCTTGAACCTTCTCAGAGGAAGTCTTCTGGTTACAGCTCTTTGTGTTCGAGGATTCAGCGTGGCGCTTGGACGGCCGAGAGTTCCTTGATGTTCATGACAGAATAAAATGAATGACGGTATTCCACGCCAAAGGGTGCTCGGGCATCTTGGATCATGCATGGCTACGCCCTATGCAAGCACTTTCAGAGGGAGTTCTCATCTTCGGGTCGAGCGAGACACCTCAGCTGCAACGTCCAGCTAGAAAGAGGCGCCGGTGATTGTGGTTTTCCAGGCTCGTCTCGTTCCCCGCAACGGCTGAGAAGTCCACTTGCTCGCTGACGACCTGCATATCCCTTTGCGTTCGGAGAATGCAAGTAATACCAAAGCGTTCATTCTCGGCAACCATTTTTACGAATTTCTTTGCGCTCAGTGGATGACCCGAGGCCCCTCACGGCACTTCGCACACGACATGTGGCAATGAGTGCGGAGTTAAGAGAGCCCCAAAATGCGTTTTGTGCCGAGAGAATGATGTGTTGATTAGCCTGCGATCGTCAATTGCCACATGGAGTCTTCAGAGCACATCGAACGGGTGGCCTACGAACGGGCGACGGTCGCTGACCTGGCGAGGATCTGTCTGAATTAGGGACTATGGCAGGCGAAAATGCACGCAAGAAGGGAGAATGAGCCAGACTTGGAGCTCGAAAATGCTGATGTCTGAAACTCGACAGGGGCTTGTGACGGAGCTCGACGAGACTGAATGAAATGAGCCTTGCCCACTGCGTCATGAACTCCGCTAGAATGAAATAGGCCTTTCGCCTATGTGTTCGTAACCGTGCTTCGTCCAGCGCCCGGTGCCGAATTGCCAGTAATCGCATGCGCGCCAGAGCGAGGGGAAGCAGAGTAGACGGCTTCCTTCCACGACTAATGGCACAGAATGCCTCAAATGGGACGAGTCGCATGCAGAATGTCGGCTTGAATGGCCGGAGCGACAGAGAGAGGGCTAGCAAATACGGAGTAAGGGGGTGACTAATTATTTCGGCTGCAAGGCAGTCCGTCGCGGTCATACGAGCCTTTACGGTCGTGTGCCAGCCGCATGACAGCAACGTTGTGAATATGAAGATATAGTTCGGTGACTATTCGTGCACGACAAACTGGGAAGCCTGCTGGTAGGCCTGCGCAATACTGTAGTAACATTCGGTGGTGGAATCGTGGCGGCGGCTTGAGTGACGGACGGGATCAGCCTGTCGATTGACTGACTGTTCGTAGTGACTTTCCAGTTTGCAACGGGTGACTGCCAAGCCACCCAAAAATTTCTCCCGTAAGGAGCAGCGCCTTCCTTTCCAACTGCGCATCTCTCCCTGTTGCTCAAACCACCGCTGCTACCACATTGATTTGCGCCTCGCGTATCGTGAGGTGGTTTTGGCATCGACACTATCGTCGTGCCCCCTTGTTCCTCTACAGCAGGACAATTCTTTCGGCGCCTTCGCACGAAGATCCCTCCCCGAGTGGTCGGATCTCTGCCTGGGCCGTGAACTCTCCTCTCTGCACTGCCTTCACCTTTGGAAAAAGAGAAGCTCACACAACTCTTTCCCCAACCTCTTCCACAAAAGCACAAGAGCGGCTTCCGTTCACTCGAGACAGTCGCCTCGTAGTGGAAAACCTCTGCAGACCCTTTTTCGACAGTCGCGGAACCTTTCCCATCGCGTTTGCCGTTGCAGCGTCTCAGCCTCCTCGTCTGCTTTTGCACATCCGAATCGCTGCCTGAAGAACCTTCATCACCTCTGATGACATCGAATCCTCAAGATCTCTCTGCGAGTCGACCTCATCCCTCCGAACAACAATCGACTGCTACACACTTCGCGACCGGATCGAATTTGGCTGCCCAAGGCCGAACCTCGTTCCCATCCGCCTCCAAAGCCTCTTCTTCCACGCCCAATGCATCGGAACCCACCAACATGTCTGCAGCAGTTGGAGGCGCTCCGCCCGCGCATGGGCATAGTGATTCCGTAAACGGAAGAAACCCTACGATTCCTGCCATACCTACTGTCAACGGCGGTGTTTCTCTTCCCGATCACTCACGCAAGCCCTCGATGACAGTCACACCTGCTGGCGTCACCGGCTTTGCGGCGAACGGAGGTGCTCCGGGTGGTCCCCAGAACAAGCCTGCGATCCAGTTCGGTGCGATGGGAATGCAAAACCCAGCGGGGTCCCCTGCGATGGGCACACCCCCTTCGTTGGCACATCAAAACTCGGCAAATCTAAGTGTCGGCCAGCTGAACCCTCGAGCCACCTCACCCTCCAATTCTCCCTCTCCCATCCCCCAGCCCGCTTCCGTTAGTGGAGGTCGGCCCCCTCAGGGCTTCAATGGTCAAGGACATGCATATACATTTGGACAGACCGATCACAATGATCCAAGTGTAAGCTCGACTCCTGTTATACCAACACACACTGACGCGTTTCTGCAGGCTATGTCTCGACCCCTACCCATCCAATTCGGACCTCAGCAGGACCACATGAGGCGCAACTCCTCGCAATCCATTCACAGTGATGCGGGCGGTCCCGGAATTCCCCCAGCCGGACCCAACAATCACCGTGGAGGCTACCAAGGTGGCCGCGGCGGCCGAGGCAATTACTACCAGCAACAGCCTGCGCCCTACTCCCCCCAGCAGCAATTTCGGCCTCCGCCAAATGGTCGCCCGTTCCAAAACAGCTACCAAGGAGGTCGAGGCCAATCTCTTCCCTATCAAGGATCTCCCGCCATGGGCACCCGAAGCCCCGCGCTCGTCAACGCTCAGCCAGGGACCCCGAACATGGGAGGACAGGTACACATGGTGCAGCCCGGGATGCCACAGCCCAATGGATATTTTATGGGACCCCAACATGTAAAGAACCACCCGCAGTTTCCTTCTTCTCGTGACCCTCCAAGAGAACCCACCGGAGAACTTGCAAGAGACAGGGGCAAGCCTACGAAAGGCCGAGGCCGCGGTCCCGCTCGAGGAGCTGGTCGTGGTAAAGGCCCTGGTAGAGGTGGACACGAGGACAGATCGCCTTTCTTCAGCAGAGATCCTGCCTCTGACCACTATCGCCCCGATCTTGCGATTTCTCAACCTGCCCAAGTTGCCCCCGAACTTGCGCAGGCCCCTGTCCAAGCTCTCCACAATGCACCTCTTCCCTACACTGACTTATCACCTGAGTCGGGCAATTTTGAACGTTTTCAAGAGCAAGTTCTGACTGTAAGAACGCAGGCCTATCCCATGACCCAAGCTGATCCTAGCATTCAACAAATGTACATGCAGCAGATGCAAATGTACAACCCGCAGGCGATGCAGGGTCAGTTCAACCCACCCTACAACATGCAGCCGCAGTCCCCCCGTCCACCATACAATCAGGGTATGTATGGAGCGCCAAGCATGCAGCCTTCCTACAGCAATCAAGGCGGGCCACCTCCCTCCATGTCGAGACAATCATCCCAGATATCTGCTCCTGATCGACCTGGATCAAGTATTGGCCAACAGCCGTCAACTCCCGCGCCGACTGGCCCTCCTCACACTGCCAACAGAGCTCCGAGCGTCTCCTCTCAGAAAGCCTTCACCCTCCCCCCGAAGAAAAGTGCAGCAATTGTTATCAAGAATACTGCCGGCGAAGTCGTCTCTTTCAATAAGCCGCCTGCTTCTCCAGCTACCTCCACCCCAGTGTCCGCCATAGTTCCGCCTCAGTCCGTACCTACACCTCCCAGTCGCACCACTAGCGCTGCTGACAATGCTCACACGCGTTCAGAGAGCGTCAACGTCAAGTCCGCCGAGGAGGTGAAGAAGTCTATGCAAGAAGCAGTGGCCAAAAAGATTGCGGAAGACGAAGCCAGACTGAAACTGGAGAAGGAAATGGCCGAAAAGGCGGAAATGGACAAAGAAGCCGCCGAACTGGCTGAACGTGAAGCAGCCGAAGCTCGTGCCAAGGCGGAACAGCTCGAGAAGGAAGCAAAGGAGGCTGCCGAAAAAGCGGAGGCCGCTAAGCAAGCTGAGGCTGCGGGTAAGGCAGAGGCAGAGGAGAAGAAGCGCATGGAAGCTGAATCCGAAGATAAACCGCCCAAGGCAGACAACCAAGATGAAATCGATCTTGATGCCCTCGCCGCAGAGATGGAGGCCGAAGAAGCCGCCAGAGAGGCCGAGGAACTCCGTCGTGAAGAAGAGTACAACAAGCGAAAGGCTGCTCAACGCGAGGCCAAGCGGAAGAAGGCACAAGAAGAGGCCGCCGCCTACGAGCAGAACATGAGGGAATTGGAGCGCAAGGCCGAAGAAGAAGAACTTGCTCGTGAGAAGGAGAAGGCTGAGGGAGGGTCGGGAGACGACGATAGCAAGAAGCTCTTTGCTGAGCTCAAGCGCAATCCGTTTGGTACTCCTGCATCTACGGAAAGCCCCGCTGGCGCCACCCCTGCTGAGAGCGGCACTGCCACGCCTGTCTCGGATGTGTCAATGCCTCCTCCAGGAAAAGCACCTGGACGTCGTGCCAAGGCTGCCGAGCTGACGCTCGACACCAGGAAGCCTGTGGAGCCCCCCGAACCCAGCGCCACGCTGAAAGCACTGCAGTCTGCTAAAAAGCTCAACGACATCTCGAAAGTCGTCTATCCCTCAGACATTGCGTCCCCAAACCCAGCACTCAATGCCAATGCTCCGGCTGATCGCGGCTTCAAATACAACAAAGAGTTCCTGCTTCAGTTCCAGAGCGTCTTCAAGGAGAAACCAACTCTCGATTGGGATGCTCGCATCCGGGAAGCACTGGGCGATGGAGATGCCTCTGCCCGACCAAGCGCATCAGCCCGAACTCCTTCTGGCATGGGAGGTCGCAGCGCCTCCGCCCGTGGACCCGCTCCCATGAACTTTGGGCCCATGGGCAACTTTGGTGGCATGAACCGTCCAACACTACCCCCCGGTACGACATCGGAGCAGCGGTTCGCTGCTTCAAACGCTGCTTTGAGGAGCGGAGCGATAGCCAGTAATCCTTTCGCCCAATTCGGTCGTCCGGGTGGCCAGATGGCACCTCCCATGGGGCGAACGCCCTCCAACAATCCTCTCGGTCCTATCCCTGGATCTCCTCGTGTAGGTGGCGCAAGCCGTGGAGGCTCTCGCGCGGAGAGCAAACGGAATAAACAAGGTGGCAAGGGCCATGGAGAAGACAATAAGGCCATGCCTCTTACCGCTGGCATGAACATCGGCGCACTTGAGGTATCAGCCACCGGTTGGAAGCCACGGAGCGTCGGTCAAACTATGGTTTCTGGTCCTGCGCTCGGTGGTGAAGGCCTCATGGACCCAGAAATGGTCCAGCGCAAGACCAAGTCGCTTTTGAACAAGATGACACCAGAGAAGTTTGACAGGATTGCCGATCAGATTCTCGAGATTTCTGGTCAATCGAAGCACGAGACCGACGGTCGCACCCTACGTCAAGTCATTCAACTCACCTTCGAGAAGGCCACTGATGAAGCTCATTGGGCAGGCATGTATGCCCAGTTCTGCCGACGGATGTTGGAGAGCATGAGCGCCGATATCAGAGACGAGGGTATCAAGGACAAGAACGGCAACGTCGTGACCGGCGGCAATCTGTTCCGAAAGTATCTGCTCAACCGATGTCAAGAAGAGTTCGAACGTGGCTGGAAGGTCAACTTGCCCCCTCAGCCAGAAGGTCAATCAGAGGAAGCCGCCATGCTATCTGACGAGTATTATGTTGCCATGGCCGCCAAGCGTCGTGGCCTGGGTCTCGTCAAATTCATCGGTGAACTGTTCAAGTTGCAGATGTTGACCGAGCGTATCATGCACGAATGTGTGAAGAAGCTTGTCGATTACGAAGGTACCCCTGATGAAGCTGAGATCGAGAGCTTGACCAGCTTGCTGCAAACAGTCGGCAAACAGCTCGACAACCCAGAGAGCAAGGCACAAGGTCGCATGGATCTCTATTTCGAACGCATCAACCAGATGATTGCAATTCCGGACCTTCCCAGCCGCCTCAGATTCATGCTCATGGATGTGGTGGATTTGCGAGCCAAGGGCTGGGTTTCCAAGGCAGACAACAAAGGCCCGAAGACCATTACCGAGATCCGAGAGGAGGCTGAACGTCAAGCCCGCGAAGACGAACTCAGGCGACTCGCTGCTCAGAGTGGCCGTGGCGGCGGTGGTGGTGGCCGCATGCCCATGGGCCGTGGTGATGCACGAAATTTCAGCTACGGGCAAGTGCCTCCCCCAGACAACTCAAATCGCGTTGGTACCGACGACCTGCGACGACTGGGTAACCGCAACGCTCGAAATCCCAGCCACACGTCCGGCCTCGGTGGCCCTCCGAGCCTGATGGGTGGACGTACAAACAGTGGACGTCGTGGGCTCGGACCTGGTGGGCTGCTGGGTCGTGCTGATGACAGTGCCACGAGCAGTCGTACTGGGACACCTCCAGCTCAGAAAGAGAAGAAGGACGAATCCAGCACAAATGCGTTCAGGTAAGTCTGCTTCGACAGGCATGCTTTGCAGTCAACTTACAAATTTGGCAGTGCCCTTGCCGCTCTTGAAAATGATGGACCCGCCTCGCCTCCTTCTAATCCAGCTTCTCCTCCCACGCAAAAGTCACAGCCGAGCATCGAACGAGAACGGTCGAGATCCCCGGACAAAAGTGCCGAGTGAAAGCCAAACCCCTCGACCAACCACGTGTGTACAACATAATGCGATTCGACTAGTCACTAATATCTGAACGACGGCCGCTTCTGGGGATGGATAGAAGAAAAGAAGATGTGCATTGATACCCGGCGAGTTGCCACCTGTTTCAGCATTTGCAGAGCAACACCAAAATTCTCTTGATTCTCCTCCGCGATCTCGGCGATTATGGGTTTGGGGATCCAATTTGTAAAGTTCGCAACCTTCAGTCTCGAGCGCGAGTACGCGGGATAGAGAAATGTGTTTTTAATCCACAAGAAATACATTGTGCGTTTCGATTGACTTGGACTTTCAGTACGGCAAGAAAAGGCTTCCCATCCACTGGCTGGGTGGAGTTACCTTGCGTTTCAGTGCCTGGGAGTGACGGCGGACAGAAAGTTAGAGCCAGTGGACGCGTGGAGGAGTCGCTGGTGGACAAGTCACAATGAAGGAGAGGCGAGGGACAAGCGTTCGGTGAGCGCGAAGCAACGGCGAACTCTGACGTGCTGCCGGTCCGTCTTGATTGGGAGTCAAGTCAGGCGGCATCGATTTTGGAGGTTGCGCCCGTTGTCTTGGTGAGAATCCTGCTAGTCCAGTCGAACGCACTGTTCAAGGGGGAGAGGAGAGTTTCGAGATGTCCTTCTTGTACTGTGCATTGACGAGAATTCAAATATTATTCTTCAAATAATGCCTTCCTTGATAATCTCCCGACCCGTCTCACAAGCCCTTCCTCGACGTCCATTCGAGCCATTCTCGTCATGCGACGACTTGTTTGTGGAGACGCATCTGGCAGCTTGAAGGACGTCATCTGCGCGGAGTCTGTCTCTACTGAATGGCCCCCTGGCCACTCTATACAATGGGCCCAATGCAGAATGATCAAGATGTGCTGATAGCGAAGCAAACAGAAGCGCCAATCACTCAACAGTAATCCGGACCTCTTGTTCAGGCGTTGGGGCTTTCTGGCGAGATTTCTTCAAGTTGTCCCCCCATTTCTTCGCTTCTTCCGCCTCCTTCTCCCTCTCCTCTTCTTCCCGCGCATACTCCTGCTCGACAACCTTCCGATGCCTCTCCTCCCTAGCCCGTTTGTGATGTTCTCTCTTCCTTCGCTTTCTCGCTACCTCGACTGCCTCGTCTCTTTCACCCTGCGCTGCCATGCATAGTCTAGTCTGTTCTTTCTGAGAGAGGACCCAGGGTCGTGAAAGTGTTGAGGCATGGAATTGTGAGCGTGAAGACACGAGCGCCATTTCGTGGGTGGTACTGGGGACGACGTTCAAAAGGATAAGTGAGAGTTGGCGGGTTTGCCTGAAGGTTGTGAGAGTGCCTTTCGCTTGAACTACGGTCCCGATTCGGAGAAGGGAAATGGTGGTCTGTAGGTGTTGTTCTGCGCTGACTTGTTCATCATCTCGTGCAGACGTCGGGTTGGGCTCGACTCCGTGCTTGAAGCTTATGAGAATCGTCCCCTGCGCTTTGTCTTTCTCCGGTTTCGGGCACGTAACGTCGATCGTCGCTCCACTGCCGTCGTCTACGGTAAGCAGCCAGAACTTCTCGAAATACTCGTCTAGCACAACCACTACACCAATCACCTGCACAAACTGTATCGGGTGGTTGAGGTAGAACAGTAGCAGCGGCTGTTCCTTGCGTCCGTACGTCCTACTCATCACATCGAAGTCACTGCCAGTCGTCGTGGTGACGGTCGAGAACTCGTCGTTTGGTTTCAGCACCGTGTGGACGTCGTGACAGGTGAGTTTCACCCATTTCGACCAAGTCGCCGAGGCATTGAACGTGTAGGCAGGGTAGAATGTCAACTGGCCTGGTTTCGCTGGTGCCGGAGCGTGGCCATGTCTTGCGGTCTGTGGTTTTGCCCGTGCGCCTCCCTGTGCTCGCAGCCCTGGGATCGTCTTATCGCCAGCGGTCAAGGTGGAGACGTGGGAACCGGAAGCGGACCGATGGTTCTGCATTCATCTGCAAAGGACTCCGAACGTGCATTACGTGGTCGCCGTGACGCGGTTTGCTGCTGATGTGTCGGGAACTGCGAGAATCGGCGTCGACGCGCCGATATGCGCACTGGGCGGTGAACGAGCAGCAACGCGTTTGTGATGGCGGTTGGAGAAAGGCCGAAGATTGGAGAACAAGCGGTGGCCATATTGGGCGGAGTCTGCCCGCCGGATCATCGGCACCAACGGGCAGTACAATGAGGTGTGATGGCCAAGTACACGTGTTGTAAAAACCTTTGTATTTACAAACTTCCACGGCGAGAGACCGGTCAGTACAACAGAAATAACAGTGCTCATACAGCAGTAACGACCTCCCTTCTGGGCGATGTGCGATTTTTCATACCCCCCAGCAATTCCCATCATCATCATTTGTTTGCAATTCGCCGGAGCTCGTCTTTTTGCACGATGGCCGATAAAGATCCTCGCAGTCTCCGGAACCGGCTGTTGCCCCTGCTGTCCTCGTCTTTTCCTTCTCTTCACTGTGGTTATGATATTATTGTCGGCATTCGATCCCTCTCCCACAACTCTCTACTTCCCTTTCCCCTCTTCGCGCCGCGCTTGACTCGAGGTCTTAGCCGAATGCTCTGTCTGTTATGCTTAATCGAGTAGAGAGCCCGCCGAAACACGACATATTGACCCACCAATCGAGGAAGATTAGTGATTAGAGCGATCGCACGCCTAGCCCTTGATGTCGGGAGATCGTTTTGACGCGGATCATAATGTCCCGAAGATACAGGACTCGGTGACACACACCAGCCCTACGCCCAAGAACAACCATGAGCGGGTGACGGAAACCCGTCTGTCACACTCACAGTCTGTGCATTCGTCGGAACACCGCAGCATTGGAGACTCTTCAGACCATGGCTCGCTCGAGAGGATACCGACTGCTCAAACAGAGCTTGCGGATGCCGTCGTGGCCCAACGAACGGCGACCGAACCGGGACCAGTATATTCGGTGTTTACGAAGCAGCAGAAGATATTCATTGTCTTCATGGCGTCTTGGGCTGGATTCTTCTCTCCTGTGTCGGGTCAGATCTATTTCCCTGCGCTGAATGCCTTGGCGAAAGACTTGCATGTTTCCAACACGTTGATCAACTTGACCTTGACATCTTACATGGTACGCTCTGCTTATCCGGTAAAGCATAACCCTTGATGAACCTGTGTACAGATATTTCAAGGCCTGGCGCCTACGTTTGTTGGAGACCTTGCCGATGCTGCGGGTCGGCGGCCCGCATATGCTAGTACGCCCATCAAGCACGCAGTCAAATGCTCGGCCTAACTTGATTGACAGTTTGCTTTGTAATATACATCCTCGCGAACATCGGCCTTGCGCTGCAGAATAGCTATGCGGCTCTTTTCGTGTTACGCTGCTTCCAGAGCACTGGCTCCAGCGCAACGATCGCCATGTGCAGTGCTGTCGTCGCTGACGTCGCCACCCCTGCCGAGCGCGGCAAGTATATGGGATTCACTCTAGCCGGATCACTACTCGGCCCAGCCATCGGTCCCGTCATTGGAGGTGTCCTCGCCGAGTTTCTAGGTTGGCGTTCGATCTTTTGGTTCCTAATGATCATGGGTTCGGCCTTCATGTGTGTCTTTGCCATATTTTTTCCAGAAACAGGTAATGTGATCCTTCGTGCGGGAAGACATGCTGGTACTGATAGCCTCGTAGCACGCAATCAGGTCGGCAACGGTTCGATCCCGCCAAAGGGCTGGAATATGTCGTTGATGAATTATCTTGCCATCCGCAAAGCACGAAAGCTTCGGCCCGACGACCAGCAGTCAGTGGCGGAACTACGATCCAAATCTGGCCTGGGTAAGAAAAAGACGTTCCGCTTTCCGAATCCCCTGCGATCTCTTCACGTCATGTTCGACAAGGAGAATGCGCTCCTGCTGTGGTATAACGCCTTCCTGTTTGCAGCTTTCTACGACGTCACGGCAGCGATGCCCTCGCAGCTGGAGGCAAATTACGGGTACAACGAGCTTCAGATCGGTCTCTGCTTTATCCCTTTTGGATTCGGATCCTTGTGCGCTGCGTTGACTAACGGGCAATTACTGGATCGCAACTTCGCTCGTTGGTGCAAGAAGCTGGGGGTGCAGATCAGAAAAGGCCGAAACCAGGACCTCAGCAATTTTCCGATAGAAAAAGCAAGGTTACAGATCGCCATTCCAGCGTCTTACATCACCGCGGTGCTTGTGTGTATATTCGGATGGATCTTGGATGTCAACGGACCACTCCCGGCCTTGCTCGTCGTCTTGTTTTTTACTAGCCTCAGTATGTCGATGGCGTTCAACGTCACGAGTACATTGCTCGTCGACTTCTACCCAAAGGCCCCGGCAACGGCAACAGCTGCAAATAATCTCGCTAGGTGCGGGTTGGGAGCAGGCGCAACCGCTGCTATTTTGCCGATGATTAACGCCATGGGCAGAGGATGGACCTTCACTTTCCTGACCTTCTTTCTGATATTCACTTCTCCCATGCTGTGGGCCGTATACTTCTGGGGGATGAAGTGGAGGACGGAGCGCAATGAGCGGGAAAAGAAAGCTCAACAATCGAAGGAGGAGAAGCTCCACCAGTCCAGCTCCGGCGAAGTGGGATCTTTCAATGATGGCAAAGATCATGAGAAGCCACCTGTCGAAGGCGGGGTTCCTGAAATGGCCGCTGTGGCAGAGAAAGATCGCGAGATGGCTCGTGACTTTCAGAAGTCGTACAAGGGCAACACCAGCATGCAAGACAAACATAAGACCCAGAGTAATGACGAGATTTCAGAGGACGATGGTCACGATGTCACACTATCGCGGACCTTTTCCTATCAGTCGGGGTACTAATGCGCTTTCCTTCCGGGAATCACGGCACCACAGCCGACGTGAGTCGTCTGGCTTGGGGGTACCTTCAAGAGAAGCCCCGGCTGCAGAGATCTGGCTCTCCTGTCAACGGTCTTTGTCCTCGCTAGGGATTGACTGACGAAGGCGTCCATCTTGGCAAGTACTCGATACCAGAATCGCCATCGGGAATTAAGGGGACTTCACCCACGGACACCGAAGCTTCCTGGAAAAGATTCACATACCTCACACAGAGTCTTATCATGGTCTCCAATCCAACGTCTCATCTGGGACAGCTATCCGCCTTGATGCCGTATGCTTCTGTGTCAGGCTCGCCTCACCCCCAGCCGGCTTGGGCGAAGGATGTCTTTGGATATGACAGAGACTCTATTCCAGCTCCCTTCAAGCATAGAATCCTATGGCCAAGTCAGATGTATACGTGCCAGTCAGCTTCGACAAGTATCACCAAAACTGATGCATAAGAAGCTGGTCTTTTGCCAAAGCCGTGAATCCACGCGGCCTGACATCTTACGGTGAATCCTCGACCGCCCCGGCAAAGAGGGTCAGCATACCGCGAGACCAATGCTGGAGCTAGAAGCAATGGGAGTCGCCCTTGCTGGGTGACACCACAGCTGGGACTTTCAGAGCCATGATCCTTACCGTGGCCTGTAACTCCCGCATCCTGACCGAACTTTGCCGAGAGATCGAGGCTGGCGACGTACGACCCAATGAAAGGACACATCCCCTGCCTGGATGTCCTCTTCAAGAAGTCTCCAGGGGCACATCCCATCGTGGGCGTCCCCTTGCTTGCACCGTTCCCCTCGGGAGCCCATATTACAAGCCACTCTTCTTAGCACGTACGGAAGCCGGCATCTCACAGTGGGCCGTCGAGTACAGACCTCGCATCTACGGCGAGGACGTAGGCCTGTTCCGACAACGCTGGACCGGAGACCGATTCGCCGCCGGCTACGGGGGCGTGCTGCGACCAGGCGGAAGTCTGGTTCAGCCGCGGCCCATGATGTGTACGGGGCGAAAGACGGCGGTGCTGGAGGTATGCAAGGTTGTGACGCAGTTCTCCCGCATGTTTGACGTCAAGGCCATGAACACGACGAAACCTCCTGGACGGTGAAGGCCGAGCTTGCGGCTGGTGCATTCGAACTCTTTCGTCAAGTTCAACAAGCGCGATGGGAAGAGACAGGCCGTGGTCCGAAAAGGTCAAGATGCACTGTGATCTGATCTGATCCGATCCGTGTAAGACAATGCACTCTTGTCTACTAGTTCGCATTCTGTCCTCCGCGCCGGTAAGTTGATATACACGCACATCAATCGAATAGCTACCACTCTGTACTGCGCATTTCTGTGCTAATCCATGCTGTAGAGTATGTAAAAATTCCCGGTACTTGCCGGGTATAACCGGTAGCAGGCGAGGACTGCGTGGGCACAGCACCTAGGGCAAATACGGAGTAGGCTGGTGAGGTATGTATCCCTCGAAGGTAAAATTGCAGGGCATCTGCACCTCCCCCCATATTGAGGATCTAGCCACGAGAGCGAGATGCGATGGCCCCGATCTATCTCCCCCTGTTCCGTGTATCGTTTCCCGGCTTTGGTCATGCGTCTCCGAACCATCAATAATCACCATGCACGGCCGGCAGTCCGATCGACACGCCTACATTCGCAGCAAACGATCCGAGCACGTCTCCTGGAACACCCGTTAGCCACACTGTTTTGTCCACACGTGGCCCGCTCGATTCAGGTAGTATGTATTGTGAGAGATGAAAGAAGTGGACTTACCGGCCGGCGAGTAGTTACAGACGGTAAAGTAGGGCGGGATGGGCGGGCCCGCGTTCGTCAAGCCTCCGCTCGAGCAGTCGGCGGTGTAGCAGCCCACGCTCAAGCTGCCCTTCCACACGATCTGGCTGAAGTGGCCCCACTGGTTGAGCGTGGTCACATCGGGCTCCGTGCCATAGTAGACGTAGTTGTTGACCTCGTCGTTGTAGAGGCCCTCGGTGATGAAGTTGCCCATCCCCAGCGGTGTGGGCGGGTATCCGGCGCCGATGTTCTGGCCGTAGCCACCGCCGCCGACGGAGCTACACGTCGAAATTAGAAGGGTCCACAGAAGCAGAGAATGGTGCGCTGCGCATAAATGGCAATTTCTCTTACGTGACGTGTCCGTAGACGCAGGTCTCGGCAATCTCGCGCGCAATATCCGCCATATTGGTGTTCCAGACCATGGGGTCCGCGGAGTGGTTTGAGCGGTGGATGTTGTGGTGGCGTAGGATTGTGGCAATGTACGCGTCGTTGGTCACCACTGGGATCCCCGAGGAGCTGGTCGTCGAGGAGGGAGAAATTGAGACGCTCGGTATTCCCGCCGGAGAGGTGGTAAATGTCGGGATGGGTGGAGACGGAGCGACAGTGTCCGAGGGAAGTAAGGGGCCGCCGGTATATGATGTCGTCGTGATTGGAGGTGGAGTCGTGGTCGTCAGAAAGCTAGACAAGCCTGGTGTACTTGTGGGGCAGGGACATGTCGTGAAGGTGACAAATTCCAATGCCGTCTCTGTGAACGTTGCAGTGTATATATAGCTGACGCTTTGGGCTGTTGCGCCTGTGGCGACGAGGATGACGTTCCAGGCTCGCATCTTGGGACGAAAGGAACGACGAAAGGAGCCGACAGGGCAAAGGAATGACTGCGGTCAGTGGACGGTGATATGCAGAATGCAAAGTTTGAAAGATGGCAGAATCTGAATGCAGGAAGCCATGTTATTGTATGGCCTGTCGAATACTTGGGACGAAAGAGCGTGTCACATTCCAGAGGACGGGTTAGGAATCCAGGGTTTCCAGTCAGGCTTGGAGGAGCACGTCCAGGAACAAGCCGCGTCCGGGTTCCGCCTAGTTCATTGAATCACTCCCTCATTGAATTATTTCCACATAAGAGAATGAGGGTTCCTCAGCCGTTGCCGCCGCCAACATACATTTCATGTTACAGCCGTGGTCAACGGGGGAGCCGAACGCGTCTGGAAGGTGATTGAAGCTTTTCTTACCTTTTCATCGGCAAGGTCCTCAACGAGTGCTAGGACTCGCATGCGTTTCATTTACATTGGCTGGACTTTCGAAACGGCGGCAGAAGGGCAAGATACGCTCAATGGAGGAGACAGTTCCTGGCGCTCTGGTGGCCTCGTCTGCAAACGAATCAGAGTGATCATACGAGGAATTCGGATGTCAGGTTGACAAGGCTCATGAATGCACTGCCGCGAGCGGAGCTGATATACCGTAGCTCCGAAGCTGAGAGGGACGATGATGCGCTTGACACTGTAGGACAACGGCGAGGCATAATACCGCAGATCGTGTTGCCTGAATTCCTGCCGCGTCTGCGTCTAATTCCGACGTCGCTGGCTTTTCTGCAAAGGGATGTGAGGTTGACGTCCTTCGTCTCATGTGCACCTGTATGAGTTACACATGCAAAGGCCCCTTCGATGGATCAAAGAGATGACTGGCACGAACCCCTGTCACAGGCGCCTCTCGCTTTGCGAGCCTGGCTGCCAATGGTGTGCCGATGAACCTACGGCTGAGAACAGCCTGGCTCTAAAAGGTGCCTCTCGTCGACAAATGATCTCCAGGTTGCCCGCCAACAACGGGTTAATCGCTGGCACCACCAGTCAACCGGGATGCCGTACCGGATCGACAGGGCTCGGATATTGACCTTGAGGTAAGGCATCTTGCAATGGCGTGCCAGAACAAGACAGTGTTTATTCAAGGCGAACCGGCCTCATACCAAGTCGCGATGGGAAGTTGCCGTATAGGCTGCTCCCTCCTGGTGGTGTCTGGAAGTGTATAAGCGCAGAGACGCTGACATTATTTGGCCCAGGGTTGTCAGGCGCTCTATACAGTCAGGTAGGCCGGCTGCCCAGCATGTGGTTCGAAGATACGTGCGAAGTGCAATCTGATATGCATCGATAATTGCCCTTTGTGACTTCGGTAATTGGTGGTGCGCCCTGCGATATCAGGAAGCATCCAGCGAGCGGAAAGAGCTTCAGCGGGCAAGATCGACGGATCGTCCTTGATCTGTGTAGTATTGATTCATGGAGGAGCTCTGCGGGAAGTCGAGGACGCGGCGAGGTACAGTGATTCGATTTGATCTGGTGTGCATGCACCGTACCTCGTAGGTAGCGCGTCTCTCATTGCTCATCTTTCAGTCAGCGCGTCAACTCGAACTGGAAAGCGATCGAAGCTGGATGCCAGATGTGGTTTAGCGCTCACGGGTCCACAGTTTTTCCGGTTTCTATTTCTAGAGCCACGTGTTCGCTCGGTCTCTGTGGAGGCATGATTCCACACTCAACGTCCAGGCCACAAATCGTGAACACTCAACACTCTCGTGTGCAGCAGCGATTCGGAGGCCGTAGCACTGACGTCGGTGCTCATCATCGGCCATACGATGGAGTCTGCCTCGCGGTGTGGAGATCGCGCCTCTGTCGGGATGAGCGTGCTGAAAACACCATAGGCCAGCCGGAGAAAAGGTTAATCCACTGCCGGAGACTGCGCCGCTGCAGGAACTTTCAGCTAGACGATGTTCGGTGAGCCATCGGTCTCTCGGCTCTTCTTACTCGTATGACTGCTACGCAACCACTCGTCTACGCTGCTGCGATGCGAGATGAGTAGCCATGCGATCCAGAACGGGTCATGACATATGGCTCTAATGCCTGTCCCCACCAAGGACTTGTCCGTCGCTGTTGGGTGCGGAGTACCGGGTTATCACTTTCATCATTCGAGGTATTCTGTGTGTGGAATCGCAAAGTAATCCACATGTGCGGGTCAGAAGAGCCTTTTCTTAGACGGCGAACCACGGCGTGGTACAACGCAACGCAACACAGCACAGCACAGGGTTCTTGTGACGTCGACGTCGCTGAGTCTACGAATTCAGAGGCCAAGAACCGTGACTCGATGGTTCAATAGCCTTACAGCTCGAGCCTATCTTGAACGGATCTGAGTGGTGAGTCGTATCTTTCGGAAGGTAGCCTTCAAGGCGGAAGCATCCGCTGGCGGACTGGTTGTGCGAATACGTGAGCGGCGTTTCAAAGATATTTTGTTTCCTCCAAATGTAACAGACTGTTGCCTGAACGAGTCGATCGAGACGAGGTGGTTTAGGGACACTTTCCCTGGCCAAAAGGAGAAATCATTCTCCTGTCGCTGAACTGCGCCTTGGGCGAGTGGTACCGAATCCACTAAGGGTTCTTTAGAGATCCAGCTAGGCGGGACGTTGCAAACCCTATCCAAGCAGTTAGTGTCTGTGATTCGAGAGCGCTCGGTAGCCTCCCATGCGACTCGTGTTCGCGGTGAGCACTAGCGGTGTATTTGCTCGCTCTCCACCTATAACATCGTTCGGATGTGCCGGCTAATGCACGTCACTGCAGCCCTAAACCCACGGTCTCTCTCCGCTCGAGTCAATCGTCGAATTTAGCACACCTTCAAGACTCCGCGACCCACTTTCTTGGAAAACAGTCACTGCCCACTGACAAGTGCAACATAACGCCTCCGGAGCGTATCTTCCACGTGAATGGCTCAAGACCCCCTGCAAAGGACCTCGTGTCAGTGCAGGGAGTGGGAGAATCACGAGAGGCAATGCACGCCAGGCTCACCTTAAGGCCCATCAACCGGGCAGGGGTGTCGACTGCCTGAGGCTCCACATGTCACTCTTTCAAAAGTCCATTTTCTCCGTTTCTGTGCGCGCCGTCAGCCCTACGAAACTGGCTGGGATCAGGGCCTTTGGTCGCCTATGTGGCCGCCTCGTCAGCCCCCAAATTTACCTCATCGCACGTTCAGGAACCCGGATCGCAACTGAAGGCCCCCTTCACCGATCGATTCACCCTTCCCTTCTGGGCTTAACCACACCAGTGCGTCGGTTCGGTGTGGATCTGGTTCTTCGTGCGCAGTCCAGTTCGCATATGGCCCTGACGACTACGACTTACTGCCACCATGCCGTCTCGAAAGATATATATCGGTTGATGCCTCACCCTAAGAATTTGAATGTTTCCCTCCACCAGCACACCACACTCTCTTGACAGCAAATTTCATCCCATTTATTTCTAGCATCTTTTCCTTGTTCACGCACGGCTATTTTCCAGTTCAGCATCCAGCAACAAACCCAGACTTGAGGTAATAGCCATACTTTTCCTTATTTCTGCGATTTCCTATCTTCTGCAACAAGGCTTCCTGAGGCCCGACCGACCGTCCCAAAGCCATTCTACTTCCCCGACAGCGACCCTTATTTCCTGTTGTCTATTTCCTTATTTCCTTTGTCTGCTCCACTCCCAGAGAGTCTGCGACGCCCATCCCTTCCGCAGAGCCCAACACCAAACCCCGGAGCACAAAAAGCACACGTCAATATCAATTTCCTTGTAATTCTTACCCCAACCACAATCGCACTTACTATGGCCATCGGACGAGGCGGATACAACAGCCCGGCTGCTCCCCAGAAGGGCCGCGGAGGATACAACCGACAGGGTCGTGGCGGGTACAACAGGACTCCCATGCCCGTTCAAGGTCGCGGTGGATACAACTGACAGCAAGCCGCGCAGGGCCGTGGCGGCTACAACTGAATACACCCAAGTTCCCCTTCACGACGTTGCGCACCCATGGAACTGTGTTCCACGTCTGCAACATTCTCATTTCTGGTGATCCAGGTCTCGATCACGACCCACTCGTTTTCCACCCTTCGGCCTTTGAGTAGCGGTTTCTTCTTCAACGGCTTTACTTTCCAACACAAAACCTGTACAGCACAAGTAATCAGCACATACCCGTCACCTATCCTTAGCGGCATTTCCCTGGCGTTGGGGTTCTTTTAAGTGGAAACACGGTTCAACACTGCTCCGGAAGCAACAAGGGTTGGACTGTGACGCGCAGGAACGCAGTACAAATCGAGCATTTTTGGCAGTATCATTGGGCATGTGGAATGTTTTGGGGGTGAAGGAGGAGGCATTGCGCTGGGGCCCGTTTGGGAAGCCCTGTCTCTAATTCATTCGTTTGAACATATTCGGGGATTGTGGGATATGAGTCGGACAGGCCAGTTGCAGTGGGCGAAGACAGCTCAATGCGGATCAACAGAACCATCCCAATTTGTACAGACATAGAGAATCAGATACCCCAGAATCAAAGTGCAGCCACAGAACTGCGGTCTCAAGTTTCCAACAAGTTGCCGCACAGAAGTTTCCCCATACGGTGAAAAACAACGACGGAACTAGACGGGGATGCAGTAGGCGAGAACGTGAAAGAAACATGCTTACTCACTTCTCGAAGACCACACCCAAAATGTCCTCCACGTCGCCCGACTCACCCTTGCCCGTGATCTTGGCAAAGCAATCGGCGGCAAACCGGAGATGTTCGGCGGCAGTGACAATATCAACGATATCATCTGCGTGTGCATGTGCGTCTGGGTCAGATACTATATTTGGCGCGTCGAGATTCTTGTGGCGATCACCGTGGTACCCATTGGGGTCTGACGAATGGGCGAATTCCATCGTGCCGTCCGATTCCGTAGGCAGGTAAGACTGCGCCTGCGACGGTTGTGATTGTGGGTAACAAGCAAGGGAGAGGAAGTCGTCCAGATGACGTAAGCCCTCTGATAGGTACGTGCTTTGGCGGTGCGTAACTGAAAGGGATGCCGTCCAGTACGACTGCGCTTCCGCTGCAGTCATTCTGTTGTCTCGTATCTCCCCAGTTGATGCTGTCGTCAACTCACTGAACGCGTCGGTCAGGACGGTGAGGAAGGCTTGAATGCTACCCGGGTCCGGGTCGGAGGCGGTGGGATCATCTGATGCGCGTCGGCAGGATATCATGCATATACGTCCTGCAGGTACCATAGGGAGTATCTGACAGACTCGTGTATGCAGGTCTCTGGCCGCCTCTTTGTTTGCGCGAGGCTGGTCCACGACAAGGTCAATCTTGTTTAGAACAGCCAGAATAGTCTTCCCCGTGGCATGGCATTCTTGCACCGCCTCGAGGACTTCCCCGTTGATAGAGACGGTGGGCTTCCTGTCGGCGTCCATTTCGATCGACAGCAGCACCACAACCACGTCAGATTGGAGGGCACGTTCTCTGGCCCGGCGAATGCCTTCCTGCTCGATCGAGCCAATGACGCTCTGCTCCTTTGAGCGGAGTCCGGCCATGTCGCCCACCCGGCACAACCAGCCGTTGAGATCCACGGAGACATCGACAATGTCACGCGTGGTGCCCTCTTCGGCACTGACAATCGCAGCCTCTCTGCCCACAATGCGGTTGAGCAACGAGCTTTTGCCTGCATTTGGCGCACCCAGCAATGCAATGCTGATACCGTTGCGCAGCAGCTCCCCCCTGGACGCGTTAAGGAGGTGTAACTCAACCTGTCTCTTCAACGCGACCACTTGTTCCGAGATCGAGGACATGAACTCCGCAGGTGACTCGTCAAAGTGCTGATCTTCAGAAAAGTCAATCAGAGCCTCCAATTCGCCTCGCGCGCAGAGAAGCATTGTACGCCATTCCTCATATCTCTTTGCAAGTCCGCCGTCAGTGCCGCTGACAGCCAGCCGGCGTTGCTGCTCCGTCTCGGCCGCGAGGGTTTCGCCCAGTGCTTCGGCCTGTGTGAGGTCCAGTCTTCCATTGTAAAATGCCCACTTCGTGAATTCGCCGGGTTCGGCATGTCTGATGGCGCCGTCTCGAACGCGTGACGATCGTCCGTGTTTGGAGATGGCATTCAAGATCGATCGGACAATGGCTGGACCGCCGTGGACATGCAGCTCAAGCACATCCGCTCCAGTCACTGTGTTCGGCGCTGGAAAGAATAGGAGAAGCGCGCCAGTATCGAGGACTCGAGGCTCGACATGATCTGGATCGCTAGGATCGTACAGTTTTCGTAAGGTTGCGGTTCGAGGTTTGGGTGCTGGCCGGCGGGGACAAAGCAGGTGGTAGATATCAAGACACGAGGGCCCCGATATGCGTATCACCGCTATCGCGGCTCGACCTGGCGCAGTAGAAAGAGCATATATCGTGTCGGATATAGGATGGTTGGCTGCTGAGGTGCGCCATTTATCAAGGTCATGATGCAGCACCGATGTGGACTGAGGCCGCAGGGAAATCTGTGCGCTGCAAATGCGGACAACTGTGAAGCCGCATGCTCCCAAATGATGGCAAGCAAGTGGGCGCAGAAGTCTCAAGCCTTGAAGACCCAGGCGACATGGCATCCGAACGAGTTCGCAATGTCAGTTGAATGGTGTGGTTGACCACCCGATGAGCACCACATTAAACAGAGAATCCGGTCAGGCTTGGCAATTGGCGTTGGAAAGGGAGAGCACGAAGTCGAGATCCGCAACAACAATTCTACTCCTAACTTTCATGATCATCACTGTTTTATTACATACATGGACCTGTATCGCAACTCGAAGTAGATGCAAAATTGGTACGCCGTAACTCATCCCAAGAAGCACCTGGCCCATTCTGATTGAAGCAAGACCCATGGCTGCCCTTGAGCACTGCCAACTCCGCTCCGAGCCCTCTCCAGTTCTCTGGCCACATCGGTACCACTAACAAACTTCGCTTGGTATAGCGGGATATGTTGAGGAAGCTTCTCGGCTGTAATCAAGCACTAGTTCCTATAAGACGTTAGCATTTGCGGCGCAGAAGCAATGTTGGGGTACTGACAATAGGCCGAGTGTAAGATCACCATGGATCTTAGCCTTGAGCTGCACCTCGATGTCCAAATTCAAATCAAGTCGTAATCTCAGCTGCTCGTTCTCACCCGGGTCTTCGCCGTCCTTTTCTTCCCCCTTGCCGCCCGACTTGAGCAGACCGCCGACCGCCTCGTGCGGCTTGCTCAGGGCGTTGCCGACGGTGTTGTTCACAAGGTCCCCGGCGCCGTCGGCCACACCATTTACTGTGTCGCCGACTTCGTCAACGGAATCGAGAGGGCCGCCACCGCCGCCGCCCAGGAGGCCGCCGCCCTTGCCTCCTTGTTGCTGCGTCTGAGCTTGTGATTGTGCTTGAGTCTTGCCGCGGTTGCGGTTGCGGTTCCGTCGTCCACCTTTTTGCGAGACGTCGCTTCGGTACGCACTGTCGACATCGCTAGGTGGTGCACTGGAGCCGCGGCCTCGGCTTTGTCGTGATTTGGAGCGAGATTGCTGTTGCTCCATCTTTGGTTGTGGCGTTGGTGTTGAAGGCTCGTCTGTACCGCCGTCTACTTCTGCTTCTGCGTCGCCCTTGTCGCCGTTCGCTTGTCCTTTCTGGCCGAGCTTTTTGGGCTTTCGTTTCTCCTCCGACTTCTTGGAGGAAGCGTTGGCTCCTACACTAGCAGCACCTGAGGCAGATCCAGCGGCGTCGAGGTTTCCGCCGATTTGAGATTCTTCGGTGCTCTTGGTTTCCTGCTCCGACATGTTGAGAGTTTAGAAGGAGATGTCCCAGAGAGGATGAAGAAGGGGAGGCTGCAGACAAAAGAGCGTGTCGACGTAAGACGACCAGGTCTATCGTCCCGGAGTCTGCAAGAAAAGTAGGCAAGAACCTAGAATTGTACTTCAACCCCACTGAGACGTCAGAAGCTGGACAACTCGGGGCAAGACCAGCACCGATTGTCTTCGGACGCGCATGCTGATGACGTCGGTTGTTGCTGCTTTTCGCGAGCCATGTGCTTGACGCCACAACTTGTGCAAAAGATCTCCGTCGAGGCTGGGGGACCCGAGCGAGGTGAACAGGTTTCAGCTCGCCAGTAGACCAATCACAGTGGTGAGGGATGACCATTTCTGGGCTGTGGCTGGGGGCCATGTGTCGGATAGCAGGTTACGCGCACTGGTCAGCCGAACTGGGAGGAGTAACGGCCAAAAACAGATCCGACCGTTACTCGATCGTCGATGCCCTGTCTGACTCTGGTCGGAGATCGACGGCTGTCGGTACACAATAAGCGATTGACGAGGGGCCTCAATCACTCCACATCGCGTCAACGTGAGAATTGTGCCGACTGAAGCGGACTTGTGACATTGTATAGCCACAGCATTCTGGCTAGAACGGACTTCGCTATAATCACTTTGATCTTTGCTTACCGAGAAATTGAAGCACGAGTATCACAGAGTGTCGACACTATCCAGCCTTGTTACGACGTCATGGTAACGCCACACCCCGCACCCATGGTCGCGCGCCACGATTGAGCTGTGGCAGACGGGGCCGTGAGCGTTCCGGTCCTCGAATCAGGGTGAGCCTGTGGCTGGGAGTGCCACAGACTGAACAGGGATCCTTCCAACTTCCGAAGCCACCCACGTTTCGAAGTGTCCAAAATCTTGGTCCATGGCGCCATCGACGAGATAGCCGTTGATCCGCCCAATTTCTGATCACAGTCGGACGATCTTGCCGCTTGAAGCGGCACACGCCCGTGACCGATGCAGTTAACCGCAAACAGGTCTGGGGAAAGTAGACCCTGGTCACGATGATGTCGTTGCTACCTTGACTGCTTTTCCCAGTCTTCTCTCCCTGGCCGAGGGTCTTGCTCGCATGCGAGTTTCTCGACCTTAACTTGTGTTTCCTTTTTGCACCCTCAGCATCAACTCGCCTACTTGCTAGCCGCCTATTTCCCCTATCCTTTCTTGCCTCTGACCTCCCTATCACTTTGTGACCACCATGTCAGAGCCACAGCAACAACCAACTCCGGAGAAAACTCCTCGGCCCGGCCTGAACCGCAGCAACTCAGAGGTGTCGACGACAGATGTAGATGATCAAGGTTACGAGTCTCGATCCAGGTCACAATCAAGACGGCGCAGGCGACAAAACCAGCGACAGAGACAAGCTCAGGCAAAGAGCCAGTCGGGCAATGCCTCTGCGCAGTCGATGGCCTCGATCAACGAGCAGGCTGAAGAGACCCAAGACCATCCCGGCACGCAGGTGGCGAAGAGAGATCCCGAGCAGAGAGACCAGCCGCAATGGCTCAAGAACCCCGACCCGCGAGACATTACCGAAGCGCAACCGTTCGATCGGATAAAGCCACCGTCACAGTCAATGACCGGTCCCGTCACGTACGCACGCATGCTTCGGGGAGAGATCCCCTGGCGTGGGGCGCCTCCCACGCAACCGCTCGAGACGGCACAACCTGTCGACACCAAGGACAGCAGCGGCAAGGATCCCATGGATCAGGACGGCCTCAAGTTGCGCATAGAGTTGAACCTGGACATTGAGATCGAGCTCAAGGCGAGCATCCACGGTGACCTCACATTGGCACTCCTGTAAGCTATCGCCTCCCCCACTCTGTAAGGAAGACGTCCTAAAAGCTAACCAAGGAACTGATCCTCAGGGCTTGATTTATCTCTGCCAAAGGTGAAGCTGCCTAAAGTCAAACTCCCGAAAGTCAAGGTACCGAAAGTCGGGGTACCGAAGGTGAAGCTGCCGACGCCCAAATTACCAGAGCTACCGAGCCCCCCTAAAGCTCCGTTATAACGCGCATGAGAGGCTGGGACGATAATAGCGTGGAGCTGCAGAACATCACGTTCGTGTCTCATAGTATTGACCGTCATCATGAAAGTTATGGCAAATCGCTATCTAGTGTGAATCTTCGATAAGGCGTTGAAGAGGCCATGATCGGTCGGATGGGTCCAGAGCCTGTAACTTTAAATGTATCATCGCTAGAACCTCTAGTATCATCTGTAATATGTCGGTTATGTTTCATTTGGTCGTCCCGGATGTCGTCCTTACTCGTGGCGTTCCCCTTGACCGTTATGCCGCTGTTTGCCTGCGATTTTGAAGACTGAACAGGTCTTTGGTTGCTCTTCTGATCGGGTTCATCGTCAACCGCACTGTCGGAATGTCCAAATTCGCCTCTAGCGCGTTTGACGACCCTCTCGATACCGTCGAGACCCATCTGCAATCGCTCCATTGTCGGCCCATAGCTGATTCGGACGAAATGATGACAGGGACTGTCGAACAGGTCGCGCCGCTTTGCTGGATTGAGGTCAAAGAAGATGCCCGGCACGACAATCGTCTTCTCTTTGAGCAAAGCATCGAAGAAAGCCAACCCGTTGCTGATGTCGATTGGCGAGTTCTTCGGCAACGGAGGCTCCAACTTTTCCAAGCTCAGCCAGATGTAGAACGTAGACTCGGGGATCTCCTGATCGCCTAGTCTGAACCCGATTTCGCCGAGTCGCTTGAGGACGTAGTCGCGTTTCTAATCGTTCAAATGGTCAGTACACCGTACAGTACTAGTCAGCTTTACAATTAAGGGGATACGCCCGCCGTACCGCTTTGAAGTGGCTCTGCAATGCCGCCATCTCTTTTCTAACCAGTGCGGGCTCGAGCATCGAAACCGCGGCCTCCTGAAAGGGCACATTGCAGCCGCCGTCGAGATAACTCCCGCTTGAGCTGAGGGCTTTGATAAAATCCTTGGGTCCCACAATCCATGCGACCCTCCAGCCTGGTAGCCTGAAGCGCTTGGTCAGGCCATCGATCAGGAGCACATCATCGCGGTCGACATCAATAACGTTGGACGCCGCTGAAATAGTGCTCCCGTCGCAGTCTGTGTCATAACGGTAGCCGGAATAGAATTCGTCGAAGATCAAGGTCGCCTTATCGCGGCAGATATCCTGGATCAAGGAGAGTTCTTCGGGATGCAGGGCGTGGCCGGTCGGGTTGCGAGGGTTTGAGGTCAAGCTGGGAGGTGTCAGCATGAGCGACGTAGAAGAGCTCCGCTGAGGCTCTTGGAAATCATACATCACCGATGTCCCTCTTGCGAGTTCTTCCCTGATCTTATCGGCATGGACATGGTATCCATCAGCAGCGGACAGCGGAGTAGGGATGGCAACAAAACTCCGGAACAAGCCCAACATCTTGGATTCATTAGCATGTACGTACGCGCAGGACCGAAATACTCGCCTGCTCATATACTGAATAATCGGGGGTAAAGTAGGCGAGATACGCATTGCCCAGCACGGCAGCGATTCTGATCAAGCCAGCTCTACCACCCGGCACGATACAAACATTCTCCCATGTGTACTGGCTCTCCTTTCCTTGTCGGTAGTCGTGGTTATAAAGGTTCGCCACTGCGGTCCGCAGAGACTTGATGCCGGCTGTCGGGCCATATTCTCCTGAGTTGTCGTTCAAGGGAATGGACTTGGGCCGAGGGAAACACTGGGGGCCGTTTAGCTAGGCTGAAGCTGGAGATTGATTTGTTACAACGTACACCATCAATGTCACCGACTTCTGGAGCGCCTTGACCCAGATTCGCCCCTTGTGCGTTGTTAGGATCGAGCCAGTAATCAAACAGCCACGAGAGGCCTTATCGACGTACATTTCTCCGGCTCATCAGAGAACCCGTGCTTTTGAGCTTGTTCTGTCGTCCAAATCACGCCCTAACGGACGTAATTAGCGATGAGGTCTTTACGGCAGGGGACATAGCGTCGGAACAGTCTGGATTGGACACCGATGCGTACTTACCGTACTCGCTTTATGGGTGTCGAGCGCGGCATGAGATTTGTGGGCGGGATGCTCGCGAAGCCGCCGGTGTGAAGCTGAGACGCTTTCGCCTTCGTCCTCAGGATGGGCTGAGATACGACGGCCATCCGGGGAAGCGTGCAGCGACTCCTTCAAGGCCGAAGTTCGTCTTCCGGAGGGACCCATGGTTTGGGCGGAATCGTCTGCTTGGCTTCTGCCCTGCAAGTAGCCGGATCGGTCCCTGGTGGGCAAGAGGCTTAATCGAGAAGCTAATGAAGCTAAATAGAGCTTGGTGAGGAATCGCCAGCGATGAATCCCAAAGCAGAGAAAAAAGCCAGAGAAGGTCGAGCTGATGGAGAAACTACTGTGTACGACCCTGGCTGCAGACAAGGAGCATTTCATGTGTTATGTGACCAGCAGATGGCGACTTCCGCAAAGCTGCAGTCAAAATATCTGGCCGTCACCTGCACGCTGAGTATCCGTCTGCCATTTACACATCGCGCTCAGCTCATCTTCACCTTCACCTTCACCTTCACCTTCACCTATCCCTAAGGTGACCTTAGCCTGCCGCTTTGAAGTCCGTGTCCAATGAGACGACTGAGCTGTTGCAGCTGCATGCAATCCTGAGGAGAAGCTCTCAGGACTTCTCCTGTTCCTTTGTCCCTCAAAGCGATTCGTATCAACGTGACGCCTTGCTGACAACAACGCCCGCGAAGGCCACATTCTTCTCAAGTCAGGCTAGAAGTTTACACTCTTGAGTTCCAACGGCGATCATGATATCTTCTGTTGTGCTGCCCAATGAAAGAGAGTCGCACGCTGAGTTCATCAGTTAATTACTGTACGAAGTAATCGCCCGTCAGCATGCGGGGATCTGCGAGGGACAGCGACCTCTCAACGCCGCTATCAATGATCAAAGGGCGCTCGACAGCGTGTGATGCTTAATTGAGCCACCACTTTCAGCTTGACCCCTCGAGTGATATTCTTCTTGTCATGTTTCATTGTCAATATTCATATAGAAGAGGTAATTGATTTGTTTTCCAGTTCCATTGCGCTGTTCGCACGAAATCTACCATGGGTTCTGTTTCAGAGACCATCACCACTTCCCTCAACGCGGCCCTCGAGCAAGCGCACGCTCGGTACACAAAATCACACCCTGAGTCGCTCAAGATCCACGATCGAGCATGCAACTATCTCCCCGGCGGCAACACTCGCACAGTTCTGCACACCACACCATTTCCGCTCACGATCTCCTCCGGCCAGGACACCCACCTCACCACCGTCGACGGGCAGAGTTACACTGATTTCCTCGGAGAGTACACCGCTGCCATCTATGGCCACAATCACCCGGTAATCAGGTCCGCCTTGGAATCGGCCATCGAGAACGGATGGAACTACGGCGGGCACAACGCGCTGGAACCCCAGCTAGCGAAGATCGTGTGTGAGCGATTCCCCTCCATCGACCTAGTCAGATTCGTCAACTCGGGCACGGAGGCGAATATGATGGCCCTGGCCACAGCCCTGGCATTCACAGGGAGGAAGAAAGTCCTGCTCTTCAACAAGGGGTACCACGGCTCGACCATCTCAGGACGGGCGCCCTCGGGGAAACCGTCCATCAACCTGCCCCACGATTTCGTTCTGAGCACATACAATGACGTCGCCGGCACGGAGGCCCTGGTTCAGTCACTTCCCAAAGACTCCCTCGCCGCGATCCTGGTAGAACCCATGCTCGGGTCCGGAGGCTGTTACGCAGGCTCTGCCGAGTTCCTAGGCATACTGCGTCGCCTAGCCAGCGAGCACGGCGCGCTGCTCATTTTTGACGAAGTCATGACATCGCGACTGCACTACCACGGGCTCGGGTCGCAGACCGGCGTGACGCCCGACCTGACGACACTGGGGAAGTGGATTGGCGGTGGCATGAGTTTCGGGGCGTTCGGAGGACGTCGGGACATCATGGCGCTGTACGATCCCAGGACCGGCAAGCTTGAGCATCCAGGCACTTTCAATAATAATGTGTTCACCATGAACGCGGGAATTGCGGGCTGTGGGCTATTGACTGCGGAGAAGGTGGACGCCTTGAACGGGCTCGGCGAGAAATTGACCAGCCAAGTCATGGACGTCCTTTCCAATAGAGGCATTCTGCGTGACGCGACCGTGCCAGCCGCTCCCATTGCGGACGAACTGCACGTGGCGGAGCATCCGCAGCGACCGCCGAAGATGTTCGTCAAGGGCGTGGGAAGTCTGATGGCCGTCCACTTCGCAGGACCAGACCGCGACGTCTTGGGAGGACTGTTCTATCACCACATGCTCGAGCAGGGCATCTACATGGCGCAGCGCGGCTTTGTAGCACTCAACATCATGCTCGCGGACGAGCACGTCGCGACGTTCGTGCGCGCCGTCGAGGCATTTGTCCAGAAATGGGAACAGGCGTTGAAATGGTGAGCTAGCTACTGGGGCCACCACGCCGAAGCTCTCCTCCTAGAAAGGGTTCGGAGAGGCACCGGGTGATAAGGGTTTCGACAACGCATCCTAGGATAAGTAGAGAGCATGTTGCAATTTCCCCGTTGTTGATCGCGCTATGCATGCATGGTCCCATAGAGGCCTACCCAAAATTTGCGATATAATAGAAAATATACGTTTGTCGGGGAAGGATCTGAACCCAAATCTTCGCTCAACGCAGCTGAAAGGCTTCTTGCCACGCAAATGTCTGCCGCACTGTATTCCCCAGCAGAGTAATAGACGTAAAGACCGACGGGTCCACAAGTGGTGTTCCAAGAAGCGCGCCTTTACCTGGTCATCACCATCACTCTTCACATTGCTCGTCTCGTTGCTTGAACATCTATTTTGCATTCACATGACCACACATCTACTTCCCTTTTTCTTTGCTTCTTTCACTCCCCCCGAGCTGGTCGGATTGGGGGTCTGGCTCCGTGGTGGCACTTCTTCGCCCTTCTTCCGCTTGCCTCTCTTCTTGCTTGAGGCTAGCAGCGTGGGATCGGACAGCACTCGTCGACCGCCGTCCTGGATCGGGCTGACACCGTCACTGTCGCCCGTCCAAGCCCTTGGCTGGAAATTCTGCGTCTGCTGGTATTGCAATTGTTGCTGTGGTAGATGTTGATGGTATGGATAGTGTGGCGCTTGCGACTGCGGCAGTTGGGACAGTGGCTGCGTAATACTGAGCGATCTTGGAGCTGGTTCCCCGGGTCCGTATGAGCTGGATATACTGTCGATGGTGTCTAATCTGCCCATCCCCGGTCGCTGAGCACGGGCTGACGGAGCAGCATGCAAGTTTGGCGTAGACGCAGAAATAGGTATCGACCGACCACTTCCTCTCGAATTGTCCCTCGTTAGACCATTGGGAGCGTTGATGGCTTGGTTGAACGAGGGAGAACCGGGGACACCGGCGGCGCCCCAGGCACCTGGAGGTGGCGATGGCGGTACACCCGAACCACCACTGAGATCACGCCTCGCCGAATTTGAATAAGGAGCACCATTGGTCGTGATGGGTGCCACGGGTTTTCGTGTCGTGTTGGACATTCGACGGTTCAGGTTGGCCATTTGGTCGGCTGTCGGAGGCGCCACACCGTATGGACCTGCCTGAGTGCCAGGGAGGGCTGCAAATTGCTGCGCGTTAGGTAGACTTGTATCGTCGTACACATGAGACATATGCTGGAACGATGGCGGAGTTGGCGGGACGGGCTGCTGCAGACGGGCTTGTAGATTCGGCCCTGTCAATGTGACTGAGCTTGAGGAAGGTTGCTGTGTTTGAGCTGCATTGAACGCATTGTGAGACGGTTGTGTAAGATTGGCGGGAGTTGAATGGTCAGGATTCTGTAGTCGTTGGGACACCGCTGTCTGTTGGTAGGGCGATATCCGGCCCTCATGAGACACCGGTCTCGATGAGCCTTCTGAAGCTGTCGGAGCAAAGTTTGCGCCTGCAGGGGGACCATGGTAGATGGGGCTCGGAGGCTTGAATGTGTCAGCTGCTGGAGCATATGCCAGGTCGGGTCTCGATGTGGGCACCGAAGCCTGATATTGAGGTCCACTGCGGCCAGGAGGAAGAACGTTCTGCGGCATTACATGAGCCGGTTGAGGGGGAACGTGCATCGGGACAGGCGCGAATTGTGCTTGGTGGTGCATGGGATGGCCGTGGCCGATTCCTGGATGTACATGCGTGACGTGCCCGTTTTCTGGGATTCCCGCCATTTGCATAGGCGTCACTCCCATTGGACGAGCCTGGATAAGGGGCGAGCCCAACTGCACCGGGGTGTGGCCACGAAGAGACGGAGAGGTATAGGGCGGAGGGGGTGTCTCCCAGCCGTCCAATTGCTGAGGTTGGGACCCAGCCTGTTGCTGCGCGAGAGGTGGCCGGGGAGGATATCGAGCTGTAGAGAACCCAGCAGCCGTGGCAGCGCGATGCAGATTCGGTGACGGCTGCTGAGCGGGCTGAGGTGCGCGCGGTACAGCATTGGCCAGAGCGATTTGAGCGTCGATATCCAAAGGCGAAGACGCTTGGGAGACACTCCTGAGCCTCGAGCCCTGGTTCGCCGAGGCCATAGTGGCTGAACGACCCAGAGGTGCCCTGATTCCCCCTCTTGCCCGTTCTCTCACAGTTCGTCGTCTTTCCATTGCAACTTCGATCTCCATGTCACCAATTTGTTCAGTAAGGAGCATTGGTTCTTTCTCGCCGACCTCAATAGTGATTTCACGGTCGGGACCTGTAGATGGCGAGTAATCGAAGTCCAAGATCGAGAGGCGGGACCCATCGACGGGCATGGTCTCATCTCCGAGTTCTTCAGCAAACTGGTCGATGCCACCAGGGGCCACAACAACCAATCTCTTGCCGCCGAAACTGCACGGTCTATCTTCGCACCTTTCCACCCACTTTGCTGCAGTAGCACCATCCAGACTCCTAATGTGTTGGCATTTGACGAACAAGCTCTCACGCCACTCAACTTTCGCAGCAAGCGAGTCATCCTCAAAATCATCACTGCCTCCAGATACCGAGGGCGAATACGCCATCAGAGGCTCCACATGACCGGTTGCAGAGGTGAGCGGGAAGTTTCTGCCTTGCAGACGGTGCTCATGACGTTCCACGACAGAGCCCATGTCCGGAGCAACGTCAAGCTTTTCGGGGACTCCATAAATCCAGAGGCCGCTCCCACTAAACCCAGCGACAACGAGGGTCCCACACACTGTGGCGGTTGGAGCAGTTGATGGGACTGGCAAGCTGAATCGACGGTTCGTTGCGGGATTCAAAAAGTAGGCCACGCCTGTTCTGGTGTCATCGGTCCGCACTGCCCTGTACGACATGAGGGTGTGATCATAAGCAAAGATCCAATTTGCATCGCCTTCGGTGTGTCCTTGCAGTAGTTCAGCGTGGCTGCAGATACTGCTGATTTGAGGAAAGAGAATCTGGGTCGTCCACATCCGACTGTGCACCTCTTTTGGCGGCAGGTCGTTCTCGGTGTAGAATGGAGCAGTAATGACCACAGCTGACGGTTCCTCCAGACTCTGAGTACTGCCGACAAGCATCGACCCGTCGCCAGAGAAGTTCAGGGTGTCAACTCCTTCACTTCGAACAGCTCGTCGGTCAGTCGACAAGGCGTTGGGAGCCAGCGAAAAGACCTCAACCCCACCTTCATAAGAAGCAGCCAGCACCGTGCCCTCCGGAGCTAACGCAATCGTCCTCGGCGGGTTATCCATGACCAAGACCTGCACGTGCTTGACACCTTCTGCTGTCAGATGGTACACGTTGGCTTGATGCTTCGATGACAAGACGGCCAGGATTGTGCCGTCATCCGTGATTGACGCAGCTAACGGCCGTCTCATAGTCTTGAGTTCATGGCGCACAGTGATAGGCTCGGTGACTGGATCGATCACATATATCCTCGATGAGCTGAGGGCGAGGATCGTCTGGCCATTGGGAGAAAACGAAAACCGGAATGCCTCCGCACCCGGCAAGGCGGCAGAAGAACTTGCATTCACGGAAATCAAGTTGACAAGACTCTGGCGCGGCCTCAAGTATGCTTCGAACAGGTTGCGGCGAACTTCTGCAGCGAACTTGGTCTTCAGGCGGTAGAGATCAAATTTGCGGAACGGACCGGTGATGATCGTGTTGGACAAGGCGTATGATGGACATCGAGATAGATGGTGGGCGTAGAGTTCTCGGTTCTGTGCCGCTTTGTACCAATTGCGATTCAGTATGGCCAAAGATGCGAAGACGTTGGCGTCGACCATCCATAGTATCCTTGCTCAATGTTAGCGAGCCACCTTCGGACAAAGACCGGGCAAGCTATGAGTAAATGGTGGAATGCTGGAGACACACCTTTCTAATACCTCGATCGGCAGCTGATGAAAAGCGACGGCAGGCTTACTTTGCGAGTCGGGGCGGATCGTTTCTGGCGGCTGGATAGGACTATCAATGTCGGACCGGTCATGTGATAAGGCTAGACCCAGGCCATTCTGATACTGAGGTTCGTGTTGGTCTAGTGGCTGAGGCGGAATATCATCTTCGTGTGAGATTGACGAACCAGTTTGCAATGGCGGGTGCACATTCACTCCGGACGACATTACTGCTGAAGTCTCCACGCGGTGTTGATGAGCGCGCCACTAGTACAGGTTCGAAAGATTCGACATGATGGTGATTGTTTCAATCTTCCATGCCTCCATGAACGCGTTTGTTCGCGACGGGAAGAAGGAAACAATCCCTTCTTTTCTGTCGCGAATGCCACGGGCCGCTCCCCAGTTGACGCACCAATTGACGAGAGGAAGTGCTAGGGCGTGGAGATCGTTTTGTGTTTATCGTGGGAGATGGGCGGCGCCGACATGGAACGTCCTCGATTCGATACTAAGGTGATGATGAGAGACGAATTGAGAGGCTCAAGGTTGTCAGCGCTGGGAAAGAATCTTAGCACAGCTGTTAGTGGCCTAAACTCTTGGGTAGCCGCTCGTGCCGACCGCGCCTGCAAGTCGTGACTCTAGCCCGTAGGGGCACCGCCATCCACTAAGCCACCTCTAATTACTGCCAACGTGATGCTCTCCACGAGATCCTCTCGCATACCTAGCGTAACATTTCCGGCAGCCAGCTGCTAGCATGTACTGTATGCCTTGAAGCGAGAACGACCACCAATGGTACGGGCTCCAGAGCCCCAACGCGAGCCGTCGGATCGCCTACATACTGTGCCTTCAGGCATTGCAAAGACGTTCACTTGAATCATTGGGGGTCACCGCAAGAAGCTTAGGTCAGCAGAGGCGTGCATAGATGACTTCTTTATTTAGAAGCTCTAAGGAGCTTAAATGCAATGCTCGGGCGATATGTGCCCTTGCAGGAACTCTGTAGAAAGTACACTGGTACAAACACGCCGTACTCGGTCGCTCAGTCCGATACTGCTTAGGTAGGGAGAGAATCCTCGGGTCTTCTCGCAGTACCTCGTACTGTGTAAGCGGGTCTCACTATGGTCTAATGGTCCGCGCGTCTTCGATATTAAACACTTGCTACCTCATCGTCAACCTTCGTCACACACAGAGCAACGCTGGCTGGCGCATATACTCCTTTAGGACACGGACGAGTTTCAGGAGACTGTGGAAAAGCGCTATGGCTTCTGGAAATCAGAAACCCCACGATCAGATTCGTGCCATGTCTATTGCCGACACCAAAAATCCTAAAGTGTACATGAAGGGAGATAGTGTTCTGATTTTGAGGGCCTCCCCAGTCTCATGTCCCGTGGTCGACTCGCTGGTCGCCGTGAATATCCACAATTGTTTGTACATCATACGGGGAGGTCGTCTGCAGGGAGAAGCCAAAGCCTACAGAAAGACATCTCCTCCCACTGAGCAACGAGGAATCAAATCGCCTCACTTCTCTGCCTCTTTCTGTCCGCCTCCTAGCAGACCGGAGAACCAGCCCGTGGGCTTCATGCTCTTATACATCTCCTCCTGGTACTTCTTCTCTTCTGCCTCGCGGTCGGCCAAGAATTTGGCACCCTCCTCTTGGATCTTCTTCTCAAGCTCCATGTACTGTTTCTGGCCCCTTTCTCGGATTTGATCCCACAGCATCTTGCCGTCCTCGGCACTGTCCAGGCCGTCTGGACTGCGGTTGGATATTCCCAGGGCTGATGAAAGGGCGCCGAGTGTCTTCTTTGGCCGCTTTTTGCCCTTGTCCGCTTGTTCTGCTTCGAACTTGGCCCGGAGAAGCTTCTCTCTCCGGGCAAATTCGGCAGGGATGTATGTGCCTTCGAACGACTTTAGCACCTCACGCGTGTCCTCAAAACCCATCGTTGCCAGGTATTCGAGGAAGGGGATGAACTGGACCAGTGTTTGGTCCTTGGGGTCACCGGTCCACTTGGGTAGGATGATGGCATTCTCGGGTTGATGCTTGACGTGGTGGGGATCGGTGTCCATGATGATAACCTTTTTGAGGTCTCGGTTGAGGTAGGAAAGATCCTGCGTCGGTCAGCTACTGTCGTCGGCGCCATAAGTTCACACTCACCTTGATGTACCCGCCGTCCTTGTACAGGGTCGCTTCGCGGAACAAAGGCCATCGAATCATGGAGAAAGGGTCCAACTTCCTGATCACCTGATCGACCACAGCGGACGGCTGACTTGTGAACAGCACGATCTCATAGTAAGCAGAGAGGTAGCGCAGGAAGTAATCGACTCCCGGCCGTTTCGCTATCCGCCATCCCTTCTCACGAGTCCACTCCGAATGCACCAGCATGTCCTCCAAGCTCACGACCAGGACGAAAGGGAACCGGAAATTCGGATCCGGGTCTTCATCGGGCAGTAACTTCGTGGTCACAGGATCACGATAATAGCTCATCATGTCTCCCAGGCGAGCGGTGACGCGGTTGTAGAAAGATGTGAAACCCCAGCCCGACGGCGCGTCTTGGTGCTTTTTCTCCTCCTCCTCGTCGGCCCAGTTGCGGCCCATGTAGACGGAGCCACCGACGATCCCCAAGCCCAGAATGATGTACATGTACCTGAATGCCGCATTCTTCCTCCGGTCACTGGATGAAACATATTCTTCTCTTGGTACGTCACCGCCGTCGCGGCCGCGCGTCCCAGCCGGTAACTCTTCAGCAGGATCTTCAGTAATGTTAAGGCTGCTCCCTTGTGTAGCCGCCTGTCTTGACTGGGCGTTGCGTAACTCCGCGTCCAACGTGGAGGGAATGCCCCTTGTCAGATCAGGCAGAGGCTGCTGTGCCTGATCCACTTCTCGTGGCTCTGATGTAGATGTCGGTTGCTGTCCGCTCGCGTCTTTTTCGGCCTCGCTGATGCGATCATCTTCTTGCCTCAACGACCGGCCGCTCGCTCTGGATACTGACTGAGAGACATCGTCAAGGTCTCGCGTAGGATCCTCGCCGAATGGAGTGGCTTCTGGATGCGGCTTTGGGTTTCGTGACGCATCTGGCTCGGCGTTGGGAGAGGGCGTGGACTGAACAAAAGGGACTTTTCGTAGAGGCTCTTTTTGCTGCACCGGCTGCTTCGTGCTCCCGGGCACCTGGTATCCTGCTTCCCTCGGACGATCTCCTTTGGCGTAGTATCGCAACTGGGTCTGCAGCTGTGCTTGCAGGATTTGAGGCCGGATGCCAGTGCGCCCTCTCAGGAGAGGTAAGGCTGCGCGTCTGAGCATCTCTCCATCCACTCGTGCTCGATAGGCAGTGATGAAGATGCGATATGGTCAGGCCGAAGAGAATAAGCCCTAGCTAAGAAGACCACGACAAACTTTCGACTGCGGCTCGGATGCTGTTCACTGCACTTTCTCCGAATCGCTTGGCAGGAAGCGGAGTCGATTTTCTCGCCTCCTCACTTAGTCTTCTCTCTTCGCTCTTCTCTCTTCTTCTCTTTCTTCTCTTCTTCATAAGAAAGTTGATATTCAACCCAGGAAAATTTGACTCGCCGTTCACAGACATACACCATATGTTCGAGGAGTTGTATTAGCTGGGCAGAACAAACCACAAACGCCGTCCTCCTCAAGAGCGCACGAGAGGCCCGCCTATGATCTTTCAGTCGCCCCGTAAGGACGGTACACCCTTTGCCCGCCCATCCATCACGATGAGTGTATGAGCGCGCCAGTTTCAGAGCGCTGAACTGTGCGCGCATCCATCCTTGTCCTGCCCTGGGCCCTACATTCTACGACTGCTGCGATATTTCCAAGGAATAGCTCCGATGCCGTCGTGGAAGGATGGCCTCGTCAACGCCTTTCCGATCCCTCAAGATCATGGCAAGAGATATTCTAGGAAGGACAAGCAGAACGGAAGCACCTTGACTGAAGCTGCGTCGCTCGTGAAAACTGTGGGGACGCTGACGCTTGAGGGCGGTCCGTTTCCCTTCTTCGACCTTCCTGCAGAGATCCGTAACAGGATCTACCGCTTGATACTGTTCAGCAAGCCAGGCTATCGCCTTGTGGACGGTCGGCTGAGACCATGCCGAACCGCAATAATGGCTACAAATAAGCGCACCCACCAGGAAGCTGCTTACGTGCTCTACAGTACCACGAGCTTCCGCATCTTTCCTCTCCAGGATTTTACGCCTGCACCCGTTATCCAAGAATTGCGGCCCATGTATCGCGCCATGCTAACGAAGATGGAGGTGACAGTGGGATCAAGCTGGACCAGTCCGCCAAAATCGTGGCGCGTGAGCAAATTGCTGGCAAAGCGCCTGTCCAGGCTTTCCGCCGTCCAGACGCTCAAGGTCTTTGTCGAGCTGGACCCGAGTTTGCCCATGTTCGAGAAATACCGGGTGTCGCTGGATTTTTACACGGACTTCTGCGGTGACCTCCTTCGCGACGTGCTGCTGTGCGTGCCGCAGGTAACGCACATTGAGATGGACGGCAATCCGGGTGTCGAGGCGACCGGCCCTTTAGTGACCCGGTTGCGCAAGGAAGCAGAATCAACTGGCAAAACATGTACCATAGGCCCGACCAAGGCTCTTGCCACCCCAGCAGGAGTGAAGCGGATGTTCTTCCAGTAATTATCAATTTTAATCCCCACACGATCCTTAGCAGGTTTTATCACGAAGGTCTCTTCTACAATCGCCGGCATCGCCGGTCGGTATTTCGAAGTGGCTGTGCTGGAAAGACAGCTCTTTCTTCTAGAGGAAGCCAACGCCGTACATGGTGGTTCTCATCCCGACGATAGAATTCCAAGCCTGCGCCCACCGATGCCGTACCGTGCCCTTTCCTGCCTACAATTCCTGGTGCAAGTAATTCATGAGCTGTGCCGGTTGCGCTCCTACAGGTCCTCGTCAACTTCCATCTCCTCGTTTTCGCCATGCATGTGCGTTCCATTGCCGTTAGCTTGCATCGGCCTCTTAGCCACGCTTGCCTCCTTGTCGATCATTTGCCGACTGACAGCCACGATGTTGTCCTCGATCAACCTCTGGCCGACATCCTCGATGTGTTTCTTCGGATCCACTTTGCCCACGTATCTCGTCTTCAACTGCTCGGGCGTCAGCTCGTTTTCTTCCCGTACCCGTCGTTCGTAACCCTCTGCTAGATGCACCAATTGTTGCAAGCCCTCTTCGTTCCTCTTGCGCTCGTTGCTGAATGACGTGGGGAGCTCCAGCCCTTCGGTCCAGACTTCCTTGTGTAGATTCATGAGCATGTTTTCCTCAAGCCCCGTCTTGCGGTACTGAATGCCAATCGAGTAGTAGTGTCTGTTTAGACCGTGGATGAGTGCTTGGATCGAGGGTTTGTTCAAGTGGCCGAGGTTGGAAGTCGTCTGTCGCGGTTCCTGACCCATCATGATAGCCTGCGGGTTGATAAGGCGGAAGGCATCGATCACGACCTTGCCCTTGACGGACTGGATGGGGTCGACCACCACGGCGACGGCGCGAGGTGTCAGTTGTTCGAAGGACTGTTGTGTGTTGATATCCACGCTTGAAAGCCAACAGCCAAACCCAGGATGCGAGTGGTACCATCCCACCACCGTCTCAAGCCGACCTGTTTGGCGCAACATGTCCATCATCTTCGTCTGAAACACCGGGTCGACAGACTCGACACTGACGGACGTTCCTGATTGAGGCATAGCGAACACGTCGACGACGCGGACGGTGAAGTCGTCTACAAACTCGCCCAGCATCAGACCCATGACTTCCATGGGTACACCGGCACGGCCGTGGCGGAGCATTTTTAACAGAGCGAGGGAGGAGATGTAGACGGTTTCGGAGTTGTCAACGAGGTTGGTGTCGCCGCCACTTTGCTGGCCGATTTGGGCGGCGGCGAGCATGCGGTTGAAGCGGTCCATCGTGATGCAGCGGAGGTGAGGGTGAGGATGAAGGCGACCTTGAGGGAGGACGGGCAGGGTTTTACTGTGTGTTGTAGGAATCCAAGATTGATAATTCAGGTCAAGGTGAGTCCGTGGCAGAGATCAATCGGTAGATTCGGAACGCAGCTAGGTTGGAACCGCCTGAGCCGTAGTTGGAAAGAATCTGTGGTAATTCAAGTGTTTACGCTTTTCTGGTCAATCCGCGAATTGACCACAGTGTCTGATGAACTACCTTTAAAAACCAACAGCTGCTGCAGATGCAGATGCAATGCCAGGCACGCATCCAACTTGCGTCCACATCTCCAAGACCCACACCACGATGGAAGCGGCTAGCGGCGTTGGAGCCGCTCGTCACTGGCTGGTTGGGGCTGGTGCTCCTCCGCAGGCACCGCAGGTCCAAGTGACAAGCGTTGGAGACAAGAAATAGACGGGCCCGAGCAGCTTCTAGGACTTTCAACCTGCGGTTCACGTCGCGACTCGCAACTCGGTTCACCTGCTCACACCCTCATCTGTGCGGCTTCGGGACAATCCAGCAGGACAACGCAGTCGCCGACCTGAGAAGGAGCGTGCCATTGTCTGTGCAAGTCCATGAGAATACCATCTGGCCATCCCTCACCATTGAGCAACTGAAAGGAATCCTCTTTGCGCTTCTTCTCCATCTCGCTGCGCGCCCTCCGCGTCGTCCTTTCTATTGATCTTTCGCCTCGACGGCGCTTAGGCCAGCATGGCGTTCGCCCCAGTCGATGCTCCAAACCACAAGCGCGAGGACAAGAAGAGAGTCGCCTATTTCTACGACTCGGACGTGGGCAACTACGCATATGTCTCGGGCCATCCCATGAAGCCTCACCGCATACGGCTTGCTCATTCCCTGGTCATGAACTATGGCCTCTACAAGAAGATGGAGATCTACCGCGCGAAGCCCGCCTCCAAGTACGAGATGACCCAGTTTCACACCGACGAGTACATCGATTTCCTTGCGAAAGTCACCCCGGATAACATGGACTCGTACCAGAAAGAGCAGCAAAAGTACAACGTCGGAGATGATTGTCCTGTCTTTGACGGCCTGTTCGAGTTCTGCGGAATCAGTGCGGGTGGTTCGATGGAAGGCGCCGCCAGGTTGAACCGCCAGAAGGCAGACATTGCCATCAACTGGGCTGGAGGTCTGCATCACGCAAAGAAATCAGAGGCTTCTGGGTTTTGTTATGTCAACGACATTGTTCTCGGCATCATCGAGCTTCTGAGGTTCCACAAGAGAGTGCTCTACATCGACATCGATGTCCACCATGGCGATGGTGTGGAAGAGGCTTTCTACACCACAGACAGAGTAATGACTGTCTCTTTCCACAAATATGGCGAATATTTCCCCGGTACCGGCGAGCTCAGGGATATTGGAGTGGGTTTGGGCAAACACTACGCTGTCAACTTCCCTCTCCGAGACGGAATCGATGATACTTCGTACAAAGGCATCTTTGAGCCCGTCATTCGGGCCACTATGGAGTACTACCAGCCATCAGCCGTCGTGTTGCAATGCGGAGGTGATTCTCTTTCTGGTGACCGACTAGGCTGCTTTAATCTTAGCATGAAGGGTCATGCAAACTGCGTGCAATTTGTCAAGTCCTTCAACCTCCCCACCCTCATCCTTGGAGGAGGTGGCTACACGATGCGGAACGTCGCAAGAACTTGGGCTTTCGAGACCGGCTGCCTGGTGGGGGAGCAAATGACAGCAAACCTTCCATACAACGACTACTACGAGGTAAGTCAAGGACACGGGTGACCATTCAATCTTTGCTAACGCCGCCTCAGTACTACGCCCCAGACTATGAACTTGATGTTCGGCCATCCAACATGGACAACGCCAACTCGAGAGAATATTTGGACAAAATCCTCACGCAAGTCCTTGAAAATATGAAGCGAACCGCGCATGCCCCGTCGGTACAAATGACCGACGTTCCCCGGGACTCGCTTGGTATGAACGATGATGAAGAAGCTGCTTTGGATGATCTCGACGAGGATGAGAATACCGACAAGCGCCGCACTCAGCGCAGAGCAGATAAATACGTACAAAAGAACGGCGAACTATCAGACAGCGAAGATGACGAAATGGAGATAGACGGAAACGGTCGCCCATCAGGCAGCCGAAAACGACGCGTCATGCAAAACTACCGCCACATCATGGATGTGGGCGGCAACGATTCGGGTATCGAGACAGGCAGTGGAATGGGCACACCGCAACAGGCATCAAGCCTACCCGATGAGGCAGCAGACGAGATGAATGTGGATGATGATCTAGAAAGAATCGGGCAACCGACTCCCAGCCCCCAGAACGGCGAAAACGTCAACGGTGCTGCGGCGGTTGCTGGGCCTCAGTCACCAGTCCACGACACACCAGCAGTTGATGATGTGGATGTCGAGATGGGGGACGCCGACGCACCGAATGGCCATATCCTCGCGGCTACGGCAGCCCAACACGAGCTGCCACATCCGATGGAGGAAGCGACTAGTACAGTACAGCAGCAACGTACCCCTCCCGATTCACCGCCGGTTCCGGGAGATGAAGAGCCTTCGCTGGTCGCAGTCAACGCCACAGTCGCGGAAACCACAACCCATGAAGCCGAAAATGAAAGCGCCACTGCTGTGCCCGCGCCGCATGTTCCTCCAGCAACAACTGAACCTGAAGCTACCGGAGCAACGGCCGAAGAGGCAGCCATCAAACAAGAAGTAATTGGTGACGATGAAGCCGCCAAAGCCCGAGAAGAAGGACGGATGGAGCGAGAACTGGCGAATGCCGAGGCCGAGGCTAAAACGGAGGCCGTGGCGAAGGTAGAGGCTGCCGACGGGGACGCCGAGGCCACTATTGTCGAACAACCAGCACAAGGTGAAGGAGAACCAGAGGCAGGGAGCGGGCCAGACCCGAAGCAAGGATCTTAGGGTGATTCGACGTGCTTTGCTCCGTTCACGCCCGATTACAAGAAGAAGTGGCCTATTGTTTTGAGTCCTTGAGTTGCTGCGGGTGCTTCTGGAGGTGAACGTCAGTTACAGGGTGTAAAAGTGCAATGGTCTGTACGGCTAACGACACGGCGTTATCTTGGTGGCGAGCGCTCCTTTGGGGGGCAAAAGTACTGGCACTGGGCGTTGGCCAGGGCAGTCAGGGCCGCACTGGCTGCCATGGACATACGGATATGCTGGAGAAAGGGTGGACCTTGAAGTATCTATTGATGCACACCTGCTATCTGACTCATCTTCGGTTCCGGCTCCGATGAACGAGCTGAGCCTTGCCACTATTCCTTCTACCCATTCGATACGAGCACTCGATCTTGGAACGAATAGCTTGTTGAACCGGATTGTGGTACTATTTACTTGCTCTGATTGAAGCTCACGAGCAACCTCGAGGAGAGCCTTCAGCGCTTCCCCACCGACATGATTGTCAGCTGTATTTTGAGTGAAGAATGGATTCTTGACGCGAAGTCCGCCATCCCTGTCTCCCAGAATTTACTGCGTGACAACCCTGACCACGACCTTCCCACCACCCTTTCGGCCCCTTGCCTCCGCAACCTGCATCGCTAACTCTCCATCTCCCAGCCGGAATGCCTTTTCTCCTTGGACATAGCCGGTCAATTTTCCCTTCCTGACCCAACCACCGAGGGTGTCCAGTTGCTCGCCCGAAGGTTTGACGACGAAGAACCCAGCAGCCACGCCCGCGCTTGCACAATTCTTCGTGATCTGTGCAGATGTGGACCCGCCGTGGACTTCCAGGGGAGCGGCAACTGTGATAACGCTTCCACTGGGATGGATGATGGGGGAGAGCGGCGGCGTTGTTGTCAGGAGCAAGGAGGAGAGTGTCTCGCCGCCGATGCAGTCTACTACTAGGTCCACCGGCGGAAGATTCAGGGCGCGGAAAGAGGAGGCAACGGATACATAGCCCGGAGACGTATAGTCTAGCAGTGTATCTGTTGATGGGTCGAGAAGCGAGGCGATTAGGTCGGAGGAGGCGGCGCTGGCTGTGGCGATCACGGTCATGTTGGCTGCTTTTGCGAGTTGGAGCGTAGGCAGGCCGACAGTGCCTGCTGCGCCGAGGATGAGGACTCTCTTCGACGGCGCGGCTGTCGATGCTGTCGGGAGGGGAAGTCCCCCGTACGTAAAGAGAGCTTGGTAACCCGTGAGCCCTGACAAGGGGAGCGTCGCAAGTCGTTCCTCCTATTCCTCGTCGGACATACCGTTGGCATGCGTCTTCTTTGGCACCAGACTGAGTTCGGTTTCCTTGGCGAGGGTATACTCTGCGGCAGCGCCGTCGCGGTCAAAGTCCAGAAGTGCCCAGATCTGATCGCCGCGTGAGAACTTTGCCTCTGCGGACGATTTGGAGGATGGAAACACCTTTTCAATGACACCGACGACGTCGTGTCCGGGGATTGCGCCGCCGTGGGGTTGGAAGCGCGATGGGTCGAGGATTTCTTGCCACGTGAGCTCGCCTCGTGTCAGGGCTGTGAGGAGCACGCGGACCAGGTACATGTGTTCTGAGGCTGATGATGGGCAGACAGGTTCTGGATAACCGGCTGCTGTGTATCGTAGATCAGAGGGGGATGCCGGGTTGTCTGGGAAGTTGAACGGAGGGACTTGTCCTGAAGGGACACTAGGGAGATGAATGGCACGCATGGTGAAACGCTACTACACAGAGACAGATAGAGGTGACAATGGAAGTTGATCTCGTTGTGATATGATTCCCTCTTGTGAAATACATACTCGTACTTGGCTTTATATCGACGTCTCTCGTATTCGGTGTCGGCACTCAAGACAGCGGTAGCCATCCGATTGGCACAGGAACAGCTCGTAGCTGCCTCTTTATTCACTCACTGGCTGCTGGACCTGGACACATGGCATTTGGGGAACCACGTCGGTTCCTAACTGGGTCGACGGTGCACTGGGTACGACTACTCCGCACCTCCGTGGTGAAGTTGAAGTTGACCTTGAGCGCTGGTGACGTCGAAGGGAGGAGTAGTGAAAGACACTCGACGCAGATGATCACGTGTTAAGGGTGCTAGACTTGTTTTCGGTGCCATGGGCCAATAGCTGGACGCTGTGGCGCAGGTTAAACTGGTTGAAGCAGAAGCAAGCCAACTGGGAAATGACGCCGAGGCCCAGCCACGAATTCCTTTGGTTCATCATGGCGCAGCACAGCGATTGCAGCATCGGGCGCCCCAATCAAATGCCACCGTGCATCGTGTACGCCATGACCGTGTTGCCAACCTTCGACGCCGTCCGCACTTCACCTTGACCAGCTGTGTATCTTTGCTTGTGAATCTCTTTCTTCCTGTGGATTGTGTTCCTGTTGTTATCGATTTAGCACCGTTGCTTGCACCTCTTCCGCGGCACGGCCTCCGGGTCGACTTCATCGCGATAGCTTGCAGCTGGTACTGCCTTACCGTCAGGAGATTGCATCAGTGTCCAGCAGTTTGGGCGTACACAGCGACCTGCCAATCGAGTACAAGCCGAGTTCTTGTCTCTTCCTCAGATCCGTCCTCTGTCGAGCCCCGACTTTCCCCTCCCTTGCGGATCTCGAGGCGTCTGTCAAGGCCACAAGATGCCTCTGTCCGATTACTTCACCAGTCCGACCTCGATCTACAATCGCCAACTTCTCAGCAGTCTGGTTCGGCGGGATCAGATACCCTTTGCCGACAATGTAATCGACTTGCTTAAGAAGCCGGCTCCACACTCCGGGCACCCAAGCTTCGGCCACCTGACCCTCCTTGTGTTTGAAGCCGTGCTAGAAGTCGTGTGCGTCAGCTTGCCGGGGTACATCGTGGCACGACAGGGCATGTTTGATGCCGAGGCTCAGAAAATGATGGCCAACCTCAATGTCATGCTGTTCACACCATGCCTGATTTTCACAAAGTTGGCTTCGCAGCTCACGGCGGACAAGCTGGCTGATCTGGCCATCATCCCAGCAATATTCGTTGTTCAGACGTTGGTATCATACGCATGCGCATGGGCGATTGGGAGAGTGATGAAGTTCAAAAAGAGACAAGCTAATTTTCTGATCGCCATGGGCGTCTTCGGCAACTCGAACTCTCTCCCTATCTCGCTCGTTCTATCTCTATCCAAAACACTCAAAGGGCTGCATTGGGACAAAGTACCCAACGACAACGATGAGGAGGTCGGAGCCCGAGGCATACTCTATCTCCTGATCTTCCAACAGCTCGGCCAATTGCTCCGCTGGAGTTGGGGCTACAACGTCCTACTAGCCCCGCCCGACCATTATACCGAGGCCGAGGGGGGCACGAAGAAAGAAGATCGGGCTGAGCGCGGCCGTGGCGGTTATCGAGACGATGAGGAAGATGATGAACCCCGCCGGTTGTTGAGTCCGAGCTACGATGGCGGTCGTGATAGTAACGAGGACTTCGAGCAGTATGAGGATGAGGATGATGACCAGACCCGGATAGGAACCGAGTCTCCCACCACCTCAAAATCCGACGGTCTCAAAACTCCTCGCACGCCGCACAACCGGTCTTCAAGGAATTCACCCCACCGACCCGTGAACGGGTCCGCCAATGGTGCTCCTGAACTGCTCGCCACCCCTGCAAATGGAATGGTAGCTCCTCGCCATCACGTGGACTACCCGGCGTGGCTCCAGTACCCGGACAACAAGAAGTATGATGAGGACTGCGGTGGCATCAAAGGGTACATTAATCAAGGGCGAAATTTCATCCGCTACCATATCTTGAGAGTTGGCCACGGTATTCGCGTCATGTCACGCAGGGCGTTTGAACGCTTGCCAAAGCCTGTACGGAACTTCCTCTCGTTTAGTGCGAAGAAAATTGGAGCCTTTCTGGCTGGAGTGTGGGAATTTATGAACCCACCTCTCTGGGCTATGCTGGCCGCCATCATCGTGGCGTCCGTGCCTACACTGCAACATCTTTTCTTCGACAAAGGGACCTTTCTGGCCAATTCGGCGACACGCGCTGTGCAGCAGAGTGGAGGTGTGGCGGTGCCACTTATCCTGGTGGTGCTCGGAGGCAATCTCGCACGGAACACGATCCCCAAGAACCAGCCAGGAGACATCACCGATCCCACGGAAGAGAAGAGACTACTCTATGCTTCTCTGGTAGCCCGGATGGTGTTTCCGACCATCATCATGGCACCTTTCTTAGCATTGGTTGCCAAGTACGTCCCAGTCAGCATAGTGGACGACAAGATCTTCATTGTGGTGGCTTTTCTGCTGACAGGAGCGCCATCTGCGCTCCAGCTGAGTGCGATCACGCAGACCAACAACGTCTATCCCACGGTCATGTCGAATATTTTATTCCAGAGCTACGTCGTCTGGATCCTACCTTCGACACTGGTATTGGTGCTCCTGGCGCTCGAGACGGTGGAATGGGCAACAACTTGAAACATGGAGTGTGTTAGTATTGAACCTGGGAGGCAGTCTTGCCGAGTTGAATTCGTTGGTGTTGAGCATCAAGGCGCGGCGTCCATGGCGTATCAGCACCCGGATGGGTGGTTTGCCATACAGGCCTATAAGATGGCACTCAATCGTAGTGGTACTGATTGCTTTGCTGCTGATGGACATGCACAAGCACAAGAAGGGTCGACGATAACAGACGATAATCATTACCTCAATGTACCATGACCTCATAATGTGGTATAAACATAGTGGTATAAGAGAGCTTGTGCACCTTCGGCCATGTCGCAGTGGCTGAAACCCAGTCGAGTTGGTGTCATCTGTATAGCACAGATGAGTCGGTGGTCATGAGTGGGTGTGGTCGACGTCGCTGGCCGCGTCAGAGAAGCCTCACACGTATCCGCATCTGCAAGGTGACGTAGAAGACACGTACAGTAACTGGGAAACTGGCCTCACCGATGCCTGGGAGGAATAGCCACGGGGAAGCCTGCAAAAGCACCTAAGCTGGGTCTGGTTAAGGCTGGTTTGCCCGGGACAGCAAAGTAGAAATGCCATACTGACCCTTCCACTCGGGAGCAGTTTGAACTCAATCGAAGTTCATTCGGCACCAACGGTCATGTTTAGACTGTAGTTACTCGTACAATGCGCCTAAGACTTTCACCTGTAATCTCCTGGAGACAGTGATGATTTCATGCCGGTTAATGATGCAGCCCATAGCCTAACAGTACCAAGGTACCTCTACGGATACCTGAACGGATTAGTCGCTTGCGAAACTCGCGGCACTCCTGCGCCTCAAGCCCTTGGTCACTTTCTGCTTCGCATTCTTGGTTGAAGAGCAGTTGGCTCTACTGTATCTCCCTCTCCCCATCGTACTCCGTACACTGGCAGCCACTTGCTACTCGTCCGCCTCGCTTGCTAGTGAGTCTCCTGCACCTATTGCGCTCAAGTCTGCTTTCTACCCCCTGCATCTGGAGGACGGTAGAAACAGATCGACACTCCCAATATCCAGAACCGGCCTGGCTCCATTTCGATCTTACAGACATCTGGAGGTGTTTGTGCCTGACAACCTCCATCATCGTTTCCGCCCCTCCAAGATTCTCTCACGGTCAAACAATTCAGTCCTCTAAACCCACAAATACCGAGTACTGGTAGAACAGCACCGCCGCGCACATCGTCAACGCTCAAATCTCTTAGCTTGGACCGACTGCGAGCTAATCTGGCTGTACTGTGGTACAAACGACTGGAGAGGACACCAAACAGCTTCGAAGAATTAATTCAGTCCACTCCTTTTCGACTACCCCACGACCTACCGCCGCATCACTTCTTCCTTCCATCTCTGCCCGACAGCACTGCACCGTTCTTTCTAACTCAACACCTCCCGCTGGCACAGGAGTCGCATGACGGTCTGAAGAAGCGCAGCCGCGTGCGCAGCCACCTCACAACCATCCGAGAACGGAACCGCTCTTAGTCACCATGGACGACTCATCACTACAGCCGTCCTCTCCCGAAATCTCGAAATCACCCGAAGAGTTGGACACAGAGTCTACTTCACCCACACCTCAATCGCCGACCAGACCTCCATCACTGAGTTCGCAGACCGCAGGAATGGCGTCTTCGATAAGTCCCTCCTCCGCCGCGCTGGGCCCAACCAACGCAGCTAGAAGACCCGGCCCACCACCAACTCGTGCGAGCGGGCTGAACTCAGATATACAAGCAAAAATGAAGGCTTTCTCATTGTCTCGGCAAGGTGCTCCAAGGGCGCCGGCAGGAGGCTTTACTGGCCAACAACCAGGTGGAGGCTTTGCTGGCGGCGCTTTGGCTGGAGGTCCTCCGTCCTCGCCCAATTCTGCCGCTGCCAACCTCAGATTACCCCCCGGCATGCAGCGTCCTGGCCCGCCCAGTTTCGGTGCGTCACCGTCTGCCGGTGGCGGCAGTCCAAGAATGATGAGCCCGCGACCCGGTGCGCCCATGGGCGGACTGGCCGCGAAGCGAGGGCTTAAGCCTGGAGGTATGAAGCTATCGGATGCTCACAAACCTGCCCCTGCTGGTCAGGAGGAGGACAAGGATCAGACAGGCTCACAGTTCAACAAATTCTCTAACATCATCGACACGAAGACGGGCACCCTCAACTTCCAGAACAAGGCGGTCATCCATGGAAGTGGCATTGATTTCGCTGGTGGCAGTACATTTTCGATATCGTTGGATGAAGTTGATACTCTTGCGGAGCTGGGCAAGGGCAATTATGGCACAGTTTTCAAGGTCAGGCACGCCCGCCCCAAGATGAGGCGACCTGGTCTAGGGCTTCGAGGGAACATGATACGGCAATCTTCGGCCTCGATCGCCAAGGACGACGAGGACACGGACTCGCAGGCTGACACCAAAGGCACGAGCGGTCTTGTCATGGCGATGAAGGAAATCCGGCTTGAGCTGGAAGACTCGAAATTCGCTGCCATCATTATGGAGCTGGACATTCTCCACCGTTGCGTATCACCTTTCATCATCGATTTCTACGGCGCATTTTTTCAAGAAGGGTCAGTATACATCTGTATCGAATACATGGATGGTGGCTCCATCGACAAGCTGTACGGCGATGGGGTTCCTGAAGGCGTTCTCAAGAAGATCACGTTGTCTACGGTTATGGGTCTCAAATGCTTGAAAGACGATCACAACATCATTCACCGCGACGTGAAACCAACCAACATCCTGGTCAACACTCGTGGACAGGTCAAGATCTGCGACTTTGGTGTCAGTGGAAATCTTGTGGCTTCGATAGCCAAGACCAATATCGGCTGTCAGAGTTACATGGCTCCCGAACGAATTTCAGGGGGTGGCATGGCTCAAGTGGGAGCTGGTGGTGGCACATACAGCGTGCAGTCCGATATCTGGTCACTCGGACTCACCATCATCGAAATGGCACTTGGCCGATACCCCTATCCGCCCGAAACCTACGACAATATATTCAGTCAGCTAAGTGTATGTTCTTCCCCTCTGCCACTTTTCGTATCAACGCTAACGTAGACGCCAGGCCATTGTAGATGGTGACCCCCCTGATCTACCCGCTGATCAGTTCTCCGAGGCTGCCATTGACTTCGTTCGAGGTTGTCTCAACAAAATCCCTAGGCTCAGGCCGAATTATGCAATGCTTCTTCGACATGCTTGGCTGGCACCGTTGTTGAAGCCACCCACGATCACCGAGGACGAGGAAGGTGAACAAGCCGCAGAGGCAGGTCTTTCGTCAGTCTTTACGAACGGCTCGGCACCAGATACAGCCGACAGGGAAGTGGCGGAGTGGGTCAAAGCAGCCCTCGAGAAGAAAGCCGCCGGCAAATTGGCGTCGCATAAGAAGCCCGCCCTCCACGAAGCTCCGCTGGATGCTGTCCCTGGGAGCCCTCTCCTTACCCATGATGGGGCGGGGCCGCTAGCTTCAGACTCGAACGTCGCTGATATCAAGGCCAATGTTGGTGTCAGGCTGGAGTCGCGCGACTTGCTAGCAGCAAAGGTGCAGGGTGTAGACTTTGCTTCCTCATGACCTAGGCCATGCGGCGGAAGGTATTCATTGTAACGATAACCAGGGGTACGAAGAAACGGCATTCCTTTTGGTAGAGATAAAATTCCTGGGACATGGAATCGAAGACCAATTCTACAACTATCCTTGACGATGAATTCCTAATCGTAGTCAGTCCAGCCGCTTCAGAGGTCTGTTGACTGACGAGCCTGACCGCCTGTACTCGTGCTACTCGTATAATTCTTCGTATCCGATACGAGGATGACGTCCAATGACGTCAGACGCAGCGGCTGCCAGAGTCGAGCAACGTCTGTCGAGTTGGGAATCTCAACTTTCAGGCGCGCTGCATTGTGCCCCACGAGTATTGCTATCCTCTGTAAATGTAACACCCCTTCCGCAGCCAACTCTGTTCTTGGGGCGAGTTTGATGTGTCTTTCGCCGGAACCTGCTGCTGGTCTATCGCGCAGAAATGGGCCTTGTCCGCCGACTGCTCATCTGGGCAGCTGTTGATGGCGTCGTCCTCCAAGCCCATGGCCCAGCTGAACACCATAAAGCAATTCAGATTGATTACAAGAGCCGCCAGATCAGAGAACTGCAGAAATCTGATGCGCTAGCGAAGAAGCCAGCTCCATTGGAAGCTCACGGCATAGCCGGTAGGATTGCCGCGTCTTTCAGTCGAGAAACCGCAGATCGCTCAGACATTGGCAGGATTGCTTTCTATTGCTTCGTCGTCCTTCCTTGTCGCGATTACTCAGCGTGAACAAGTCGCGCAGGTGTTTGGCAGACCGGTCTATGTAATCACCAATGTTGCAATCGTCCCACTGTCTTCTCAGACCGAAGCCAATCGAGCCATCGCCACAGCAATCGAGGCTCTATCCGCGTCGGAAAGCTCTACAACCGACACGGACACGGACGTGAGCGACACAGAGGCCAACAACTCCAATCCGCGCGACCATCCCGAGCCTGAGACACCCATTGATTCGACGCCTCCACAGAGGCAGTCTTCCAAACCGACCAGCGTTGCCAGGGATGTTATTGCCAATCGAGGCCAATATGGACGGTTTGCTGCTCAGTGGTTCTCCAGGCAGGGCTGGAGTGGAGCAAATAGCACGAATGCCCCAGCTATTTCAAAGCAGGATGACCACGGCAAGTCGACCAGCCCGTCCACGGAGGCCGACCCAGCAGTGGCCGCGAATCAGCCTGAAAGCAGCGAAGACATCGAGGCAAAAGAGCAGGCCCATGAGAAGGATGCCGAGCAGCTGATGGGCGGCGCTTCCATAACAGAAGCTATCCCTAAAATCCTTCGACGAACCAGGATGCTCCTGACGTCTGGAAGCTATTTCTTCTCCTACGACTTTGATCTCACACGGAGACTGGCAGTCATGAATGGTAGACCAGAACCTCCATCAAGAGAGACACTTGACCCTCTGGTACGCTACTACTCTCGGATCTGAAAATGGGAATGGCTGACTTGTAATTTAGTACTTCTGGAATCGCCGCATGCTAGGGCCATTCCTTGACGCACGGCAAGATTCATGGATGATGCCCATCATGCAGGGATTTATTGGCCAAAGGACTTTTGTCGTCAAGAGAGCAGAGCCAGAAAACCCACAGTCGGCTTGCGTAGTGGATGCTGAACACGATGGACAATCCGCTGGAGTACAACACGCTATCAATCACGCTAAACAAGCCCTTGCGGATCACAACGAGGAGACCCAGTCCTATCTCTTGACACTGATTTCGCGGCGGTCGGTCAAGCGCTCGGGGCTTCGATACCTGCGCCGCGGACTCGATGACGAAGGCAACTGTGCCAACGCAGTCGAGACCGAGCAGATTCTATCCGCTCCTGATTGGTCTCCATCGAGACGGATACGGTCGTTCGTTCAGATACGTTCCTCTATACCACTTTATTTTTCTCAATCGCCCTATTCCTTGAAGCCGACGCCGATGTTGCATCAGTCCGGTGCCAAAAACGAGTCAGCAATGAAAAAGCACTTCCAGGATCTCAAGAGGCGGTATGGTGCCGTTCAAATCGCATGTCTGATCGACAAGCATGGCGCAGAGAACACTATTGGTGTCCCATTTGAGAAAACTCTGCGTTCGCTACAGGAGTTCGACCAACTCGAGGACGTCCAGTTCGAGTGGTTTGACTTCCATGCCGAGTGTCGAGGGATGAAGTTCGAAAACGTGTCGAGGCTTGTAGACAAGCTCGAAGACACGCTCAAGAAGTTTGGAGAGACGGTGATATCCAAGGACGGAGTTGAGTCCCCTCAGTCAGGCATCGTCCGCACCAACTGCATGGATTGCTTGGACCGGACTAACGTGGCAATGAGCGCCTTTGGCCAGTACATGTTACAGACAGACCTGGCCAGGGAGGGATTCGTCATCGATCTGCTGCACGATGAGACGACCACCTGGTTCAACACTTTGTGGGCGGACAATGGAGACGCGATATCGCGCCTGTACGCGTCCACAGCAGCACTGAAAGGAGACTTTACCCGCACTAGACGGCGCAATTATCGTGGAGCCTTGAATGATTTCAGCCTCACACTGACCCGGTACTACAACAATATGGTGAATGACTACTTCTCACAAGCAGTCATTGACTTTCTACTTGGCCACACGTCTTGGAGGGTCTTTGAAGACTTTGAAAGCAGCATGATGGCCAAAGACCCGGGCATATCGATCGACCAAGCCCGACAAGCCGCGATCGATAACTGTGCCAAGCAAGTCATACAAGGCAAGAACGAAGATCTGATCCACGGCTGGACCATGTTGACCCCGGCGCATGAAAACACACTCCGAACATTACCCTTCGAGGAAGCTGTTGTGCTGCTGACCGACGCGGCCCTGTATTGTTGCAAGTTTGACTGGACGACGGAGAAGCTCGCCTCGTTTGAGAAGGTTGACCTCCGATCTGTCTCGCGAATCCAGTATGGGACATACGTCACTTCGACGTTCAGCGAACGCCAAATGAGAGAGGAGCTCAATGCCGGACTGGTCGTAACATATCATCCTGGCAAAGGGAGCAGCACCATCCGGACCATGACCCGATCCTTACAGAACTACGTCCCGCCCAAGACTGACGGCCCAGAGAGCCGCATCGATGGAGGAACTGGTATCCTCTCATGGCTCAATCCTGCTTCAGCTCCTACAACGCGCAAATTGGCCATGAAGGTTATTCCGGCCGCGACCACGGATGCCGATCAGTCCCCGGGAAACCGCCCCAAGGCGGCAATCGTGGAGGCTGAAGAAGTTGCAGACAACATCAAAAGGGCCATTACAGGAAACACCGAGCAAGGTGGCCAGGAAGTAAGTGATCTGGTCGAGCAGGCGGATATCATCTCGCTCGAAGAAGCGAAGAGGCGAACTGGTTACTTTGAACAGCTGGGTCACTCCATCAGGAAGATGGTCTGGACGTGAAAGCGTATTCTTAATCTGGTTTGCGCTCATTCTGACTCTCATGCATAGCACTTGAATAGCGATAGGAGTCTGGAGTACGGAGTAGGGGAGGGGGTTTGCACCCGCCTTAATGGAAACCCAGCCCCCACTAAGTCATCATTCTGGATCAACCATTGGCGGGGAATTAATGACGCTAGTGCTCGGGACGCTAGCGACCGATCTGGGTCTTGTTCACCATTGTCGCAGAGTTTCACTTCTCCAAATCGCATGAACTGCATTTGTCCAAGAATCGCCCTGTGAAGGCCTTGTCCATGTACTGCGAAGGTTCTTGAGGGAGTAGTAGGCGATAGTGAGTCCTAAGAGATCTGTGGTGTTGTGTCTGTCATGTATGCCTGACCGCCAATCCGTGAAAAATCTGGGGTTTGGAGAAAAAGTTCCCACTGACTTCAAGTTCAGGTTCACGGCAACGTGAGAGAAGAGTGAACCTACCTGCCACCTCACTTCACCTTCGACTCTTTGCGCCGGTCGTGACCTTTGCCAGCAGGAGACGTCACCGAAATATCCAAAGCCCGGCATAGCGTCCACATCAAACCTCGTCGCAAAACGTCGAACCCATCCCGCTGAAGCGTGATCGAAGAGCCCGTGGGCGACGGTGCCCGTCATGGCGTGGCGACCGGAGGAGGATGGATTGAGACAATTGTCAGAATATCTGAAGAACTCTCTCAGTGGCCATGACAGGGACAAACAGAAAGAAGCTGAGCTGGTACGTCGTCGATCGGTCTGAACCCTGGCCGGGACAAAATCCAGGGTAACCAGACCCATGCGGGTCTCTCAGACCAGTCCGGACCTTTCAAGAGTAGGACACCTGGCTAACTCAACGCTCCGCCGAACCTGCAGATGCTCATGAACGCGCGCAACAATAATGACTTTGTCAACTACCTCACCTACATCTTCAGCACACCGGAGCTCAGCCGGACACTCAACCTGGCAGCACCTAGTCTCTTCCTCATCCGATATGCCGCTGCTGTCAATCTCAAAAACCACATCAAACTCTTCTATTCTCAGATCCCGCCAGACCAACTAGCATACATTAAAGTGGCAACGCTCAACGTTCTTCGCGATGCGAACTCCCAGTTGCGCAGTTTCGCGGGGACGGTCATCACAGAGACGGTACAACAAGGTGGTCTACTACAGTGGCCGGAGATATTGCAGGAACTACTGGCTCTCGTCAGCAACAGCGGCGGAAATGTTTCGGTAGAGACACAGGAGGGCGCTATGGGCGCATTGGCGAAAGTGTGCGAGGACAACAGGAAGCTGTTGGACAAGGAATTCCAAGGCCAACGACCCATGGCCGTGATTGTGCCCAAGCTGTTGGAGTTTGCTAGCCACCAGAACCCCAGAGTCAGGACCTTCGCGCTCGGCACTCTCAAATCCTTCATTCCGCAAAAGTCCCAGGTTCTGTTCTCAGCGTTGGACGTCTACCTCCAAACCATCTTCCAGCTTGCATCAGATCCGGACGTGCAAGTCAGACGCATAGTGTGCCAGTCACTTGTACAGCTCGTGGATTCGAGACCGGACATGCTCATCCCTCACCTTGAAGGCTTGGTGAACTACATCCTCGCCCAGCAGCAGTCGGCCGATCACCCGGAGCTCGCCCTAGACGCAGCTGAATTCTGGCTTAGTGTCGGCGAGCAAGACCAGCTACGCGATCAGATGGGGCCTTATCTGGAACGTATCATCCCGGTTCTCCTCGCAGGCATGGTTTACGGAGAAGAAGACGCCCTGAGGCTCGGAGGTGATGAGAACAACGCAGATGTTGAAGATCGGGTCGAAGACATCAAGCCTCAATTTGCCCAGACAAAGGCTGGCAGAGGTGTTGTGTCGGTCAAGGACGAAGAGTCGGCCCCGGGCACGCCCCAGCGCAACGGGACACCGCAGCCTAACACCGACCTCGAGGAAGGGGAAGTCGACGACGACGACGAAGACGAGGATGATTGGGATGATGAGGATCCTGAGAACGCATGGAGCCTCCGTAAATGCTCCGCCGCCGCACTGGATGTCTTCGCTGTCAACTATCACTCGGCCGTGTTCAACATCATCCTGCCGTATCTCAAGGAGAACCTGTCGCACACCCTGTGGCCGAAACGTGAAGCTGCGGTGCTGGCCCTGGGCGCCATCGCAGAAGGCTGCATGGAAGTCGTCTCTCCTCATCTGCCCGAACTCGTTCCTTTCCTCATCTCCCGCCTCTCTGATGAGGAACCTGTCGTCCGCCAAATCACCTGCTGGTGTCTAGCACGATACTCCGAATGGGCTGCCCGCCTCGAAACGCCTGCCGAAAAGCAGCGATATTTCGAGCCCATGATGGAAGGCCTTCTGCAGCGCATGCTCGACAATAACAAGAAGGTGCAAGAAGCAGGTGCCAGCTCGTTCGCCTCGCTCGAGGAGAAATCCGGGGACAAGTTGAAGCCCTATGTCGAACCGATCCTACGACAGTTCACCGAGTGCTTCAGAAGATACAAGGACAAGAACATGTACATATTGTACGACTGCCTGCAGACCTTGGCAGACAATGTCGGACCAGAGATCGCCAAGCCGCCGCTCGTCGAGCTCCTTATGCCGGTGCTGATCGAACGATGGAATAAGATCCAAGACGACAGTCGCGAGATGTTCCCTCTGCTCGGTTGTCTAGGTTACATCGCCATGGCTTACGGGGATAGCTTTGCGCAATTCACGCCGCCCATTTTTGACAGATGCATCAAGTTGATCTATGCGAACTTGCAGCAGCACATGGCCTTTATGAGTGGCCAGACTGTCGACCAACCCGACAAGGACTTTATCGTCACGGCGCTGGATTTGCTCAGTGCCATCATCCAAGCCATTTCACCGGAAAAGTCGGCCCCGCTCGTTCAAAACTCTCAACCTCAGTTCTTCGACCTGTTGAGTTTCTGCATGGAGGATCCCACCACGGACGTGCGACAATCCGCGTACGCAGTGCTGGGTGACTGCGCGATCGCCTTGTATCCATCACTCGACCCGTACCTACCGAAGCTGATCCCGATCTTGATCCGCCAACTCGACCTTGACGCCATTCCTGACACGGACTCGGAGAACGGCTTCAACGTCCTGGCCAACGTATGTTGGTCGCTCGGGGAGATCGCCGCCCGGGCCCCCACGTCCCGGCTGGACTCGTACGTCGAACCTCTGTATCGCGGCCTCCTGTCGTTGATCACCAACGAAGAGGTCCCCGACGCGGCGAGCGAGAATGCCGCCACGGCCCTCGGACGCCTCGGCCTGACATGCCCCGCCCACTTGGCCCCGTTCCTGGGCGAGCTCGCCGAGCCGTTCCTCCAGTCGATGAGCAAGATCAGCACGTCGCACGAAAAGGCCTCGGCGTTTGTCGGCTTCAACAACATCCTCGAAAAGAACCCGCAAGCCATGGAGCAGTCGCTGGCGACTTACATGGGCGCGATCGCGCAGTTCCCGCTCAAGGGCCGCCAGGGCCAGGAGTACAACGACGTAAGGGCCAGTTTTGCGCGCGTCATCGACGGCTTCGGCGGCTTGATCGGCAAGGAGCGATTCGAGGGGTTCGTCGCCGGCTTGAGCGCCCCGGTGAGGGCCAAGTTGAGGGACGGGTACGGCGTTGGCGTGGGCGGTGGCGGTGCATGAGCGAGGGAACCTTTTGCGTCCATGTGTGCATGGTGCCCACGGGTCCATACGTTGGAGCTACACTAGCAAGATACAGGAATAGAGGCAAAAGAATGGTCGTGCTCGTGCTCGTGCTCGTGCTCGTGCTCGTGCTCGTGCTCGTGCTCGGGGAGAAAGCAGGCGAGCTGCGAGGGGGTGATATGACGGACGATGGATCATGCATGGCAGTACAGAAACACCATTGGATGAGGCTGGGGAGGAGGTGGGAGGCGATCAAGTATGTGAACGAGCATCATTGGCATACACGGGCACGAAACGGCATGAACGACTGGTATGAATGCATGGCATGAAAAAGCAGCGAGATGTGCCAACGTTGATGACGCTGAAGAAGACTTGAGCCCGGACGAGCCACCGAGGCGGCACGCCGGGCCTGCAAGAGAGACCAGACGAGATGCCCGAGGCACGTGGCCCTCCCACGAACTGAACTGAACTGAACTGAGCTGACTTGAGTAATGAATCCAACTTTACGTAGAGCGTGCCCTTTGCGATGTTCGTCCCAATGTAGATAGATTAACGTAGCGTAGAATAGATACCTAGGTAGGCACTCACCCTCGTAGCGCAAGGTAGTAAGTAGCATGGCGATTTGGTGTCTAGCGTTGCATATCACGATTGTCAAGAGTTGCGGGAGCGGGACGGCTAGAGCAGCCACATACGGCATTGATTTTGAACTTTGGTTGAGCAGCAGCAGGATAGCATTGAACGAAGACTAAAGTAGGGAGACACCAACCGTCTTGCACTTACAAGCAAGCAGCCTTGGTATCCGAATGCTAAATGCTGCCTTCGCACCAACAGAACTTGAGATCCCGCCCAACTTCTAGACTCCATTTGGACTTGATTGAGGAGTCGGAAGTCGATTCGACCCGGTGATTTCGAAATACAATATGTCAAAAAAAAAGCGAAGAGGTATGTCCTCCTGTGTCAGTTGCCCTCCTCCCAATAATGTTTGAACCTGCCTTGAGCGTGCTCCACTCACCCGAAATGCCCGACATGCCTTTCACTCACCAAAGGCGCAACTTACGGACACGCCGTGGTTCGAGCCCCTTAGAATGATAATAATTGGTGGCGAAGGAGAATGTCAGCCGATCGAGAGTCGCGTGACTTAGCTGAAGATGGCTCCAATTCGCAGTCTCTTCCAGAGACGACTTGTGCCGATATCGATGGCCGACATGCTGGTCGACGCGAGCAGACTCGTGCACTTGTTCCTACACAACAACTGTATTCTGTGCGGGTGTAAATGCGTACTTGGCCAACTTTGCCATCCTCTCTTCAGGACTTGTCTCGTTATCGGAATAGACCAACCTGGTTGATTTTGGTTTCTCCTTCTCCTTATCTTTCTTGGGTCCTGCTTTATCTTCAACGAGCTCGGTTGCAGCAGGAGCAGGGGCTGTGGGCGTAGCTGTCTTGGCGGAGGCAGCGGCAGCGGCAGCTGCAGCGTTGGCGTCTGCTTGCTTAGAGGCATTTGCGATCAGGTCGTCAAGAGAAGAAGCGGCTTCGGCAGCGGCGGGAAGCTGTGGAGGAGGTCCTGCAGCTGTACTTGATGCAGCTTGGCCTGACGCGTACTGCGACACAACGTTATGTGATTGTGAAGCAGGGAGCTGACCTTGATGCATTTGTTGAAATTGAAAAGCATTGACTGGTGGAGCACCAAACGCTGGTCTCTGTGGCAATCCTGGAGCAGAAGGTAGACTTACACTGCCAGTACGTACTGGTGCAGGAAAATTACCGTTTGTAGCAGGAGAAAGTGATTGCTGTACAAGAGGCGGAGGTGGCTGTGGAAATCCGGGAGCTGGAGAGCCAGGGTAAGGTGGACGAGGGAGAGCATTCGGCTGACCAAGGAACGACTGACCTGGATACTGTGGTATATACTGAGGCGGTGAAAAGCTTGGTTGTGGTGGATACCCGACAGGTGATGACTGTTGCTGGAAAGGCGCTGTTGGTGGTGGAGCATATGGCTGTTGGCCATACGGCTGGGGGTAGCCTGGCTGTCCAGATTGTGGTATCGGCGTCTGACCATAGGCTCCAACTGCAGGCGGAGAGGCTATGGTAGGATAGGTAGGCGGTGGCTGATAGGCAGTAGAGGCAGGAGCAGGTGGCTGCGGAAAAGATGGAGGCTGACTGTACGAACCGTTGGTTGGTGGCACGGTGTACGGCTGTTGGTATCCAGGATAAGCGGGTGTTGCGGCCTGCAGGTTGTATGAGTGAATGTGATCAAACAGGGACTTCAGATGACCTACCGGATTCGCTTGAGGTTGAGAAAGTTGAGCAGCGGCAGGAGTCTTCGGGGTGTTGCCACCGCTAGATCCCCCTTCGCCATTTTCAGCTGCCAGCTTTGCAGCTTTATGCGCGGCCAATCGTGCCTTGATGTCGGAAATCTGCTCAACCTTGGGTTTCTTGGGAGCGCTTGGTACCGGGCCATTTTGCGCATTGTTGCCGGTCGCTGCCTGTCGTTCAGCTTGAGCTTGGTGGAAGTTAGTCAAGACGCGTTGGTTGTGTTGTTGAACAATATCTTCGGGGATTCCTTCCATGCCAAAGATCTCTATATCGAGACCGACGCGATTGGGAAGAGCATTGTCGACGGCAGTGAGGTTCTCCTTGTGGACCTGACTCATGTGAACACTCAAGCCTCCTGCGGTATTCAGTCGCCGGCCACATCTTTCACATTTGAAGTGTTTTGCTTTCTGATGATTGATGAGAATCTTGAGGTCGTCGAAGTCGCGCTCGCAATAGTAGCACCAGGGTCGCGAGAGGACTTCTTCGACATCGGGATGATGACGCTTCTTCTTGGTCATGTTGGAACGGGACTCGGAGGGAAAAGGTGGCTGGTTCAGCTGGAACAGGGGTGTATGAACAGGGAGAGTGGTTGCGCGTAAGATCTGCCGAAGAGCGAAGGGGATCTTGAACAGTAGAATAGGAGAGGTGTGGCGCAGAGTTGAAAGAGAAAGCAGTGTGGTGACCCGAGGATAGGCAAACCGGCGCGAAGTGAACGGTGAAGGTGACGGAGTGATGAAAAGGACGAGCCGCAGTTGCTCCTGCCAAGACAATTGCCGGGCCGAATTTGATTAGACGCAGCCTTGGGCAGCCTTGCCGCAATGATTACGAGGAACGCAGTACCTGATTGGTCGCCTCCAGCCACCCCTCACTACCGTCGCCACCACAGCCAATGCTTTCTTTGTGCCATTGCACACGCAGCTGCCAAGTGCGCAGATATATTGTGCATCGTCTACTCCGTACAGGTAGTAGTCTATTGCCCTTCACCATGAACCATTGCCTGCGACTGAGGACATTAAGCAACTGGGTGTCACGAGGTTGGTGAGATCCGGCACCCAGGGATCTCGATCAATGCTTCCCGCCTCCCTTCTTCTCCGCCTCCATCCTCTTCACCACTCGGTCGAAACGGGTGAAACACCCACCACCTTCCAATAGACAATCCAGGACCCAGCACCACCAGACAGCCGTGCCCGTTTCGACCCAATGCCTACTCAAGCGCCGGTTGATGAACCATACCGTCTCGCCAGAATGTAGCACGACGATGATCGTCAAAACCAGCGGCGAGAGTGTGTAACTCAATCCAGCCAGCCAGGGCGCCCGCCCCCCGAGACTCCAGATCTTTGCAATGACGGATCCAGACTCTGGTCTCAACGAGTCGCGGAATGGAAAGGTCGAGAGAATCAGCACGCACAAGCCGCTGAGCATCCACTGCCACACACGATCGGGCGGAACGTAGTTCTTGACCATCACGTTGGACACGTCCAGTTCCTTAAGGCACAAGTTGTGCATGTCGACCAGCCGTTCGCGAGCTTCCATAAGAGAGTTCATTGGCGGCTCGAAGGGGATCACGTGGCGCCCGTAGCTGGATTCCACGATGATGTGTTCGGTCGTGATGTCTAGCATCTGGGCCGAGATGGTGCCCGAGGAAGGGACGTGAGAGTAATGTTGCAAGTAGAGGCGTAGTGAGAGGTGGTGATCGGCATTCATGTGCGTGAGGATGCGGTTCTTCATAGCTGCTGCGTCTGGAGGTCCACGTGCTGCCGGCGTAGGCGCAGGAGGCGGTGCTTGAAACGTCGCCATTTCAGGCTCATGTAACCAGAGGGGAGCTATTGGTGGAAGACACGCCGGGTGGTCTTTTTCGAACGCAAAGCAGTCTCCGAGATAGACGTCGGCCCTACTGTCTTGAGAGCGTCAGTCTCTGAAGCCTGAGGGTACTAATTATCGCGCCAGTAATCAGTCTTCCGGCTAGCAACGTTTCAATGCTCCGCGATGACTTTCTTCTTTCTCGTCGACAGAAAGCGCAACCCGTAGGCTGATGTATTGTCCAGTGCTCCTCAAAATTCAAAGCATTGCGGCAGCAACATCGAACCCCGATGCCGGACCGGAATGAAATGCCAAGAAGAAATATCACGACTAGTCCCTTTTTGGACGAGATTGATGCCGCCCTGTGATTGATACCTCAGTTTGTACTGTACGGAGTGTCTCTGACAGGAAGGCAGTTCATATACTCAGTCGGAAACCGAGCTGTCTTCTAAGTCTTCAAGTCTCTAACCACGCAAGGTAGAGATTGCTGCTACACGCCCTCTACCAAATCCTCTCCCACGTCCTCCTGATTATGTTCATCTGCGCCAATCTCGCCTTCTCCACCTCCTCGAATCCACCGTCCTCCCATTCTTTACATTCCTCGTCAATCTCGGCCTTGCCGCTCCAGATGTCACACGTCTTGGGATTCACCCATTTCGTGCGCTTCACCACCTTCCAGAAAACGAACATGAAGACGCCATACGCGAGCCCAAAGTAGCTGGTGACAAAGCCCTGCGTGCTCCACGGCACAAAGCAGTCGAATCCGATGAACAGCATGACAACGCAGCCGACACCGATAGCTAGCCACGCGCTGTATGGTGCAAGGGGCGCCTTGTAAGGGAGACTGTTGCGGTCGATTCCTTGAGCCTTGAGAGCACGGTACCAACCAATGTAGGTCCACAGCATGCCCACGTACGTAAGTATAAATGTGATGGTACAAATCGAGATGAACCAGAAGAAGACCGTCACCGCCGAGTTGGAGGCGACAAGGTATGTGATCAGAGAGATGACGGTGACCACTAGAACGCAATAGGTTGGGATCCCAGATTTCGTACACTTCATCAAGAACTTGGGTGCCTGACCGTCTCGAGCAAGTGAATACAGGGTTCGGCTGGTGGAGTACAGATAGGCATTACCGCAGGAGAGGCCCGACAGCAGGATGAGGGCGTTGATGAAGCTGGGGAGGCCGGTGATGCCCAGATTCTGGATCCCGACGACCCAGGGCGAAGCGGCTGCTCCAGCTTTCCCGTCGCTGATTGCACTGATCAGTCGGGCATCTCGAGACGAGCAAATGATCCCGACACACAACACGCCCACAACATAGAAGCCGACAAGCCGGTAGAAGACGAGACGAGCAACGCGGGGGATCGTTCGTCGCGGATTTTGGATCTCACCCGCTGCGAGGGAGATCAAGTCTGGTCCGGAAATGGTGAACGCGGCGTATCGGACCACGGCGAAGAAGCCGAGGAAGCGTCCTGTCGTGCCGGTGGTGTAATATGGGTGCATGGCCATTCCGTGTTTCCAGTAGCGAAATCCATACGCATCATGTTTCGGGTTCCCGCCAACCATGGTGATGAATGTAAGGAGTATAAGTCCGATGATAAGGAGAATTTTGGTCGATGCCATGATGAATTCGGACTCGCCGTACCACCTGCATTGCCATGATTAGAACGTGAGGAATTTTGCGTGATCTGCATCACAGACTTACCTCACAGCCACAAGGTTGAAGAAGACGCAGACCACCAGAGCCATTGTAACCCAAACAGCCGCATTCACGTCGGTGTTCCAATAAGTCATGACTGTGGCGACAGAAGAGTACTCGGTGCACACAAGCATCGCCCCAGCAAAGAAGTAGGTCCAGCCCATGGCGAATCCCAAAGCCGGGTCAACGTATCGGCCGCTAAGCTCGAAAATGGTGCCTCGTACGGGCAGCCAGGCGAGCATCTCTGCCACCAGTATGTAGGAAGGCCAGATAAAGAGAAGGCCCCAGAATAGGTAGCCCAGAAGAAGTGAGAGCGGGCCAGCGTTCTTGAGACTGCCACCGATGCCCACAAAAAGGGCCGTTCCGATGCTACCACCAATGGCCATCAATTGGACGTGGCTATTGTACAATCAGCACTGCACACGTGTCGCGGTAAAGGCGGAGGCATTGAATGCCGCTGGCACCGTCGACACACTTCTGCAGACACACTCACCGAGGCGTGAGACCTCTCTTAGTCTGACGATACTTGGCCCATTCAGTCGCGGAAAGGCGTCTCCCATACACCTCGCCTTCTTGCAACGGCTCTTCCGAGACGATGACCGCCTCTCCATCGCAGATCTGCTTGCTATCTTTTTCGTCGTCCATATTGCCACGGAGGTGTATGTGCCGACGGGGATATGTTCCAAGTGGGATCGCCGTGGTACTTATATACCCGAGCAGAGATAAGGACCAGAGATGGGAAGTCGTCCATATCGGATCCCGAACAGTTGGTGTACATCCAAGGAGTGGAAATTGCGGGCATCTCCACGATTGACCGGGATGTTTGATATCCGGAGTCTAGTCCCCAGACCACGGCGACTCGCCAGGAAATAAGATAGGCAGGAATGGTTAAGCGCTCCAAGGCCATCATCACCTCTTCTCGGTGTTCCGGAAAGAAAACACCACGTGCCTGCCATGCTGTCATCCAGCACTGTGGCATACGGTAGCCTAGTCAATCTCATAACCGATTAACAGGCTTGTGCTTTGGAAAGAGAGCAACACTGGCAAAGCCGACGTAAAGGTGCTGATCGTCTATGCAGTCACATTTTGGGGTTCCGCTAGTTGTGCCAAGCCCGGGCTTTGATACTGCAACCGGCAAGGTCAAGGCGGTCTTGGTGGCTTTATCGCGAAGCCACGCAGCTTATCTTTCTCACGTATTTGCCCCTCCCGGGGATCGCGCGAGAAAGAAGTAGGGTGCATTGGAACTTTCTGAACGGAGTAGTGGCTCGATATCTTGTCGACATCCAGGAGTCCAGATCGCGCAGCCTTGGTAGGCATCATTCGCGTACTTCCACGTGGAAGGAGACCGGTCTCGATCCGTGGTCGATTGCCCGTATGATCGGGACTGCATTTCGTTCTTCCGATGGTCCCATTTTCAATTGGAAGAGGTGTCTTGAACTCGTCTCAAGGAGCACCGGCGAGAGCAGTTGTGTGAATTCCGCAGGGCGAAGATGTCCGTGGCTTGGCCAGCGTGGAGTTCCTAGAGCTAACTCTCAAGCCTATTTCCCGTTCTTCCTGATGCTTGTGTATGGCTCACATGGTGGAAACAGACTCGCCACGGACTGACAGAACCGAGCAGCATTTCCAAGCGTCTCACAAGTTCTTGAACACTTGAAAAGAGATACTTTCCAGCATACGCTTGTTGGCGGAATCTGGCGCTTGTCGAGCGCGTAACTGCCGCTCGAACCAAGTTTGACTTCTGTGTGCCGTGGCGGTCACAGATAGGCCGCATCATTCATGTTTCGCCACTCTGTTGTACTGGTCACTCTTCCATTATCGTCGTAGTCAGTGCAGAGTGGCAGAAGGGAGTCATGAAAAGGGCATTCTCTAGTGGAAAGCAAGGTCTAGAGGCTGCAGGAGATCAGGTTGGTGAACTCGGTACTGGAGGTCCTTTGTAGGACATTCTTGAGTTCATCGGGTTAGAAGGTGCGGATTCTTGTCCATGGAAGGCTCCATGGGCAATAGAATGGGATCAACGATGAAGTAAGTAATTAGATGGTGTATTGCAGAAAAGGAAAGCGTGATCACTGTGTGTCGCGAGTATGGCCTTCCACTCTGTACGGAAATGCACAGTCATGATGCAGACTTCTGGACATTGACGCTACCAAGAGTCGAGTAAGGCGGAACGGCCCAAATAGAAGCGTACTTCAAACAATGCGCACGAACGAGTCCATAGAATTTGAAGGACGGAATAATCACAACATTGTTGGAAATATTGACTTGTCAGCCAATTTCATCCATGGGAGTCGGGTCGTCCGAGCGAGTATTGCTGTCAGCGAAAGTCCTTGTGGATGATCCGCTTCGAGAGAGAGGTATGGACCAGACACTGAATGCCACAAGGTAGTGATACTTCGTATGCATGAGTGCCTCATGCAGGAAGGAAATGGACCGGCAAGAAAAAAACTTGAAAAGCAGGTCAAGCGGGGTACGTCGTGACCTATCACGTGACTATCAGCAGACGAGGGTCAGCCTCCACGTGACCTCGAAGCGGGTGTTTCTTGCCTCCAGCTTCTGCTTGTACATTCGATAGACAGCAAGGAGAGCAACCCCAACCAAGTCCTATTGCAGTTCAAACAGGGTCAATCAACAGTCCAGGACGCGTCGCGAAGCAGCCAAAAGCATCCCAGCGGCGGATGCCACCCGTAATTTTGACAAGAAGCATAAACAACTGCCCTCGCGGTTCTGAGCTAACATATTTATATTCCCGTCGCAACAAAGGAGATGCTGCTAAATATGTGGCCAGATTCTGACAAGGTATCCATCTAACAGATGTATGAGAGATACTTTCTGCTCTCTGCTCTCTGGGCCCGGATGTGCCTTCTCTCGAATTGAGCACGTGCTTCTGCTCCTGTAACGTCCATGTCATGGTGACGCTCTCTGCATTTGTTTGCCTCTCAGCCATATCCAACATCGTAACCCATCACATCGTAGCTCGTCTCAAATGTAGTCTTGCCTCCTGATGAGGATATAAAGAGCCGGCCGTGCATATCTATGTCTCTTTCGAGGCGTATGTAGTGCTTGTATAGCACACGGCGCGACTCGACTCGGCTCTGTCTCGTTGCTTCGGTTCCGCCGAGCCTGTCTTCGACCAGCTGGACTTGCAGAGAAACAGCCTGCATACTGAAATTTCTAATCCTACACTGTGGGTATCCCAGTGCTCTGGGGGTTTCCTTCAACCATTCCCGACACCGTCGCTGGCAGCAGCATGCGCAAAGAGCAACAGTTCGGCGTTTTGTGGATTTGACGAGTTCACAGCATGTGTCTCGCGCCAGTCCAGCAGCGCTTCATGTACGGCCTCGTCACTATCGATCAGGATGAAGTCGCCATCTTCGTCCCGATAGCGTAACCGAACCGAGCCCGATGCAATAGAATGGCTGGTGAACCTTGCCAGCTTTGCGTCGATTCGGTCTGCCAAGGACCGAAACTGGATATTGCTGGCTATTATCATCGAAACGTAGTTCTCTTCGAAACAGACCTTCGCTTTGAGCTGACTTGGGATGTACGAATCTCCGTCACTCGACGGTGACGAAATTGGAGGCGAAAAGGCTCGGCTCTGTGAGAGAGATGGTGCGTGTCCGGGCCGTCTAGCATCAGGACCGTAGGGCGGATCATAGCTATATCCATGATTTGGCATGCCAGGACGCACCGTCTGGGGTAGCCCGTACTGCTGGTGAGGAGTCCCGCCGCGCGAAGGCGGCCCATTATTCGGCGAATTGCTTTGGCTCCTGCTAGGAGGCGCCATCTGCTTTGCCATGTGCGCTGGGATAGGGGGCACATTTGGTACATTTTCAGATGAAGTGTACTTACGGCTCTGTTGAATCATAGGATGCACATCGGGACTGCTTGCCGATCGCATGCGAGGAGGCCCTATACTGGGCCCGGACGAAGGTCCTCGACTTCGACCACCGCTCAAGTACGGATTACCATTTGATTGCCCATTCGGGTTTCGAGCCACGGCAGGCGCCGTGTTCCGGTAGGATTCGGGCGCATACATGCTTCCACTGACCGGAGTGGTGCCACGCTGGTAGCCTGCAAAAGCAGACTGCGAACTTGACCGGGCTGACATGGAGGATCCTGGTGGCGTATCCCGATCGATAGGGGAGAAGTACGAGCCGGCGGGATAGTCTTGTGGAGACGCCTGCGGCAGACCTCGAGTATTGAGCGAAAGGCCGCCTATCTCAGCGGTCGGAACCCGCATGCGCCCTGCCGACATATGAGGACCACTACCACCACTCCCGTTGGTGGCGGATCGTGACCGCAGACTGGTGCTTGACGCGTTTCTGCTCATGCTGAATTCCGAAAAGCCGTTGACTTCTGTGCCGCCATAGGTGGTTCCAGAGAGTCTGCTGTAGTCATCATCCTCGTCTTGAGCAAGGTACGGGTTCTCGAGATTGGCGCCCTGTAATGACAGGAGATGCGTCTCAGATATGCCCCTCGACTTGGCCTCCAGCATGCAGGACGAACGCTGGGTCTCGATCATGTTGTGCCATTTCTGCAGGGTGTCGTCGTTTTTGAACTTGATGATGAATGTTTCCACCGCAGGCTCACCTTTCCATGATATCTGCAAAGAATAATTGCCGGGACTCGTTTGCGGCGTGACCGAGGTGACGTTGGTGAAGTAGATTCGACCCTTCAAGTTCATCTTTGGCTTGCCCCGAAGACTGAGCGAGGGCTTGTTGTTCGCCAATCTGTTCTTGGGCTTGTTGGCATTGACATCCTTGCACATGATCAAGATGCGGCTGAAAAGGTAGATGTGATACTCCTTCTCCTCCGACCGCAGACCGCTGTCCTTCATCACATTGAATGTTCCAAGTAGAAGCAGTTCCCCAAACGAGGATATTTGTAGTTGTTTCCAGTCGTCGATCCGCTCTTGCAGATCTTGGAGAGCGTCGTCCCTGGTCTCTTTGTCGATAGAAGCATCCGCCTGCATCAGCACGTCTTGAATGATTGCGATGGCGTTTGTGATGTCGGACTTTAGCTGTTCGTCTGGCGTTTGATTGAGAAGATCCTAGGCAGGTCAGTTACAACTCATACGGGCCATGGCGATAGACTAACCTTCAGCAATAACGGATATTTCGTCAGCCGCTGAAATGGCTTTAGTAGAAATCCGTTCAGAATGGTAGGGTTTGCGAGCATTTGCTGCGTGAGTGTCGATCGGGCATGAGCAACCATTTTGTCCCATTCTTGCTGGCAAGCGGCTTCGCATCTCCTCTGGTTGGCGATGAAGGGCTCATATTGCCTGAACGGGTCTTTGTAGTGGACAAACAGTTGGCCCCAGTTTTGCTGCTCCTCGGGTATCTCATTTTGTTGTTCAATACGGATCAAAAATCGTTGCGCAAAATCCAGTAGATTATTGAGGTTCAGAAAAATATTGTGAATGGCATCGCCCGTCAGCGCGCCGACTTCTTCCAATTCCTTCTTCAAAGCTTGCAAATTCTGCAAGTGATGGACATATTGCCTTTCCGTCTCCACGAGTTCCCTCAAAATGTACTGTCTGCGGGTCATCGACTTTGGCGCTTGTTCCGGAGCGTTGGAGGCAGCGTCGATCCCATCCCGGGAGTCTTCGCTATCCGTGGATGGATGTAACTTGCCACTGAGTCGCAACATATCGAGCACACGATTAACGAGCTTCGTCACTTTGACAAAACCAGTGGTGTTATCACTGTATAAGTCGGTGACTGTGAAGGTGTCCGCTGCTGGGATGTTCATCTTCTGCATGCAAGACTTGATGAAGAGGAAGGCAGCTTCCTTCCCCACCCTCTCTGGGCGACTCGTGCCAACCACAAGCTCGCCTTCTTCGGGGTCGGAAGCATTATAGATGGTGAGCAATGGCAGTCCACTCCGGAAGCACTGCCATAGGGAGGATACGGGATCGGTCAAGCCGTCCGCCTCGCGCTCTTCCATCTCGTCGAGGTAAGGGCGGAAGCCAGGGACGCCAGACAAGCGCCGGCGCAGTTTGATGCATATCTGATAAAGCGATTCTCCATCTCTTACATTTATAATGTTATCCTTGTCCAAGATAGGTCCATGGTCGCCGTTCATTGTTGGTGGCGACGCCAACATGATCGCTGAACCACTTCGTCGCGCTTGGGGTGAATTCGATGCGCTGAAGGGCCGAGACGATGGTTACGGCATGTATCGCTGGGAGGCAGTGATTAGCGCGCCGTCAAGGGTTCGTGGCGCGAAACCGGCGACGATAGACAGTCAGGACGAGAGTACGGCTCAGGAATTCTGGGGAGGCGCGCGTGGAGAAGTTCGAGTAGGGACCGTGAGTCCAGCCTGAGGGGCTGTCGTAGCAGAAGGCGAACCAGCGCAAGTAGGCGTATAACGAGGGATGTCTGAGACAGAGGGGTCAGTACCAGGACAGCCGGCAAGCAAGGAGGCAAAACTGGACAATCGAGCATACCACAAAGCGATGATACGTCTGACAAGTCTTCTCGTCCGAGTTGCACGACAGAGACGGACTGGCAGCACCGATAGGACGGCGACAAAGGGAGCGATGGAGGCGGGATGGTACGAGGCTCGCGGCCCAGAGATGTCGCTGCTATTGTTGGCTCGACGATCTCTCAATCAGTCGAGGATATAGCAATGCGGTGTTGTGGTTGGTCGTGGTCGTGCAAAGAGAGCCAATCGCTGGCATGTGAGCAAGGGATAGGCGCGAAATGAGCGAACGAGGGTCGAGGAGCAGCAGGAGGAAACTTAAATCAACAGTACGAGCAACCGCGAGAGACACAGACAGTCAAGTGGTGTCCTCTTGTGTACCGCTGACGAGGAGAGGTGGTGAATTGATGCGATCGAGACGAAGCCGGGCAAAAAAGCTTTCGCAGCACCAAAGGCAGCCAGTGGGGGAGCGCCGACGTGCGATGCTGCTGCAGTGCAGACGATGCAGATGCAGGTGCAAGTGCAAATGCGAGTGAGCGACGCAGGCTAGATCGAACTAAACTGTCTGTCTGTCTGTCTGTCTGTCTGTCTGGAGTAACAGGTGTGGGCTTGGACGTGGTGTGCAGTCACAGCTGTATTCTCTATCACCTCAACGTTTACTCGTACTCGGTAGTGTTCTGCATCCGTGATCGTCGTGGGAGGCTCCTTCTGTCTCATGCTCCCTCTCCTCCATCGCTTCCTCACCCCTGGCCTTGATGATTGGGCAACAGTGTTGCTGGGATGCCTGCCCGCCCGCCCTCTTCTCCGGATGGGCTCCTGTTCTCTTGCCCACCAGCCCACTGCTCGAACAACTGGAAACAATCGAACGCCCTAAGAGCATCCTTCACCCGTTGCCGCGGGATGGCGCCCGCCATGATCGTGTCGCGGAATCACGCCAGTCTTACCGAAACGGTGCCAACGGTGCTCACAGACCACCCACTCATGCCTTTTCCGGTTCAGAAGGCTCCGGCAGCAATGCAGTTGGCGCCCAGTGGACTGGGAGCCCCCAGCAGCCGGGCTATCACAGTTTTCTTCCCCGAGAGTGGCTGTTGGGGCCGGCCTTGCTGTCTTGGGGCTAGTGGCTCGCGGCTAGAAATCTGGTGGCTTGCCGCGATGCAACGACTGTCAGGCACTCGGGGCAAACGCCCCCGTGTTGCTGTTGGTTCCGCACTCTGGATGCAGGCAAAGACATCATACCACAGTGCCTCTGTTTGGGGCGGTCGATGAGCGAGCTGGCAAAAGCAAATATACATGAGTCCTCTGTTCGTGCAGCAGCAACGGCTGGCCTTTGAATCCTCCCACGTGAACTCGAACATTACCGGGACATTGTTTCATGGTGCCTGACTCAGTAAACCAGGGGCTCCAGTACGAGGTATGGGATGCTTGTACTCCCGCATCCAGCAGAGTCAAGCAATAGCTACTCAGTCCAGCCTCGGATAGCTCGTACTGTCTACGACGAGTATGTTCGCCCAATTCACGAAACTCTTGTCAACTACGGACGTCCTCGTCGTTGATGACGGGTATGGTCAGCACATCGCAGTCGCCGTTATAAGAGGTTGCCTCATATGAGACGCCCGTCATTCTTTGGGTGGGCACGGGGTGACATCTCTTTACTCATTTCGAAAGATACGGCATAGTCTACGGCGGTTCGTGGCTGGCCGAGGCCACACAAGCTCCCCCCTGTGCCGAGGACCCTCCACTTGTTTCCATACTGTGTACACAAGCGGCGTGACTCTTAACTCCGACCGGCAGTGTGGTACACCCCGCATCGTGCGGCCTCGAACAATGGAGGGCGTCGAGTATTGAGTCAAATAGCTTCTACGTGGAGGAAATCAAATAAGCAAATATGCAGCAAATGCCGAGGTCAGCCTGAGGTCGAGCCCCATCCACCATGCAAGGCGTACCACAGTACAGATGAAGAAGTTGCTTTCACGCCGGTCCATTACATCTTTGGTATTTGTTGTCTCACTAGAAAGACAGTCATCAGGCCTTCTGTGCAGAACAATCTTCAAGACTTATAAGAAGACATTGCAGACTCTGCCCTCCAGCTGACTTTTGCCAGCATCCTCTCGAGCGCCTTAACTCCGTACAGCGTCACCAAACCAGAGTACCTTACTATCATCATGTCGTATACAGACAAAGATTCGATCCTCGCTCTCGGGCAGATCGACCCTGAGTTGAAAGCCGTAAGTCCATCAACGTCGGGGAGTTTGTATCTGTCGCTGACAATGGTCCAGTTCCTCGAGAAGGCCAACCTGCCGCCACCGGATTACTCTGATCTCACTGACTTCAAGATCATGGTAGACAAGCGCAACGAAGAAGCCATGAAGGCGCTGGGTCAGCCGCCAGAGGGAGTCAAGCAGAGCGAACTGCAATACCCCACTCGGGATGGCACCAAGCTACGCGCGAAGCTCTATCAACCGACAAATCCACCCAGCAGCGGTAGCCCCTTGGTTGTGATATACCATGGCGGCGGATTCTGCATCGGTGCGCCCGAGGGCGAGGAGCAGACGTGCCGTAACTTTGTCCAGGCCTTCGGAGCCGTCTGCATATCCGCTTCGTACCGACTGGCGCCAGATTTCAAATTTCCCTACGCTCCCAAGGATGCGTGGGACTGTCTGAAATGGGTGGCAGAGAACGCAAACTCCTGGGGTGCTGACCCTTCGAAGGGGTTTGTCATTGGGGGCACTTCAGCTGGCGGAAATATCAGCGCCGTCCTGGCCCATGTGGCTCGAGATGAGAAGCTGTCGCCGCCTCTGACCGGACAATATCTTGCTATCCCAGCCGTGCTGCCGGAGAAGAAAGTACCGGCTAAGTACCAGCAATACATGTTCTCATACGAACAGAACAAGAACGCTCCAGTCCTTCCCGTTGCCGCGATTGACATGTTCATGCGAGCATACCAGCCCGACGAGGACGACGGGGTGTGGTATGCTGCGTTCAACCATCCAAAGGGCCACAAGGACCTTCCTCCCGCGTTGTTCCAGGTCGATGGGATGGACCCGCTGAGAGACGAAGCCCTCATTTATGAGCGTGTCTTGCGGGAGGAATACGGTATCAAGACCAAGATGTACGTTTATCCTGGTCTGCCGCATGGCCATTGGGGTTTCTTCCCGTTCCTCAACGGAAGCGAGAAATTCCGCAAGGAGCAGGTCGAGGGTATGGGTTGGCTGCTTGGGCGAGAACCTGATTTCACCAATGTCAAAACCGCCGCCGTGGCCGCTGGTGTTTGAGACTCTGTGAGTTCTTATGCACACCTGGTTATAAACTGGCGGTTTGACCTCGATGGTCTCCAAGAGAGTGGCACGTAGACATCCTTGTGGGTATCGCAATCAGAGGCTTCACTCATGTCACATGCTTTCGTCCTATTCGTGCATCATCATTACGCAGGTGTCATCGCTTCCTCTCCCTGATCTTAAACCTGACTCCGTCCTTGTTGACACCGCCTACCGTCCTCGACATCTTTGCGCGCTGTAGTTCCAACTGGTCCGTCGCCACCAGGATTTCTCGCTGTCTCTTCTTCAATGCCTCGAGTTTCGCCACCCGCATCTCTTGGAGACGTTTCCTCCTCTTCCGCTCGGCCTTGAGGCGGGTAAGTGCGTCTTTCTCTGCTTGAAGAGCTTTCTTAGACTTCGTCTTTGGCTCCTGGTCTTCGGTTACCAGGACGACAGATGTACCGACCTTCGATTCCTCGAGATGCGGACTCTCATCGGCGCCGACGAATGAATCGTGCTTTACTTCGCCGTTCCGGCCGCGCTTGAGGCCCCTGGGCGCCACGGCGGTCTCTTCGTCCTCGAACACTATTTTCTTCCCCAGCTGTCCCTTTCCTAGAGAAGCAGTATCCATACCGACCTCTTCTTCCAACCTCTCAACCTCTCTCCGTCCCTTCGCCGCGACCGTCCTCAGATACCCCGCGTCCTGCGTCTTGAGCAACTTCACTGCATCGTGACTGAGTGGCCTGCCAGGCACGACTCCCTTGGCGTCCTCGTCGCTGTGCTTGGACTTATGCTTTCCCAGCCCGGCATGTCCGTCTCTGACCATCCCAAAGGCGAACTCATCGGGGTTTCGCTCCCGCGCCTTTTGCGACAGTTGCGCGAGTTTCTTCTTTTTGAGATTATAGTCCTGCGCGCGGAGCGAGTAGTCCTTGTGTTTTTCGAGGATGCCCCATTTTTGGCGGGCGGCGGGTTGGTCGCGCTCCTTGTGCGGGCGCCGCGAGACGGCGTTGCGGAGGGAGGACATTTCGAGGGTGCAGAAGAAGAGGAAATCAGTATGCGCAGAGCAGTCGAAACACTGGGGGGGCTGCTGGCGATGTATTGCAGCGGGTGTAAACAAAATCGAACGGACACGGAAATAATTTCGAGGCCATTTGCAGATGACAAGGAGTCTCCACTTCTGCTCTTGACCTGTGCAGATCAGCTTCACCTTCACCTTCACCTTCACCTCAGTTCGAGCTCACCGCTTCGACACCAATACCTACCCTACCATGCCTCTTCGTCGCCATGGATAGATAATGCATTACACTCGCTACTTCAGACTCGTATTAAAATACTGCGCTACGAAAAGCCATGGAGATGGCTCCCTCAGTCGTTACCGGCGCCCAACCCCCGACCTCGTCGCAGCCTTCAACAACTCGACAAAACAACCTCCGCAACCCGCTCCCCCTCTCCCCCGCCCAAGAACAGGAAGTCCGCAGACTGTACCACGAACGCGCCCGCCGACGGTGCGCCGACGTCATTAAAGACTTTGCCGACTGCGCGCGCGGCCGTACCATTTCCGTGGCGTGGCATTGTAAGGACCAGCATCTGGCCATGAACAGCTGTATGATCCAGTATGCCACGAAGGCAGAAGAGGATGCCGCGAGAGAGGAATGGTTCCAGGGTATCCTTGCCAGGCGGAGGGAGAAGGAGGAGGCGCTGGTGAAGGTGGAGGAAAGGCGGAGAGAAGTGATTGAGTTGACGAGACGCCAGGAGGAGAAGGAGCGGGTCGAGGCCGAGAGGAAGAAGAAGGAGACGGACGACGTGAAGAAGCTGGAGGCAAAGGAAAAGAAGGGTGGTGGGTGGTGGTTCCGATAAAGCGGGTTGATTTGACTGTTGAAGCAGAGGAGTTCTCGTTCTGATCTCTTCGGTTTGCAGTCCGCGGTCTGCCCTCTGGCTGGTTGTTTGCATCAAGACAGCAGTCCAAGAGTCTGAAGAGCGAACGAGATCACTGCTCCGCGGGACCCTTCCAGCCAACACAGGTCGAGCCCAAAGTCACAAGACGTTGCTGCTATCCAGCTCTTCCAAACGACGGTATCCAGCGAGCCTGCTTTCATCTCAAGTGGAGCCTGAACGGTGCCTTCACGATCGGCAGTCACTGTCCATGCACCACCGCCTCATGCTCACGATCAGGCTCTCGTCCCGCCGGCATGCGCACCATTTCCAGACCGTCCCCATCCTCATCCTCGCTGCCAATGTCATCTTCTTCCTCCCGCGGCTCCATCAACTCCTCTTCCATGGCCTCCAGAAGATCAGCCTCGACATGCAATCCAGTCCCCTGCACAGTGGCCTGCTCCGGTACAATGTCAAAACCGGCGTGCTGCTCCACCAGCTCATCCTCCTCGGGAATTCGCTCCAAACGCTGCTTCCACGACTGCATCAGCTCCTTCCGTTCGCGGTCCAGCTCGGCAAATGTCCGTCTTTCAATCTCGAGTTGTTGGACCAGGCGGGCTTCGACACGGCGATTGTCTAGGATCTGGATGTACACGAGCAGACCCATCAAAAGCCAGATGATTGTGTTGCTGACCGCGATGAGGAGTTCCAGGTCTGTTGGCTGGTCGATTGTGATGGCATTGGCGGCCCGAAGGGGGACGCCCAGGACAGTGGGCATGGTGGTGAATTCGGATGAGTCTGACGCGATTTGAGAGTTGTGCTGAATGACGCTGCTCTGGTCGGTGTCGGCGGTGCGGCTCTGGAAAATCGCTTTGTATCGATACCGGTCTTGCAACGGTTGTAACCGGCAGTTATCTGAGAGGCGGCGCGGGATCTCAGATATATTGCGTTACAGGAGACATGTTTGCTGTGCGAGGAGTTTGTAGACAGCACGCAAACAGGAGATCCTGCCGCGTTGTATGGACTCGTGAAGAAACGGAGTCTATTGCAATCAATCTAAGGCAGACGGCAATGGGCACATGCAAGGTTGCGACAAACAGGTGGTTTGTCCTCGGCTGCTGCCTATAGATACACACATACAAAGAAGAGGTCTGTTTGAGTGCTAGACATTTGCCAACAGCGTCCGCTCAAAAGTCAAATGGACCTCATCTCTGGACGACCTACAGCATGTTTTCGGGCATGCGTTGAAGCGTAGTGCAGTAGTGCAGTGTACCGAGGAGGCGCACACAGATCTGCCATGGCTCAATAAATCCATTGTGAATAGCAGACAGGCGGCTTCCATGTAGACAGGTAGAACAGCACAGATGACAGCCATACCTCCCATCTACTGGCCATACCTCCCATCTACTGGCCATACCTCCCATCTACTGGCCATCCACCGAACGGCCTCTTCTGGTCACGCACGTACATACAGTGCCTGCCTTCTCCGTAGATATCCTGCCCCGGTCCTGATGTTGGTGACCTTGACCCTGTATGCAAGGTTGAGGACCAGAAACGAAGCCTTCGAGCCTATGCTCTCGTCTCTCGACCTACTAGCTGCCCGCCTGACCATCCAGCCGCACACACACAGCCCTCGACAAGTGGCGTGTCAAATCACATTCTTCAACTCCTGCCCGGCGAGAAACCGCCTCAAGTTCTCGGCCACCAACCTCTCGGCCCCCTGCGGCCGCCCCCCAGCGGCATGGGGACTGACGAAACAGTTCCTGCACCCCCACAATTTACTCTCCGTGGGCAAAGGCTCCTTGACAAAGACATCGAGCGCGGCGCCCCCGATCCCACCGCCCACGAGGGCATCGTACAGCGCATCTTCATCGACCGAGGTTCCCCTCCCGACATTGACGACCCACGCGTGCGAGGGCAACAACTTGAGCCGCTCGGCGTCGAGGGCGTTCTTGGTGGCCTCGCTGCCGGGGAGGATCATGACCAGCGCATCAGTCTCGGGCAACAGCCGAGGCAGCTCGTCCTCGGCGTAGACCTCCACGCCGTCACGCACGCCCTTGCGCGTAGCCACGCCGGTCACGTTCGCGCCGAGCAGACGCAGCGACGGGGTCAACGTCTTTGCGATGTTGCCGAATCCCCAGATCACGACGTTGGCGCCGCGCAGGCTCGTGAAGGACCCCTTCGGCCGGTCGGGCTGCGGTCCGCCCAGATGTGCGGGCCACTCGGGCGGGGATTTGGTCTGGTGGTCGCGCATCTCATGGAACTTGCGCGCCGCCAGCAGGAGCAGGCCCAGCGTGTGCTCGGCCACGGTGTGGTCGTGCAGCCCGCTGCCCGTGGTGACGGTGATGGCTTTGGCGTCGAACCCGGCGTTGAGCACGTCGTTGGGCCCCGCCGCGAGGGACTGGATCCATTTCAGGTTCTTCATTCGTTTCGCCGCGTCCGATAAGTTGTCGGGAGTGTTGCACCAGGTTATCAGGACTTCGGCGTCGATCAGGTCCTCCGGGATCGGCTGCTTGACGTCGTACGCGTGCAGCGAGACGGAGAAGCCCTCGAGCTCGGCCGTGTCGAGGGTCAGCGACGTCGGGTAGAGTAGTTTGACCATCTTCAGTGTTGGCGGCCTATGTTGTATGAGCTGGTTCCTGATGGGGCGGTAATCAACAGCTATATGGAGTGCTCGATGGGAGATATATCCCGGCGTGTCTTTTCCTGCGGGTCGCGATCGAGAGACAATGAGATGGCGGCGATGTTGGTTCGCGCTGCTTGCAAGTAACTGGCAACAGGTTCACGCTGCAGATATCATTAATTACAGCACACCAACGAGAAAGACGAATGGTCTCTCAATTGCGGCCCCGCCAAAGTCGTAATTACTGACGCCCGTCTACGTCTTTATGAGATCGGTCGAGTGCCGGCGCAGCTCGGGCCTCTCTCCGCGATAATCAACTTAAGCATCTGCCGAGTCGGGGCCCGTCTCGTACGGAAGAGTTCAATTGCCGACGAGCCAGTGATAGACGGCGGCGGGTTTGTGTCCTTGTAGTGTGATGACCGGATTGTCGAGTCTAATTACCATCTCGTGCGATGTGAAGCCTTGTAACATGTTCTTCTATATGGCCTGCTAAACCTGACGCTGACGCTGAACTGCTGCTACGGATAATGCCAGAGATCTACGCTTGCTCCAAGTACTACAAATGTTGTGTATAGCAGATAGAACCAGACCCTGATGCTCGAATACTGTAGAACGCTCGCACCAACGCTTTAGACGAACGCTCAAAATGTAAATCGGTGTGTGAAACCCCCAGAAACGAACCCAAGACATACAAAGGACAGAGAAATAGTGCCCCAAATTCCATACCTCTAGAGTACTGCACTCCGTGCTGCTAGTTGCATTCATCAAACGACGTGTTCGGCTCCTCTGGCGTCGGCGTCAACGTGGATGCTGGGCCCTGGGGCTCCCAAGCTCGCAGATCGCGGTCGACGCACCACACTTGTCGATGCGGTTGCCGACGTCGGTGGTCGCACCACATCTCCCGAACGCGTGGTCACCTCGGAGGCGAAGCTCGTGGTTCTCTTGTGCGCGTCCTCTTCCTCCGCCCACGCCAGACTTTCGTCCGGAAGAAGGATTGCTCGGTCGATCGAGACGGGCAATCCCCGGTGTCTGCCTCGAAGCATGACCGCGCAAAGTACAAGTTTGGAGGTCAGGTGCCAGGCTCCACAGAAGGAGTAGTTGTTCCAGGGGACTCCCACACTGATGCCGACGCAGCCGTAGGCGCTGATGACTTCGAAGATGATGTTAAATGTGGACTGTCTTGTTGTTAGCCAAAAGGGACAGCCGCCATAAAAGTACCAGACTGAATCCATGATGGGCTCCTCCCCGCGGTCGGAGGTACTTACAAAAGTCACAGGATCCCGCTCGAATTGGCCCGTCTCGATCGACGTAATGACGAAAACTGCAATGGCAATCCACCACAAGTCGTGGCCGAGCTGGGAGCGGAGCTGGAGTCGGATGAAATCCTCATGGTTCCATGCCGGATTCTGTGTCGGCTGGCCGCCATGGGTCATTGTGAGTGTTCGTCTCAGCCCAGTCAAGAGTCCTTCCTTCTTGTCCTTTTGCGCGGCTGTTCCCTCATGGTCCTGATAGAGTGGAAGCTCGTCTGCAAAGATGCCGAGCGACCGTTCTTCGTAGACGTTGGTGTTCCGAATCGTCATTGTCACGGGGAAAGCGCTCAAGTACATCATGAGGACGTAGAGGACGAGCAAACCAGATCTCAGCCCTGATATGGATACAATGTAGAAGCCACCACTTCTCACGGCGAAGGCCTGAAATAACCCTGCAACGATCCGGAACCCCGTGGGCAGCGAATCCACCACCTCATTTCCAATGTTGAGTAATTCAAACGCAATCCAATCAATGGCGTTCAAGACCACCACACTGGCAACTAACCACCAGGTAGCAGCGCTGGGGAAAAGGTTCGTGTAGACCCTCCGAGGATGGTCCAGGCAGAATTGGACTGTCCGCCGCCGTCTCTGCCAGTCCGCCGAGGCGGAATGCTCAGGCATCACCTTGCTGAAAGTCCACAGAATGAGTCGAAGGAATGGCGGAAAGAGCGTATTCCCTGCAAGGATGAGCAGACTGAGCGTCAACATGCAGTAATAGCTCGTATTGACCGCGACCGCGTTGGCATCAAGGAGAGCCATGCCGCTGTTGTTGAAAGCGCTGATGGCGAAGAAAGCACCGGTCCAGAAGGGATTCAGCCTACACTCCAAGTCAGTGGAAACACCGCCACGTCGAGAAATATACAATGACTCACCCATTCGTCGACGAGATGTGTGGGCGGTTGACTGTTATCCAAGCCCCAACCCCCAGAGCGCCGAACAGCTGGAAGAGGACGAAGTAGGCCGGCACCAGCCACGAGAGAAGGCAGATGGCATCGTATTCGAACCCTCCGAGTTTCCGCCTCTCTTTCTCGCTGAGGTGGTAGAACTGGGAATTTCTCCCCAGGTATCCCCCCACTGTGTCGATATACCTGTGCACCTTCTTCACCCATGGTCCCGGTTGTGCTGCATTGTCGTCGACGGCGCAATCCAGCGTCGCCTCGTGGATCTCGACCGGTCGTGCATTCCGCGGATGGTTGTCCAAGCCTCGAGCACCAACACCGCGACCCTCGAAGAAACTCCGGCTGCGGCTGATGCTCCGTGGCCGGTGCTCCGTGCGTTCCACGGGCAGGATCGATTCAACAAATCGGATATGGCCTATATTGGAGTCAGTGGTGGTTGTGCCTGTGGCGGGTGGTGGTCCAGGCTCAATCTGTGCCTCTGCTGGCGCCTCCAAATTCTGCCGGCGATCCTGTGAGCTGAAGGAAGCCTTATGCTCGGGGCGTTCGGGACCTGCCTCCGCCAGGCGCCCGCGCAACGCTCCAGAGGCGACGGTGGACTCGCGGTCATTAGAGTGAACATGGTCTCGTCTTGACAAGGTGAAGGTACGTGTGCGCGGCCTGCGCAGTCGTTTCCGGCGCTGTTCGACAAGTTCCGCGAACTTGTTCTCAAAGGCCCTCTTACGTATGTGGAGGATGGACGACGACACGAATATGGCAGAGCCAAGGATAATCAGGAGGAAGAGCAGTATCTGCTGCCAGGTATTCAGCTCCGAGAGATTGACTGTGTTCAAGCCTGCCTCTGTCATGGCTGAGACGCAAAGGAAGAGACTGTCGACATAGGTAACGGACTTGGCCGGTGTCGACGAGCCCCAGAAGATCAGACTGGCGACCAGCGAAGTGGCGACAAAGTAGAAATAGTGCCACTGAATGAAAGAGAGGCCGGCAAAACCCTGGTAGACATGGTTGCGCACCCAGGCCAAAGCCCGCCGTACAACGGTCTGTTGCTTGCGTCGCTCGGGGCCAGCTGGAGGGGAAGACGATGGTTCTGAGCGGCGCGGTCAGCTTGGGACGACCACTCGTCTGAGGAGCGCGGCCTTACTTTCCATCGCGCCTCCAGGCGCTGATTACGGACGCGCAACGTAGGAGGATCCCTCAATCAGGGTCTCGGCAATTATCATAGGCCATGGTCGGGATGGAACAAAGGACGAGGCACACGCAGATGTAGTGCCGTCGATTAGAAGAAGGAAAGAAGGAGTTTGGTGGTGGGCGATTGTTTAAATGCCCGTTCAGGCTCCTGGACAGGGATTCGTCCCCGCCAAGCCACCGCTGTAAGCGCCCCTTTCGGGCGATGGCGCCACCTGGCGAATGTCAGGCCAGCGATCCTGCGCGATTAATCAATATGCATGTCGAGTGTCGACAGTTGTGGGAGGCTACAGGAATTGAAGACCCCGTAGGCTCCGAGCAGAGGGCAATGGGGGAAACAACTGTGGATGAAAAGAGCTCGATGACTTGATTGACTTTGGTTTCCATTTCATTCGCAGGTCTATTGGGACTGGCCGTTGCCGAGCAGTGGGAGACATTCAGCGCAACCGCCCACAAGGATCATAACCACGTCACCCAACATCTGCTTCTCCCCGGCTCACGATGACTGCGTTCCTTGCATGCCACGTCCTGGCTGAACGCCACTAGCGGGCAGGAAAGCTAAGCCTCGATAGAAACCAACTCCATGCCGCCATTCTCGACTCGCAGCGCAATACTTCCCGGCGTCCATCTTGCAATCAAGGACTGGGTTTCCGAATGCGCAGGGACCTCCTCGGTGGCGTACCATTGGAACTCGTCATAGCTGTCGTACCGCTAGCGACCACGACGGTTGAGTCGCTTCCTTGCTGCTTCAAGCTCGGCCGTCTGAGCTCGCGCCCTGGCGCACTGATCGCTTCGCCAGTACGCTTTCCTGTTAATGGCCCCGGTGCCTTCTTGGGTGATCGTGACTCTGAGCTTGTCTGATCTGCCTCAGCATTCCCATTTGCATTTTCTATCTCTTCTGGCGAACCTCTCCGTTGAGGGATTGCACTATCCATTCTCTTGCTTCCAGGAAACTTGGTTCCTTGGGTCTTCGCCGAGGGGGTTGCCGCTCGCTCAGCCGTTTCTCTGTCTCTGGGAATTTCTGGAGCTGGCGTCGGCGTCGGCGTGGCTGGCGGAGTGTCAGCTGGTGTCGACATGGCGCTGGCGTTCTTCGGCTTTGCAGTTCGTCGTCGAGGCTTTTGAGAGCGCGATATGCCCTCGTTCTCCTTGTTGGTTGTCCCATCTGCACTCAGGAGCTCCTTGTTCCGCGGTCTCTTGTCTAGCCCTTTAAGCTTCCAGAAACGCCACTTCTTGAACATGGCGAAACTTCGGATGGGATTCTCATTTTGCAGCAGCTTGTTTTTCCAATGCTCTGCCTTGACGGGATCTGGATTGAGCCACAAGTGGTCTTCTCTGACCGCTTCGTGCAACTCTGCGTTCGTCCAACTATGATCGTACTTGTCCTCTGATGACAAATCTCGCCAGTGTACTTTGGATGAGGTGGCCGCTTTGGTGGGAGCTTCGGGTGCAGGCGTGCCAGCTACGGTCGCTTCTTGGTCCTTAGCTGCTCTTTCCTTGGCTTTGGTATATTGATTCGGGTGCTTTGGTCGTGGCTGCTCTTGACCATCGATGGGTGGGCCGACTTTCTGACGTTTTGAGCCGGGTGTGTCTTCCCGGCTGTCGCCTCCAGAAGGGCTGCCTCGCTTCCGACCGCGGGGCGTCGAAGCTGCTGAAGGATCCTCGGACACGTCGCGAGTGGTTGGAACCTTCTTGCCGTCGAAGCGTGTTCTGGTCAACCGCTTGTTGACCGCCTTGTCTGGAGTTTCACCTTGGTGAGCATCACTGCCTTCGGGAGACACAGGTCGAGCAATCTCGCCGTTCGCATCAACATTGCGCTTGACATATGTGATGTTGTACTCGTCATGGTGGACTTGTTGTCTCGGAATCAGTCGGCGGCCAGTGCTGTCAACAACCGGTTCCCACCCGTCGATGTTATTGGGATCCCGGGCTTTGGCGAGCATGGCCTTGTACTCGCGTTCCTTGGGAACAAAGCCGCCTTGTTCAAATGGCTCTTGAAACAAGCGGACGTCTTGCTTTTCGCGATCGCTCAGGTCGTCTGCGGATCTGAGGCCAGGGATACCAGCATGGAGCAAGGCAGGGCGATGGCCATCGTATTTGTAGCCGTACAACGCAGCCTCCTGCCTTTCCTGGAACTCGTCTGGTGCTGGTAGCGTTTGAAGATGTCTTTGACTAGGCCTGCCTCTGATTGCCGCGATCTGGGTCTCAATCTCGAGGTATTCGTCTTGGGCGACTTTCATGGCGATTTGATTATTTGAGCTTGCAGCGAATAGCTGTTGATGGTCCAGTTTGGCGAGATTCAAAATGAAAGCCTGGGGATCGGTGAGTGGTCGCCATCCCTCATCGTTGAGCTCCTCAGAACTGTAGAGAACAGGCCGGCTAGAAGTTTCGCCAAATGCGGAGTGCCAGAGAGAGTCGATCTCCATGGCCCCCAGAACTCCGGTCTGTAGATCAAGAGAGCCTATGTCGAATTGTCCCTCGTGCAATTGGAGCGGAGATGAGGTTGTGAGAATGGTGCTTGGTGGTCAGATGAGAGAGAAGGGGTCGCGTGCGGCAAGAAGTAAAAGCTGGCAGAAGAAAGGCAGTGCCTGTACAATTCCTAGCGCGCACAAATATCCAATCACAATGCTGCGCGCCAACCAGGCAGGTGGCTATTGTTCCTGTTATTCAAGTGAAGAACAGAACAATCTGAATGAAATCATGGCATCCAAGGTGCGGCAGCGTATGCTGAGATGGCTGAGAATGGGCTTACAGAATGAGCAGTTAGTGGTTCCTGCCCGCCAATGACAGCGCAAATTCCGCCGGGAATTCAACCAATCAGAATTTGAAGGTTTTGGGTGGTGTGCACAATTTCCAACACGCGCAGGTGCAGGTCCGTGCCGGGTCACGTGTCACCAACCCATCAAAGGCGTCGAGGGCATCTTTTGAAGAGACACCGCGAAACAGATCCAACATGGCTGACGCCCAGATTTACATCTGTCGCACTACTTCGTCTATGTGGCTTTTCGTTGTATGCAAGCAGCATGGCCGCCCGATAATTCGCACGGCGCGATCCCGTCGCTCTCGACAACGTCTCGGTGGTCATGTTAGTGCGAACAGGTCATCATGCATCGGCATGCTTCCGCCTGTCCCTCAGTCGCTTCTCGGTGGTCTTCTTCGCCTCGTCGATCCACGTACCATAAGTGCCCTCCTTGATCTTCATCTCGACCACGCCCTTGAGAATCTCGGCCGTGAAGCCGACAAAATTATGTCGCCGCAGCGCGTTCTCAAAATCCCACTGCGCCCGCTTCCGCTGCTCCCGCTCAAGCATTTCACCATCATTAAAATCGTGCGCTTTGACACGGAGGTCCTCACATATGGCCATCAGGTTGAAGTGAACCTCTCCAGGAGGGTATCGCTCAATCCGCCGTTGTAACACAGGAATGATCTTGTCTGGGAACTCATCTGGCGTGCAATCACCGTGTGCTATGGGGTATGGCTGCAGTCCATCAAGCTCATACAGTTTGCCATTATGGCATGTATACCCGATGAAGTGAAAGACGTCGTCGGATGCAGCGCTTGGGTCGCGTGCAGACTCATCGACAAAAGGGCTAGATTTCGCAAAGCTGTTGTGCACCGTGCGGATCATCTCTGAGTTGGACAGCGATTCGCCCCTCAACCCTGCATCGAAGCCCGTCGTGAAGTCCTTGAACTCTTGTAGTGATGGCCCAATATCAATTGCGTCTCCTCCAGCTGATGTGCTCGATGTGTCATTGTTCAGCACTACGGAGAGAACAGCTTGCGTGCCACAGGCGTTTTGAATAGTCTGCGCCGCGAAGAAGAGCCCGTCCTCCTCGACTGCGCTTGTGTCGTATGTGCCATCCTGCGGCGCGGCTCTGCTCTCAGACGATGATCCGATCCACTTGAAGAGGAATATCACGCCATATACAGGACTGTCGCCGGTAACACAGATGTCAGCATCGCAGAATTATCTCGTTCGGGGCCGATGTGGAGTCTTGCGCGACCTTCTCGTTACCTCAAAGCCCGTATCGAATCAGCGTCCAACGATATTAGCTCTTCACACTGCACTCTCTTGACCCCCAGCTGCTCGATCAAGGAGGTGAATACGCCCTGCGCAGTTGAGGAAGCATGTCAGCAGGGCTCCTGGCTGTCAAATGAGCAGGGAACTGTTGCATGCTTACTTCGTCGGATTCAATCGTGCTCCAGCCACCGCTCGCTGCATCTTCCGCCATATTGATTGCCGAGAGGGAGGATGCGATGGAGGTTGAACGGCACTTCCAATCCTCGTGTCGCCGTTGGTGGATATCGTGAACGCAGTGTCAACCTGCGCTCATCGTCATTCCACTTTTGAGTGGGTCGTCCGAGGCACACGGAGTACTGTGTAGAACCGAGCCAGTCACGCCAGTGGCGTGGAAACACAATGTGATAGACTCAGGTACCCAGTGCGTCCGGCTCCGGCATGACGGGGACTGAAACCCCCGAGTACGTAACCTGAAAAGGCGTCTGGATCCCCCCTAAGAAGGCAGTCTTAACTTGTAGTACTGTGTATCTAGAAGTGAAGCCTTAAGCCTCGGGTTACTCGTACAAGGCGCGGAGAATTCTGGCTCTGCTCTAGCCACTACACAGTAGTCCTTGCACCGCATGAGGATGTCTATTATGCGCAATTATACGTGACCGCCAGGCGCTGCCCGGTTCCACCCTAGTCTACACAGTATATGGATTGATCTTCCCGCCCCAGGTCACCTTTGTTCTGCGAACGCTGACCCATCGAGATCTCTTATCTGGGGCCACGCATCAATGAGTCGCAATGTGAGGCCTTGGCGACGATACACGTGGCTAGGTGCATCGTCGTCTCTTACAGTCCTGAGCTTCCAGCATCTCAATTACACGATCCTCCGGTTGTGCATGATTGCGCGCCACATTAGTGAATACCATCCATGACTACAGTACCAAGGTTGCAGCTGGCCCGCTCGAAACGGACACTGTGTAGGTATGCATGTACCTGTTTCCAGGGTAGGCCCACTCGATGCGACGTCATGCCATCCATGCGAGCCTGGTACTTCTCGACGACAAGCCCTATTGGTCCCTAGCCGCCATTGAAGTTGCGACTGCTACTGCAAGGACCGCACCTCGCCACTTGGTAGATGCAGTCGAATCTGCCCGTGCTTGGACTGGAATGGAAATGCGATGGTTTGGCTGACAAGCCACGGATGTAACGCGACCGCTTCGGCGACATCGACGACTTTCGGGCCCTAGTGGTATGGTTGGATCGGGACGTTCGTATCGGCAGGGCTATGGTCCAGGAACAATCTGACCTTTCCGACTCACCTCCGATGATGCGTATTCAATCAAGCTGTCGGCACTCGCCCCCAGGCAGTAGCCACGGAATACGACCGTAATATGTCACTTCTGGGCCCCGGGCATCTGCCCACCTACTGCCTGAGTCATACACAGCTCCAAGGTCGCAGGCCGAAGGGCAGATGCACCCCTGTTCTCAGGTTACTACTACCCGGCAACAAGGCCTTGCGTAACGAGCCAAGAAGTCGTGCCGAAGACCTGACCGAAAAGGATGTTTTACACACACCTCATAACATCAAGCGACGATGGACAGCGCAGATCAACCACTAGGAAACATGTGACCTGTTCCGTACAAGGGAAATCAAGTCGACGGTGAGCATGTCTGGGGAATAACCAATTATCATGCGCCTCTCTTGCAGCGCAGCTCTCGTCGAGATGTTTCTGTACTGTTAGTACCAGCATTGGTCAGATATACCATCGGAAGACCGCCACCCAGCAGATTCGGGCAATTATGAGATCGTTTGGAAGAAAATACGGGCGCTCAGATTACCTTCTCTGTCATCATGATTATTTCTGGGCCGTTCAAATGAGCCGACAGAGTCATCTGCTGCTGACGCGACCACCCAAACACCAAGCTTTTGACAAGAGATCCCGCCATATATAGATTTTCACCAACCTTGTCATCAAAATCATGGACTCCTGGCGAGTGGCCTTGTCTTTTTTTCATTCGTCCAATTTCATGTATCGCTTCCCAACGCCTCGCTAATACCCGTGAATTAGTCTCTGTGGATGATCCGCACCCGTAGTCTCACGTCATCCTCATCGTCGTCATGTGGTCCGGCCTCACTGTTGTCGTTCCTTGCCTTTGTCTTGCTGTGATTGCTGCAGCGTTGGAGACCTGGTCGTCGTAGGAGTCCTGTGTGGAAGAAGAATACTCAGTCGGGGTTCGTCTAAGTCCAGAGTTGTGAAGGAGCGACGAACCGAGTATTCATGTTCAGGCTGCCGTATGGGTTGTACGGTGCTTGAATTTGCCCAAAGTAGTCCATCCTCGACCCTGGCAGCTCGTGGTTGCTCCGCGGATGCTGCGTCGCGGGAGACCCATATACCATTGCCATTGCATGTGGGCTGCCAGATGCGAGACTCCGATCACTCATTGAATGGGTGCGGCCGAGCGATGACACGGATGACATTGATGATTCTCGGCGCGGTTCCCCAGGGCCTAGAGCAGCTTGAAAATAAGCTGATCCCGGCAACGGCAGGATGCCAGGAGCATGGAGGGGTGAGTTGGAATAGTGCGGCGCCATCGATACGTCCGTAGTGGAGATGGGCATCTGGGGCGCGGTGTAGGGACTTCCGTGAGGAGAATAGCGATAGCCCTCGATGCCTTGACCACTCTGGCTGTTGTGCCTTTGCCTCAGCCGGTATGAAGTCATGATCTGTACAGGGACATCTATCAGAGACAATGCCACCTGAATGCTTGTATCTTGAGGTTGTGTGGTTCGTCTTGTCCTGAGCATGTCATGTACTCGCTCAAGTGGGAGTACGGACATGCTTCCAAGATAGGCGCCACCAATATCTGGAAACAACGGCTCGACGGCAAGCGCGCTTGCGTAGAGATGTGAGAGTAAAGTTAGAGGGGCTAGGTCCGATTCGTCTGGGCGCAAAATCAGTGGTGGCAGCCAAAAGATCAGATCTCTGAGTGGCTGTAAGCGGACGAATGCTTGCTCAGGCGCTTGAGTCGACAAGTCCCGCTGTAAGTCTTGAAGGTAATCGACCAAACGTCCCGCATGCTCTGCAAGTTCCTCACTGGTTGAGAGCCGCAACCTCAAGTTGTGAAGGGCTGTAGTGATTTGTTCAACTCGTCGTAGGTCTTCATGAGGGATCGACAACTGCGCGTGAGGCATAGTTGGAGTTGCGGGAGTCCTAGCTCGAGCTACTGTCCTCTGGTTTTCTAAATACCGAGCCAGGTCGGATTCGTGTATCCACTGCCGCATGGCACTCATGACCTGTACGTTGTCAACACCCTTCGCATCAATCCTAGGTTTCGTGTACGTACGGTTGATAGCCCCTGCTGCAGGGAGGCCCAGCCCCGCCTGTCTCTCGTTAGCATACATAGAGAGGGCGGAGATCATTCTTACCAGTCAGTTGCTTGCCACGACAGAAGAATCGAGGCGGCAAGTATAGCTTCAGAATTCTCCCTGGAGAACGCACCGATGGCTTCATGTAGCCCTTTGAGGGCGACTCCTCGATGGTGGTACGCCAGATTGTCTGTGTCTGGGTTCTTCGTTTGCCACGCGAGATGTGACGCAGATAACGCAAGCAGTGCGCTCATAGCGAAATCATGCGAGAGCGCCGCAGCGATGAGCCTGAGCGCCGCGTTAGCGATCTGGACCCAGATATTAAACACCTCATCTTACGAAGGTGTTTTGAAACCCCACGCCGTGCATGTGCTGTATCCTCGATTATACATGTCTGTTGACAATGTCGTAATGTGGTGGATCAGGCGTAGGTCAATTGTCGAGAATCGCGTCCAATACACCCTGTCTGGCACTTGAAGCTCCTGTAGAGGAGATTCGCCCGACATGCGCCAGTTGTCAAGGCGCCGCTGGAGTTCGGGACCCATCAGGAGGTCGGGTGGTTTGGCGCCTTTCAGAGGTTCCTCACCGGCTGCTGGCATATCCATGTAGTCGCAACGGCAGTTGTGCTTCGTACAGTTCCGACATTGGGGGAAGTTCTCGTCACAGCGTATATGTCGCCGCTTGCAAGTTTTGCATCCCTTTCTCGACTTGGTGTGGCTCTTGCGAGGTGGGCCACCACCGGGTCCAGCCATTCTCCGAGCCAGCTTGAACAGCCCTGTGTTGATTCAAATCTTGCACTTCTAGCCTTGTTTGTCCCGGTACCGAATATTCCTTGCGGCTGCTTCTCACGAAAGCTCGAGAAGGGAGGAGCTTTACCCCACGAAGAGCTGCCCTGCGCTTTCCCGAAAGAGAAGGGATGATTATATTTTGGAACCACCTTTGCTACATTCAGAGACGTTGGTGTATGCTGTAGTCGCAAAAGGCAGTGCCGATCTGGACTCTGAAGGGGAGCCCTCGTATTAATGAATAAGGCTGAAATAGATACCGACCCCACAGGACAAGAGTGGGCTGAGAAACCCGAGAGCAACAGGCACGGGATTCAAAAGGCGAGAAGAGTATTGAAGAGCAAATGAACCGTATAACCACAGCCCCGGTTCGAGTCCCTTCATCCACGGGCCCAATCGTCAGCAGGAAGAAAGTATGGAGTGTGTCATAATAGACGCAAGTGTGGTGAGCCGGTGACATGGGGGTGGAGGGATAAGAAAAAGACTTGGGTTGCCACGAGGTCCCATTGTCGGTCAAGTACGAATGCGAGGCCTGAAATAGGATCATGACACGATATGCATTCCGGCTGGAAACAAATCGTGATCAAGCTACTGCATAGCCTGGGAGGGGCATTTGGAGGAAAAGCGACAGGCGACGGAAAAGCAACAACTCAGCCTCGATGCGGCGGCGGCATCTTCCACGCCCTTGTCTTTGCTTTGACGGTTGAGAACGTGTCTGGTTGGGGCAAGAGCTGCTTCCCAGCGCAAGTGTAGGTCGAGTAGAAGCGAAAGTCCAGCTGGAGTGGCTGCGGCGTCTGAAACGGTGGAGGGAATGAGAGGCTGCCCGCGCGTTGCCGTGCCCTATGGCATTCCGTGGGCTTGGCCTAAAGTGACTAGGAGCGCCTTGGTAGTTTTTCTCACCCACCACCCATCCTGCTTGACAGAAGCGCTGTGGGAAACTAGGCGCAGGGGATCAAGATGGCATCGAATCATTTTCGGAACGTGTCTGACGGAGCTGCCATGCTCGCCGAGGTCTAGCGCGGACGAGGTAGGATAACGTTCGCAGGCGGCGATCTGACATGGTCAGAGAACCGAAGCTTTGGATTCGGAATGAGATGAGCATGGTCATGGCTATGAGGACTAGTCAGTCCAGACCACGCGAAATCGAATATCCTGGACATCTCTCAGTCTACCACAGTAACCTCTGTGGCACGTCTGACATGCACCTAGTACTTGAACAGGACAATCTCGGCTTCTGGTGGCCCATACTTTGGCTGGAGGAGATGACCGAGCAGGGCATCAGCCTGACAATAGAAAAGGGCGGGGACATGGGGTCTGCAAGAGTGGGTAAGGTAAAGACGGGTGGATTTCGGAGGGTATCGGCCACATGCAGCCCTGTCGAGCGTGGCATCGCATGCTTGTCAGGTCAAGGTGAGCACAGTGTGAAAAGACAGAAGAGGCAGAGACCAACCAGACGGGAAACTGGGTGAGTCAATGCCAAGCCCCAGCTGAACGCCTCGTGGCCTTTTTCGTCCTGCAGCAACTAGCGACTTCCAGTGGCTGGCGCGACTCAAAGGGGCTGCTGCTGCACAGAGAAGAATGTGATTGGTCTGTGAAGCGCAGCAAAAGCACTTAACTTTTGGAGCTTTCTGGTAGTCGGTTGCGGTCCCCTGCAGCAGCCGATTGAACCACTGAAAGCATTGCTGCAAGCTATCTCCTGATTGCAGTAACCAGGATTATCTGAGTTTACTTCGATTGATATGTCAGAAGCCGGTCAGGCAATTCCGAAGGAAGGGCTGATGACATCGGTATCATCGTGATCTGTTGGGAAGTACCTACCGCACCGTCGACTCTCAGATCCGTAATGAGGATACACACATTCAGAGGTTGTAATCGTGCGCCTGATCTAGAGCCCGAGAACTTGGAGCAAGCATCCCTGAGGCGGGGTAGTCGAACCTTTACATCCACAACAATCACCGTTTGTCTTTCCCTGCACTTGGGGTTGCGGCTCCTTTGCGGTATCATCATGCGACTTTTGTCAAGCATTTCTACGCGAGTTTTCGGTGGCTATACTCCGCATCGTACGCGCTATCTGCATTGATCGTCCCATTGACGTCGACTCACGGTGTGACTCTTGAAGCGAACCAAACGGCGTGAGGCTTGTCAGTTTCATGTTGGATTCCCGCGCATGGCGTCTGCCCATGGCTGCTTTGATCAAGCAGGCTGCAGAGTTACGATACCATTTGCGGACAGAGGGGGGTTGCTGTTGTTGGGTTAGACTGTGAATGGAGCTGCAGATGCGCGGGGTTCAAATCCATAGGACCCAGCAGCTAACGGTGACCAAGTTTGCCGGATTTCTGGGAGGCAGCACAGAGCCATGTGGGCACCCCTGTCTTCTCGCTTGCACGAGAATCTGGACAGGTCTGTGGTCCCCACTGGACGCCCCGTTAAGGTGGTTTTGGAAAGGTCAACCTTGGAAGGGCCAGGAAGGCCGCGAATGTTTCGCACCTTTTGCTCTTCGCTTAAGCTCTCCAGATCGTCGCCGATCACAAGCTCTATCGCGATCAATTTCTTATGGATGACAGACCTGTGAAAGCTGGAAGAGCTGTAGGGGGTTATGGCAATAATATCACCTAATGTCAGTCTTAGTGGTATCTATAGGCACGTGGTCCGGGAAATCAGATTACGTCACGGGGCACTGTCCGCCGGTGAGATTGATAACCGGTGTCCTAGGCTGGTTGCAAAAGAAGTCGGGAAAACGGTCCAGGAACTGGGAGTGGCTTCAAGAAGACGTTTGAGCAACGCCTGCGCATAATGTGCGTGTCGAGCCAGCCACGAGATGCTGCTTGGCTGAATCCCAATCATCCCTCGACGCCAGCCTCTGAGCATGTCAGGCAATCCAGGATACAAGGAGTTGCTAAGGCCTGCAAGCAAGAGCCAAGTGATGTCTGTGCCCGAAGAAAATGGGGGTGAACATGGCAGCCAGCCTCTTCCTGGGACTTCGAACACTCCAGATGATCAAGCATGCACTTTAGTGAAATATCAGCCTCCGGGGCTGAACACCTAATGTGCTACCAGTTAAAGAGTTGCGGCAACCTATGATTACCTCGTCATCTACTCCGTACCATGATGGCTTTTGCTTGCTAGGGCTACGCGGGGGCTCACCTTCTGACTGGGAGCAGCCGCAGCTGCTGCTATTCCCCCCCTCGACTGCACCAGTGCCAATTGAGCTGGACATTCCCGCATTTGTTGATGCCCATGCAGGGACTGTGTCGAGGTCAATGCATAGCTCCTTTGCTAAGTCAACAATCTGCACCTGTGTATGACGAAAACGTCATTTTCAGGGGGGGAGGATGACCGGGTTGTGCTACGTCCAGAGGCCAAGGCAGGCATCCTCCGGTACCTCCTCATACAGCCCCAGTTAGGGATGGCCCCCAGGAGAACCTCGGAAGGACGGCGGTTGTGACATTCATACCTACCCTGACTGGTTGGGTCAGGTGGTGTTGTTATTTTCCCTGCAGCACCCAGCACAGCCTCTTAAGATCCGTTGCTCTGCATTCATCTGGGCAGGAAGGGCGTCAGCCCTGGGAACTTCCGTATGCTTGCCAAGCCAATAAAACTCTGGCTCACCATTGCGGAGAGGATTGTACGCCGGAAGGTGAGATTCCACCTCCACGGGGCCCAATAGCGCATTACTAACTGTCCTTACCAAACGGAGTAGACTCATCGATAATGGTGGCAGTAATCCACCCGTGCCAGGTTTTTCATCACTGCTTGGGCATTGCATCTCTTTATTTCCAGTCTTCCAGCTGGACAGACCAAGGAAGAAGTGAGAGAAACCCATTGGGAACAAAGGCTCAGTTTTCAAGTCGCCAAACACCGGTTTCACGGCCGCCTGAATTGCAAGGGAGCAGGCCTATGTCCTAGGCGAGCTGTTCATGGTATCATTGCAATGCTTATTGGTTTATGAGAGCTGCTCGCGGTTCCCATCATCTGCAGAAGTATGCAGCACACAGCGCCGGTTTGTGCGTGCAGGAAATCCTCCAGTTGTCGCCCGACTGAAAAGCCCCAGCAAGGATGCTCTCTTTACATCACCACACCACTGTTGCTCGCAATTCTGGGCCACAGCTCAGCCGCCTCCTTTCCGACCGGTCCCGTGATAGCGCTGCCCTTCATTTCGCCTTTCGGGTTTACGATGACGCCAGCGTTGTCTTCGAAATAGAGGTAGATTCCGTCCGGCCGTCTCCAAGGTTTTGATTGTCTGACCACGACAGCGGGCATGACTGATAGGGAAACGGTCAGTCACTCGCGCGGCCCCCCTTCCAGATTGTACCTACCTTTCTTTCTCAACTCTGGCTTTCCTTTCTTGACCGTGGCCATGACCATATCTCCGACACCGGCGGCGGGTAATCTGTTCAATCGAGCACCGATGCCCTTGACTGAAATGATGTAGAGATTGCGAGCACCCGAGTTGTCTGCGCAAGACATGACGGCTCCGCTGTGGCCATCCGTTAGCATCTTTCTCTCGTCCACCTCCACTAAGTAAAAGAGCTGGCTCCATCAACGCCATCGAGTTCCTGTTACCATCCCATCATACTCGACATATTCGGCCGGTTGACAGGAGTGGGCTGATCGCATTGAGCGTAGGGAAAACGTACACAGGGAGACCGAGGGTCATCTTGAGCTTGTTGCCAGAGGCACCACCGCGACTATCCGTATGTTAGCCTTGTTCCTTCCTCTCCAGCGAAGCTATCAAAGCGCAAAACGTACCCTCGTTTCGACATTTTGACGGTGTTGTGGTTGAGTCCTTAACGCAGCTGTGCCGTGGAGGAAGATGTAGCCAACCTCAAATTGGGGATCGCAAAAATCAGCGTGCGGCGCCGCATGACAGCCGCCAAGAGTTCGGCTTGGCATCTCGTGCCCCACTTTAATCGTTAACAGCACCGAGAGCAGCACTTAGAATCGTTGCGACTGAGGCTCAATGTCTCAGTGCATGCCGGTCTACTTCACTAGTATTCATTCCGTTTCTTATTCTTCACGGTGTATGATGGACCACACCTATAACGTGTTTGCAAGCATCTATCTGACGAGAGGGGCGGTAGCCCATCTCGAGAATACCCAGACGGTAAATAGCTGCAGTGACTGAGCGGTTACTATTCGCCGGCATCGGTGTCCCTTCGCGGGCAAGCTAGCTATGATCCAGATCAGATTTACGCTCTGACCTGAAAGCATGACTTGGTGCGAGCTCGGCACATCACTCTACATGCCCCGAAGAGCTGGGTGCCGACCTCGCGCGTTGACACGTCCCCACTGATCTGTACTTGGTATATTGACCGTTTGGTGCCCGGTGTCTCATGGCGATCGAAGAACTCTGGCTCGCACTGCGATCAGGTGAGACACGCGCTGTGGAGATTTGCTGGTCAAGCACCAGTTGCTCCGTCCATTACCCGTCCATTCTCCTCCACCCATTGATTCACATGTTGTTGACTATGCTAGAGTCAGAGGAGCTAGGCAAGAAGTGTTCGACAAGGCTCGGCTGGTTTCAAGAGTTTCAATCGGTATGGGACGCGTCAGAATGGAGATTCGGAGGCGGCGGACATAGCTTGAAAGGCATTTATGTGCCGGACAAAATGTGCGAAGGGAGCAACGAAAGTCTTTGGAAGAACACGGCTCTGCATTCGGAACCGGGCACTGAGGTTCATTGGGTCGTGCTTGAAGTACCACAGAGACTGTGCTGCCTGATGGTTATCTCAACGTGCTCATACCTAACTCTTTCTATGTTTCCGAACAGGGGTAACCACGAGCGCGGCTGGCAAGATAGACGTCTGAATTGTCGGGCAGTTCTGGAAGGAAAGTTCCCAACGTTCACGAGCGTCTGTACTCCAACACCACGAAAAGACGGCCCCTCCGAACGCAACCCCTGGAAGAAGGACGAGCTCTGGAGTGTTCGAGATATGGATGCCATAAATAAAGCCATGTAACCTGAGCCAACCTGAGCGAGTATGAGATCCGTGTTAAGACGTCCACGCGTTTCCTATCAAGCTCAGAGATTGCCTATCCATTTACTAATATATGACTATCTCATATCGCAATACCCTATGTGGCCGGGATACCGCCGAACTTCCGCGTTCGTAACCCGGCGAGCACTCGAAGCGGCAACGCGGTGCCGATCTGCCTTATACAAGGCTCGCAACAGAATATCAATGCCCACCGTCGTGTCGGCCGTAGCTGAATTTGCTCGACGCTTGAGTGCATGGTTGTTCATCAGGGCAGGTGGGTTATGCTGCGTCGACTGGATGGCTTTCAAGCTCGTTCGCAGCCAACAACTTCCAGTCACAGGCACCTTCACTGGGGAGGTCGTGTGTCACGAACGGTCTCCGGCAACGCTGCTCACGAAATCTCGTAGAAGGATCCGTGATGCGTGGTCTCCTCTTCTCATGGCGACATAGCAATTCAGCTCTTCATCGCAAAGGAAGATATGACAGTGGTCTCGAGAATGTCTCAGCTTCATGTCGCAAGAGGGATGAGGCTGGCTGAGGGTGTACGTCTTTAGGCGAAGGTGTGGTGTGACGAATCCATTCCCGCAGTGCGTACGGAGTACGATGGCTGAGCCTGAACCCTGGGACAATCCTTCGTAATCCAGCAGGCCGGTATTCGTCGGTTACACACGGACAAAAAAGGAAGGCAAGGGAACCTCTAATTTTGAGCTTCAGACCCGGATCGACATGTGCCACATGAGGGGGCTAGGCAGGCGATGCAGGCCATACAGTACAATCGTTTTGTATTCTAGATGACCTGGTCGGGAGCAGAATCTATGGTGTGGCCCATATGGATGTCAATGTGCGTGTGCTTAGACTTTGCTAGGCGCCGGTACTGGAAGACGCCCGGGCGCCTCCAAGGCCCCCTAAGTAGTTAGGGGCCCCATTGGACGCCTTAGGCACTTGTCATCAATACTCCACGCCAGGCACGTGGCCTGGAAACAATAACTTCAGGCTCCTCTCTTTGTCTCTTGTCGTACTCTACACAAGTACCACGACTGTCCCAGGCTCGTCGGGACCGATGCAATGGCAGCCATCATGGAGCTCAATGGTGCTCGTTTGTACTGCTCCAACCGACTTATACAGTACCCTTGCTTACTGCCCCAGCACCCATTCGTCCACACTATGTCCTTCCTTGCCAATCTGACCAATCTCCACTTGATGTCTCTAACCATACCCAGTATGTAACACCTGCGGGCGGCGCCGAGGTTAGTCCAAGAGCCATGGCTGGCAGGGGGAGGAAGAGCTGAACGTGATAGCCAATGCTCGATAGTCCCTCTCGCCAATCAGATGGCCACTATTGCGGACCACGCGGTCTCGGCCCCCCGAGTACTCCGTATGCCTGCCTTTCTTCAGGGCTTGGAGCCTCAGCTGCGTCGCTCAGCCCGGATGGCGTTCATCAGGATGCCTTCACGATGCTGCCTTTCTTCTCGCCGCGAGTCACCATTTAACCCACTTCGTTCCTTCGTATCTGTTTTCAGGCTGCCATTCCCCCGACGCCTGACGAGGAGCTCCTTATATAGCCTGGGAGATACACCCGTTCAGAACAATGGTGCGGAAAAGGAAACTCTCCTCGACGTCTATCAGCGCCATGAACGGCTCGCGCGATCATCCGTCCGACCTGGACCCTGTTCATACAGAGTTCAAGATCACGAGCACCATCAAAGGCTTCTTCGAAAGCATTGCGGGCTCAGGCCCGGATCCGACAAACACGGTAATCAATGGGGCAACCGTACAGTCGAAGCCACTTCTGGCAAGAGTGCTTGCCGACATTGCGTCTCAAGCGCCTCGCATAGGAGAGAATCTGGGACTGATCCATTCCTTGGTCGACACTACGCTCTTCGATGGCGGTCTTGTTGACGATCGGCAATATCAGGTACCCAATCCCACAGTTGAAGACGTTCAATGTCATCTGACTCTGCCTGAATACAGATGGAGAAGATTCTACAGTTGGCGGCCTCGTTACCGCCCGGGTCAAAGTCTCTTGACGACCTGACTGACAAGTTCATCAAATTGTTGTGGGAGAATTTGGAGCATCCTCCACTGTCATACCAGGGAGACGAGTACAAATTCCGTACAGCAGACGGCTCCAACAACAATATCATGTACCCACACCTCGGCAAAGCCGGCTCATATTATGCCAGGACCGTCACTCCACAGACACTGCAACCGGGTGTCCTCCCGGATCCTGGTGTGATCTTCGATGCGATCTTCGCGCGTGGTGAGGAGCCCAGAGAGCACCCGAATAAGATTTCTAGTATGCTGTTCTACCTTGCAACGATCATCATCCACGACTGCTTCCACACGGACGATGCCCAGTCCGGGAAGGTCAAAACGTCATCTTATCTCGACTTGGCTCCCCTGTACGGCAGTAGCCAGGAGGAACAGAATCAGATAAGAACGTTCAAGGACGGTCTCTTGAAACCGGACACATTCTCGGAGAAGAGGATCCTCGGCTTTCCCCCTGGAGTTGCCGCCATTGTAGTCTGCTTCAATCGGTTCCACAACTATGTAGCCATGCAGCTCAAGGAGATCAACGAAGGAGGCCGATTCCGCGCCCCTAAGAGCGACCAGGACAAGGTTGGTCTCGCGAAGCTGGACAATGACCTCTTTCAGACGGCCCGACTAGTCACTTGCGGGCTATATGTCAATATCATCCTCAACGACTATGTGAGAACCATCCTCAACCTGAACCGGACTAATTCGACCTGGACGCTTGATCCCCGCAAGAACTTCTCCGACGTTTTCGACAGCGCTGGCGTCCCCTCGGGCGTCGGCAATCAAGTCAGCGTCGAATTCAACTTGGTGTACCGATGGCACTCTGCGATCAGTATCAAGGACGAGAAATGGACTAACGATCTGTATCAGTCGTTGTTCCCCGGCAGAGATGTCGCTTCTGTGACTCAGTGGGAGTTGTTGCCAAGGTTGAAGCAGTGGCTCGATGAGCGTGGATCAGACCCTTCCAAATGGCAACTTGACTCAGGAAAGTACAAGAGAACTGCGAATGGCGCCTTCCGGGACGAAGATCTCGTCGAAATCTTGACCCAGTCGACCGAAGATGTCGCCTGCGCGTTCGGGCCGAGAAATGTACCATTGGTGATGAAGCTGATTGATGTCCTGGGTATTCAGCAAGCACGAGCCTGGAACGTGGCGACCCTCAATGAGTTCAGGAAGTTCTTCAAGCTTCAGCCTCACAAGACTTTCTCAGACATTACCAGAAACGAGGAGGTGGCGCGATCGTTGAAGGCTCTCTATCAGCACCCAGACTACGTTGAACTGTACCCGGGAATTGTTGCTGAAGATGCGAAGGATCCTTTGGAGCCCGGGTCTGGTCTATGCCCCGGCTACACCATTTCTAGGACCATCCTGGCCGATGCCGTGGCGCTGACCAGGGGAGATCGATTCTATACAGTCGACTACACGCCTGCAAACTTGACCAATTGGGGCTGGTCCCAGGTCAAGTCCGATCCCTCGGTGGCCCAAGGAGGATGCTTCTACACTTTGCTCATGCGAGCCTTGCCATTCTACTACCGTGGGAACTCGGTTTACGCCATGTTTCCCCTGACAGTGCCCGAAGAGAACCGAAAGATCTTGACGAGGCTGGGCGTGGACCACGACTACAACTTCGACCCGCCATCGTACGTCGGAGTGCCTACATCGATTCGTTCCTGGAAGGCGGTCACGGACATCCTCGCAGACCAGGGTGGCTTCTCCGTCCCTTGGGGTCCTCACACATACTACCTCACCCATCACGACTACATGCTCAGTGGAGACAGTGAGGCCAATGCGACGCAGCGCAAAGAAACCCAAAGCGCAATGAACTGCCCTGTTAACGGGCTTGCCCAGGTTCAGAAGTTTTACGAAGACCTGACGACACAGCTCGTCGTGGCACGATCGGAGCGACTTAGAGGGGAATGGTACCAACTCGATGCTTGCCGGGATGTCGGTAACCCCTCGCATGCCATCTTCGTTGCCCGCATGTTCCATCTCCCACTTAAGAAGCGCGGGGATCTGAACCCTATCGCAGTCGAGGTTGATCAGCTGTACCTCGCGTTGTCCATCATGTTCGCTTATGTTTTCTTGGATCTCGACACGGCCAGCTCGTTCAAGCTACGTGCTGGTGCGAAGACCGCCAACGAGCAGCTCTCGAAACTGGTCAAGATTGTGTGCGAAGCTGTTAAGGTAGGTGGCATGCTTCGCCTCGGTGACATCTTCTCGACAGGCATTGCTGGCGAGCTTTTGGAAGACTATGGTGTTCACTTTCTGAAGCGGCTGTTCGAAGGCGGCAAATCGGTCGATGTAGTGGTGTCGACCATCATCCCCACTGCCGCTGCCGCCGTTGCTACCCAGGCCCAGCATTTCACCCAGATGCTGGACATCTACCTGTCTCCCGAACACAGCGAGCATTGGCCGGAGATCCAAAGGTGTGCCTGGTCGAACAATCCAGCCGACTTTGACAAGCTGAAAGGCTACGCGCTCGAAGCCAATCGTCTGGCGCCGGCGGCATTCGGACTCCTCCGCAAAGCAAACATCGACACCACCATTGTCGACAACGGGCAGAAGGTCAAAGTCGAGTCGGGCGACCAGATCTACGTCGACTTCATCACTGCCGGTCTGGACGAGACCGTCTTTCCTAATCCGCGCACGATCGATCCGACCCGGGATCGATCGCTCTACGTCCATCAAGGTCACGGGCCTCACTCCTGTCTCGGTCGACCGATGGTCGAAGTGGCCATGGCGGCGCAGCTGAAAGTCTTTGCCAAACTCAAGAACCTCCGACGAGCGCCAGGCCCGCAAGGTCAACTCAAGAAAACCATTCCAGCTCCTAATCCCACGAGCAGCGATCCAAAGGCCAATCCGGGTAGGATTGAGGTCTTCATGTTGGAGGACTGGAGTTCGTGGTATCCCTTCCCGACCAGTAAGTTTTGCTCTTCACACTGTCTGGGTACACATTACTGACCAAGTCTAGCGTTGAAAGTTCACCACGAGGGCCTGTGGCGCGAGCAGCCTGACCAACTTGCCGGGCAGACCGGCGTCCCCGGCATACAGGAGGACATCCTGGACAGCGACATGGCCGAGACGAATGGACTGAATGGGGACTATGTCGAGGCCGACACGGCCTAAGGTGCTGAAGCGATGTTGGACGTGGGCCACTGTGATATCAAGGCAGCCAACATTCTGCGTTGGCTTTGGCATTTTATAGGAATTCCGAGGGGGCAAAACTGTAGTCTTCAAGCGATGGGCAAATTGACAGGCTGATGCAGCAATTATGTACAAGAGAAGGATGGCTAGGCGTCGTCTAATAGACACAAAGTATATCGTGCTGTTTTGCTGCTATGCCTGCAAGCGTGTGCCTGGTGAGCCTCCCTCTACCCACAGTGCCAGATTCAGGCCGTCGAACGCATACACAAGACAGACGGAGTACGTCCGATGCTTCTCAACTTGGTGAGTGGATGCCAGATGACACATCAACTCGGGTGACTAAGCGTCCTGCATGGGAGTCGGACTCGGCGGTCCCAAAGGACGTAGCAAGACGAGACACCAGAAGATCCAAGACCTTGCTGGACCATACGACTGAACGAACATATAAGAGTAGAGTTGCCGCAACATACTGTAAGTACGAGGTAAGCATCCGTGACTCGCCGCTCGTCCAGCGAGCGATTCAGCGACTTGACCCTCGATTCTTCCCTCTCGACTAGAAGACGGGCCTCGCCCGTGCGCACAAGGTACATATCAGACGACCATCTACATCCCCTCACTCTCGCATGCTATATCATCACGTCTCGTCTCGTCTTCTAGTTCCGCGTGCCCGAATTGCTCTACACCACAGTACCTCCACCTCCCGCACCATGACCACGACAGCCCACTACGAAGCCATAGTCATCGGCTCCGGCCAAGGCGGCGGGCCCCTTGCGCAAGCGTTCGCCAACGCAGGCCGGCGCACCGCGCTGATCGAGGCCAAGCACGTAGGCGGCACGTGCGTCAACGAAGGCTGCACGCCGACCAAGACCATGGTGGCCAGCGCGCGGGTCGCGCACCTGGCGTGCCGCGCGCAGGGGTACGGCGTGCAGTTCAAGCGGTCCAGCCTGGCGCTGAACATGGAGACAGTAAGAAAACGGAAGCGCGACATTGTGGACAGTTTCCGCGCGGGGAGCGAGCACCGGATCAAGGCCACGGAGAATGTCGATCTGATCTTGGGCAGGGCGACGTTCCGGGGGCCCAAGACCGTCGAGGTGCTGTTGAATGGACCGCGGCCGCATCACGAGACCGACGGCAACAGCAACACCGGCATGGACACGACCCTCACGATAACAGGGGATTTGGTGTTTGTGAACGCAGGGTGTTCACCATCAAGGCTCGACGTCAAGGGCGCATGCCGCACGGAGGGGCTGCTCGACTCCACCTCGATCATGGAACTGGGTGATGTGCCGCGCCACATTGTCATCATCGGCGGCGGCGTCATCGGGTGCGAGTTCGCGCAGATGATGAGACGGTTCGGCGCAAAAGTCAGCCTCGTGCAGCGGGGTGCGCAGCTGCTGCCGCGCGAGGACACCGACGTGGCGGACGAGGTGCGCCGGATCTTCGTCGACGCCGGGATCGAGGTGTATTTGGGAGCTACGACGAACGAGGTCTCCAACGTCACGCTGGGCCAAATCGTCGTCTCTGTGACGCAGGGCGACGGCACCCCGAAATCCATCCTCTGCAGCCACGTGCTCGCCGCGGCAGGGCGGACGCCCAACACCGCGGACTTGGGCCTCGAGAGCGCGGGCGTCGAAGTGGACAAACACGGCTTCATCAGGGTGGATGAGCACCTCGCCACGTCGGCGCCGGGCGTCTACGCGCTCGGCGACATCAAGGGCGGCATGCAGCAGACGCACGTCAGCTACGACGACATGCGCATCTTACGACACAATCTGGTCACGCACGCCCAGAGCGGCGAGCGGGCCTCCGTCCAGGGTCGGCTGGTCCCGTACACGACCTTTATCGACCCGCAGCTCGGGCGCGTCGGGATGACGGAGAAGGAAGCTCGTGCGCTGAACCCGCCCCGGAACGTCAAGGTCGCGAAGATGCCCATGGCATATGTGGCGCGGGCACTGGAGATGGACGAGACCAACGGGTTCATGAAGGCGGTGGTCGACGCCGACACGAAAGAGATCTTGGGGTTTGCATGTTTAGGTGTCGAGGGCGGCGAGATCATGAGCGTCGTGCAGATGGCCATGGTAAGTGACTAGCACAAGCATCCTGCGTGCAAGCAATGCCCAGAACTTTTGCTAACGTGACGAACTCGCAGATGGGAGGCCTGACATACGACGAGCTGGAGAACGCCATCTTTGCACATCCGTGTCTGAGTGAGAGTCTGAACAACCTTTGGGGGTTCCTGCAGTGAAGAGTAAGTTGAGAGTCAGTCAGAATTAGCAGAGTCACTGAAGACGCAATTGAGGGTGAGCGAGTATAAGCTGAGGCAATGAGGAGCGAGTTGAGGGTGAGTGAGCACAAGCGCAAGTTAATGCCACGAAGAAAACACCTGTATGTGTATAAGATGCGTCTTCCTCTCTGCCGCTCAATGCCCGTTCTGCAACAAACCCCCGTCCGAAACCACTCTCATATCCACCGTCTCCGTCCTCCTCTCTCCGTCATACACTGGCAGCGGCGTGCCCACCTTGTCCGCCTTGATCTGCAACGCCACGAACCTCGAAAAGTACCGCGCGTGCCCGACCGTGCCACCCATGTACCACAGGCCGGGCTGTCTGTTCTGCTTGAACACGCCCTTGAGCTCGCCCTCGCTGTCTAGACCCCAGAAGTCGTCTGCCCGGGCCGCCACCTCCTGACCGAAGATCCGCGCCACGTCGGTGCGCATGTTGCCTACGAAGCCGGTGCTGAAGACGATGACCGAGGCGGGGATCTCGGTGCCGTCGCTGAACGCCAGGCCTGTCGATGTGTAGTGCGTCGGAAGGGCGTCGGATTTCATCATGATCTAGATGGCAGGGCATGGGTTAGCCAGTCTGTCAAAGAGCAGGGCGAAAACGACCATGTGGCTGTAACGTCTCCGAGGCAAGGGACTGAATACGCAAGAGGGATACGGAATACAGACACATACCTTCCCTCTCGCGATCAGGTCTGAGCATCCCACGTCCATGTAGTGTCCTGCATCGAGGGTTGTCAGCCTGCATTCTGAAGCTTAAGAGTTACCGTGGGCCTAGCCTTACCTCCCATCTTCTCACAGATATGCCACATGATGTCGCCGTACCTTTCCACCCGGAAGCCGACCCTCTCGAGCGCGTCGAAGCGCTCGGGCTCCTGCGCCGCGGCGGCATGCAACGCCCTGCGGCTCAGCAGCCGCGTAACCGCGTACGGCTGCGTGTAGCCGTCGCGATCGGCGTCCACGGTGGGGACCTTCTCATTGTACGATCTGTCCGAAATGACCTTGAAGTATTCGCACGGCAACACGTACGTGCGCGACCGCTGCACCATGGTGATCTGCGAGAGTCCCGCCTCGACCATGTCCTCGGCGACATCGTGCGCCGTGTTGGCCGTGCCGACGACAATGCCGGGCTGTCCGCGCCACGGCTCCGCGGACTTGTAGTCGGCCGAGTGCAGCACCGTGCCCTGAAAGCTTTCGCGCCCCGGGTAGTGCGGCATGATGGGGATCTGTCCGCCTGAGCCCGTGGCCATGACGACGTGGTTCGTCGTGAGTGTCTGCACGGAGCCGTCCGCCCGCCTGACGTGCAAGGTCCAGGTGCGGGATTGCTCGTCCCACGAGCCCGAGTCCAGAGTCGTCTGGAACCAGATGTGCTGGTCGATGCCGAACTTCTCGACCCACGCTTTGTACCCCCTGGCGAGGTCGTACTTGGTGAGGAATTCCTGGTAGGGAAGCGGGAACGTGCGGTCGAAGGGCAGATGGTTGTATTCGCGCGCCGTGTGCAGTCTGGCCGAGTCATAGCGCGTCATCCAGTTGTCGCCGACTTGGGCATTCTTGTCAAGAACCACGTACGAGAGTCCAAGCGCTTGAAGACGGCCGGCGGTCCCAAGGCCCGCTTGACCTGCGCCCACGACGACACAGTCGAAATGGGGCGCCGAGCTGGTTGCTGCGGTGTCTCCGTTGGCTCCATTGGCGAGTGCATGATTTCCATTCACTTGGCCGTCGTGATGACCGTTCACACCGTTCAACCCCCGCTCGACAGGCTGCAGGACGTCGACGTCCTCGCATCCCTCCAGCTGTTCAAGAACAGTCCTAATCATCCAGATCTTCCATTCCCCATCCTCTTCGCGGATCAGGGACAGATACCCACGGCACGTCGCCGCTGGGGTTCCTTGGTTGCGGAAGCTGAACGATACATTGACCCAGCCGGTGTCCTTGTCAAGCCGCAACGCGTGGGCCGACCCTTTGACCAAGGCGAAATCTCCTGCCTGCCGAGATTTGCAGGTGTCGGACCATGCTTTCACAATGGACTCTCGGGAGTAGATGGTTCGCATGCTGCCCGTCAGGGCGAAGAGGTCCCGCCATATCGACTCCGACGAAAGCTTCGAAGCTTCGATATTTTCGAGAGACTGTATTACGGGAGTTGCAATGCTCTCGAAGTCGGCACCAACGTCGAAGTGCGACTGCGGCAGTTGGCAAGGAAGAGTCTCCAATATACTTCGTGGAGCATAAGGGACGACATCGACGGACATCTTGAACAAGGGATCCTGCCGCGGACGATGTCTAATTACCTTCCGACTGTGACTAAGGTTACAGCGAGACAAGCATTTGCAAGCAGGCAGGGCGCTGAGTTGGTGACGTTAATGAGTACTTAAGTCTATTTCAAGCCTAGGATCAAGTCATGGAGGCGTTAATCCCACCGCCGTGAAAGACCGTCCCGGTCGAACCCTGTACATATTGTTGTACAACCGCTTGTGGATGTTGGACGAACTGGCGTGCAACTGCCGGAGACCCTGATCCGGTGGAGTTGGAGTCGATGAGATTTCCTTCCTGGGGATGGGAGATGGGCTTTTGTGGGGTCGTGCATTGTGCCTGGGCCTTTTAGCCACCTGCTTAGCTGGGTAAGGTCAGCCTGTGGCGAGAAACGAGTATGGAAAATCGAGGCATCATGGCAGGCGGTTGGGAAGAGACCCAGATCATGTGGTCTTAAATCGGGAAGTACGGAGTACAACCAGATATCTTACGGATTTTGTCCGACACCAAATAACCAATGCAACAAAAAACGCTCACGAAGGTTACCAAAAGGTCGCAGTCAACTGACAGGTTCAGGCGGCACTGTTGACGCTCGCAGGGGCATGATCCCCGGTGACAGGAGTGCCATTCGTCTTTGCCTGCTCCTTATCCATAGGCGCCGTCAGCGATTTCTGTGGCCTCATGCCCAGCAGATTCGTGGCATCGACCAAACGTGCATTCGGGTTGAGCTCGAGGCCGAATCCGGGCTTGTCCAAGACGCCGATATCTAAGTAACCGTTCTCAGGGATCGGCTCGTTGAGGAACAGATCGCCGAAGACGGGAAGCACGCTCTTTCCGTCTGGGCTGTTGGCAAGGTACTCCTGGAAAGGAGAGTTATGCTGACTGACAACGAAGTGGTATGAGTAAGGACCAGACGCGTGCGGGACCACGGGAATGTCGTACGCCGCAGCCATAGCAGAGACCTTGAGGAGCTCGGTCAGGCCGCCCAGCCACATCACGTCCGGCTGGATGATGTCGACATTACGGCCCTCGAGAAGTTTGCGGAAGCCGTAGCGGGAGTACTCGTGTTCCTAGCTGAGGTCAGTATCCATGATAAATGACAGCTTGAACGTGGTTCCTTACTCCAGTCGTGAACTTGGTATCTGGATGTGCTCTCTTCAACAGTTGAAAGCCATCAAAGTCATCCGGGGACAAGACTTCCTCCCACCAGTCTATTCTGATATCTTGTCGCTTTGCCTCTGCCACAAGCTCAATGGTGTATTGGACGTTCAAACTCATCCAGCAGTCGACGCGCAACGGAAAGTGGGGACCAACATGTTCCCGGTGTTTCTTCAGAAAAGCGATGTTCTTTCTAATACTGTCGGGCTCATCGGCGCTGTACGGCAAAGGCACCTTACCAGCGATAAAGCCCATCTTTTGTGCGGCAGCAGGTTCGGGACCGGTGCAATAGAAATTCAACTTGTCTCGGGTCGCGCCACCGATCATCTTGTAGACTGGCTCGTTCCTGATCTTCCCCAGCAGATCCCACAACGCAAGATCGATTACTGAGATGACCGCCACGGGCAAGCCCTTTCTTCCATAGAACATCGAGGCCTTGTACATCTGCTCATATATATCGTTCACGTCTCGCGCGTCTCGGCCGAGCAGGAACCGCTCAAAGTGTTGCTGGACCAGCCAGCAGCCGGGAGGTCCGCCAAATCCGGTCGCAAAACCTTTTGTGCCGTCCGTGGCCTCGATCTCGACACAGAAGGACCCAAGGACGTTGATGCCGAAGGACGTTCGGGAATTGCGGTACTGCTCCCATTTGGACATGGGCGTCGCAATCTTGTTGTCGATCAGCCAATGGCCGCCTTTGACATTATGGTAGTCACCGCCGGAGCCGACGCCTTCAATGACGAAGGTCCGCACGGTCTTGATGGTAGGGAAGGACTTCAGTCCAGACATGATGAAGCTCGGTCGCTGTTGTTGGCTCAGTCCGTTCACAAGGACTAGGGCGGAAGACGGTGCAGGAACAAGAAGAGCACATTCAGGGAACGTAATGCACGGGGCAGATATAAGACACAGGGAACCGACTGCACCATGGTGGTCTGGAGGGGTCGCAGTGCACAAATAAGAGAACTTGAAGTCACGAAATCCTCGACAAGTGAGTTTCGCTCGTCGGCACAGCTGCCACCGGGTTCGGAGCGATGACGTTCTTTCACATCCATTAGCCTCAAAGAATCAATGGGGGCGGACTCCGTGCCAAGTAGATCAGAACAAGCGACCGATCAGGGATTTGTCCCAGCGACCGCGGGGTAAGGGCGTCCGAAGCATGGAAAGAGAAGGGAAGAAAGGGGTAGTGAGTGACGCGAGAGGAGGTTGGAGGCTGGAGCTCTCACATGTGCCTACAAGTACGGGGTTGATTCTGGGTGTGCTAGACATCTAAACACCGGGGCGTCCCCTGCTGTCTTCGGCTATTAGGCTGTCAGCCATGCCTCGGCGTCGCCTAATAGAAAGTGGCGGGCCTGCCGGGGCGCAGCGGGGTGACCAGCTCAACCGCCGATTCTCCTTCCCCAGGTTTTCCCTTCTGTCCTGCTTCTCATTTCTCCATCCCTCGGCCTCTTCTCAACCGACTGCTCGGACTACGGCGCAATGCTGTAACCCTCGATGGGATTCTGTGCCGAAGAACACTGTCACCGAGCACGATGAACGCGGCCAAACTTGAGTTATACAACCATCATGCAGGAAATGATGGCGAGGCCAATGGCGCGTCGACCCTCCTACCGCCATCCTCCAATTCGCCATCCGAGTATGACTCTGGCGGAGACGACGACCTCAATGGCTCTCTCACTAGGAAGCGCAAAAGGGTCTCCAGGCCTATGAATGTCACGTACGTCTTGGCTCCGTCTCAATGGGCACGCTCTTCCATCTCTAAACCCTTTGGTTGATAAACATGCGCATGCTCACTAATGCCGGAGCTTGATAGCTGCGAAGCCTGTAAGCAGAGAAAGGTGAGTTAGCTTCGGCGCCAACGCTGGGCTTCAAGTAGCTGAGAAAATGCGCTTAGGTGAAATGCGATCGCCAACAGCCGGCTTGCGGCTGGTGCTCTCGGAACGACCACCCATGTGAATACAGGGAGCGCAAGAAGCCTGGCCTTCGGGCTGGCTACGGGAGAGAGCTCGAAGGTAGACTTGATCGCCTCGAGGCCTTGCTGGAGGAGCAAGGTCACCAGTTAGCGGCCCACCTTGCAGAATCATGCTCCATATCTAGGGTGACGACCGCTGCCAGCAACAGAAGCAATGCACAAGGCGTCGTGCCAGAGACTGCACCGCCGCAGGGCTCCTACGACGCTCAATGCATCAGTCTACCAGGCGAGCTCCAACAACAACAAATCGTCGACCCTAGTCTACGGCCGCCAGCCTCGCGACATGGATCTTTGCAATATCAACCGATTGTTGCGGACCAGCAAATGGCTCAGCAGAGCCACTATACACCCTCCTCTCATTCGCATGCGGCACTTACCTCTCCTCATTCTACCACCGGATACCCGGGGACTCAGGTGTTCAATGAGTATTCGACCATGCTACCTCCATACGACCTCCTCTATTCCCTTGTCGACCTCTACTTCAAACACATCAACATATGGCTGCCCTTGTTGGACCGAAAGACCACTCTTGACACTCTCTTTGGGGCTTCAACGCTGGATGAAGCGGACAGAGTGCTCCTGCATGCGATCGTAGCGACAACTTTGCGCTTCTCACAGGATCCTCGATTGACTTCGGAAGGTCGCCAGCACTATCATGACACCTCCAAACAACGGGTCCAGTTATTCGGCCTGGAGAACTCAAACGTTCGAGCTTTGCAGGCACTGGTCATTCTGGCATTGGACGTGACGGGAACGACCAATGGCCCACCAGCTTGGAATCTGCTCGCGCTCATTAGCAGAAGTATGGTCCAACTCGGGCTTGCCGTTGAGTCAGGCTCAGTACTGGCCACGCCTATGTATCCCTCAATTGCAACCCTCCGAGCCTCTGTCTTGCCCGAACCGAAGTCGTGGATTGAAGACGAAGAACGACGCAGGCTGTTTTGGGCCGTTTACTTGCTGGACCGATACGCCACTATTGCCACTGCCTTCGAATTCGCGCTTGACGAGAAAGAGGTCGACCGTCGTCTGCCTTGCCGAGACGACCTTTTTGCGGCGAACAAGCCTGTCGAGACCAGGTGGTTCCGGCCTCCAGAACACCCTCGCTATGCCACAGGGATGGCGGTCGGCGACACGCATGGCTACTTCTCGTATCATTGTGAACTGATGGCTATTCTGGGTCGGATCCACCAGTTCCTGAAGCGGCCAGTCGACATTGGGTCGTTGGCTGACGTCGAGCAGTGGCAAGGCTCATACCGTGCGCTCGACAGTGATCTAAATGCATGGCACTTCAGTCTGCCTGACGACTTTGCCAACATAACCCGGCTTCTCAAATCAAATGTGCCGGCTAAAAATACAAACTGTGGCTGGATCATGCTGCATGGAGCGTACTGCCTGACTGTCATTCGCTTAAACTCGTCGGCGGCGTACCCCAGCCAGACTTCGCCCATATTTTGCTCTTCCTACAGCGCCATGCAGAGGTGTCTGTCTGCAGTGGAGAACTTGCGTAAGCTCTGTCGCTTCGTCAAGCTCAGTGGCCTCCTCGACAAAGTTGGGCCCCCTTTCGCCTTTGCAATTTGGGTAAGGTGTCTCCTTCTTGAACCCCCCTAGCGTTAGCGGGCTGATGATATTCACAGGTGGGCGCTCGTGTTATGCTCGTTCACGGGTCGACCATGGATCACGAGGTGGATCCCGATATTGACTTCTTCGTCACGGCCCTTTCCGAGATGGGCGAGAATTGGCTAGTTGCCAGACGGTACAGCGAAATTCTGAGCCGAGTGCTGGGAGAGTATCGACAGTCGCACCGGGCCACCGGAGTGACAGGGGAGAGAGTGACCCCATCGACGGTGAAAATCCTTGCCGACATGCGCCGGTAGGACTGTTCTCTGTTGTGATTGGGTGCGACTAAGTTCATGAAACAGATGCGCATATGATCTTGACTTTTTAATATCCCGCCAGCCGCATGCTGCGGCCGTCAAATCGTACCACCCGACACGTGCGAACACTCCCGCCCCCAATGAGCTGTGAGTCCCTCCCGAAATCCTTGGTGCCGTTCCGCTGGGGTCCTCGTCGCAGCCTGGAATGCTAACGACCGAGTAGGGAATATCTTGACGTGTTTGATCTTTTCAACTTTCCACGCGTACCAATGACTCAGGAAGGAGTGGACAACGCGAATGCGCAGGCAATGGGTCAAGCCGCTCCGCCGGATCTCTCAGCCATGAACGCCTCCATGATCCCGAATTTTGCAGTGCCAAACCCCGAAGCTGATTGGCTTTACCATACAAACTAGGGCCGAGTTACGGCGGGGAGGCGGACGGTGCTGGTACCCATCTGAAACTTCCAGGTTCAAACTTCGGAACGGGGCGTTATCGCCGGCTTCGTCAGGATCCGAGTGCTACAGCTGGAGATTGGTCAAGCAGTCGTAGGGATTACAGTATCTGGAATATGGACTCAGTCACAGAGCCAGGGCTGATGGAGGCAAAAACCCGCAACCAGTAGGGTGCGTAGGCTAGGAAACGTCAACGACCTGAGGAACGACGTACTCTTGTCTGGAATGGAGAATGTAAGTACCTCTGCCGCGGTGACATGGTTGATAGTGTCAGCGATGAGCGGAAGAACGTGACCGGGTCGTAGTACACAGTATTTTTGTAGAGAGACTCGAGTCAGCCTTACCCGATACCGAATTGGGCCTTGTAGTGGAGACTCGGAAGGGGATAGGCTGATCAGGCCAGCTCCAAGACTGTGGAAAGTCCAGCCTGTGACATAGCGTGACTGCGCACAATAGAAAAATAGAATTGCTGGACGAGTTACTCGCCGCACTTGGAAGATTACGAGCGGACCAACGAGGAGGGAAGGCGGGGGTTTGAACGACCTCTCATGGGGACGTGATCCTCAGGTGAAGTGGGAGTGAGATGATGGAAGATGACGGGTCTTGCCCTTGCTGGACGATTGCCGAGGTGTCCTCATGCATCTTGGGCGTGCCTCATTGCCCCCCCGGATGAGTTTCCGTCAGTCCCCTGCGCCTGGACAGCCTGAGTGCCTGGGTGCCTCGGGGTCTTCCACGGGCCTCAGCCCTGCCGCGTCTACTTACCCTTGTCGCCAGCAATTTCGTCCATCGGCGTCAGGTGCCCTCACATGACCGAGGCTGCCGTCATCATGTTGCTGTTGCTCTCGCTACTAATCTCTCTCTTCTTCTCTCATTTGCCCGTCTCTCACGACGCTCTCACTGCGATGCTGACCATTTCTGGCCATGTGGCGAAATGTCGAATGCTGCGCGCACTCGCTTGTTGAACTGCTACATACGGAGTACTGCATATCCAGTTTGGCCCTTTTGTTTCTATCCACTGCCTCTAGCTGTGTCCTTCCCATGACTACACCATCCATCGGTTTGCTTCCTAGTCTCCCGAGGTCCAGGGCCTCTTCCGCGTATTGGAGGGCTTCAGACTCTTAGTGACTCCGGTCTTTTGCTCGCGAACCTCTCAGCACCGCCCGCCCTACTCCCAATGAGTTCAAGTCTTTTCAGCCTCAAACCATCCACCGCTCCAGCTGCCGCATCGAATAGCAACCTGCGCGGACGTCTTCAGTAACTTCACTGTAGGTGACGATGTGAGTCCCGCTCTGGGCAGTGGATAGCTGCTGCTTCCTGCAACCCGTTTCTCGCTGTTGTCGCTCAAGCCGCCACTTTTCGGACCCAACATTTCACTTCCTGGTCACCTCCTTCGCAAGAACGCCATTTCCTTCCAGTTTCTTCACGTTCCGCTCCATCGTGTACGTTAGGGTCGAACACGCCTTATGCTCCGGTCGACTAGGCTTAGTCCTCCGT